AGATTGGTTAGGGTCCGGGGATTCCGTTTCCACTGTTTGGGGAACCAGTCGTAGTTCTTGGTCGTCATAACGTCGCATCTGCCTTGAAGTCTTTTTCGCCGGGCGTAGACGTCATCCGGAACCGTCCAAGGCTTTAACCAGATAGTACTTAGATAACCCCTCACTCTCTCAGCTGGGTGCATTTGGCTCAGAATTGATTGCTGCGATCGTACTTTTTCTCCTTGACAACCACAACTCAAATATCGCATGATCTGGGTTTCCCTCCAGGCCAAAGACGGCTATTCTGATTATTGATCCTATCCCAGCGCCGAATCCTTTAATAGTCGACCCGGTGGGGCACATTCTAATGAGGGATCGGCCGTGACTACTGCCGGACAGGACGACAGTGACACTATCGCCGAAGATTAGGAGGTCGTTACCTTTTCCCTTGAACCCCCCGCAAACAGTTCGCTCCAGACCCTCTGGGACGCTTCTTAGTTCGCGCCCTTAGTTCAAGGAGGTCACGTCCCAAACCCCCCGTTCGCTGGGTAACCAATTCCAGAAAACCGTTTCTGGTGATTTATCTTGGGAATTGGGACATTACCCGATCTGGATTTTTAAAATTATCACTCTCCTTTTTTTTTTTTTTTTTTTTTTAATTTTTTTTTTTTTTTTTTTTTTTTTTTTTTTTTTTTTTTTTTTTTTTTTTTTTTTGTTTTTAATTCCTCAGTTCTCATATAGGGTTTCTTTTTTTACTTTCTCTGGTTGATCTTTTCTCCTATTCCCCTTCTTTTTGCCTTCTAGAAAAGCGATTTGTCTTGACCACTACTCCATACATACATATACATACATCCCTCCCCATACGTCTCTGGTTATACTTCTCACCAAAAATCTCGGCCCGCATCGACCAACCGTCGGACTTTAGGCACACTACACTCTCAATCACGGGTCTGGTTTGCACCGCCCAATTGCTCGCTTTATCGAAAGCCATTCGCCGCCGCCCCCTCTCCAATCCCCCTCCTTCTCCTCTTCTACCCTATCAACCATGGCCACAGTGGTCCGGTCGCAGACACCGCTGCAGGACCCTTACGGCGCCATCTCACAGCCCGCAAATTCCATATTCTCAGGTCAGGGCTATGGATCGCGGTCCGCCTCTAGACCGAACTCCTTTATAGCCTCCAACTCCGGCTACAACTTTGCTTCTGGGGCTGTTACCGAGCCTTCGGTCTCTCATAACGGTCGATTTCATGAGGAGTTCGATGTCGCCAGCCAACGTGGTTCCGTCGTTTTCGAGGGCCCATCATCCGCCGCCGTACAGCGCTCCGCATCTCAGATGTCCAACTCCCGTTCTGCGACACCCACGCGATCCGGGACTTTGAAAAAGAAGTCCTCCCTTAGCAAGAGAGGCAGTATGCGACGCAGCGGGAGTAAGAGAAGCCTGCGCGCCGGAAGTGTGAGGAGCCTAGTCTTAGGCGACAAGGAGAAGTATAGCGTCGATGGCGCCGAAGATCACAATAGCGCGTTCTACATCCCTGTTCCTACGAATGGGAACCCGACGGAAGTTTTAGCAGATCGCTTTCAAGGTATGGCTTTTCCTGTAGCACAGCGCAGCTGTGTACCCTTTGTACACAGGAATCTGTGTTTCTGACATACATCAGCTTGGCGTAAGGTCCTAAAGGATCTCATTGTGTTCTTCAAAGAACTCCAGAAATCCTACGAAACTCGATCCAAACTATTCATGTCGGCATCAACTGTTATCAACAATACAGCGTTGCCCCCCACCTTTCTCAAATCCGGCGGCCTGGCAGATGCGACCGATATTCTGCGGAATTTCCATAAACAGGCGTATCAAGAAGCGAGCAAGGCTGCTGAGGTAGAAAACGAGTTGGTCGCTCAGCTAATGGGACTCCGAAACGACCTTCAAAAGAAAACCAAGGAGATCAGGAGCCTTTCGGGCGATTTTCGAAACTCGATTGATAAGGAAGTTGACGCCACCCGCAAATCCGTCCGCCATCTGCACGAAGCCCTAGGCCTGGTCGACACGGATTCCGCAGCCACAGCGGGAAAGGGAGACCCGTTTATCATCCGTTTGGGTGTCGACAAGCAGATTGAAAAGCAGATCGAAGAAGAAAACTATTTGCATAGAGTACGGGACCTCACATCATGGGTCACCTTGACATTTGCTAACTCGTGATGCAGGCGTTTTTGAATTTGGAAAACTCTGGTCGCGAATTGGAATCCATCGTGGTTAGCGAAATTCAGAAGGCATACAAAACTTACGCCAACATCCTTACACGGGAAGCCGACGAGGCGTACGATGCCGCGGAGAAGCTTCGGGCAGGGCCCATCTCGATGCCACACGACCACGAATGGAACTCGTTCATCGCAGAGACCGACGAGTTAGTCGATCCACGAGTCCCCCTTCGGGACGTGGAGAATATCTCCTACCCTGGTAAAGACCATCCGGCCGCTGCAGAGGTCAGATCAGGTATGCTCGAACGTAAGAGCAAATATCTCAAGAGCTACACGCCTGGCTGGTGGGTTCTATCATCCCCTTCTCGACGTTGCTCTTGTCACTAACATGATACAGGTATGTTTTGTCTCCGACTCATCTTCACGAGTTCAAGTCCGCCGATCGAGTGGCCTGGCAGACACCAGTGATGTCGCTGTATCTCCCGGAGCAAAAGCTTGGTTCGCATTCGCAGCCGGACTCCTCATCTCACAAGTTCATGTTGAAAGGGCGGCAAACGGGGACGATGCACCGGGGACACTCATGGGTCTTCCGTGCCGAGTCGCACGAGACGATGAAGGCATGGTACGAAGACGTCGAAAGCCTAATCTCCAAGACCGGTGAAGCAAGGAATGCATTTGTCAGGAAACATGTGCGCACTGTAAGTGGTGCAAGTTTCGGTCGGACGTCTACCAGCAGTGATAGGGTTATGGATGAGGACGAAGCAGATCGCACGCCCTACTCGGCAGGATCAGTGGTTTTAAACCAAGAACGCCCGGCATCTCAACCGCGTGAAGCTGGCGGCCGTTTCCCCAGTGACGTGCAGATAGACCGCCATTTACAGGCCCCACTGTCGCCATCAAGTGGAGAGAGCTCCGGCGAGAGAGATCTGTTGGCCGCCGTCGGATCGTTACCTGACGCTAAATCCCCTCTCCAAGGCACGCGTCGCTCCATGTCTGAGCGTGATATGGATATAGACCAGGTGCAGCCTTCAAGCCAGGCGGGTGAAATCACGCGCCAACCTTTTGAGAGACACGACAGCTATTATGGCCGCTGGATGAACACGGCCGACCATCAGAAACAAGTGCAGGCTCAGCAAATCTATGATAACACTCAGGATACCGCTGGATTTGAGAGGGGGAATATGGCTCCCAACTTGATTGCAGGATTGAGGGCAACCAATTCTCGTGAAAGCTCTCTGTCACGACAGAGAAATCGGGGGGAAAGCACCTCGACTGCGCCTACCACTACAAATGTGACAGATCACACTCTCAACACTCTCCCCACCTCGATAGATGAGAGGCCAGAATCGATATCACACGGACCCGATGAGCCTATGACTGACAGCTGGAACAAAGGACAAGGGCCACCCTCTGTCCGTACAGCTTCATCAACCACGGCAGTGCCCATCAACGCTCCTAGTCCGGGTATCCCCACCTCGAACGAGGCCATGAAGCGTCCCCCCGCTGCGACCAAAAACAGCGTATCCACACTCGACCTCAAGATTCCAGGTCACTACCCACCAGCCAACGTCCCCGCATAGATGCTTGGATGGCCAAGAAGGCAGGTTCCACCGACAAGTGGATTGATCTCACTTGTCATATTTCAATTCTTCTATAAATATTTGCAACTACCGACCAGTAGCATGTTTGTTTCCTGACATACATGCTCATTCACTCCCTTGTTTCTATCTGCGTCTTTTTCATTTCCTTTTTCTTTGTTTCCTTTGTTGTGATGTCTTCCCTTTGTTTTCAACGGTCACTCGGTTTTCCCATGCACGAAGAAAACACACAAGAATGATCATTTCTGGCGTTCAAGTACCCAAGGTCGGACACATGATCGGATAAGCAGGCGTACAGGTAACAGGTACAGGATCACAATCCGAAAGTTTGGGCGTGGGTCAGGGTTTCATAGGTCTCAGGTGACAGGGTGCGTGGTTATGTTATGGTTATGCATTTCCTTTGTTCGAATTTTCCTTTTTGTCTCGTCTCGCTTGAGTTTCAGGTTCAGGTTCAGGTTCCAAGTTCCATCAATTCCTCTTCGTCTGTATCATATTATATTCCCCCTTTTTGTTATTCCCCCCGGGGCGTTTTCGGTTCCCTGGTTGATTTACCCTGAGTTCGAGTTCCAGTTCACATTGTTATTCTTCCTATCGAAGACCCTGAGATGGTCTTTTGAATGCAATGCTTTGCTTTTGGCTTTACGCGATCGGGCTCCTAGATCGGCTGTTTGTTTTGCGCTTTGTTCAACGAGTTGTTATGAGTTAAAAGAAAACTTTAGGTTATGCTGAAATATCATTACGTTGGGATGAAGATCTATGGCTATTTCGTCTTTTTTAAATATACATATATATATATATTTGAAGTGGACGGTTGGATATTGTTTAGTTTGTAGACAAGATAGTGTGGGAATGTATGTTATATATTCCAAGGGCTTTGAAGAGATATATATTGATCTAGGAGCGGAGATCCACAGTTGTGTATTGCAGACTATCAGCACTGATACGGAGTAACGCAACTGAAACCGAGTCTGTCATAGTCTATGCGGTAATTGGAAAAGGAAGTGACGGTCTTACTATATATATAGCCTCCTTGTTGTTGCATGATCTTATTGCATACTTATTAGCTTACGTAGTTTATATCTTTGCGCGTATATAGATCGGGACTTTCTCTGCCATAGGTGACCCTGTAATACACTTACGTAGATTCTAGCAGTGCCTTTTGAAATGGATAATAATAGCAGGCACCGGATGATAGAATACGGGTTGATAAGAACAGTTAAAGGGAAGAACTAATGCCGCGAACGGCGAGAATATTGGCATTGGCGTAACATTAAATGATCGGGTATTGCAATTTCTACCAAAGCCAACTCGAAAATGAAGTAAGGAGCCTCTCCAGAACCGAAATCTTCTAGTGGAAACCCCACCCAAGATGTGGGAGACAGAGCAAAGCCAGACCATGGTCAATCACAAACTCACCCGTAGAAGAACATAAAGTAAGCAGAATCAAGGTCCGATTTGTCCCACAGAACCAGATCACCAGAGAAGAAAACAAACAAGACAAAAACAGAGGCATCAAAAGCGGTAGAGTAGCATCATCGCGTCCACACGAATACTTGGTCATGCAGTCATTTGACCGGGGTGTAATCACATCGCAAACTTTTCGACCTCATCGGTCCGTCGAAAGGAGCAAAGAATACGATACTATTACATGATCTGGTCCTGCGTGATACCGCCAGTGGGCTCGGCACCCTCCATGGCGTCTCCGGGGCCAGCTCCCGCATTCATGTACTTGACAAAAGTGATACCGAGTGGACGGCCACCGTATTGATAACCGGTGAACTTGGCTGTACAAGCGTCAGTGCTTGCATTGGAAGATGCGGCTTAAAAAAACATACCGATTGCAGTTTCTGCCGTCTCTGCGTTGTCAAACTGGACCACACCCGTGCCGCGCGAGCGACCATTGGGCTCGTACTGAATCTCTGCACGATCTACTTTTCCAATAGTCGAGAACAGGTCGACCAGATCTTCATTGCAGGTGGACCAGGGCAGCTATGATTACCACCACACATTAGTACACGGGTCCACGAATGACACTTGAGCGCGAAAGGAGGCTTACGTTGCGGACATAGATAACCGGGCCCTTCTCGCCTCCGGAGGTTGCAAAATCCGTGAACGGGTTGGGGGGCACCGAGGGGACACCCTCAAAGCCAGGGCCACCACCGCCAGGACCACCGAAGCCACCGCCGTAGCCACCGCGGCCTCCGAATCCGCCAAAGCCGCCACGGCCACCGCCGAAGCCGCCCCGACCACCGAAGCCGCCACCGCGACCACCGAATCCACCACCGAAGCCACCGCGGCCTCCAAATCCACCCGGTCCGGCACCGGCAAAGCGATCCTCACGAACCTCCAAAGACCGACCCTGCCAGTCGTAGCCATTGAACTGTTGGATAGCATTACGGGCATCCTCAGGAGATTCAAAGGCGACAATGCCGGAGCCCTTGGGACGTCCGGTAGCATCGGTATGAACATCGGCACGGACGACGCCGCCTTGCTGAGCTGTAAAGTGTTCTTGGGTCAATCACGGATTCAAATTCCGGATACAGAATGGGAGTGAAGGTTTGCAAACGAGGCTGTTTGGAGGGACGCCTCTGTATTGCACTTACCTGCTTGGCGGAAAAGATCCTTCAGGTCCTGCCAGCCAACATTGAATGGAAGCTAAACGCGCCTAAGTCAATATCTCTGCCGTGGGTGATATCGCATTACATCCAAGGTAAGAGGAGGGGGGAACAAACATTGGACACGTAGAGCTGTCTTCCGCCAGCTCCACCACCGTAACCACCACCAAAACCGCCGCGGCCGCCGCCACCGCCGCCGAAATCCCCACGAGAAGGGCCACCGGTGAAACGAGGTTCGGGTTCACGGTCCTGAGACCTGTCAGCATATGGGAGAGCCCGCTAGGGAGGTATTGAAGGGCTCGACATACCTCGCGAACGTAGACTAGACGGCCCATAAGGTTCTGGTTGCTGAGCGTGTTGACCGCATTTTGCGCTTGCTCCCTGGTCGCGTATTCCACAATCCTACTCAACGGTCAGTAATGCCTTCGAGGTGAACATAACGGGGCGTCGTGTAGAAACATACCCGCATCCCTACAGTATCCCGGACGGCCAGGCCCAGCCCGTCAACCCAAACAGTCCATCAAAACGAACCAACAAGGGGAAATGGAAAAAAAAAAGCCAGAAACACAAAGGGGAAAAAGGAACCAGCCACACTACGCATTGGCGCCCACCTTCGACATTCCATTGGGAAGTAATAAGACGTCGGCAAAGATGACCTCACCAGCTGTAGGGCGCGGAAAGATAGTCCCCCTCCAAGTCAGCCACGGATTCCAATCCAACAAAAAGCGCATCACACATCCGACACAATATGACCCTGCTCACCCTGTCTCATAAAGTCTTTCAAGTGATGCCACTTGACATCGTAGGAAAGGTTTCCTACATAGACCCGACGGTCTTGTTGGGAAGACTCGCGCACTGCTTGCATCATTTGTTCTTTGGCGACAGCGCGGTCCTCAAACGATCTCGGAGGCGGCGGGTAGCTGCTGCGTCCGCCGTAACCAGAACCCGAATGTCCTCCAGAGGGGCCTGGTGCAGTACTCATAGGCGAACGGGAACGGCGTTCACTGCGGCGATAATCGTCACGACTCCGAGAGCGACTCCGAGGCGAATAAGAGCGACGGCTACGTCGAGGGCTGCGCGAACGACGTCGGGGTGAACGAGACCTCTCGCGCTGCGCGTGGTCAGTATCGTAGTAATCGGCCGGCATCGACACGGATGGGGAGGGAGAAAAGAGGAGAAAAGGGAAAAGAAAGAAAAGAGGATAGGAATGGCTAGAAAAGTATGACGGCGAGTGAATGGAGAACGAGATCTGCGCGGTGGCTTTCCAGGGTTGCAATTGGGTGTTCCGACACCTTGGGACCGAAGGCAGCCTTCACACCATTGAATTCCGGGAGAGGAGAAAGCCCAAGTCAGGTGACGGGGACGGGGACGGGGCGCTTAACAAAGCAATGGAGTAAGACTGGAGGACCCGGAGGACGGGACCCGCGAAGACAGGTGGGGAGTTTCCTTCAGACCTCAAGCTAATGCACTGCCACCAGGGTGTCTTTCGTGATAAAAGAAAAAGGAAAAATAAATCATATCAAAGGAAAAGAAACAAACAAAAACACCAGAGACAACCGTTTCATGTGAGCTAGGAAACTGCCACCGTGAATACCAACGCGGGTGATATCTGGAGTCCCAAACGTCTACCGTCCCAAACCGGCTGGTATAGTTGGAACCCTCTAGCCATGGTCACCTCCCAACTGGTACGGATCGGTGGTGGTTTCTGGGGTGGACCAAATATTGCGCAACACCAAGAAAATACAACAACATCAGGCAGGGCAAAGAAAAAAAAGAAAAGGGCAGATCCTTTAGAAAATAAAACCATGAAGGATGTAGCAAACCGATGCAAGATTTCGCGAACGGTGTGGAGGGACAATACTTACTTGATATGGTCGGTAAACGTCAGCTGCAGATTATACCTTAAATGTAAGCAACAGGTTTGACGATCCTCAGAGCACGAGGAGATCGAAGTAAGAAGATAAAGAAATACCAGTGATGACGCGGACGGGGGATTCAAGAACAGAGGAACAATTTAGAGAGTCGGAGAGAGAGAGAGGAGAGAGAAGAAGGAAGATGTTGTGAGAGAGAAGAGGTAAAGGAGGGTAACGGCGGGGTGTGAGGGAAGAATAAAAAAGCAAAGCAGCAGGATAAAAAAAAAGAAAAAACGAAAAAAAAACAAATAGGGTAACAAGGAAAGCAATGAATGCGAATGAATGCGCCCGTCCAATTCAGACCAGTCTGTCAGACCTTCACTCGGGACGGGGAGGACAGGATGAAAGGAGCATGCGGTATGATTGGCGTTCCCGTGGGAAACCGAAATGCACGCCTTCTGCCCGGTGGATAGCTTTGGGTAATCAAGTAGGTCAGAAGAGGTTTAGATGGACTGACCCTTCTTGCGACCTCCGAGGAGCCGGCTTAAGGACCAGGATGGGAGGGGGTGGACGATGATGGGTGGAGAGTAAGGCTACTAGTCCAAGGCACGGCATAAGAGGGGAAAGGAACAAAGTCAAAACAAGGGACGGCCGGTTCCTACAGTAGTGGGAAGCCCGCAAGTGAGGTGACCTTTCATGACTATGTGGATGTGCAGCTGCTATCAAAAGGCCAAGAAGGGAGGGGGGGAAACAGAAACCAGGGCAAGTATGGCAGATGTCAGTCTTCAGTGGGTATGGGAGGGGTCAATTGGGCTCGAAAAAACCACTGAAACCCATCATTTTAGATTATAAGACAAACGGAAGGAGTGGGAATGTAAACAATGTTTGTAAGGACATGGGGATGGGGGTTGCTGATGTGGATGGGACGTTTTTGATAGTAACCTTGAATGAGAATAATCATCTTGAGTAAAAAAAAAATGGAACCAACAAACGGCCATGGAATCATGCAGATAAGCAAATGCATAAGATAGAATTTTTAAAAAAAAAATAACAATAACAAAGAGAACACCAATAAAGTAAAAGAATTAAGTCACCTACCCATGACGGTTTGTGATGCTGCAATCAAGAGGGGAGAATGGGGGAGGAGAATGAGAGGAGGAGATGTGTTGTGGTGTTGTTTGGAAGGTCTGGACTGTTGTTGTCACTAGAGAATGTCGATGCTGAATGGGCGGATGTTCAACTCCCAACAGGATTTCAGAACAAATCAGAAGGACGAAGAGAAATAAAAAAGGGGAACAGAGTAAAAGGTAAAATAGAAAAACAAATTAAAAAAATCAATAATAGATTGGAAACGAAAACGGAGACTCTCCGGAAAGTTCAGTCAACACTGTAATATTGGCAGGGGTGATGGTTGCAAGTTGGCCTTTCTTTAATATTCTTGCGGTCTGTTCTCACTGTCCTCGACCGGTCAATGTTACTTCCACGCGGGGGTGGGCAATAAGAACTGGGGAAGGGGGGAAATAAGACAATGGGAGGTGGAAGAGAAGAAAGGTAGAGAAGCAGAGACAGAGACTTACATTAATTATGCCGGGGAAATGAAATCAAAGGCGGCAGGAACAAACAATCAAGAGACTCCGTAATCATGCGTTCAACATCGTCCCTATCGCAGATGAGATGAGATGCAGCTTGACTGTCATTCTGATAAAATAAACAATCGACTATCTATGGATATTAGTCACTTCTCGTCTATTTCCTACTGTATCCCATGTCACTCACCAAGATCGGGATCAATGCCTACAAGTAAGGTAAGTAGCGATGGCAGTAATTATTACTAAAGAATTTACTTGGAAATCAAACCTGTAGCATTCCTATTAGGTCCTATAATGTTCTGTTTATATCTTTTTACGCTTATCCCTACATTGTGATATAGATTGAGTATTCATACCAGATGTGATAGGAAGATGTTCCCAAAGAGGAAATCAGCTATATAACTCAAGATCAAATCCTTTTGCCTTGGCTTCTCGATCTTAGATAATCACCTGCAGCCTGTCTATCCCAACAGTATATACCATGAATTAATCCAACGCCATATTAACCAGGTATAACCCCATGGAGATCGATTCTAATCCTCAACCAACAGTCAATTGCACATGCGGGCATATACATCTATTTGACATGAACTCATTCCCTCCAATACACAAGAAGTAAAAGCAACCACTTTCACCTCGAACCGATAAGAACTTGCACAACCTATCATCCCAATAGTTCCCCAAGAATCAAAGTAGCAAATAAGAAAAGTATTAAACATTCCCCAAACCCCGGTTACCAGAAAGCAACCACAATCGTACATCATCTGACAGGAAGAGGTTTACTAGACTCCAGTCAACGTCCAATCTTGGCTCCGCTCAGGCCACCGCTTAAGCCCACCCGAGAAAATCCAACAGAATAAGTTCCGACAACACCCAAACCCTCCATCGCAACGACCAAACATCAAAGCACGAACACCCAATAACCATGGCACAACCGCACCATTTAGCCCGCTACCACGCGGCCCTCCTATCAACATCCAAACGTCAATTAGCCCGCACCACCCGCTCCATCATCCCCCAATGCACTCGCCAACTCCAGCACCAAACCCGACCAGCCCGCCGTCACCCTACTCCAACACACCTCACATCCTCTCCCCTCTCACGACCAACTAGACGACCCTACCACTCCGAACACCACCCGGACCCCCCGCCTCACGAATACACCAACTCCCAAACTACTATCCTCTCCGCCGCGCTCCGCCACGTCCCGACCCACGGCTTCACCCGCGACGCCCTCACCCTCGGCGCCCGCGATAGCGGCTTCCTAGACGTCTCGGTGCAATTGCTCCCCCGCGGAGAGTTCGACCTGGTTCTGTTCTGGCTAGCAAGTCGTCGAGGATTATTGCGCGCAAGTGTGGACAATGGGCTCTTCGAAAAGGATGAGCGGGTGAAGGCCGGACTGAAGTTGTCCGTGGAGGAGAAGACGAAGCTCTTGCTCATGGAGAGGTTGAGGATGAACACCGAGATAAGACATCAGTGGCAGGATGTATGTGCTCCCCTACTTGTCTCCAATTCTGCTATCTATCCTCTATCCCGGGGGGGTATTGAGGCGCAATGATTCTGGCTGTGGGTATGGATTGTGGCTGATTGTGATATTTGTTATAGGCTCTGGCGCTTATGTCGCTGGCGGGTAATATCCCTCTCTCGTTGTCGGAGTTGCATGCGCTTTCGTCGGAGATCTTGACGCTCGCTGGTGATGCTTCGGTCGATGCGTCGTGGTATACGAAGCGGTTGTCTGTTGCGGCGATTTATGCTTCGTCGGAGGTGGTTATGACCCGGGATCAGAGTCCTGGTCTTTCTGAGACGGAGGCGTTTGTTGAGCGGCGTGTCGAGGATAGTGCTGCTATTGGGGAGAAGCTGACCGGATTCAAGCAGTGTTTAGGGTTTGTGGGGTCGACGGCTATAGGGCTGGGGAGGAGCTGGGGATTGAAGATTTAATGGGTGGCCCTGTATGATTTGTACTATTACTACATCCGGTCTTGGTGGGTGTTTCTATACTTCTATTATGTGATTGTCTTACTATACAGTATGTTCATATGCTCTGGGCACGTGAGACCAGTGCTACTGGGAAGGTCTTTTCTCCTGCACTCGTCGCTCAATCCGGTGCATCCACCCCTCTGGCCCGAGCAACTCGCGGACGGCCTTCCGATTCGGCGCTAGATCCCACCACGGCTCACGGCGCGGACCACGCTTCTCATTACGCATCCGTTTCCAATGCTGCTTCAAGTCCCGGTCCCGCTGGTTGACGATTCCGGTTAACAGCCCGCACGTGCGATGGTTGGGCTCGATGCCAATCACCTCCATCTCGCGCAAGAGAGAAACCACCCCGGGGATGTCGTGGCAGCCGCGCCAGTAGAAGTAGATCAACTCATTGTAAAGCCCTGTCGAACTACCTAGAACGGCAGAGGCGCGGCCATGCGACTTGATCGTGGCTCGGAATTGGCTGATAAGCGGGGAATTAGGGAAGTGCAAGTTGAGAAGACGGAAGGCCACAAGTAGCATCTTGGGATATAGAGCCGTGACGACGGGCTCCACCGGGACCGATTCGGGAACCTCCAGATGCGAGGGTTCCGTAGGGGCCTGGGCCGCTTGGTTCTTATCCTGGCCCACATCAAGACCCTGTGCAAGACGGACATCCCCGAGGTGCTGCAGCATGGAGAATATCCTTTCTCTGCAAATGTCCCACACGCCCGTATCTTCCTTGCCTTGGTCAATGGCTGCCCGGAGGGCGCTCTCAATCTTTCCCGCCTCTTTCTTCACAACCAACTCAATCGCCTCCTCCATGGAGATCTGATTGCTCTCCAGCAACTCCGAGATATCCTCACTACTGTACTCGGACTTCCGGAGTCTCTCCTGCAACTCTAGATTTTGGAGTGTAACCGGGGTATCCGTCTCTGCAGATTGGCCCTCCGCGGAATCCGTCGTCGCACTTTTGCGTTTTTTCTGCTTTATGTCTTTAAGCACCTCCTCGAAAATCTCTGAGATCTGCGCCATTTCATTCTTGTCCTCCTCACTCAGCTCCGGCTTCTGCGTTTCGGCGGTCGGTGTGTCATTCTGAACAGCCCCCAGCTGTTCCAGCAGGTCGCTGAACACTTGTTTCTCGCCGCGGGTCATGGTAAGAGGGTTTGGTTTCACGTGGGGGGTTCTTTTCGAGACCGTGGCCGCTCGTTTATGCAGATAGCTGCGTCTTTCCGTGGTTTCGTTGCCGTGCTCAGTCTGCGGCTGCGAGTCCGCTGGCGTATTTGCGCAGCTGTCATTCTGGGAAGATTCTGTCCGGGACGGGTCGTCGGGGGTATTGGGACTCGAAGTAGAGTATGCCTGTGAGGGACATCGTAGCGGCCGCGGGAAAGATCCAGAGAGTGTGCGAGTTTGATAAAGGAACGGGGCGAGGGAATTGCGTGTTGTCACAGCCAGCAACGAGCGATGAAGATGGCCACTCATGGCGATCGTATAGACAAATACACTGAAAAGTTTCTACCGTAGCAATGTAAGACCCTTCAGCATGCTTTGCAGATAATCTATATAAACAGTTCGGGAAGGAAAAACAGGCGTCTATTAGTCGAGAAATGTTGTGATGATGAAGCTTTATGTTGACTTTTTGCCTCTGCCGCTTCGGCATGGAGGTTAACACAGCTTAAGGTAAAAGCCAATTACCGCTCTTAACTTTCACGTGACAGCGCGATGCCTGCGCGCGTTTCTTGACTTTCTCCGCGCCGGTGCGCTGTGCTACAATCAGACGAATCCAGACCAGCGCAAACACCCGCGGTATAGAAATATTCAGCATCTCGCCATGGGTAACGAAGAGATATCCGATTTCGAAAAGCAACGGCTTGCGAATATCGCGGAGCGCGATGCGCTTCTCAAGCAGCTGTCGCTAAACGCGCAATCCCTCTTCACGCCGACGGCGCCGAATCGCGCGACCGGGGTCCAGACAAAGGCGAAGAAAAAGCCGGCGCCGAAGAAGGTCAAGAAGGAAGAGGAGTCGCCTGTGCCGCGGCGCATGTCCTCACGCCTGAGGGGTATCGCGGCGGATAGTGAGGTAGCGAAACGGAAGGCAGAGGAGCAGCACCAGGCTTATCAGGAGGCTGAGAGGGCCAAGCGAGTGAGGAAGTCGGATCCATTCTCACTGGATGAGATATTTGTTTCGGGTCAAAAGCTTAGTGGGGATGGGTTGCTTGGTGTGGATGTTGTTACGAAAGGCGTCGCGGTGCCTTATCAGCGAACGTTTGGCGATGATGATATCAAGAAGACAACGGATAAGGAATTGAAAGCTTTGAGGAAGGAGATGAGTGAATTGCAGCTGTGGGAGGCTTGGGAGCCTAACCGTATGATATACACCTGCTGCCCAAAGCGTTGCTTTCGTATGCTAACTGTGGTATAGGAATCAAGCTCACCCCCGAGAGAGTGTATACCATGACATTCCACCCCTCGGAGACCAAGCCATTGATCTTTGCTGGAGACAAGATGGGTCATCTCGGTGTTCTGGACGCATCACAGGAAAAGCAGACCTCAGTGAAGCAGGAAGACGACGAAGACGAAGAGGACGACGACCCTGATCCAGTCCTGACGACCCTTAAGCCACATACCCGCACAATAAGTTCCATGGTGATCCACCCATCCAAACCGACTCATCTATATACAGCCAGTTACGACAGTTCTATCCGAGAAATGGACCTGGAAAAAACCACATCGGTGGAACGGTACGCGCCAGATTCAACGTCAGACGATGTTCCATTGTCTGGTCTGGACATGGCTGCTGATGACCCCAACACTCTCTACTGGACTACTCTGGAGGGTGAGTTTGGCCGATACGATATGCGCACACCCAAAAATGACTCGGTAACCGTCTGGAGTCTATCCGAGAAGAAGATCGGCGGATTTTCGCTACTCCCGACGCACTCGCACTATTTTGCGACGGCTAGTCTGGACCGGACCATGCGGCTGTGGGATATCCGGAAGCTATCACGTCGCGAACCTGTTCCTGTGGGAGAGCACCAGAGTCGATTGTCAGTTTCTCATGCGGCGTTCAATAGCGCCGGACAGGTTGCGACATCTTCGTACGACGACAGCCTAAAGCTGTATGACTTTGGCGCCAAGGGAATTGCTTCCTGGAAGCCAGGACATACCCTTTCAGATAAAGAAATGAAACCCGACACGGTGGTACGGCACAACTGTCAAACTGGACGATGGGTTACAATGTATGATCCCTATCCAAAAGTAACGATTATTAGGTGGAAGCGAGGACTGACCCAACATCTTATAGTCTCCGTCCTCAATGGCAAATAAACCCTCAGTCGCATATCCAACGATTCTGCATCGGAAATATGAATCGCTTCGTTGACGTCTACAGTAGTTCGGGTGACCAACTGGCCCAACTCGGAGGCGACGGCATCACTGCCGTACCCGCCGTTGCAGTTTTCCATCGGAGTAAGAATTGGATAGCCGGTGGTACGGCCAGCGGAAAAATATGTTTGTGGATGTGAATTGCCACATCGTGAGCGTTGTATATGTTTGCAGATCTCTGTTGCCTTTTTGAATACTCTAAACAGATTTGTATCATGGCATGTTTTGCTTGGTCGTTCCTCCGTCCCTTCGTTGCTTAGTTGCATGTCATGGCCTATGGGTTACCGATTGTACAGAACTCAAGTGAGATTATATAAACCATTGATGAATCAAGGACTTCAACCAGCAGGAATCGTGGTCTATCCGCGCCAATTGGATACTCGTTTCGTCTATACCAAAAATAGAAAGTGAAGGGAAAGACACTATTTACACAAATCGAGACACTGTTTTTTGCAACAGTCTGGTTTAACAAGACCCTTGCCGTTCACAGCAACCCAGGACAGTGATATTTCACATCCAGCGTTACTCGCAGGATCTCTCGCTTCCCACGTCAAAAACAGCAATCAGAGCAGGGTATCAACACCATGACAAATGCTTTCCAAAAATCGGGAGAAGTAGAAGGGAAACGCGTCAAGTCATGAGCACATGTGTAGGGGAAAAGGAAGAATGTACACCGTAAGATGCAGGGATTTGTTTGCACAGATCCGCCGTGTTATACAAAACCGTTGCCGCCTGCTAAAAATTTTTAAAGGACGATCAGTTCAGCCTCCACGGTTGCCTAAACCAAAGCCAAAACGCATTCCAAGGTGAAGGGATGAAGAGGAAGCCCCCCAGAGAGGAAGTTAGAGATCAAAAGGATGAAAAGGTGATAACATGCAACAGCCATGTCACCTGGTGTCGGCACCGTAAGGTGTAGATTGCGAAAGGGCTATATAGATGGGTTAGCCGGTAAAGGTAGCCCAGGTTGCCCGTCAAAACTCATTTCGGAGTTCTTCTCGGGATTGCTGTTGAGCATGCTCTCGGTCCCTCGCCCGGCGTCTAGATGTAGCCGGAACAAAATCAAAGAATCGGTACTTGCTCGTTGTCTCCCTGGTTATACTAGACCGGCGAGGCTTAGAGGAGTCTGGATATTCAAGAGAATAAGTAGAAGAATTCTTGGAACTCCCAGTGCTATCACGTGTGTCCGACCATCGTGGGATCGAGAAAGGCACACGGCTCTGGTCCCACGTAGCCGACGAAGAGCTTGGAGGGGTATCATCATCGCCACCGTCGGCGGCATAATCGGTCGACCGGCGAGGTAGAGAAGGCCGCGAAGCAAAGTAGCCGATTGAGTTTCGGTGACTTCCGGTGATAGACGCAGATCCCGCAATTGCCGTCTCCGTGGCCGGCGTGGTGGGCTTGGAGCTCTCCTCGTAGAAAGTGGCCGACCGTTCCATAGAGTCAACTAGTTCTTCCCACTTGACCTCGAGATCTCCACTTGGGCGCTCTGCTTGCTCGGCTTTACTCAAACATTCCTTGGTACGTCGGTCGAGGTGAAGCGCCATTTCATGAAATTTCTTGAGTGCCGGGTCGAGATCCTCTATCTCGTTAAGCCTCTCAGGTGCTCCTTCAAGCCATATCCGAATCAGAATCGCAAAGCTGCGAGGGTGGTCTATCAAGAAAGGGAGACTGGGAAACCCTTCCCGTGACGTTGGAGGTAAGCGACCAAGGATTTGGATTGGGGTGGCATAGGACGGGGTGACGATTGGAGTTGGTCGGTCGGCGGGTATTGCACAGATTGAATCCACGAACTGTTTGAAATCGGCACGATTGCCTACCAAGAACTTGTTCATAGGCTCCATCCAAGGCTCTTTGCTCCCGAACGTAGTCATGTTGGCCAATCCTTGCAAAGCTTTCGCAATCAGGGTCAAAGTACGTTGGGCTCGAGAGCGAGGGTGATCTACATCGAATGTATTAGTCGTAAAAATTCAACGGTTAGAGGCCAGTAAAAGCATACCTTTCAGCAACCCAAACAGCTTTGGGTTCAGGATTGCTGGACAGAAGAACCGCAGAAACAAAAAGCCCGAGACGCTACTATAGGTGACAGTGCGAAGAAAATCGCCGTAACGATCTTCTGCGCATGCCCTGACATGACGAAATATAAGTCGCAGCTCGGAAGGGCAACGAGACGCGGAGCCCGCAATCGATTTCCAAACACTGGTGGTGAGGGAGATGAGATTTCTCCAGTTGCGTTCTAGATCATCCGAACGATGCACGCGAGAAGGGTCTACTTCACACTCCGGATCGCTCTCGTCGATATCACGTAGACGTTCTCCGATTGTTTCTTCGAGATACTCCTTTCCTAGTCTACGCATATGGTAGTCCAGCGCCTTCGTTAGAAGGGAGTTCCCTCGGAAAAGGAGATTGGCTTCCACGGTTGCCGTTCGCCCCAAATCCCTTACGAGGACTTCTCTATCCTGACCAGACTCTCTTGTGTCATTGGAATGGATCCTGGTAGTATATCTAAGCCTGTTCGCGGTCGATTCCTTGTGAACACCATCAATCTCATCTTCGACCAGGGCCGATATCCACTCCACAGTTGTCCCTGACACCTGAAAGATGTTCAAGAGCGCCTCTGATAGTAATGTAAGTTCAGAAGATAGGATCTGGGCCATGTTGATGGAAAGTCCATTGGTGAAAGAATGGAGAAGCTCCGACATTGGAGTGTATTCATGGGACATAAGAACGACAGTTTCTTCCATCCGAGCTCTCATCAGCATCTCTCCTACAGGTTGGTCTCGATCATCAAGGATCGGCCACCACTTCTCGACCTCCACGCCCGGCTCCAGGTCATCCAGTCGAAGCTCTACTCTTCCAAATGTTGCGTCGTGGGAGGACAGCTCCACGTCATCCAACACACGCATAGGGTAGCTATCCTGATTCAATGCATACGACCCATGCGCGATAAGTGACCAGTCTTTTTGGGTCGGGTTGGGGTTCTTTACAAGTATCGAAACTTGGGATAAGACAGGCGGGAGGTCATTGAAAGTGAAATCTTCCCGCCAGAAAGGATTTGCTGTGCGGTACTTGACGGCGGTTTTGGCCCGGATCTCTCCGTCTAGTAAGACTTCAGTATAATAATCGTTCACGGCACCCGTTGGCGTCGAGCTGCTATGAGACCGGGATTGCTTGCGACTTCGAGGGGTCTCCTCCGACTTGCTACGGAATAATTTGGCCTCCGTAACTCTTACGGTGAGCATCCTCTCAATCCGGAACATGTCCGCTATAGAGGCAGCGGTAGAATCGGACCCTGGAGCCTTCGCCGGATTGTCCTCGATTGACGTTTCAGGACCGTATAGTTCTGGAATTGTGAAGGCACGTAAAAGAACGAACCATACCTCAAACAGCACCCGACTTTCTAGGGATAGATACACCGGACGTGTCAGCCCCGATACTGAGTGCGCTGCATACTGCGGATATATGGCAATACAGAATTCGTCTTCCAAAACGGATGAGTTCAACCGCTGGACGGCACACCGGGAGAGCTGAGATAATTGGATGCAGTGCACAAACGTGATGTCAGATTCGGTAAAGAGTTTGAAAACGCCATTCTCCTGCAGCGTGCAGCTGACCCTTTGCCAGGCTGACGAGAGCGCACGTTGCTGACGGTATGTTGAAACCCGACGACCAGACGAAGGTCGAGCACCCGAGGCATTTGGTCTGTCCCATAGGAGCATCTTGCCCACTTTGATAATGGCCGCTTCTTTCTGAACCGTGCTTTCAGAGTTTCTTCGACGGTCGGCAAGACGACGGTCACCGATTGCAACCGATTGAGGTTTGGTCATCTTATTCTGGACACCTTTTGGCCTGATTGGTTGCCAGCACAACAACGCAGCGAGCCATGAATCGAATGTCTCGCTCACATGAGGCCTCAACTCCACACCAAGACCGGAGGTAAATGTAGAGACGCTGAGATAGTTCGTCCGAAGCTCGGGGTCGACGAGGGAGCGGACCTGGCAGCCGCGAAGGTCTGGGATCAAGGTCTTAGCTAATGCGGGCTCTCCCTTGGCCTGGTATATCAAACTTCCCGTAGCAACGTTGATCGCGCAGTAACCGGACGTCCAAGCCGTGGTGTTGGCGGTCCGAAAGGAAAGAATGCCATGCATCCTTCCACATGTGGTCTTCATCAGCTGCAGGATCTTCGCAGAATCGGTACTCGACAAAGGCGACGGTGGTGGATTGGTACCGACACTCGCCAGGAAGTTGGAGCCCCCGGAGGCTCGGCTGATCCGATGACGCCCGAGGGTGTGGCTCAGATAGGTGGGCGATTGTATTGATGGATAACCGATTGAGCCGGTCGGTTCGTCTGAGTGTCTTGTCTGGGACGTTGCGGCATTGACGGAGCCTAGACGGCTCCGGGTTTTGAGGTAGAATGAATTCGGGGAGAGCTCACTGCGCTGATCTTCCAAAGTGGTAGTTCGCGATCGCGCCCGTTGGCTCTTCGATTCCACTTGAAATTCTTCCTCATCGCCCGCGGGGTGGTAGGATTGAAAATCGCGACGGGTATCTAGATTGGCAGGCCTCGTTCTGGCGGTCACACGAGGCGAAGGGGCTGCGCTTGAAGAAAGATGCTCCGCGTCCGAGAGAGGAGAATGATTCGCGGTCTCCGTGGTGGAGTCTGGCGTTACTGTGCGGATGCCTGTATCCCTGAAGCTCTCGGGGTAGACCATGCCGTGACGGTCCCTGGATGATGATTTTTTGCTTGGACGCCGTTCCACTGGGCGACTGTAGAAACCCTGGTGTATGGAGTTCCGTTTGGGCCCATTTGAACCTTCGGGCTCCATCTTGTTCCGTCACGCACGATGAAAATCGGACAGTAGCGGCACTCTCGAGAGCGGTCGCTACAAAACACGCAGGACGCAGACAGACACACGCACACACATGTACTCATGTAAAATGTTACCTTGCAGATGTCGGCACCCAACGCACGCTGCGCAACCGTCCTCGAATAATGGGAGGGTTTGTGTCGTCCAATGGGTCACGAGCTGAACGCATGGAGTCCGGGGAGAGGTCGACAAGTCGAGTCGCACATTCGGTCAAGGCCGGCGCGTTTAAAAATCCAGGCGAAGGACGAGAGCTGAGGGGGACCAAGAACTGACACGACCCCCGAACGGCCGGTTGGGTTCAGGGGCGGCGGGAGGGAGGGAGTGAGGGGAATGTAATATTTAAGAAGGGAAAAAAGCGTAGGCGATAGGTAGGGAAGTGTGGTGTGGAGCAGAGTTGGGGAGGATAAAAGAAAAAGATAAAAAATAAAAAAATAAAAAAAAATACAAAAGAGGGTAAAAAAATTATATGTAAAAAAAAAAGAAGGTTAACAATAGCAGTGAATAACCAGGCCTCCGAGAGTTGTCAATGTACCGGGACGAAGTCGCTGTTAGTGGGAAGCATGGTCGGTTACGTTAGCCCGGAGAGAGGGAAACTCTGGAGAAAATGGCAGGTAGTGGTGGCAGTTGGTGGTAGTAGCAGAGAGTAGGAGGAATTAAGGTCACCGTCGGTTGGCGGCAAAGATTGGTTCAACCAAACCAACCAGTACGTAGCGTGATATCATGGGGGAAGGGAAAAGCTTATGAGAGGCACATTCAAGAGGGCAAGGAAAGGAGGTTTAAAATAATATAATTTACTTTTTTTTTTTCTAAAAAAAAAAAAAAAAAAAGGGACACACACACCTTCATCAGTGGTAGAAAAATTAAAATTTCTATCAGTATTTGGGGTTTATTTTTGGTCTTCGATCTTGTTGTCAAAGTTCCCTGTGGCAATCCAATTTTTGATTGATTGAATTTGTTGGTTTTACACTAACAACGTGTATAGTAAAATACTGAAAGCTGCAGATCACTCTCTCGCTCGCTCTCAACACCTCTCCGTACTACTAGTATCTGACCTTCAAGTCGAAAAGTGACCAGTAGTGGACTAGACACTTGACGGTCAATTTACTCAGGGAGAAAATGAGTCGTAATAGGAAGACAATACAGATATATGAAATGTAAAACATCAAGGTTTAAAAATAAGAGAGATTGTGAGAAAGAGGTAAAAAGTATGAGAAGGGCAAGAGGCGGTGTTGAACCTCTCAAGGGCCAAGCAGGTGAAGACAAGAAATTTCCAGAGGCATAAGAGGCTGTAATAAGGCCTTACTTCTATGGGGTTCAAGAGCGAGAGCCAGACGGCAGAGGAAGAAAGAGAAAGAGAAAGAGAAAGAGGGGAAACCGCCCACACAATGAGAACTCTCTGTTCTCCACGGAGATACTCTTGTTATACAAAAAAGGAATAGAAACTTAAACCCGCCAAATACAACTAATGAACAATTCTATATTCATAACTATGAATACATGCATATGTCATGATACTTGTTAAATTGATCCTTGAGGATTCGAGCTCTCTTATGTAAGTACTACATATGTACTTACTTGGAGCACTACGTACGGAGTGTAGTATATCCTTAGTAAAGAGGACAGGAATCGTGTCCTGGGAATAATAATAGCCCGCTATTATTATTTACTACGGTATGAGTAAGGATAAGTAATATGATGACGAGATTAGGAATTGATGAAGGGAACCAAGACCCATCACTCGACAAAAACTCATACCACCAACTGCCCCCTAACAAAATAATCGTCGTGTAATGAATGAACCTGTAGACTTCTCCCAGAATTTTTCCCCTTTCCCCCTTGATAAAGCGTCCCCACCATATCATACCATGAAAACTGCCATGTCCTTTTTTTTTTTTTTTTTTTTTCCAAGGAGATCAATCTTCAAGAGATATCTACATGATAACGACATACTGAAAGAGGGAAGAGAAAGAGAAAAGAGAAAAGAAGGAGGGGGAGGGGGGAAGAAAGATGAAAATGTTACTGCTTGCCTTTACTCTTTGCCAATGATAATGAGAAGAACTTGGAAGTACCTGAAGAAATACACTATTGATTTGGGCTTACTCTGGCCTTCGTCTTCATCTCGTCGTGATGGTCAATATGTAGAACTATGATTCGACCGCCTAGCCGGACGGAGACTCCGCAACTGTGCCACTATGAAGTGGATTCCAGGAATGGCAACACATCGGCATCGAATCACCACCAAATGCGGCGAAAATGACAGCCCAGTTGATTGGGACCTCAACTCTTACTGGTCTAAAGTAAGTGATAGTTATGGTTTTCTATCTGACAAGAGGCGCAATGCTGTAAGCCTGGACCATGAACCAAGAATATCTTGCATGGTCGCCTCTGGAATCAATACGAACCTCCAAACGGATGCCCACCTGTCGAGTGGACCTGGGCAGGGCTAGCAGCCCGTCCCTATCTCCGAAAGTATGCCGATAAACCAAGGTGGATTTGACTTCCCTCAGGGAGTCAGGGACAGGTAAGGTAGCCAACAGACTAATGGTAATCTTCGCAGGGGTCCGTTTCACCGGCCTTCCTGACAGGACAGGTACAACTTAGTTATTTATGTTGAGACAGACAGGGTAGGCGATGGCCGATCTGATAGAGAACCATTGCCTCTTATCGTTTTTATCATGTCAGCATGAATTATGTGACACTAGATGATGTCTTACCGGCTGGCTGCTCTACCAGGAAGGATCGTACTACGTGGTACTTAGTAGGACTCCGGAGTAGTCAGGTGGTGCCGGCCTGCAGGCCATTGCGCTATGGATTTGGGGCTCAACATCTCTTAGCTTGTAGGCGCTAGACTCACTTACTGGTCCGTGTGGGTTTTCTATCCACTTCTGGGTTCCTGCGATTGTCAGTTTTCTCTTGGATGGGCAAAAGAGCGAATAATAGATACCATCTGAAGGTGAGATCTGGAACCCCCCTCCCTCCCTCCCTCCCGAAAAAAAAAAAAAAAGTTGTTCGATTTCAAAACTATTTCCAGGAAATCAATGCTGTTGGTTTGTAATCACTTTGAGTGCTTAGAAGGGGATTAAATAAATTAGTACCTTGAGGGCTAACGTAGGTACAATACACAATGTGGATCTTAGGATGAAATGAAAGGGGACCATGATAGCCACATGTACGGAGTACAGAGTACAGGGTAATAATATTTCTTTTCTCTTTTGTTGTTTTGATTCTCACGACTGAAGGTAGGCGAAAAAAAAAAAAAAATAAAAACGACGGATTTACATAGGGTTAGGGATCTATGTAAGACTCCTCAGCCCATGTTCGAAAGATGCAGGAACCAACGGTGACAAGACCTGTTCCATCCATGATCACACCAATGCACGAGAGCTGTAGACGGGGTCAAGACTTATCTGACCTCCCTGCAGTGGAACATGTCTCGGTATTTCTAGAAAGATACTCTGTATTCTGGATGCATTCTCGAGCCCACTGAGACTCACCGACAACCGAAGTCATGCACCTGGCGTTTCTAGTAGGAGAGAAAAACAATCCCTCCCCCCGCATGAACGCAAGGGAGGCTGAGGATTTTGAACCGTTGGAGCCAATGAGCGGTTTCTGGCGGCTCATCCCGAGAAAGCGACTGACTCGTGTCGTCAGCGACTCCTGACTCGATTTCCGATCACGCTGACGCTGTACGTAATCGTCAGTTCATGGTGCCATTCCGTCGTTGGGGGCCGCCCGCCGGATCATCCATTGATCCTGTTAAAGTCACATGACTATTTACATAAAGCATCACATGACTCAGTTAGGCCTCAGGCTGCGATCTGATATCGGCGTGACCGCCTGCATCATAGCTTATCACGAGGACTGACCGTATGCTGCTGCTTGTCAACCAGTCAACGCTGCTCTTCCTGTTCACTCGGCTTTATATCACTCTTCAGTCTAGCACATAAGGCTTCATTAGTTCTCTGCTGAATATATCTTATTTTGCTCTACTAGTACAACGAAATTCTTTGGTTGCGCCTAGCTCCCATTCGTACCTTAAGCTGGCCGCCGCTCACTATCTACCTCCATGAATGGTCCTTAGCTGTCTCTTGTATTCTGGTTTAAGGGTGGATATGATGCACTGCTGCTTAGGCAACCCACACTGATGTGATTCGATTAACATTGCAAGATCTTTTAGCCCATGATGATGACATCAAACATACTATCCCGTTTCCTTCCTCCGAACGGCTCGCCATCGGTGTACGAAACGCTTCGGCAACAGGACGCGGAATCGAATCCATCGGATGTTGAGGAACGTGCAGGATTAGAATTCGAAGATGATCGGAGGACTCAATTTAGTGACCGTGAGTTGGAGGAGGCCATGGTACACGCTGCGAGAGACGGCATACAGAGCCCGAGCCCGAGCGAGCCGTTCCTGACTCAAGGGAGCCCGCAAAGAACCTCTGGCACAGCAACAGCTAAATCTGGTTCCCGGCGGCGGAAACACAGTCGTCCTCGGTGGATGCACCAGGACCCCGACGACGGTGATGATGATGTGCCTCCCTCCCTCCTAGTAGAAGGACACCAGGATGACGACGAGATGAAGTCCCGACTCCCCCCTCCTCCTCCTTCTCATCGCCACCCGCAGCGAGAACATTCTCCTGCTCCTGGTCCTTCATCGCGTGCAGATCGAGCTCGTTGGAACACAACAAGGGAACAGCTGCCGCTCCACAATGATCGCAGGGGGCAACGTCCCGGGGCAATCTGGTCGCTGGGGCATCCCAACCTGGCCACAGTAGATCCCAAAGAGAAAGCCATGTGGCTGTGGGCAAACGTGGAAAATCTGGACAATTTTCTGAAGGATGTTTATACGTACTTCTTAGGGAATGGGATATGGTCAATACTGCTGAATCGAGGTTTAAGCCTCTTGTACGCCCTTACCTGAGTTCACCCTTTGCTCTTATATGGTTACCTCCGCTGACCGATGACCTAAACAAATTGCAGGACATTTGCTTTCGTGGTGGGATTTAGTACTTTTCTCACCAACTGCATCGATTATCGCAACTTTCGAGGAAGTAGAAAAATGGATGACATACTCATTCAACAGTGCACTAAGAAGATGTCTATGTCCTCTACCTTCTTGCTCTGGCTGTTGACTGTTTTCTGGATTGGAAAGGCCTTTCAGTACTTGATGGATATCAGAAGGCTGAAGCACATGCATGACTTTTACCACTATTTGCTCGGAATCTCTGACAGTGAGATCCAAACGATCTCCTGGCAGGAGGTTGTGAGCCGGCTGATGACTCTTAGAGATGCGAACCCCGCCACTGCTGGGGCAGTTTCTGCCAGGCATCGCAAGTTCATGGGGAGCCAGTCCAAGCAGAGGATGGATGCTCACGATATCGCAAACCGATTGATGCGTAAAGAGAACTACTTGATTGCTCTGGTGAACAAAGACATACTAGATTTGACTCTCCCAATACCGTTCCTCCGAAACAGGCAACTATTTTCGCAGACGCTAGAATGGAACATCAATCTCTGCATTATGGACTATGTTTTTAATGACCAGGGCCAAGTGCGAACCTTGTTCCTGAAGGACACCCACCGGAAAGCCTTGAGTGAGGGCCTGCGGCGGCGATTCATCTTCGCGGGTATCATGAATATCTTCGTAGCCCCCTTTATTGTCGTTTACTTCTTGATGCATTATTTTTTCCGCTACTTTAACGAGTACAAGAAGAACCCAGCCCAGATTGGATCCCGGCAGTATACCCCTTTAGCCGAATGGAAGTTTCGCGAGTTCAACGAACTCTGGCATCTGTTTGAGCGTCGTGTCAACATGTCGTATCCTTTTGCTGGTCGTTATGTGGACCAATTTCCCAAGGATAAGACTGTCCAGATTGCTGGCTTTGTGGCGTTCGTTTCCGGCGCCCTGGCGTCCGTATTGGCCCTGGTATCCGTCATAGACCCAGAACTTTTCCTGGGCTTTGAAATCACACATGACCGGACTGTCCTTTTCTACCTGGGTGTTTTTGGCTCTGTATGGGCTTTTGCACGAGGGTTAGTTCCGGAAGAAACAAATGTGTTCGATCCCGAATTCGCACTTCTTGAAGTGATTGACTTCACCCACTATTTCCCGAATGATTGGAAAGGGCGGTTGCATAGTGACGAAGTTCGCAAGGAGTTTGCTATGCTTTACCAGATGAAGATCGTTATCTTCTTGGAGGAGATCCTGAGCATGATCTTCACCCCGTTTATTCTCTGGTTCAGCCTGCCTAAATGTAGTGATCGTCTTATCGACTTCTTCCGGGAGTTCACCGTGCATGTGGATGGCATGGGATATCTCTGCTCATTTGCCGTGTTTGATTTCAAGAAAGGCACCAACGTCATCAGTCAAGGCGATACGAGACGACGAGAGAGCGGGAGGCAGGACCTACGGGCGGACTACTTCTCGACCAAGGATGGCAAAATGCTCGCATCTTACTATGGGTTTTTAGATAACTATGGTGGTAATCGCCCTGCGAACCCATCCAGTCGCCGCCAGTTCCACCCTCCACCTGCCTTTCCCACGCTGGGGTCACCATCTGCTGTCGAAATGGGTAATATCGGCGAGCGGCTGGAGCGAACCCAAACACGTCATGGTCCAGCAGCAGCTTTTATGGGGCAACAGTCGGGCTTGGGCCCTGGCTTTGGAGCTGCAGGCTTTGCCGATCATGCGTCGCCCGCACCATCTATCCTCCTTGACCCGCATCACCAGCCGATGGGGTCAGAGTTCCGGACGGCAAATCGATCTGTCCATTATCCACGGTTTAGGTCATCGCGTCCAGTGCGACCCATGGCTGACCCAATTGAGGACGACAATGAATCAACCTCCGCGGAGATCCGTCGTGCTGCTGTTAAGAAGTCACCCCAGACGGGATCCAGCGGTGGAGCTATCGGCACCAGTGATAGCAACCTGGGAGAGTCCTGGCGGATGAATCTGATGGGGGATGAAAATGACAAGGACTCAGGCGAGGACGAAGAGAACGTCGAAGAGATTGCTGGGAACGCAGGGGTCTTAGGGCTTATCCAGCAATTTCAAAAAGTCAGCAAAGACAACCGCGGACGCACCACAGTTGGGATATAGGGGTGGATGGGTTTGTCACCCCTAGACCTCTTCATTGGCATTAAAAGGATTTGTGACTGCTCCTTTCACACGACCAGCATGGAAGCTCTGAGGTATTCACGGCTTATACAAGCGCGCGCCTATATTAAGTGTATACACATTCAAACCAGGTTTTACCTCCCCGTGGCACTGTGGAGTAAATAATGGCTTATAAGCCCAGATTACTATTCGAGATGTTCTGTCTAAGGTCAGGTATCAACTATAGAGATATTCAATGATTGGTTGCTATCTGTTATGATGTCCCATGCGGAACTCCACTAATTATAGTAGTTAGTTGCGAACATTCTGGCTTAGGAAATCGAGGAAGGCGAGAAGTCACAAGTATGAAGTGTCAAATTTCCTTGCTGTGAATCACTTTGGCCATTGTCTAAGAGAATTGTTAGCTGTCATCTCCAACTATATAAAGGCCTGCTTTTAGCTACATACCATATGCCTTCTGGCGTACTGAAAGGGGTACGTTCATGGCTTTACTAGGTACTTAGTGCAATACCTATCGTTCCATAGTTAGATGTGATTGGGTTAATCTGATCCCAACTCCAATTGAATAGCCATCGATGAAAACGAAAGGTAAATCAGGCCCGCAATAGACGTTCTTCAGTACCATACCAACCTAGCTAAATTCCTCCATCTTTGCCTTGCGCTATCCTCCACCAGTAGTTGAATGTCGTTTGTAGTTTTCCAAGGGGAGGGCTGGATTAAGTCTTCGATAACAGTACTTCGGGCCACTGGTCTGAGATTTGACATCTCGACACGGCAATAAAACCAGGCGTGCCCCTATCTGGTGGGTTGTCTGCTTGGAGCTTGACTAGCAGCTGGGGAAAGGAGGGCTGCATGGTCCATTATGTTGTGGAGATGGGAAATGATTTCGGGTCCCTGTCCATCGATCCAGCTCAGGGTGTGTTAGATATCTACTCTGTAATTGAGTTAGAGATGCCCTCGTTGAACAAGCCTGAAATAGTCCACTTACCTGTGCTTCACTCTGAGCGTCCACTTGAAACTATCAGTTGCAATTCCATAGATGCCCGTGTTCTGCTTCCCAGTCTGCTTTCTGATATGATGCAACATCCCTGCAGTAGAACGTAAGTATATTATCCAGCCATGATTGACCTTGACAACCTTACCCATATAGGATATGCATTGGTATTCCCCGTCCATACCACGCCATTTTGTCTCTACTACAACTAAATTTGACTGGGGTTGCATGGGATCGCCGTACCACAGGGAGTAAACCGTTCTGCCTACGGTCACGTAGGTCTTGCCCCTGTAGGGCCATCGGAGTCTCATCTGTTTTTTTTTCAAACTGCCAGTGAAGAGCCTTAAGTAACTCAACAGACGCAGTTGATGCACGCTCGTCCTTGCCTTTTTCTTTACCATACTGGCCCAGCCCCTCTCGCTTCTTGCGAGCGAGCGTTGTCAGTAGGTACTGCATCGACTCGGGCTTGTATAAACGCCTCATTTTGAGGCAATTCTCCCAGTGCCAAATCATAATCCGCGAGGATAGATTCTGTTTATATTAGCCATAATCCAAGCGTATCGGGTTTGTATTACTCACTGAGATAGTCGGGGACTGGGCATCGCTCCTCAGGACGAAGGTGCCAGATTTGCCCAAGGTTTGTGCTGCGCTTTACTTTAAAAGTTCTTTCAACGTCTTTAGCAGGAATTCGGGTTACTCTGAATGATGGAATATCCGGGGCTTTGGTTTCGTGAATTTCTCCTCATGCCACGATAATTGCCAATTCACCTTGATTCGCAGTCATGCAATAGTTTCAGAGTGACTCCCTTATTCAATCCCTTGTAAAGTAGGCTGGCAGTAGCTTTCGCTTTGGTTGTATCCCATATCAAACCCAGTGAAGAATACTTATTCAACCGATAGGTTAGCCTACTATAGTATATCCTGGAGAATTAATAGAAAGTTAATATCTGATTCCAGGTACAGGAGCACCCATTGAAGTCTGCCTGTAATTATTCCATATGTTTCTTGCTTGTCATTATCAGTTTTGTTTCGACTGTGTGGGGTCAATACTGTTAATATTTCTGTGTAGGTGAATTATGCTGAAGCAGAACTTGTCTGCGCTAGACATTTGCTTTATATAGTATGTACTCCGCACCTATCTCTATAGCTCGCTTCAGAGTATCACCGGCATTAAAATAATCTAGCGCTATATAGACCTTTATATTGCGAAGAACAAGCACATACGACCATAGGGTGTGGAGAACAGGGCTTCCCGTCCGCTCAGCCGTACTTAAGCCACACGCCGGGAGGTTAGTAGTTGGGTGGGTGACCACCAGCGAATCCCTCCTGTTGTATGTTTTTCTTTTTCTTCATGCTACTTATGTGAATTTTATCTTGTCACCAGATCAGACTAGAGTTTACTATAGAACGGATCAGGTACGGGCTGATTACATAAGGTCTGCCCCTTGGTCACGGGTTATTTTTAGAAACACTGAACCCTGCAGGGTCCGGCAAGACCCTTTCATTGTTATAGTATTCGAATTCTAGTCCTCCGTCGTTAGGGATTGCTTATACTTCCACCAATTTTAGAATTGGGACAGCTATATTATTTCAAGTATTTTTAAAAATGAGTCTCCCAAGGTGAACGGTCACCATGTTCACGAGCAGGGACTAATTGACCTGAAGAGTCTGGAACGCATCGGGTGCTGATCCTTCGGTCGCTGATCCGGGGGATAAATTCCTCGGTGCCGATATCATCCATAAAAGCGCATCTGATCCATACAATTAAGCAGAGGAATGTGGCTCTTGATGGGACTACCGAATTCATTAATACATCAAGCGAATGCTGATCTTTACCATTTCTTTGCTCCCCCTCCAGGACCTGAGTTGGGAGTAATGTGACTGACAATCAAATTTCGATCCCCGCCCGAGGGACTCGTCTCTTGGCCTTTTCTCCTGTTGGTTCGAACATTCTGTTCGGTCTTCTTTTCTTCAGCCGGGCAATTGGGGGGAAAAAATTCTAATAGTTCCCTTTCTCAATCACTAATACTCATTTCCCATAGGTAGGAGAGTAAAGTACCTATCTTTATGATGATCTATCCAAAGAAAGCGCTCCCCACTTGATTGATCCAATTTGCGATCATTCCTTTTCGTTGTTTACTTGAGCTTTCCAGTCTCTTTCTCGTCTCCTGAACTCGACTCTCACGACAGTTCCTTTCACTTTTCCTGACCCTTTTGGTGGATTTTTTTCATGTTGCTCTTCGTCCTTCTTTCCTACTTCTAAATCCTTTCTTGGATCACTTTTTATATCTCCGGTCCCCTCTTTTTACAGCAACGTCGCCTACCATGTTTCGAGCCCGACGATACCGAGCTCTGCTAATATTTGCAGCTGTATTCGTCTTGGCTGTCATTCATTTTGGTCGATCTCGCCAGCCCCCTACAGTGACACTGGGTGTTCCTCCACCTGTCGATCGGCCGGGCTCTTACCCTCAAAGTCCACCCGCAGCGGACAACAAAGGACCTGCACCAGAGACCCCTCTACCAACGCCTCTACCGAAGGGCTCGACTGATCCCAGTACTTCAGACGAAAAGGTCCCTTCGCAGTCTCCCCACTCAGACAACGGTTCATCGACTCCTGAACACCCCAAACCGTCAGACGAGCCGCAGTCCAAGGAGGATGGGCCTCATTTCCCCAACAACTCTGGCTCACAGAGTCAGGGTACACTAGATTCGGACCGGCTCGAGGATCTACCGGTGCCTCATTGGAAGAAATTGCCGGAGCGATATCCTGTCACACCCGCAGATTTGATCAAATTACCGACCGGCAAATCTAAGTCGCTGCCAAAACTGCAGGCTAAATTCTCCGATGAAGCATCTGAAGATAAGATCAAACGGCTAAACAGACTATCCACCATCAAGGCGACATTCGAACATGCATGGAACGGTTACAAGATGAATGCCATGGGTCACGACGAGGTCATGCCGCTCCGCGGTGGATTTCGAGATCCTTTCAATGGGTGGGGCGCAACACTCGTTGACACGTTGGACACCCTTTGGATCATGGGCTTGGAGCAGGAATTCTCTCTCGCTGTCGATCAGGTGAAGAAAATAGACTTTACGACAAACAAGAAGAGCGAAATTCCAGTTTTTGAAACGGCAATCCGATATCTCGGTGGACTACTGGGTGCCTACGATATCTCGGGACATAAGTATGACTTGCTTCTGGAGAAAGCGGTCGAATTGGCGGAAGTCTTGATGGGCGCCTTTGATACGCCCAACCGGATGCCAATGCTCTTTTACAAGTGGAAGCCGTAAGTGTTACCGTATGGACCTGATATCTTTGTAGTTCTGGGCTAACGACTTTACCAGGGGAGATGCCTCAAATCCTCATCGTGCTAGTGTCATGTCCGTTCTTGCCGAACTGGGCTCTCTTTCGGTAGAATTCACACGCTTGGCGCAATTGACTAGGGATGACAAGTACTATGATGCAATTGCACGGATCACGAATGAGTTAGAGAAATTCCAAAGCCAAACTAGCATGCCGGGTCTGTGGCCGATGAAAGTCGATGCTTCTGGATGTACAGTTTCTCAATCCCGAACTGGCCACGAGGCCCCGCGTGATTTACCACGGAACTCTTCCATTCCTACGGCTGCCCCTACAGCTGCTGAAAGCCCGATCTCTTACCCGACTGACGCGGAAAGTTACAGAATTCTTTTGGACGCACGCCAGCTCCATGAAGACGCAGAGCCAGCCATCTACGACACAAACCCCCAGATCCCAGCTCCCAAAGCGCATGAAATTCCAACTTCAACTGGAGAGACTGCGGAGTACTGCAAAGGGGGGCTTACCAATGCGCCGGGGTCCCACCAATTTGGGCTCGCGGCCCCCGGGGATTCGACATATGAATACCTTCCTAAGGAGTATATGCTTTTAGGCGGTCTCAACGATCAGTATCGCACAATGTATGAGAAGACCGCGGATGCGGCGCGAAAGCATCTCCTCTTCCGGCCCATGATCAAAGACGACCGTGACGTCCGCTTTTTAGCTACCGTCACCAAACCCCGACTGGACGCCGAATTCGTCTATCAGTATGAAGGGGCACATCTGACCTGCTTCGCTGGCGGCATGTTTGCCATTGGATCCAAATTGTTCGGAATTGACAGTGATCTTAAACTCGCAGCTAAATTGACGGATGGATGTGTATGGGCGTATGAGTCTACGAAGACCGGTATCATGCCGGAGCAATTTCAGATGATACCCTGCAAAGACAATGAACCGTGTGTGTGGGACGAGGCTAAGTATTGGAAGGCTTTGGACCCTAACGAGGAGCAACGCCTTGCTAGGGGCAGGAACCAGAAAGAGCTTAGCGCGAAGATGGAGGAAAAGAAGGATGAAATGAGAGGAATCCAGACCAACGGGACGTCTCCCACTCCAAGATTTCTTCGCGAGAAGCGTGACCCCGAGCGAGGCAATTGGCACGTTATTGCCAGCCCTACCCATACTCCTAAACCTAGTGATCTCAGCGACGTAGAGGGACGGGACCCTAAAGGATCTTCGACAGATTCAACGCCGTCTCACGAAGAATTTGCTTTGTCGCGGATCCGGAACGAGCATCTTCCGCCGGGTGTGGTCCGCATTAACTCTCGCATCTATCTGCTTCGTCCCGAAGCCATTGAGTCCGTCTTCATCATGTACCGCCTCACTGGTGAGGAACACTGGCGCGAGAAGGGTTGGAAGATGTTTGAAGCCATTGCCAAGTATACTCGGACGGACATAGCGCATGCCACGATCAAGGACGTCACCGTCGAAAAACCAACAAAATCCGATGAGATGCAGTCGTTTTGGCTCGCCGAGACATTGAAATACTTCTATCTACTCTTCAGTGAGCCGAACGTGGTAGATCTAGACGAATATGTTCTGTAAGTGCTTTGGGGTGTTCTGCCTTATGGATAATGATGCTAACAACTGGTCATTGCAGGAACACTGAAGCGCATCCTTTCAAGCGCCCCGTATATTAGTTTTCGTTTCTTTATGTTATGCTTAATTCCTGTTATTCTCTATGTAAAAAGTGTACTGTGATACCAAGGAGCCAGTCCATGAGTATATAGGCTATACATCTTGAAGAAGAGGGTTTCTAATCTTGAAACGCCAGCAGTTGAGTAATGTCTAGTGTAGTAGACGAAGTAGACGGATTCTACTACTAGGGCTCAGATTGCAGCGAAAACGTCAACCAGTGCCCAAGTCCGGGATTGAAGTGCATTCCGAAGGGAAAACGAAAGCCTTAGGCCATGCGGAGGGATCGCCGCAAGGCCCCCCGCCGCCCGCCTTTAGTTCCAAAAGTTGGCCACACTCAACTCACCTTTCATCCTCAAGCACCAACGTCATAAACCCCAGTCAATTCGCTACCCTTTGTTCCTCCCCCCACGGAGCCCACAGGCATTCGCGACGGGCGCAAAGACGGGATGAGTGCAGAGTCACGACACACCCGACGACGACGAGCGAGCCGTGGGAAATGGAGTTTGAGGTCTCATTGGAAAATGAGCAACAGTTCTGGGATGGTAAGTGATTTCATAGGGATCTGCGCTCTGCCTTGCGCCAAAGTACCTATCTGGATTCAACTCTTTCTCAGAGAGACATTTGGGCTATTCACCATATCCCATGCCCATCTACACTCTACAATCACTCGGGGTAAAATGACTGACATATGCGACGTGTTCTTATGACAGAGATTCAAGAGATTGTATCCGCCCTTTGCTCCTCCGAAGACGTCATTGACAATGCTCTGCGATCTTATCTGAATCTGGCGACGAAATACAAAGGTCCGATATTCTATTTCTTTCATCCGAATTATTGAAATCCTTGTGCGGTTGCGTCATCAGAGGAGGTAATAGGGAACTGGACATGGGCTGATAAGATAGTATCTGGACGATAACAGATGAATACCTCCAGACTGAATTAGAGGTCACGAGATGCTCGTACAAGCTGCTTTCATCGAAAATTTTCGCCTCACATGCGGGTTACGTTCGGAGACAAATGATCTACGGTTTATTGCAGGTATGATCTTGTCATGGTCATCCCAGCCGTGCCCATTCGAGACCAGTCGTTAACGGCAGATTGCATAGGACGATGATCCGGATACACTTTACCTAATCTCGTCGTTTCTTCTGTTTGACGGTCGGCAGAATGAAGTCGCACTACAAATGATGAACGAAGAGGGTGCATTCCCACGTTTGTTAGAGCTCCTTCAAGTGCAGAACAGGAAGAGAGAGGTCGAGGGCGATGGAGCGGGGCTTGATCGACTTTTTATGGACTTAATCTATGAGATGTCAAGAATTCAAAGAATCAAGATGGAGGATCTGGGTGAGTAGTCCCTGTTCGTGCTGAGAGGCTTTCACCAGCTGGACCCACCATCCAAAGAAGGGTGTGTGTAAACTAACTATCTTGATGACCGCAGTTCTCGTGGATGATGAATGCATTAAAAGCCTCTTTGATATCATTGAAGAGCTCTCCTACGATTCGAGTGACCCGTACCATTATACAGTAATTCGAGTTTTGGTGAGTGGACCCCGGGCATGCTTGGTGCTATTGTTCGAAGGATCATGCTCATTACTAGCAGTTGGTTCTGAACGAACAATTTATGATCTCAGCACACGATCCCGTGGACGAGAAAAGCTCGACTCCATTGACAAACAAAGTTATCAAAATCTTGTCAATGCATGGTAACCTCTATAAGACGTTTGGCGAGAACATTATCCTTCTTATAAATCGAGAAGGTAGGTGGTATCATTCCAGACTTTCGCTGTATGCGGAGTGGTATTAACAAAGACAGCCGAAACGTCGCTTCAGCTTCTCACCCTAAAGCTACTGTACCTGATATTCACAACGCCCACAACCTTTGAGTACTTCTACACGAATGATCTCCATGTGCTGGTCGATATCTTAATCCGAAATCTTCTGGACCTGCCCGAAGAGGCTTCTGCTTTACGGCACACTTACCTGCGCGTTCTCTACCCATTGCTAGCCCATACCCAATTGAAGACGCCGCCACACTACAAGCGAGAAGAACTGAAAAGAATGCTCAGCATCCTCGTCCGAGGTCAGCTTTCTAGCAACGAGATCGACCAGGGTAAAATCATGCACTTCGACGAGGTCGACGAAACGACAAGAAGACTCGTCATTCGATGTGCTACGGTGGACTGGCTGCGAGATGAAGAGCCAGACGCTCAATCTCCTAAAGAGCTCGAGGTAGATACTACTACACCTTGTCCTGCAATCCCAGATGGCTGTCATCCGGAGGCTGAGATAGGTACACCTTTGGAGCCAACAACGTCACAGCCCATTTCTCCCACAAGCACGGTTGGAAGCTCCCCTGTGGCTCTGTCTCCAACCAATCTCGATGAATCGCCCAAAACAGAAGTAGTCAACCAAGCGCAACGCTTGGGCATGCACTTGGAGCCTGCATCGTCGTCCTCCCTGAGCGTACAAGAAGTAGCCGCACAGCACGAGAAGCCAGGCGTCCTAACGCCGAGCCGCAATCGGACTCAAATAGCGACAACGGACCGCCCATCCAGCCCCAACAAACCAAAGATCAAACCACTACCACCGAAGTCAAGACGCTGGCGTGGACGACGCACCACTGGAGACGAAAACGACAAGATCCCCGAAGAGCCAGGAATAGGACCCGGAACAAGCGCAAGTCCAAGTCCCGTCACACCCTCAACACCATCTATCCCACAAGAACCCTCCGACAGAAGGGGCTCAACAACCACATCCGGCCTCGTCCCTCCCATCCCAGCCCATGGCCGTCGCTCCGCCTCAAACCCACCCCCAGCTGTTCCCCCGCCGAGACGCTCTACCCTCCCAGTAGTCCACCCTCATCATGCCTCCAGCCACTGTACCCCAGTCACGAGTCCGTCCCGACTCCAAATCCAACAGAACAGCAACTCCGTCCAAAAGCACGGCCAGAAGCCCGAACCACCCAAGACCCGTCGATCGGGTCGGCGCAGACCATCCCAAACAGAATCCCCAACCCCAAGTCAAGACGGACACGATGGACACGCCGCGCTCGCTGAAGTTCCGAATGAAAAGCACCACGAGAATATGACAGTCAGCGTGGAAGAGGCCGTACAAAACGTGTCTCTTAGTTAATTATTTGATCAGCCGGGGCCATTGATATAATCAATTGACTAATCCATTGCATAAGCATTCATGGGCATCGGTATGGCGCTGTGTTTGCAAGATTGTTTTCTTCAGGCTCGGGTGTACGGAGTATGATTTCTTACTTGGTTGCATTGATATACAATAGTAATAGCATAGCGCTAGAATACTAGAGATTGGCATTCGTTTTACTGCATCTGCTTTGTGTTTCTCATTTCAAGGAACTAGAAAGGACGAAACTGTATTCGCGATTCTTTACCTACATTCAAGCGAACGAAGAAGACCAAAGGTAGCTAGCTGTATGACTGCATCTTGCTCTTCGGCTATATCCCAACGACCAAAACCAAATCGAGTAAACATCTGTGGATTGCATAACCCTAACCTAGCATGAGGCTACTATCGTACACAGTGACTTTCCAAGTACAAGTCACATAAGATAAGCCTTACCTCCCAGGGCCAGTCTGCAGAACAGTGTACCCAGAGCAAAGAGAGAATAGTTCCCGGCCAGAGCCTTGCGGCGCCCGAACACGTTCGCCAGGTGCCCGCCAATAGCCTGTGACACGGTGCTGCCGATGACATAGGCCGTGGTGATCCATGAAAAGCTCGACGTCGCCGATAGAGAGCTGGCAATAGGCGTCGCGATGGTAGCGATCATGGTTTCATCTTAGTGTTTCGTGTTAGTGGAGGTATTACCATTGATTCGTACAACGACGATGACATACCAAGTGCCATAAGCAGAGTTCCGAGCTTTTCAGCTGTTAGCACACTCGAGACAGACTTGATGAGAGGAAACTGACCCAGAGGCTACCAATTACCACCACAAGACGGCACTTCTTTACAGCGCTCGACTCACTCAGGGCGGCTTGTGCAGTCCCACCATGCTCGTCCAATTCACCACCGGCATCTGTGTCTGTATCCTTTTCCCCCTCCGTCTGTACCGTCATTCTGTCGTCGATTCGGTGTTCTCCGGCCATGTCAGATGCCGTCAGGGCTATTCGCGATGGATCAATTGCTTGCCTCGAACCACTCCTGTGATATCTCTGGTGTATATAGCAATATCCCTTAACAAAGAAATGTTAGGAGGTTGGTGAGTCAATGGTTAAGTGACTCATTGACTTGGTAGGACTGCAATCCCAGGTGCACCACATTTACCGAACCAATATCCCAGTCCTTTATGGACTGGTGGTGTACAACATTTGGTTCAGCTGGGTATAAATCTACCTTTCTTTTTCAGACTAACCCCTGACTGGCGCAGTCTTTCATCCAGGACCTAGTATCTTGCTTTATTTTACTATTCATCAGCGACCCGACTGCCACAGGATTTAGTAATACGTACAAGTGACTATGTACTTACTGTCCGGCGGATGTACATTGAGAGTGGGTTCGTGTGTCCAAGATTAAGCTTTGAACTAACTTAAATTTAATGACAGTCATTATATTGTATATACCAATCAACATTTCTGGTTCAATATAATTCCAATCTCCTGAGTATAGATGTATAGGTATACGTAGATATGTCAATGTGGTTGGTCCGAGACAGCCTGTGTCTTTGTTCTCAAGGGCCACATATACTGTCAATCATCGGTAAAGGTTCCAAGCGACAAAGAAAAACACCCCCTAACCTATTATTGGTGTGGAGAACAGTGGATCACCGCGGAGGAATCGCCCGGATTCACCATGTCAAGTTAGCGTCTCCAATTTTCCTTGATAGAGCCCCAACCATTGTGATGACCCTGGCAGGAATTAAGATAGCCAGGATAACTGAGTCAGAAACGGTTCAACAGAGATCCCTACCAGTAATTCCACTGAAGAGCGGTTGTAACCATGCAGAACGATCCAACCACGATGACTCAATCCTGGGCTCTTCCCAGGTCTGCATTACTTTGGCCGAAAAGCAGTGTAGACGTGGGAGCGTAAAAGTGTACAGTCACGTGAGGACCATACCTTAGCCCTAATGATCAGATTAATTTGGAAATCAATCTGATAACCTCCCGTCCCTCGGCTTCTGCTGCATAAGGATAGTTAATCTGCGGACTTTTGGTCGTGCTCATAAGACAGCTGAAGATACCAATCCTTCGTTGAAACGAATCCATGATTGCATGTCCACTGGTTTTGCAAATTTCCTTGCTGGTTTCTGGTCTATAAGTGAGGCCTTGATGGGGTGGGTAAGGGGGTGGACAGCCGTCGACTATAGCATCTGCCAACCGATAGTTAGCAACGGCAGGCATTAGTAAAGGACTCTTGCAATGATACCATAGATGAGCGAGGAGGAATAGAAAACAAATCGATGAGACCAGAGGAATCCATATAGTGTACTAAACGCTTTGTCACGGATAAACTTCAATACCCATAGCAGCTAGCTGATCATTGATTGCTGTAGAAGAAGTCCGCCGTAGAGTATTCATGAGCGGGTGCTGGCATAAACTTCTATTATACCAACGGTCCCCTCCTATTGAAACCTGGACGCGACACCTTGTAGACTCTTCTCGTGACTCTCACCTGGCCATGGCCATCAACCCTCGTATCCCAGGGCCACTTCTCCAGATCGAGTATAACTGATTCCGACTGTTCGTGGGTTGAATTCTCAAAGTGGAAAGATGAAGAATCTTCTGACACGCTTCTGTAGAGGCGAACTCACTCACTCCATGATCCGAGAAGACTCTGAGATGTATCAGGTTATTCTCAGAGACTGGGTAAGGGAATGTGCTACTTAGACTGTGAATAAACACTTGGCTATACGTTTAGTGCTTAATACATGGTACTGTTGAGCCTAGCATGGACAACTTCAGTCTGCAAGTACCTGCATCAACATCAACTCAAACCCCTTACGAGCTCTATTTTCGCATGCTAATACAGTAAAGGCACTCCATCGCTATGCTCGTTCTTCATGGTAAGGCTTGAATAAATCCTTATATGTACAGCATAAATGCACGTGTACGTTGCACAGCACATGACAGAAAGACAAGTAGATACCAGGAAAGGAAGAGAAAACCGTGGCGAGAGAAAGATCAAAGACTACGCCCAGCGCAACCAATGTCAACCATCCCACGACACATGGTAGGAAACCTGAGACACTCAGGAATGAGAGAACAGTAGAGACGAACAGAAGCGCTCAACGCCTCATGATACCCCAGAATTTCTCGGCGTTGTGAGTCCCTGGGCCATCCTGTTTCCAGAAGTCATCGAAGGCCGAGAAAAGCACCATGTCCTCCTTTCGATCCCGGAAAGAGTACCCCAGGGCATAGATAGCAATGGCCTGATTCCAGGTAGAGGGGACTGCTTTCCCATTGGCTTCGCCACGGTACGGCCAGCCGGATTCAGCAATCACGGTGCGTTTCCCGCCTGCTGCGGCCGATATACGGTTCGCTTGTTCGAGGGCGTATTGTCCAGCGTTGTCGGGAATTTGGTTCGCGTCGAAGAATGCATGGCAGTTGGCTGCGCAGTAATCGGACGCTTCGCAGAGTTGGGGGTGTTTGAGAAGGACGGAGAACGTGTCCACTGTTACGACTGGGCCTTGGTAGCCTGCTGCGCGGAGTTTGGCGCGTGCGGTGTGCACGGCATTTACTACGTCTTGTGGATTTTGGCCTTTGTTGACCAGTTCGTTTCCAATGCTGATTGTGTGAAAGGTGGACCAGTCGCCTGCTGCTGCCCAGATGATATGGTCGAGGCTGTTTGGGAAGTTCTGCAAGTCAAAGACGCCAGCGAAGACACGGAGGTTGCGCTGGCGGGCTGCAGATACGACATTTCTGGTCTGATCGCAGTCGACGCCGTAGATACGGACGTAGCTGTAATATGGGCTTATTCTGTCCAGGTCTTTATTGATTCCGTCGAGCGATCGGCAGGTGCCGTCGTCGTTGTATGGGGCGTAGGAGATGCCGTATCCGCCTTCTACTGGGAGACTGGGTACTAGATCGTGTGTGGCTGGATCAGGTAGTGGTAGCAAGGGTGGGAGGTTGTTGAGATAGCCATTGACGGGGTTGTCTGGGTCTCCTGGAATTGGTGCTGGATCATTTTGGTCTAGGCTTTCTGGCAATCGGTGGATCAGCTTGTAGAACCCTTCACTAGAGAGAGTAACGCATTCTGTCGAACAGTTTCTCTTCTCAGGTAGCACGGTGCAACATACCATGAGGAAGCGCCTGGGCTTGAAAGCTGAGCAGGAACACAGCAGGGACGCATACAAGCCACTTCATGGCGATTGAAATTGCACCTTGGATCAAGGAATCTTTTCGGATGGAGCCCGTGCGATGACCTGGTCCAGAAGGTATCGGATGATAGAAGGAGGCAGCCGACTATGAGAGCATTTCGACCCTGAGATCAGCAGAAAGACACAGGTAGATAATCACCTAATAAGTGCAAGAAGAGCCATTGAGTGAAGGATGAGTGGGACAGTCGACCCTGGAATGAATTGTTCCACCAACATTCACTGGGCAGTGGCTGGTGAATATTTGAGATGTTCTCGGGACTATCGCCTCATTCCTGTGTTGGGTGAGAATGTAATAGGCAGATGGGTGCTAGATATCTGGAATGCTGGCTGGCCCCTTGCCCTACATGAATCAAACCCCGCCGGGGGTATACTCCAGGAATGCATGGCAGTTCAAATCTCTTCACTCAAATAGATTGCGTTCTCCGAGTTGAGAAGATTCTAATCAATAGTATGTGAGGCAGGGGCCAAGGCTCTTATGGTCCCTATGTTCTTTTAGTGACTGTGTGGAGTCCGCTATGCAATGAAAAGGGGAACTGATGAAGATAATGCATAAGAATGGAATTAATATTATAACAAGGTAGAAGTCTAATAACGGCCTGTCAATCTGAGACAGAAGTCTTGGAAGGAATGAAGGGGGAAAAAATATTAGTAAGGGGCCAAGGATTGGGGAAGTATCTCATCAAGGTAGAAGAGACTAGGGCTCCTGAATCATGCTGGATATCCCCTAAGTGGCCCCATCCCGATTTCCGTGAACCAGTTGTGGCAAGCATGTTGTCCACTTCGAAGGTATGCTGTACAAAACCAGGGCTAAAAAAATTGTACAAGGTGTGAATATGACAAAAAGGCATGGCGTAATGGATTGAGAGGGCATCAATTTTCGTGGCCGAGTCCTTCAAAAGCTGGAAAACGTAAGGATTACTTCTTTTTGCTCAGTACTTTCGTGATAGCATGACGGATAATGGTTCCAGCTTTCTCGATCTCCTTCTTCGTCAGGCCGGTCGTCACGCAGACCTTCAATGCTGGGTAAACGACCTGCTTCGGCTCAAAGTTATCTAGGAGGGTCTTGAGGCGGGTGATTAGGACACCATTTGCAAGGCACTGCGTCGTACAGGTTAGCAATTGACAAGATACCAAAAGTCGCTGAGAAACCCGTACCTCATCCACCACATCCTGCAGCAGAAATTGCTGGTCTTCAACCGACAGTCTCTTAGCAGCAACCACTTCAGGCTTAAGGGCCAAAATCATGATAGGATTCTCGGGAGCACTAGTACAGTATACCCAGTCACTACGGGGGTCAAGCTGTGCCCACATGGCCTTGGTATGCTCCCGCAGCTGGGATATCGTTTCAGGGCTATTCTGAAGGATATTAATTGTGGCACTGGCAGTTGTCGAAAGAAGAGCAGGCAGTGCCGCGGAGAATGTGTAAGCAGCGGCGGAAATGCGCTGATGATGAACGATCTCCTCCGAACCAGCGCAGAAGCCTCCACCCGCAACTAAGGGGCCGGCCAGCGAGCCCACGATCATGTCAACTTCGGCCGCGTCAACATTTTGATGCTCCGTAACACCACGACCGGTCCTTCCGAGGACGCCGAACGACCACGATTCGTCGAGGATGAGTCGGAACTTGTACTTCAGTTTGAGCTCAATCTAGAATCCTTATTAGCGGTCGAGTTTACTATGATGTGTAAAAGGCTTGGATGGACGTACGATCTTGGGCAGGTCAACCATATCACCGTATGATTCAAACAAACCTTCCGTGATGATGAAACGTCTCGTGAGTGGTTTTCTGGCTTGTTCTTTGGTAACCTTGGCAAGGACTCTTTCCAGATCCTCCATGTCGTTATGTTCATACCATCGAACCATGCTACGGGAGATCTGAATGCCCTTCCGGATAGCAAAATTAACGCCCTTATCTGCAACAATGATGTCTCCACGTTTCGAGAACGCGGGGATAACACTTGAGATGGTGGAAAAGGCCTGGGAGTAGATGATACATGATGCAGTACCCAGGAACGAGGCAACGTCCGCCTCCGTCTTCATATGAACATCTTGAGTGCCGTAAAATCCTCGGGGGCCACAAGGACCAACGCCGTAATTGCGGAGAGTCTGAATAGCTTTCTCTTTGAGGGATTCGTTGGTGTTAAAATTGTAGAAGTTATAGGAGCCAAGGTTAACGACGGTTCTGCCATTGGCCAGTTTCGACTTGGGGCCGACTGGACTACAAGCCGCGATGATCGATCAGCATTGACAAGTACAACAGGACGTCCAGTAGCAAGGGTTTGTGAGAGGAGAGTTACCCAACAATTACTGTCCGCTTATCGACCTCCATCTCCTCCAAGACTGTGGGTTTTCCTACAAGTGGTTCAGGAGTCCACTCGTCTACCAAGTCGTCGATCTCATCCTCTGAGAGTTGGACCACTCCAGGTTTGGTCGAATACTTGGGAGCAAGCAAATAGCGAACCGCGAATAGGAATAGAAAGAGCTCAACCGCAGAACGAATGGGATCATTTTGATAGCTGGATTTGACGTAGCGAAGAAAGATCGCGGAACCCGGAACGCGATGGAAGAGGTCTGCAAGCTCATGGAGATACTCCGAAAGGAGACGTTGGGTCTCCTGGATATCCATGATGGAAAAGGTAACACGGCGCTCGCAGCGCAAAAGGGCGAAAAAGCGGGGGTCGGAAGGGAGGTATAAGAGCTTCGCGATCAAAAGCCGAGCATTGACTGACGAATTCACGACGATGACCGTCTTGAGGGAGTTGTTGCGGCCGGGCTGGATGGTCAAACACGGGAAGCACGTGATGCTATGGATTTATCGGAAATCGCATTGGCCCTTCCCGCAAGGCACCAGCGGGAAGGAAACCCCGAGGCCGCGCACGTGAGGGTAGCCAGCCCCGATATACATCCATACATCGTCGAAGGCCAGCATTCAAATGAGATTATCGTCACAAGGACTCTGAAACAAGTGAGAATACTCCCAGGCTGTCGTTCCGCTCCCAAAACTTACGTGATGCCACAGCATTAGGCGATAGTACGTGCAAATCAAGGTATTCTACGTTTACGTAGTACTGTGTGCCCAGCGCGAGAAGACATACGAGAAGAACGTCCTGTGACAGAAACAGGTGTAACTGGATATAGAATGAAGGATAAATGTTTGGTAGGCCACAAAGGGAACAATACAGCAATTCGCAAGTCTAATGATCGCACATGAAACACACAACACCGTGAGAATACAGAAAACAATGAAACAAGTATAATGCATTAAACTTAGGCGGCAACAGAGCTGCGCGCGCAAAGCTTTAGAAGAAAGATTGTGGCAAAAGCAAATGACACCGCAGCCACTTCAAGGCGCTGGATACTTTATACAGCTCATTTTCATGAATGCGTTCCCAAACTAGAAAGAAGGCAGCAACGTGTAATTTCAGAAAGCGATCCTACCGCTTGTACGTAGCGGAAGCCAAAACCGACGGCGGGATTCCGCTGTCGCCATTCGGAAGTCCATAGCCGGTATAGCTAGTGATGGTATTGTTGTGTTGCGCGTCAAGCGGTTGTAAGAGATCCAGTGGGATGCTGGGCAGGCTAATGTTCAACTTGCGAACGACCAACGGTGCGATAAGAAGGATGAGGAAGAGGAGCAGCATCGCAAAATAGAGGACCGCGAAGCGAACCACTCTTCTCTTACGAAGCTTCGACTGCTTCAAAGAGTAGATCGGAGGCCGGATTTGACGACTAAGGTTCAAGTCAGAAAACGAGCGCAATTAGGGGGTTTGAGAAGGTCCAACATACCTTGGGCGCAGCCAGAAAAGAATAACGGAGTGGAACTTATCAATGTAAGGAACACAGAGAGCAGGCAACATGATAAAGAGAATCAGATGGCCAAGGACGAAATCAGCAGCGAAATAGCCGAGCTCTGTGATCTTGCACAGGAATTCACGACCAGGCTGGGACAGTGAGTGCCAGCCCATGTTGTACCACTTTCCAGTCCACCAGGCGATGTTAGATTGGTCGTGCTTGAACTCACGAGTCAAGGCAAGCGAGATGATAAGCTTGTACACAAAACGTTGAATTGCAGCCGCCGAGATCATACCCAAGACACACCTAGGCCAAGACCAACCCTCGAGGAAGAACATGACCTCGAAGATAACGAGCAGGATGATGACAGCGATTGCGTGCGCGATGGCAGCCAGTACGGCACCGAACTTCTTGCAGCACATGCTAAAGATTGGACCCATACAGCATGCCATACCGAAGAACATGCCAGCAACACCAGCGTTGATGGCGATGGGACCAAAAGCCACAATCGCAATTCGGGCAATAGCATTCTTCGGGCTCTTGTCGTCCTCCATAGTGCCAGTTCTAGAGTTGATGAACAGGTATGGAATCAAGGTAACACCAACCAAAACTAAGGGTGCGACGATTTCGCTGAAAAAGATGTTCGTAATACGAGCTCTTGGGACATCACCAGATCCCTTTTCAGAAGGAACGCCGAGGAGCTTCCGCTTGTAACCCGTAATGCGAGTACGAGACAGTCGGCAGAAAGCGATCCAAGAAGACGCGTGAGACCGTGAGTTACCGCGAGAGAGCCAGCGAAGGTAGTCACGGTAGTCAATGAAGAAGTCTTGCCAAGCGAATTGATGAGGGTTGAAAAGGAAGGGCGATATGCAAAGAGCAAGCAGCGAAACCCAGAACCAGATCAAAGCCGCACTCCATACGGTAGACGTGGAGAAAAGGAGCATGAGCAAGAGTCGCGCACCGGCGTAGATGGAAGGACCAGCGAAACGTGAGTAGAGCACACCAAACGGAATACGAGCGGTCGCGAAACCACGGCCAGTACCGATATAACGAGCACCACCAAACGACAGGTTTTGATGAACAGCATTGGCGTAAATCTGGCAGACAAACACTTCGAACATGAACGAGAAAGAGCCGAAATGTTTTGCGAGACGAGTGGCCATGCGCCAAACACCTCTCTCTGTAAGCTCTTGGACCGCGAGTGGGACGAAAGAGATAAAGAAGACGATGAAGATGGAAATGACACAGCGGTTAACCCAGTCAATGACAGGCACAAGGTTGGCACAGAAGGTTGGGCGCAAGGGGTCGGTAATTGGCAAATTCTTGTTGTACCTGCAAGTGATGGTCTCATGCTTCAGGGCTCCCAGATTGATCAGAACGATCATGAACATCTGCACAGAAAGCATGATGAACATGTTGTTAAGATGGAAACCAGGATGCGCGTAATAGAAGGACAAAAACCGATCGAGGGGCAGCTGTGTGCCAAGATAATAATACTCTCGAGACAGCATTTGCTCGCCCATACCAGTACCAATCTTAGTAGTGAAGTTAAGAATAGAGCCAAAACCAAGATCACGACCCTTACCACACTGGAAGTATTCACAGTGCTTGATACGACCACCACGGACCATAGCATTCATACCGGCATAGATATCTTCGTTCAGGTGAAGACCCTTCTGAGCTTTCGAGATACCACCGCGGGTGCACATGAAGATACCGTTGAGGAAATCAGGGTGACCATAATGCAGCTTACCACCAATCTCGGCAAGTGTACGGGCGAAGAGGGTACCGAATGTTTGTTCCTTACTAGCGGCGACATCACCAAGGACACCAACGTTCTCGGAGAAAATGTATTCACGAGCACCAAGGATAGCAACAGGGTTGACGTCCGATGACGGGATACCGGGCGTGTACGGAGAGACGTTGTCAGTTGTCAACTCCTCAAACTCGGCAAGAACACTACGAATCTTCAAACACTCTTCAAGGTAGTTGTCCTGGTTGGCGTCAATGACCTGAATGTATTCACCACGGTAGAAGATGATGGCGTGGTTCTGGTTGTCGGACTTGCCGTCTCCCAGAATGGGGTTTCCAGACAATTGAATCCTGAACTTGGGCTTCCGCATTCCGTTCTCGAGTAGCTCGCAGTGTCCGTCAATCAAAGACGAGTACAGGCGGGGCTCATCACCTTCATTCTCTGGCGCTTCCTCATCAAGGTAGGCAATTTGCAAGTCGGGATAGGCACGGAGAAGGAATTCAGTGTTCTCGCGTTCTTCTTTGTTGAACTTGGCATAACGCTGCATCGAAACACAGATCTTGAACTTGCGACGAGCCATCCTTTCCAGTTCCCGTTCCAGCTTTTCGGAGTTACCACCAAACATTTGTACGACTTCCGGGTTCTCAACACGATAAAGCAGCTTGATGGCGCGGCTGTAGTTCATAAAGCCGGAAATGGTTCTGTAGAGTGTCTGCGAACGCAAGGAAGACCAAATACGGGTACGAAGAGTATATTCTGGAGCAGCGGATTTGAAACCAATGCAATAGAACGGAAGATCGTCGATCTTACTCTTAGCGACATCCTTCTCAGTCTTCTCCATTTCACCGTTGAATTGAGAGGTTTCATCTGCAAGGATCTTCGTGTCCTTGACGAAACAATCCCACTCGTGAGGGTGCAGCTGCTTGAGGTACTCGAGCAGTGTGACACGGGAGTAAGGTTCGTCTTCACGGATAATCTCACGGAGCGACAAGAGAATCTTCTCGCTGTAGTGGGGAATCAGGACAGTGAAAGTGGGCATGTTGTCGACAGGCAAGGGCTCGGGCATAGGAGTAGACAGGGACTGTGCGAAGAAGGAAATACGGCGCTCAGCTTCGCTTCCCGGGGGGAAGAATTCGGTCTTGAAAGATTGATCTTCCTGGGATACGAAGAAAGTTGGGGCACGCAGAGTCCGCTTACCCTCTTGTTCAGAAGGAACTTGGTGGTACAAGAGCTTCTGGACATGGTCAATAGCCAGCAGATGTTCGCGATACATGGAAATGATGATTGCGTTCCAGACTTGTGAAATGAGAACCTTTGGCTTGTACTTGATCTCCATGTCCGTGGTGGCAAGAACCTTGGAGTAGATACGCTTCGGGAGGCGAGAGAAGATGTTTCTCCATGGGGACCAGATAGAAACACCAAGGTAGAAAGACCTTGCAACAGAGAAAACGGTGTTGCAAATAATATACCAGAGGTAACTATCCAGGAAGAAGAGGGTCAAATCCATGAAGAACATCAGGCCGAGCAAGATCTGCGGCTGACGATAACACAGCACAGTTCCGAGGTATTGGACACCAGAGCACCGCTGGATCTGCATTGGAGAAAGAATACGGATGGGATCCTTGAAGGAGAGAGTCAAGAAGAAGTAAGACTCAGCCAATTTTGCTCCAAAAACACAAACCCAAAGACCGTAGGACATCCACATGTCATTGCCCTGGAGACGTGCCCAGCTGGCAGTGAATGTCTGACTGGCAACGTATTGACGACCATTTTTCTTCAAGTAGCTACCGAACAAACCACCAAGCGGCATGACGGAAAAGAAGAAGAAGGTCACCAGTGCAATGATGAAGTGAACGATACCAATGACCAGGGCAATTGTTTCACCGATCTGCTTCTTGAAGCCGAAAACAACCACACCAGGGGCCAGGTTGATGATGAACATCAGCAGGAGGAACATCAGTCGCTTGGTGAGGTGCTGAGCACCGGCCCACCGTCGCGGGACGTACATCCATTCACAAATAGTAGCCAAAACCTGAATGAAAGAGGCCAGGGCACCACCGAAACCAACAGCAGACCAGTAGTAGGAGCCGGGAGGCTTATTATTCAACTGCTGTTGGTAGTTTTTCGTGTATAGAGTCGGGGCGTTGTACGCGGTGAAGAACCAGAAAGAACACAAGTGAATGACCCAAATACGGTTGAAGTTCGTGATCATATGGAACCAAGATCTGGTTTCCCTGTATGTCTTGAAGAACACCTTCTTCCAATCGACTTCCTTCAGCTTGAGCCATCTTTCAGCGGTTGGAATGTCAACAAGGCGGGTCTTGTCTTCGAATACAATTCGCTCGATACCCTCGGGGTACCAGAAAAGTTGGTTCATGTCATCGTAACCAATGATCTGGTTGTGATCCTTCTCTCTGCGCACGTATTTTCCGTCGGAGATTTCATAGCCCTGCTCACGGCAGTACTGGTAAAGAGGAGTGATGATTTCGTTCAGGTAAGTAAACTCCTCGACGGGCTCAACCCGGTTCTGGCATTCTGGCGAACTATAGTAGTCATCCGCGCACTTGAAGATAAAACAGAGACACTCGGGCAAGAACCGGACCTGATTAGCCTCGCCCCAGCACAACAAGTACAAGGCCACTTGACGGACTCGGTCGTGCTGCGACATGCGGTTCATGCGGGTCTTCCACCGGTACTCGGCGGCTTCGAGACTGTTATCGCCCTCGAGTGCTTCAAGAGTCTCATCCACATTCTCCGGGTTCTCTTTCGCCTTTTTCTGGGCCGCTTTGCGGGCCTTTCTGGTCTTTCGATCCGCCTTGCCCAACTTCATGTTGGCAAAGCCCACGGCATCATCGAGATCAAGGTGAGCCGCGAAGTACCAACGACGATAGTTCGCATTATCACCACCGATGTAGTCAGCGTGCAGAGAAAGGAGTGCCTGGTTTGGCGTCATACGGGAGGCACGCGAGTCTAGCTGTGTTAAGAGGTGGTCGTACATGTTACGCATACTATCCCTTTGGAAACCGAATTTGTTGACCAGGTCGAGGAAAATGTCCTCGATTTCCTCCTTGGAAACAGGAACTTGGGCATCAGAGGACCACGCCGGATACGGCTCCCGGGATCGCTGACCAGCAGGCAGAGCATTTCCGTAGTCCATGCCGTAGACGGGAGTCGACGCTCCGGACGACCGGTTGCCTCCGTAGGAGATCTGGGAGGAGGGCGGACGGTAGCCATATCCACCACGTCCACCATACTGGCTGTCGGCATAGCTGTTGTAGCGTTCGTCCCCGCGACCGTAGTAGTCCATGTCCGCCGCACGTGCCGTTTCGGATCTCATAGTAAAATCACTGAACGTCTCCGAGTCTTCCTCCGAATCGCCGCGACGTCGTCCTCTTTGCTGGCCGTTCGCTTGGTCATAGTAGGGCTCGCCATAGTAATCGTCCTGGTGGCCAGCGTCATAGTACCCGCCGTCCTGCTGGTAACCATGTCCACCATCGGCATAGTATCCTCTGCCACATGTCAGTTACCGCTACAGGTTCGCTACAGCAAGAACTAGGACTATTAACGTACCCTCTATCATAGTAGCCATCGCCATAGTCGTTGGGATCGTAGTAAGCCTGGCCATGATGTTCATCCTGGTAATAGGAATCCCCATGGCCACCATGTTGGCCGTAGCCATCATCGTAATGGCCGCCTTGATTGTAGCCTGACATGCTGAAAGGCGAGTGTAACCGAGCAGTGATTGGTTCTAATACAAGCTTAGCCCCTGGCACGCAAGTAAATCCATCAACACGAAGAGTGCCATGATCCGACTCACCTTAACAGTAACCCATCCAAGTTTCAAATTGATCGATTCTCAGTATTTTCGCATCAGCAGGACTCTCAGGATCGAGAGCTGCAGTAGAACGGGATAAAGGCGACGCGTCGTGAACAATTTTCAATGCCGACGAGCTGCTTTGAGGCACCAGTCCCCGATCGTTAACGCTGGAAGTCGACCAGTCTGTCAATTAATGATTAAATCACACTTTTCGATAGGCTGAAGAGCCGTATGGTCGTCACTAAGGTGTTGTGGTAAACGAATGGAAGGGCAACGAAAATCGAGCGACGATACAAAGACGGATTAAAAACCTAGACTGATACTAGGCCCCGAACCTGTCTCAGCCTAGGACGAACCTCCCTCTTCTTTTTCTCAAGCGAGAGCGAGAAAAGAAAGATAGGAGTTCAGACAGGATTCGTGAAAAATAAAGCAAAGGTGAAAAGAAACGAAAAAAAGCAAAAAACAACAACAATCGTTCCTTGGGTGCAAATCAATAAAAGAGTGAACAGGAACCCAAAGATGAAGTGAAGGGACGAGAAAGGAAAGGAAAGATCCCAAGCGATGGTCGAAGGGGGGAGAAGAGAGAATAGTGTTTGAGTTGGACGATTAGTGGTGAAAAGGGAATCGATTGTCAAGCCGAAACCCAGCAGGGAATAGGAAAAATACTGGTGAGTATGGGGCCCGGTGGTTATTTTGGGATCTGGATCTGCTCAATTTACTTCGCGACAGTACCTGCCTCTGCGTACCTTACCTGTATCGGGGGGAAACGTACCCACATTATACCCTCCCGGGAGGCAACAAGTTTCCCCTCTCCTTCTCTTCTCTCCGTGTCTGGTAAGGTGATACACAATTCTGTCCGCGGGACAGAGACTACACCCAATAGAATACTATTTTGATGGAAAAGCATTTACTCCGCACCGCTGACTGGACCATACCACATTACTTGGTATTACTGCACCCGGCGCCTGGATACCGCTCTGGTATTAGGAGACATTAAATTATCAAATCGTCCATGATCTGGACACATCACCAGCCTCTCCTGATTGGAAGCTTTCTCAGGATTGCCCTCCCGCCCCCTGTAGTCATTGGCCCATACATTTTGGTGGCTAAGACTCTATCAACTGGAAGAATTACTCGCCCTGAGCTAAGGTTGAAGTTACATACACGCATATTCCATCGATTGCATCCGCAACGTTCGAGTCTTGCTCATCCGTTCATGTATGAATGTACGGTACCACTTTCGGTACCGGGTTGGTTACGTACCGCAGGTACGTAGAGGTTGTTCTGTTTTCGGCCCGCCCCTCACCACTTCCACTCTTCAAACTATCAACAATCCCAAGAGAAGTTTCTCTTCAAAAACTTGATGATATAGTATTGTAAAGTGTGTTTCAATTTGTAATATGTACCTTTTACAAACCTTTGGGGCACAACCCTCCTCTCAAACGCCTTCAAAACTGGGCTCATACCGTTGATTCCAGTGCAGGAACTTGGTTTTTTTGAATAGGCCAAATTTTAGTTGAGAAGTGATAAGCCATCATTGGCTGTGACGGTCCGGAATCCATGGAAGCCGGCAGCGGCCCCCCTGAAACCAGATCCACCACCAGCCTCAGCGAATGGGCCCCACGCGGATAACCTACAATCCAATACAAGACGTATTGTATTTTTGCTTTCCTTCTTTTCTCTTTTTTCTTTTTTTTTCTGTTTTTCTACTGGGAGGAATGCAGGGATTCATTCCACTTCCAACCTTGAATTGATTCTGCCACTACGACAACGATTGTTAGTCGCAAGTGTCATGAACGCGTCGCTATGCGGCCGGCAGCCACATTGTTTATTATGATTCAGTTCTTCTGACTGCGCATACGTACGTCCGATGGAGGTTCTCTGGTACAAAGAACATTTAACCCACGGGTCCATTTCTGTACCTGAACCAACTAAGGTGACCCTGGGTGTATTGATAGGGGAGGGATAAATTAAAATAAGAAATCCAACTTAACTGGGAGGGGGTGGACAACCCATCTACTTCGTACTCAAAATAGAAGTTTCTCTTATGGTATGAAGAATAATGATGCTATCAGCAACCATCTCCTGCCGTTGTCTATCAATATCTTTTAGAGGTTCCTATGTGCAATTATCGAGAGCACTTGTCCCGAGTAGGTTCGCGGGTCCGTGAGTCGGTGCCTATCATCTGGAACATTGTTTAGAATTGCCACCGACAACCCACCATCAAACCCAAGAACTACAAGGGTAGAGCCCTCATTTTACTCTTCCTTGCCACTAGAGTTGCACTGTGTAGCACATATATAGCCAATTATTGAAGTACAAAATTATACATTAAGACATCTGCGACATGCACAAGGAAGGCCGGATCAAGACAGGGTTAGCTGGTTAAATTTAGCAACACAGACTCCTGCGTATATACCGGCTTAGAGAATAGTGTGCTTATGGGAGAGAAGACATAAAACCACAGACCATATTTATTTTCTTCTCCATTGATACATTCATGATGAAATGCGAGAACTTGGAAGCTAGATCCCAATATCGGAAATGGAAGCTTCCCGGTGCCTATGAATAACTTCCTTGGAAAATGCTTCCTACTCTTTGAGACCAATAGTGACCGTTATTCCGTTCACAGGAACCATGGCTTCTAGCTTAGAGTCTATCCAGCTCCGATAATTTATAGAATAGATTAGCTTTTTGATGTCTTCGGACAGCCTGGGTTCACCTCTAAAGGCAATCTTCTGACCCGTCACGGGCTGTATAAGGACATATCTTAAAGGGAGGAAAGAAAAAAGCGGGGGGAGACCCATAGGATCCTGAGCTCCTGTCAAATATGTGCACACCTTAAATTGAAAGCCGATTGTTTACCATTTGTCACCGGCATGTACACTGGAATTTGAACAGAACCTTTGCCTGAGCTCTTCGTAAACCCTGCGGGGTGAATGTACACATTGCATCGGAGCCCATGGGCTCCGGACGGATATGTTTAGATATATATATTCTCAGAACAACGATGTCCTATCGCCCTCGTGTCCATCTGGGCCTTGTTCTCCGCCTAGAGACAATTGATATTCTTCTACAGCGTACTCGGACAGTGCGGATACTGTGTAGATGTGAATACAACAAGTAATGTGTACTTCAGTTCTTTTTCTGTATGATTAGATCGCATGGCCGTTGCATTAAGATTGATTACTGAAGGGTTATTGGTCTTCCCTTAAACCTTACTAACTCGTCCTGCAACCAACAATCATCCAGGATATTGAACGCCAACAGCACTAGTAATCCAAACCATATCTTACCTGCTAGCATATACTACTAGTAGTAGCCCCAGACCAGTGAGGATTAAAGCATACCCCACTTTTGACTTGAGAAAACCAACTTACCTTGGTTTTTCTCTTTTTTTGCTTTTTTCTCACTCTTTTCTTAAACCCAGATACATTTCAATAACATAAATATAATGCTCTTTGTCCCGTTCCATGGATGCTGCACATGTGCCCAGTTCTTTGTATCTTTCCCAATAATTTCATTGGTTTGAGACTACTCTAATCCATTCAAACCATGTCCACCTGCCCCACCTTATTATACTGTATACAATAATACAGGCATAAAATCTACGGTATTTATGATGAATCATCGGAGCGCAGACCTGAGAACACAGGAGAAAATCTATATATGGCATAGACGGCTACCTCGGGAAGAGGTAGGGGAGGATGCTACTAGTAATAGTGTCCATATAGTATAGGTATATATTTAGGTAGGGGTTGGGAAGAGCGTGTCAAGTGATGTTATCATCGGTAATGTGACTTCTGCCAACCCATGCAGCTGAAAGTTTCCAAAAATATCGGAACGGCGATAATCGCGGCTGAGATCTCTCCGTTCTGAACCCATGGAACCGAATGCGACTAAAACGATAAACACTCGAGTTTCCTTTTCTAGTGTGTTTGCGATGAACCAGTGGCTGAATTTTTTTTTACTTCTCTTGTCTGAGCTTGTCCAAATCCCCCAAAGTGGCGAAGTTAAAGAGCTTCGATCGGACTTTTGGGACGTGAATTCTTGTCAGAGGCTTCTCTCGTATATATGTGCAGACAGATTGGTACTTTCATACATATGCGCCGGGAGACAAGTGGTAGGTGGACCTTTCATACCCCTGCCCTTGCAGAGTATGCCCTATAGTCGCTTTTGTCAAGCTTTTCCATTCTCTTCTGGCTCGCAATCTAGACTTGTTCTCTCCTACAAGCTACTCCATTATAGGACTGGATTGGAAATAGTGGGTTGGTGTATGAATTGGACTACGTATATTACCCCCCGCTGTAGAGTCCGCTATTGTTTTCTAGAAATGATTCGGAGCGGAAATAAGCAAGATGAGAATGGGGTCTTACCATTACTCGAGATTAGGTATTTACAGTATTACCTACTACTAGAAAGTACAGCTGCACCCACACTTCTCATATTACTTAGTACTCCATCCTGCAGGAGGTATGAACTGATTCGCCAGTTTCACTAAGAGAACCATGATCTTAACCAATCTGTAAACAGGTGGCTGCGTTGGATTTGATCGTTTTTTCTGTATAAATCGTAGCGGAGGGGCTGGCGTGACGACTGGCCAATCGGGAACCCCAATCCCGCGGGTGGCAAACGGGCAAGGTCCACAACCGCCTCTGCTTGATTGGCTTCCAATGGTCCAGCCCTCGGTCGAAGGTGTGGAACGCCTGGAAAGGCCAAAAAAAGGGGCTTTCAAGTTTCAGCTTTGGGGATCATCATTAGTCGGTAATTTCTCAACGTCCAATCGATAGAAAATAATTGTTACCTAGAATCGTCGTCATTGTTATTTCTCGATGTAATGGTGTAAGGTTACACCATATTCTAATTCCTGTTTTTTGTTACATTCGCATGACGACGATTACTAATATAACCTATCGAACCATCCGAGCAAACATCGAGACGTGACTTTCATATGACTTGGGCTCCGTTGGCCCGTGGTTACCATGCTTCCATTAAACCTCGGTGGATAACGCTGGCATTCAGTAGATAGTCTACACTGGCGTGGGAGAAGATTTCGACTTAGATAAGCTTGTTTCTCTAGCCGTAAGTGTCTATTCATCAAGATGTTTCATATTGGACCCTGATCCACTGACGGAGAAGGAAAGATCGTCAGAGGACGTTCAACCGTCCAAGGGAATATGGATCTACAATGGCTGCCTGCCACTCACAACCACAGAGATGATACGGAGTGCTTCGCCACAATCGAGCTCTGACTATCAAGATTCTCTGAAGATCAACATTCTCTAGAGGGCCGGAAACCTTGCCTGCAAGCATTTTCCGGATGCAGCGACTGCATTCATCATGCTCCAACTCATCATGTTGAGCCTTCGTAGCAGCTGATGTGTATAGACACATGTGTTGCCACCCTTCGAAGGGGCTGAATGAGCAACAAACAAAGAAAAAGTGACAGATATTCTGCATTCGGCGATCAACCCGTGTCCGCCACATGTGTGGATACAAGATTACAGTCGCACGTCCATCGCAGTGGGCATTCTGAGCTTAATCAGACTACCAAGCCATGTTTTTCCAATGCTTCAGCATGGGCCAGATACCCCAAACGGTCTCGATGTCAATAATGGTGATGTGTTAGGGTCGCAACTGTGGGACAGATTCAGGGTCGGTATGTCTATTAGCCGCCTCTCTATATATATGATTTATAGGCGGGCGAACAGTTAAGCTTTTCACTTAGACAGCATCGACCCCTCTGATCTGTTCCGTTGTGGACCGGGATTGCGCGTTCCTGAGGCCTCTGATATCAACCCATCCCTGCACCATGCTCCTGGACAAATGACAGCCGGCAGACAGGAATATCACTGAATATCACCAGTGATCATCATCTTATCACATCCTTAGAGGAAGGTCATTGTGGGTGTCTGTCTATCCCGTCCCGCTCTATGCTTCTCGTGGCCCCAGAAAAGCGGGCGCTTGAGGCATTTGTCCCTGAAATCCCTCGACCCTGAGTGCCCACTAGTCATACCTATAGAAAAATATGTAGAGAACGCGGTCCCAGGGACGTCCTCGTGGTGACTCTTTCTGTGAGATGCGCAAGAGTTTCTCGCTGCTTAATTATTACTCTCCTTTCATCTATAGATTACAGTCATTCCTTATCCATTGTCCCTCGTTTGGGTTTTTTCTAAGCATTAAGATCTTGGTTTCAATTATTTATCCCAGTCGTTCATTAATCAAACTATCCATCGTTGGCCGTTGAAGCGCAATTGGACTTCTACTTTCAACTCTGACTTAGTGTCTGGCAATCTCGCCAATTGTTGCTATAACGTCCTGTCCGCGCATTCAACATGAAGCTGTCCAGCATTGTCGCGGGCGCGACCCTCTTCGTCAGCAGTGCCATCGCTGCTGACCTAGACCCTATCGTCATCAAGGGCTCCAAGTTCTTTTACAAGAGCAACGACACCCAGTTGTGTGTAAACCCTCCATTGGAGAACCTGTGGCTTCACCTAATGCTAACAACCCCTCAGTTACATTCGCGGTGTTGCGTACCAGCGTGGGTTTTGGTGGTCTTTGGTATCATTTCCGTGACATAAACTAACGTACTATGCAGAGGAGTACTCTGGTCCCGATTCTTCCGCCAACAGTTTCAAGGATCCCCTCGCCGACGCCGATGCTTGCAAGCGTGATGTTCCTTATCTTGAAAAGCTGGGCACCAACACCATTCGCGTGTATGCTATCGATCCTAAGTCCGATCATAAGGAGTGTATGAGCCTTCTCAGTGACGCTGGTATCTACGTCATTGCGGATCTCTCGTCCCCGGGGGATTCTATCAATCGCAACGAACCCAAGTGGGATAACGACCTGTACAATAGATATGTGACTGTGGTTGATGAGCTGTCACAATACTCGAACGTCATTGGCTTCTTCGCTGGAAATGAGGTCTCCAACAGTGAGAATACCACATCTGCCAGTGCCTTTGTTAAGGCTGCTGTCCGTGACACGAAGCAGTATATCAAGGCCAAGAATTATCGTTCTATGGGCGTTGGCTATGCTACTAGCGATGACTCGAGCATCCGGAAAAACATGGCCAACTACTTTAACTGTAACAGCGCGGATGACAGTATTGACTTCTGGGGTTACAACGTGTACTCTTGGTGTGGAGATTCCAACTATGAGAAGTCCGGGTACGCTTCTCGTACTGACGAGTTCAAGGACTACACTGTCCCTGTCTTCTTCGCGGAGTACGGTTGCAATGCTGTTCAACCTCGCAAGTTCACTGAAGTCCAGGCTCTCTACGGAGACAAGATGGCCGATGTCTGGTCGGGGGGTATTGTGTACATGTACTTCCAGGAAGAGAACAATTATGGTAGGGTCCACCTTGGCTAGCTTGACGACTTATTGGCTGACTGTGCTAGGGCTGGTGTCTGTTGATGGCAACAAGGTCAGCACCAAGGCGGATTTCAGCTACCTTTCGAAGGAGTTGGCTAGCGCTACCCCCTCCGGCACCAAGAAAGGCGATTATAACCCGACAAACACTGCTCTTCAGTCTTGCCCGACCGTCGATGGCAAGTGGCTCGCAACTTCCAGCCCGTTACCCCCCTCTCCAAACCAAGACCTCTGTTCCTGCATGGAGGAAAGCCTATCCTGTGCTCTGAAGGATAAGGTATCCGGCGAGCAGCTGGATAAGCTCTTCGGTACTGTTTGCGGCTATGACGTCTGCGATGGCATCAACACCAATGCCACTACTGGCAAATATGGCGCATACAGTGTGTGCACTCCTGAGCAACAGCTGTCGTACGCCATCAACCTCTACTATCAGAACCAGAAAGCAAAGGGTAATGGTGACAAGGCTTGTGACTTCAACGGGGCTGCCACCACCCAGAGCTCGAAGAGCGGCGGCAGTGCTTGCTCTGCACTCCTTAAGGAGGCCGGAACTTCCGGCACCGGCACCGTTACTTCTTCCCCTACCGGTACTGCTGGCTCTGGTGCTTCCGGTGGTGCTGCTGCTGCATCTAGCTCTGGCGCTGCCGGTGGTGTGGTCGCTCCTTCTAGCGTCAATGTTGGTATCTTCCAGCTCGGCGCCTATGTGGTGACGGCCATGGTCGCCGGCGCGGGCATGATCGTCCTGTAAGGGCCGTTCACCTCTTCTCATCTCTTAGCGGCGCTTAGTCCCATCCCCTGCCAAACACTGTACAGGCGGTAGGTCTCCTACATGTCTGTATGATTGTGTGATACTCTTCTTGTACATCCTGACGGTGAATCTACCTCTTCAATACGAGTTGTTTGCTCTATATATATTGCCATTGCGGGTACTCGGTATTTGGCTTTATTTTTTATATATTTATTTAATAGGTCAATTGGTTTTATTGGGGTCAGATAACACTGTCAATCCATTCTCATTTAACCGAATTGAAATCAAGGACAGTAAATGGTAAACTTTTTGGATAGCAATACAGATCAGTTCCGTTAGCGCTGCGTACATTTGCTTCCATCCACGATTTTGTTTACAGCAAAGAAAACAGTTGTCAAGTGTCGATAAGAAAAGATTGAAGGGATTACGGGATTACAAAAGTCTTTTCAAGCATGCTTTTCTTCGCCGGAAGGATGGGCGGTGGTGTGGGAGGTTGAAGGAGACATTCTCACGGTCTTTCGAAGACGGGCGAGACGGGAGGGGAGGGGGTTGATTTTCTCTTCCGTGGCTGGGAGATCGCGACGGGCGAGGCATTCAGTAGAAAGGGCGCCCAACGAGAACTTCCTCCTCCTCCTCCTCCTCCTCCTCCTCCTCCTCAGTATCATCCAGCTCGTCATCGTCCACATCGGCGGCTCCACTTATTGCGACGAGTCGATTCAGAGTCCCTCGCATTTGGAGAAGTTCCATAGATATCATGGAAAGTAACACCTAAATAACCATGGTCCCAGTCAGGACCCATCAAGCTCTCAACCAAAGGAAGTTCGAGCAATCGCCTTGCTAAGGGTTGTACAATCTCAATGTGATAATCAGTGAGTGCTTCATAGGGCTTGTTGAGAGGATCATCAGTGGTCATAGTAATCTCATGTCCTGAGCAAATCTTCATCTCTGAGAGACAATCAAACAGCTTTGCATGTTTTGGCCCTGATTCCAAGGCTGGTGGGAGAGACGGCTGGGTGGAGATGCTCATTCTTTTGGCAAATTTTCTGGTCGGCAGCCAGAAGAAATGAAGTGTAAGGGATTTCTGATCTTCAGAAAGATTCACAGGCTGAAAGGCAAAACGACCTCGCCCCCAGAGTCTGTGCGCATTGGGCACAGTGTCAACAGGTTTTGGCACACTTCTGTTCTTTCGTCTCCGATAATGCTGTTGTTTCCACTCATTTATTCGCTCCTGAGTCCAAAACGCTGACAAAATACCCCAGAACACAGAGTGGGCCTCGCCGCTCGGTTTCCCCATGGTAAAAGGGAAACTGTGGCAAACCTCGATGGGTTCGCCGGCATTGGTCACAATACAGGATTCCTGATCTCTCTGTGCACACTATTAATAGTTAGCAATAATATTATATTGTCACAATAGGTGGGGAAGATCTTGGTCCAAAGATAAATAATAAGCTTACCGGTTTTTTTTTTTTTTTGCGGCACCGGAACGTTTGAATGGTGAGGCCTGCTTCTGATGGGTCTTCTTCTATCTTTCGTTTTCGAGAAACTTGTGCGGTGTCCAAGGTATCATCCTTTTCATCGCTCTTTGTTCTGCGACGAGCAGTCCCTAAGCGTAAAGTCAATATTCATCAGCAAAATGCGTTTTTGAGAATGTGTAAGAAATGCTCACTGATAGTTGGTACTTACAAGATTTTAAGACAAGAAAATCTTCAGCATTCACAAGGGTGGCAACAACCGGTCTGATGACCTCACTCCTGTGAATGCCATGCGCCTGTCATTTTGAGAACGACATTTTCGGTCCAAATATTTCGCTCGAGAGATAGGCTATGGTAGTAATCGTGTCATAGCACCTCATGACAGAGATGTCTGAAGTGGGTGGTTGAAAAGACGTCTAGATAACCATTTTATAAGTTCAGACACACCCTCAACTGTGTCCCCTATATATCCAATATGGGCTAGTATTTTGAACCCTGTAACTATTAGTGCTGCCGGCCTTTCTTTCAATGTCGGTGACTGGTCTTCATATAACTTTCGGGAGAAGCTCAATTTGCACGGCAATGTCCTGCCCCGGTCGAGATTCATATCAAGTAGCTCTTAGAGGCGTTCCACATCAGAGAACCAAAAAAAGGACCAGGTGGCGCTGTCAACGCGTTTGATGCCAGTCAAGGCGCCGATCTTTTCAATCAACTGCACCCTTTCCGTACTGTTCACCTCTGCGGCGATGTCTATGGTGCCTTCCATAGCTAACCTTGATAAATGTAAACAAGGACGATCTACTCCAGTCTCAGAGTATGAGCGGTTAGCAGTGGGGACTTCAAACTCCAGTCCTATCCGGGGATTGGAGGGAAATGCATTGTGGGCCTGTGAAGCTCTCGACTAAGAAGTTAGAACGCCCAGCCAAATCTGGGAATCTCAGCGAGAGGTAACCCGTGACAGCCGATCAACAATTCAATGCAAGTTTCAACCCACGGATCAGCGGGAAGCGTTGCCATGCCAACGACCCTCCCCCAGCTGCAACTCAATATCGTCAACACTTCCACTGAAAGCAGCTCGAGCTCATGCAATATCTCCATCCAGCTTTACTTATATTTCCGACACTACCTATGCTTTAACAGACCGGATATTTGATATGTCCTACTAAACCACGACAATCACAGCAACCCACCACGATCGTACACTACCAAAGCCACATATATATATATATACTAGCAGAACGACCATGGCTCGACTCAACCCAACGAGCCCCGTGAAACAAGGCGGCACGCGTGAGAATGTGACCAAATCAGTCCGCAAGCTGAAGTCCAACACCAACTCGGTCTTCTCGAGCAAGTTCAGAGACACGTCGCCCACACCCAAGGTGGGAGATCATTCGGGGACATTATTCGACGAACCGGAGTTCAAGCGACCGACTGCGAGGGCGACGACAAACGATAAGCCTGTCCAACGACAGAGAAAGCTGCAACGGAGCGGGACTGTATCGAGCGGGACGTTCAATATCTTTTCCGATAGCGATGGACTGAGCGACCGTGAAGATGATGTCTCCTTCGCATCGACGATGCGCTCCTCGACTACGCGCTCTTCGACGGAAGGACGTCCCAGCGACCCGTTGCAGCTGGCACGTGCTAACTCGCTGCTGATGCCGCAGTCGAGGCACTCCAGGAGTCGGTCGACCAGGAAGTCCGAGCTCTATGATTACACGAAGGAGAATTATCCTGTGGAGGAGGTTGTGGAGGATTACTCCACTACCTCTTCTATCAGTCGGAATCCCTCTGATGCATCCTCGACGCGGCGTTCTCCTACCAGGAGAGAACCGCGGGAGGCAAATACTAGAAGACAGAATGGCCGTCAGTTCCGGGATTATCGCCAGTCGGCAAATCGGTCCGAGGACGAGGAAAGTGATGATGGATTCAACTCTCTGGATGACTTCATCGTCAGTGATAACGACGAGCCTAGCCATCACGAGGCATCTGCCAGCGACCCAGAACCAGAAGAGACTAAGAGGGCACCTTCGCCGCCGAGAGTGAAACGGAGACTCGTTCGGGGCAGACGGCTGAACCCCGAGGAACAAATCAAGAGAGCTCTGGAGAGCTCAGTGCATACCAACCTTCGCCTCGAGCCGTCATTACCCGCTGCTGTTTCGATGCCCTCTTCGGACCCCCAGGCCAGGCCAAGAAAGCTATTCCGCAATACTTCTAACATCGACGAGAAGATGAACCGTCTGGATTTGGAGGACGATGCTGATGTGCACGATGATACGGTTGACTACGACGCTGCTGAAGAGGCGGCTGATGAAGTAGACGCTGATGAATATGACCCGTCCGCTCAACTCCAACAAGACTTGGATAAGTAGGTCTCGATGCTGCTACATAAGCTGAAGCCTAAAATGTTGACTGTCAAATAGTTTTCTAGGAGGATTCGAGCCTCGCTCCCAGCGTCCAGAGATCGAAAAAGTGAATTTGGAAACACCACCTGCCAGTCCCTCCAAAAGTGCTCTAAAGTCACCCTCAAAAGGCAAAGCCCATATTCCACCCACACCTTATCGCGAGAGCGTAGATGCCTTCTGGTCCCAGGAAGCTACAAACGAATGGACCGATCAACATTCGCCCCGCAAATTACAGAACTTACTGCAGGAACTCGACGAGTCAGACAACGAGATCGATCCCGAGATCATGCCCAGAAGCAAGACAACAAAGAAGGCGGCCAAGCCTCCTAGCAAGACGGCCTTGAAAAAGGCCGAGACGGAGAAGAAGAAAGCCGCCCTTGAGCGCAAGAAATCGTTTGATAACAAGAAGGCCGCCGTCGCAGAGGACTTCTTCAAGGTTTTAGATGACCACGTTACTGGTGGCCGCATCCAAGAAATGGCCGAGGAAACGGGTGGTGTTCAGATCATCTGGAGCAAGACACTTCAGACTACCGCTGGACGGGCCAACTGGAAGCGAGAGAAGCTGCGCACGGAGGGCACGCTTGGGACCGAGCCCCAGACACCTGGAGGATCTCTGTCCAAGCACCATGCTAGCATCGAACTGGCTGAGCGGATTATTGATGACGAGGATCGCTTGCTGAACACGCTAGCTCACGAGTACTGCCACCTGGCCAACTTTATCATCTCCAACGTCCACAACAACCCCCATGGAGCAAGTTTCAAGCAATGGGGGCTGAAATGCAAAGAAGCCTTGAAGGACCACCCTGTCTATGGCGGACGCTTTGAAGTCACGACCAAGCACAGCTATAAGATTGACTACAAGTACGTATGGAGCTGTGTGGACTGCGGCCAGACATACGGGCGTCATTCCAAGAGCATTGATACGACCAAGTCTCGATGTGGAAAATGCAAAGGTCTGCTCCAGCAGATCAAGCCAAAGCCACGGAATGTCTCGCCCCGCAAAAAGCAGCCCCTTGGAGATGCCGAGCAGGTGGCCGTCGATGAGGTCGCGAACGTGTTGGGCGAGATCAGCTTGCGTAACTGAGGCACTTGCAGCTGTTCGGTCAAGTCATTAAAGGTGTTTACGGATTTGTCTCTCATTCTACATACATTTCGGGAAGATTTGCCTGTCATTCTAGCGTTCATTTGATGACGATATATCTACATATGGTGTTCTCTCTTTAGCGATGATATGTCTGTCCGTCTCTCATTTGGGATACTTGTTTTTCTGAGGTTGATGTACACAACGATCCTTATGCAATGAGCACACGAGTATGTATATACATAGGTGGTACTTGGGTGTTCATAATCGATTTATTTCGGATTGACTATCACTAAGCTATCTAATTAGTCTTTCTATATACATGCCAGTGTGCTAGTCATGATTTCATCCATGATACATGCAATTCCTTAACCCATCCATACATACCAAGCCCGCCATGCAAGAGCCCAAATCTCATGATATCCTCCAAATACAGTCCCATCATTCCCAAACCCATCAATGAATCATACACACCCCAAACAACCCCCAAAATGCAAAAAAAGAAAAGAAAAAGAAACCTAACAAAACAAATCCCAGTCAACAACCTCCAGCCCCTCCACAAACGCGGTAATCAACCCATCCGCCAGCCTTTCCTCCGCCTCCAACGCCCTCAAATCGCCCGCCTTGTCAAACTCCTCCCGGGGCACATTCACAAAGACCACCAAATCCGTCTCCTGCTCCACGAGCCTGACCAGCAGATACCACAGCGTCACAGTACTGGTCAGTCCGCCCTCCGAACTCGACCCCGCAACCGCGCCCCCAATTCCAACCCCAGAGCCAGAGCCAGTAGTACTCCGTCTCCCCTTCGGAGACGTAACCCTCACCACACCGCGATACCCCACCGTCCCGGCCGGGAACTTCCCCAAGACGACCCGACTCGGCGGCGCCACGATCTCCAGCTTGTCGTCCTCGTCGCAGAGGTCGTGCACGTGGTACAGCGCTGCTTTGGCGTCTGCGTCGAGCTGCTGGTGCTGCAGAGCCGGGATGAGTGTATCCACGGCGAGGGTCTCGGCGTCGGTGACGCGTTGGTTTATCTCGGTGATTTGGGATGTGAGCGTCGTGGGCGACAGGTAGACTTCTTGGTGGGAGGGAATTTCGCGGACGTCACTGTTTTTTTTTCTTTCTGTTAGTGTTTGTTGTCTTGGGAAATGCTTGTCCTTGGGGGTTTAAGGAGTGGACGTACCTTGCGTCGACCCAGTTTTGGGGAGTTAGGCCTTTGATGGCGCCGCCGTAGAAGTCGCGCGTGGTGTATGTTGTCATCTTGTTTTTTTTTTGGGGGGGGGTTTGGTATCTTTTTCTGGGGTGGTGCGGGGTAGGTTGGTTTGTGGTGGGGTTGGTGTTGTTGTTGGGGGGATTGTGGTGGTGGTGACCGTGTTCTCTAGATGCTGCGGTTGCTGTCTTTATAGGTGTTTGTTGCGAGGGTCATGAGTCATGGAGGAGGATTGTGGTGTTTTGAAGGAGACGTTCGAGGAAGTTGATTTCTGCTTTGGGATGGATTTGAAGCTTTTCGGGCCAATGAGGGACATGACGTCTCGTTCGTTGTTGGCGGGCGGTAAGCTTATCGCCTCCTGATTGGAGGGCGGGGTCATTCTCACACGAGCTGCCCTTTGGCGTGACTCACGGGACTGCGGTCTGGACTACTAGTATGTATAGACTACTAGTATGTATAGACTACTAGTATGTATAGACTACTAGTACTACTAGTACTACTTATCATAATGCCGTGTAAAAGAGAGACTTGGATTCAATGAGACCCTGCGAATATAGGCCTGACGACTATCTAAGGTATCTAGGCTCATAGGCAAGAAGTTCCTGCTTCCAGACCATCCGAATTACATGTCCAACAGCTCTTCGATATATCCGTCCAACGCGATCATCTTGAACTTGTTCCCCCATTTCGAACGGAACTCTTTCTTGCGATAGGCGTAGCTGGTCACCTGGGAGAAACTCACCAGTTCCACCGTCCACCCCCGCCGCAGCGCTCGCTCCACCATCTTCATGAATCCGCCGGAGAACTCGGCTTCCGCCGCGTCTCCCGTAGCTAAAACGATGGTGGCTGGCTCGTCCGTATCCAACAGGCTTTCGAGGATCTTCAGGTGCAGAATTTCGTCCACACCCTGTTCGACCCAGCGCTCCTCCGGCGCGTCGTTCGTTTCAGAACCACTGCCTCCGTCCGGAGCGCCCGCCCGCGTACCCTTGCGGAATTTCATCTGACGACGAGTCGGTTGTTTCACCTTGTGCACTCGGTCGAGAATGTTCGTCTCGTACCCGAGTTTCTCGCCGTCGTCGATCGCAGCAAAGCGGTCGGAGCCCACCAAGACCCTCTTGGCCGTGGGCCGACCACGCTCCAGGATCAACGAGAAGTTCTGGAATGAGAGTGGCAAGCGGCGGATCCGTGTTTTCACAGGGATGTTCCGAGATACTTTCATGGAATCGTGAAACCCGACCATAATCTGGACGATGGCGGTGGTCAGTAAAGGTCAAACGACACTGACGGGGGAAGATAACTTACATTCGACATATCGACAAAGACATGAATCGGGCGAGATGTGGGAGGAATGCCCGGCTTGGACTTACCAGACCGCCCCACTTGAGTTATAGTTTCTGCGTAGTCGGGGAAGTTCTTCAACAGCTTCGTTAAGAGACCGACTTTTCGATCGGTTGCCGACTTGTACGCAATGGGCTGCACACGAATGGCGCCACCGGGGAGGTTTTGGATAGCGATAGGGCCTAGTGCCCCGCCGACTTCATCAAACGAGGATGGCGGGGTTTCGGACGACTCACTCAAGACCTCCGCTATGCCCACCTGAGACGGGACTAGAGCGAGAACGCCCCGTTTGCCGTAAGACGGGTCGAAGATGCTGGGGTTGTCGGACTCTGCCTCCGCAGTGCTCTCCGACAACTGAGGTTCATAGGTTGGTTGCTTGGTTTGGGTGCGGTGTTTCGTGGTACGATATTCAGCAGCAGCCTTGTGGGACTTGGACACATCTGATGTGGGGATCGGCCGAGGAGACGTACGCGGAAGCGCCTTACCAGGGCTATCGACGGTTGTGGTCCCGGGAGAAGGACGTTTGAGGATCTGAATCTGCTTAGGCTGCTGTGGAGGTTGTTCGACAATGCTTTCCTTGGTCGCTTGACGAAGTCCAGCTTCTGCACCAGGCGTGGTGTTGCCAAGGAAATCCCAGAGTGAAGAGAAATCACCAAGCTTTGGGGGCCCACCCCTCTCGGGCTTCAGATCAGGTGCCGAGTCAGCTAGACCTTGGGCAGCAACCGTGCTGGGCCCGGGAGTGGATGGAGCTTGGTCGGAGTCATTGTGGCGAGCAGGGATGGAACGGTCACTGCCGCTGTACGTCGGCGAGCGCAGTAGATTAATCACCGGAGTGAAATCCCAGTTTGAAGAGGGTGTGGCCGACGATGGCATTGACAGCAATGGACGCCGATGTTAGATACAATGTTGTGTAGGGATTCCGCTCGAAGTAGGGATGTGCCTGGTGGCAATGCGCGGGGTTTGGAAGACGGAAGAGTAGAAAGCGTTCAAGTACAAACGACAACTATAAATGTGCACAATTCAAACGCAACAGATAGGGCATAAAGATAAAGCGCATCAACATGGTGGTCATTGAGACCCGACCAGACGACGATGTTCACGCCAAACGCATTGAAAGAGAAGGTAAGTTGACAAAGGATGTGAGAGAGGTTAGGTTAGGTTAGGTTAGGCACGGAGACTCGGAGACTCGCCGCCTGCAATGACTCGCCGCGTGGCGGTGAACAACTGTCACGGTACTGCCATGGTTTACCGCTTGCTATCTTTAGCCGACAGCAACACTAGTCTGAAAACGGAAGGTCCCTTCTCGGCCTTCGGTGGTATAGATAATCCGGCGGAAGTATATTTCCCCATGACCCACCGCCCCCGCTAAGTCTGTTCCGGACTAGTCTATCCTGGTCTATCCTGTAGGTCATGGCGACGTCATCGGTCCAGACTGTCACCTAGCAAGGATGACGATTTCAATGTTTATCCCTGCTTTCTTCTGGAATCGCCAATTGTACGGTTGTCTAATGGTCATTGGCGGGTTCCCTCGTCACCATGACGCGAGATTCACAGATCCTCGTTCCATGGATATCGTTCTAGATTCACGTTCAGAGGCCAGACCTCAACATACATGTGCCTCGGGTGAATTGCGTAGCGGAGAGAAATCAAGGCCATCAACGTCATGGAAGTACGGATATAGCAGCAGATGAAAGGTATATAAACCCTCAAATCTCTCGTCTTGTTTTATTCTTCATCAATCTCAACAAGACAAACAATCCGACTACAACTACTTTATCAATCTTCCACTTTAACCACTTTCACACTTTCTATCAAACCACTCGCAAACATGTCTGACGCCGGACGCAAGGACTGGAGCACCAGTACGTTGACATGCAGGAGCATGATGCTGCATCGAATGTCTCGCTAACTTCCTCGCAGAGGCCAAGGAGGAGCTCACTCCCGACTCCGCCAAGTCCACCCAGCAGAAGATGAAGGAGGGCGCCACTGATATTGGTGACCGCTTCGCCCGTGGCGTCCAGCCCGACGACCAGAAGTCTGGCATGCAGGAGACCTTTGACAAGGGCCAGCGCATGCATGACAACAAGGCTCACGGTGGTACCGACAAGTCGATGTAAGTGTTCATGCATAGCATTCGAGCTATTGCCGAGAGACTAACGGATTCGGCAGCCTCGACAAGGCCAAGGACGCCATGGGTCTCGGTGACCACTAAGCTTGTGTGTGGGGGATCGCCTGTGGCCGTTCATCATGGATAATTTTATGATTTGATGACTTAATCCTCATGTACTGTTTTAAGCTTAGTATTCCGTGTCGGTTAATGACTATATGATATAATCAGAACCCAATATTCTGAACCATTTCACTTTCCCCGTACGGATTGATCAAGATTCGAGTCTCGTTCCTGGGTAAGCTCATTGAGTTCCTCTAGCAACTCCCGATACTTAGCCCGCGCCCCTTGGACATCTGTAGGAAGGTCATGGAACAGCTGAAGTCGATGTTCCAAAGTTTTGACCGTGTTCATAAGCTTCTTGACGTCTTCCTCTTCCGCCAGCAATTCTTCCAACGTAGGCCCTTTACTCTGATTTCTCTTCAAAGTAGCAATCCGATCCTGATACTCGCCCACTTTAGCAGCGAGAGCTTTCGTACCTTTCGTCCACTCAGCCGTCTTAGCCGGCAGATCAGCCGGAACCTGATAAGCCGGATCAGACCTGAGTTCATCCAGTTGCCGACGCAGCGCTTCTAATTCCCTCTGCAGATAATCATGTAGCATATCCACCTTCGCCAACTGATCCTGAACGCCAAATTCCTCCTTCGTCAGTTCGATAACCGACTGCCCCAGGTGTCCCGCATCCGCGCTCAGCGCACCCAACGCAGCAGCCGATTTCGCCAGATCGTCCAGATCCTGCTCCCCCCTATCGTCGAGACAAAGCTCCAGCTCGTCAAGTATCTCCTTCTTCTGTTTCTCTTCGGTCTCTTCGCGCGCCTTGAATCCCTGCACGGCTTGTTCGCGTGCCTGGTGTACGAGGGCCGCTTCCTCGTCGGCGGTATCGTTGGCGGCCGCTAGGGCAAGCAATGTCCGCAGTGTATCTTCGTTTCGCTCGAATGTGGGAACTGGGTTCGGGGCGTAGTGACGACTGAGCCAGGAGTTGACGTAGGCCCAGTCTTTGGCCTGGATGGCTGCTTGTCGCGCTTTGGTGGGGGAGAGGAGGGGGCTGTCCATTGGCGGTAAATGTTGGAATTGAGGGGGTGGTCTGGTCGTAGTAAGATTCCGCTTTGATTTCCGAATTGATGTAATAAGAATTGGAAAAGTATTCGCTAGGGTATAGTCGCTAGTATATCGAAGTTGGAGTTTGGTAGATTGCGGTTCGTCCAACGGGGATAAAACCGTTAGTCTGCACTCAATAAATGCCAAGACACGCTACTTGCATAGGAGTATAGCAGGAATAACATTAGTCCGCCCGATGTATACCATTGAAGAGAGCTACTGGACCATACTTTCAATTTGCATATAATCTAGCTGAGGTCATTAGGAGAAGCCCAGGTCAAAGTGTAATTAAAGTAGGCTCTGAATGTGTAAAGGATAATGGAAGTTCGGGTCTCATGGAAATAGGATAAAAAGAGTAGCAAACTTACAACCATCTCCAATGAGCTCCATACCTGATGATTTTCAATCTACGGGACTTTAATGGGATAACACCCTTGAATGTAGATTTAGAATATAGGTAATGCACCAGATATTGCGAGTAATTTTGAATCCCGGAAAAAGGAAATCCTAAGGACATTTATATCAAGGTTATCGAAGAAGAAGCGCATACTAGCACGGAATGGCTTCTCTATGTAAAACACGTGTTATCAAGGCCAGATAAAGTAGTGTCTAATACAATGGAGAAGATTGTGCAAAGTGCATAATCTCATCATGATAGGATACTTTGGATAATGTCGCACCACCCCCTAACTAGGTCGGTATCAGAACTGGTAGAGATCCTGGTATCTTTATGTTCTGTATTGCTCAACTGTTGCTTGATGGTGATGCTTATAGGGCGGCGTACAGAGAGACGTATCCTTTTTCACGGTATATACGGTTTTCGCTCCTTTATGCATGTGTCCAGCCTGGATTGTTTCAGCGCTCTTTGCAGGTTCACTCGAACAGGCTCACTGGAAGAAGCTTCAGTAGGTGACTCATTGCCATTTCCTAGATGGGAAGTAATTTTACGTGGGGCCAGCAGATCTGGCCCACACTAAACCATATCATCCTGGCTGATGTTAGTGCAGGTGGGTTCATGAAACATCCAACTTTCAAGATGCCTCGCCGTCTTAGCAGTAGCACATGATCTACTGTGATACGTTGATGATGAGATTTAGTTCAACCCCCATTTAGTGTCGAACAATTAGGGCCCAAACAACTTAAGCTTGTCTCGGTTTCTTACTTTTTTATTCCCCGCAGTGCATATTAGATTTTATCACTTTGCCTTAGTAACTGCACTTGGTTATAACTACATATTCCGCTAGTTAACGGACTCCTATACTGGTAGAACCAATAGTTCAGGGTATTAACCAAGGGTTGGCCATATCTTATGTCGACAATACGGAGGGGTTAGGTAACGGGTGTCTTGGCCAGTATCCCTGCCACATATAAACAGATTTTTCTCTACCATCATTCAAATTACAAGAATGTAATTAGCGATGAATTACTGGTGGATGTTGTAGCGATATTCAATTGGCCAAGCAAGGAAAACTAATGATGCTACCAGCTTCTCCCTCTATACATGTAAGACTTTGAATCCAGGAAAAATAGCCTTAAGCCGAGGTTTTCGCTTCTTAAGCCTCTGCTCGAGGAGTCATTGTCCGGAGGATGTTGGAAGGCGCCCCAGACCCACATCCAAAACGGCTACTTTGGACAAGCCCTAACTCGGGCTTGATGAAAATTGAGCCCGCGGACTCCCAACAACCCCTTGACGTCTGACTCACTCTTGTAGGTTATTATAAAGGCCCGTAGATGGCATGTATCGCTGAAATGGACTGTTGAAGAAGAGACTCAGGAGTCTAAGTAACTCAAAAGGCTGACAGGACTACCATACGATTGTGGCATTTGCAACATTGTAGCGTTCTATAAGGCCCATAGTTTTCGTCAGCATGCCTTCTACATCCATTGTACAACAAGATGACATGCCTCATGGAACTGACGGTCGACCTGCATATTCCTTGTCTCTCAGGGCAAGTGACTCGCTGAAAAACACCAGCAATGCTCTCTGGGACATTCTTAGCGACCTTTGGCATCCGCAGAGCAACCCTCACGGCTTCGTCACCCTCGGGCTTGCAGACAATGCTTTGATGCAAGAACAGCTGCTACTTCGTGTGAACAGCGACTTCGATCTTCCCGGACGACATCTTTTGTTGAATGATACCATCACTGGATCTGTCCAACTTAAAACCGCTATCGCTCATTTTCTCACTCGGTATCTCAGCCCTTTTAAAGCGCTCAAGCCATCGCAGGTCATTGTCACCAATGGGGTATCGTCAGCAACCGAACACTGCTCCTGGGCTTTCTGTGACCCGGGCGAAGGGATTCTGGTTGGGCGCCCGTATTATCGAGGTTTCAACAGAGATATCTGCCTGCGGCCAGCAGCTAAGCTCGTTCTAGTCAGCTTCGACGAAGTAGATCCCATCAGTGTTTCGGCTGTGTCCAAATACGAAGAAGCTATTATCAGCTCCCGTGACCAAGGCTGTACTATACGAGCCCTCATGCTCTGCAACCCGCACAATCCTTTGGGTCGATGTCATTCGCGGTCGTTCCTTGTGGAGCTGATGAAGGTATGTCAAAAGCATGGCATCCATTTGATCAGCGATGAGATATATGCTTTGTCAGTTTGGAGACATGGTCTAGACAGGGCAACGCCCATGGAAGATTTTACTTCAGTGCTTTCCATCAACCCTGATGGGTTGATCGACCCAAAGCTTGTCCATGTGTTATGGGGTGTTAGCAAGGACTTTGGCGCGAATGGAGTGCGACTAGGTGTGATTATATCCCAAGAAAACGGTGACTTGCTTGAAACGATCAGAGGGGTCGGCCAGTTTAGCTCGATTTCGGGCTTCGCAGACTATCTGACGACAACTATTCTCGAAGACGAGGAGTTCGTGGACCGATATATCAAGGAAAACCGTGAAAAGCTTGCTGCAGCCTACAACTATGTTGTCACCTTCTTAAATGACCATGGAATACCCTATACAAGAGGATCGAACGCGGGGTTCTTTGTCTGGTGTGATCTATTAACAGCGTATCGGAGAGTCCAACCCAACAGTCCACCTGATGACAGCGACTCTGCAAAGCAGAACAGAAGTAGGGAGCTGGCAGAAAAGTTGGCGCAGCACAGAGTGCATCTTGGATTTGGTGATGACTTTGGTAGTGAGCAACCCGGATGGTTCCGCATCACCTTTTCTCAACACCGTGCTCAGCTTGATGAGGGACTGAAACGAATTGTCAAAGCCCTTCACTCTTAAGTGTTTGGGCAACTGAGATTTACATTGCTGGTCAATGCCAGCTCTGCTATGACTGATGTGGTCTCCTGCTTGCAAGGCTTCAATTTATCACTTATGAATCGGCTTGATTGATAGATCACCGGGGCTATATGACACCACGAAGTGACTGTACTCCACATGCCGACTCATTCCCCCTGCTGTGAATTACAACAACTTTACTCTTTCGATTAGTCTGATCTATTTTATAAGTTGTCTAAGTCACTTCGCTAGTCGAGTTGTAGCTGATAGACTGAAAGGATGGGTGCTAAGTTATGGCCCTGAATTTTCAAAGCCCCCCCTTAAGCAGAAGTACGAAAGGAGACATCCCTACAGTACTTGTAGTATAGACTTTGTGAGTGACGAGTGGCGTGAATGCCTGACGCTACAGTCAAAACAGCCTAGGATTACAGGATTACTTGGAGAGCAATTGAGATTCCACCGCAAGCCCAACATTCATTCTCTACCATATTCCTGCACCCATTCCCCCCTGGAAAGTTCAATCTAGCCATCGACTCCTACCATAACATACCTGACACTCTCCTCCATGCTGATGGCCTCTCATCCTGTCGGCTCCATCGTAATTGTTACCCTCTGGGTTTCCTGGCACTACCAAGTGAACCGAAGATTGACTCTGTTAATCCACCATTCTCCATGGGCTGGCTATTATCGCGGTTAGTTAACATTTGACCCCCTCCAGAATATCCCCCATCCCAAGCTTCTCTATTTCCTGCTATATTATGACTTATACTCTTAACTATTCTTTCAGAATGATCGACTCCATTATACTATTATTTCTTATAATATATCAGATTTCTATCGACCTGTATATTTCTAAATATATCAAGTATACTAGTAGGAGAAATGAACCCTCCTACTGCACAGCTTGGCTCTAGCACCACGCCCGTTGCCATCACCCAAAAGAAGATCATCTGGTTCGATTCCTTTAAAGAGCTAAAAACAAACATGTGGTACAAAAATGGATCTAGACTGCTAGAACGGCCTCCTGAATCCAATCAAGATAAGCTGCGGTGCTCGCATAAACACCATGTTGGCTGTGTTTTCCACATCCAAAGCCCCACGAAACAATTCCTACCTGCTTCTTAGAGCTAGCATCTACCAATGGACCACCGCTGTCTCCCTGGCAAGCATCCTTTCCCCCAAATTTGACACCGGCACATATCATGGAGCCATCAACTTCACCGCGATTCACATATTCCTCCGCGCATTTCTCGTGGTCAATAATGTCGACGTACGCGACCAAGAGGTTTGAGGGAATCGAGCCTCCAGCGGAGGTACTCCCCCAGCCAGTGATAGAGCACTTGGTCCCCACCTGGGGCGTATCATCCGCTGAGGATGGGAGTTCCACAGCCGAGATAGTAGACCCAAAGTCGAGGCTCGAGGCCAGCTTGAGGACAGCGATGTCATTCTTGATTGTTTTTGCGTCGAACCCCGAGTGTTGCGTGACTTTGGCCACCTTGACCAACTTTCCACCCGAGGCGTGCTGGGTTGAACCCGCCCGAATTCTCAGGCGATTTGGGGATAGTCCATCCACGCAGTGAGCGGCAGTTAGGATATGATCTTTATCGATGATAGATCCACCACACATGTGGTAGCTGGTTTGAACGGAAACTTGATATGGGAATTCTCCATCTGCAGCCTGGGATCCACCCACAATGGCTTTCTCAGCGATGGCTGATCCTGCGATGGATAGCAGGGCGGTGGAAAGGACGAGTCTCATGGTTGGCAATTATGTAGTGAGAGAAAGGTTGGATGGACGCATGGCTAGAGTTGTGTGGGAGCAGAATAGCCTTTAAATAGGCCAACATCGGGTCCCCAACAGTAAACAATATTTCGTTGATCTGCACAATTCCACCATGTAGTGTCTTAGTTCAGCGCAGCTCATTCTTCACGCTAAGATGGGGGATAAGATCCACACAACCAATGATGTCTATGTTCTCCGTTGCAAAGGCGCAAAGAGATCAAGCCACAATGAGCCGATTTTGGCGCTATTGGTGCCCTGCGAAGTTTATTGTCGATCTGAGATCTTATATGTCAATCATGGACATATTCCACATCGACCCACTCCGAGCTGAACCGAACCCCTTATTCTTTTCAGGGCCACAAGTATTCTGTCTCATTAGCTCTAGAACAGTGATGTCTCATGTGGCATTATGATGAGCCTATTTAAGCTAACCCTTGCATCTAACAAGGTATCGGGAATACTCCGAACGGGAGATCCGTCCATGGATTTGTGATCTGTGGGGATGACCTACCAGCTGGACACATCGACTCTTTATATACCAGAAGAAATCCCATAGCGCATCATGGAAATGTTATTGTAATCGCAGAGTCAAGGTAATAGAGAAGGAGAATCAACATAATTTGACCAAAAAAAGGAGAATTCCAACTTCGTCTACTCCGTAGCGTCAGAAGATGACATATACGTACGGAGTATGGAGGTCGCTTAAAGAACTGGCCCTCTCGAAAGATAGATCCAGCTAAGTGTGCATGTTGATCTACCACTAGTACTTTACGTACACACAACACTAGTGATTGCCGACATACTGGAGTATTGCGATGTAGACCGCATCGCACCACATAACTGTCCCAGTATTATTATAGACAGACATGCTCGGGAAATGCCTCAGAATTTGAAGAGTTCTGCAAGTCAGATTCAGCCAGCGTCTAAGCAGTATCCCCAGTGTATGGCTCGCGCATATGTATTGCTTATCGGCTGATCATTGGCATGGTACGCAGGTAGCATATATTGTCAACCTTACTGAATATAAATCCCTGCTTATTCCTCCCACAGCATGAAGACACCAGCTGCTTCACATTGTTCTAAATCACCTCACTGGCCATATCCAACATCATCCACCCCCCTTTTACTTTTATCAGTCAATATGAGATGTTCGTGCAGGCATTAAGCGGCTGGGCTCTCCGACAGCCCGTCATTAGTACGGAGTACAAATGAATATTTTCTCAGATGCGGTACAGTCGATTTCGAAAACAGATTACCCTTGGACACATTGGTTTCGTGTCGAAGAATACGGCGAGTGGCGTGCACCGAATGTTTGATGAAACCCTCAAAGCTGCATTTCGACCAGCGTCCAGCGTAACGCTATCAGATGGCTTTGACCTTGAACACATCTACAAGGATCAACCGCTTGTTCTAATTTCTAGGAGTCCTTATTTTTTTGTTATTTAAGAATTTTGGGTTCCCCTGAGAGTCTAAATCAATATAATTAATATTGAGATATAGAGTACCATACATTCTTAAACCTGAATTTTGGTCGACTTTTGGTGATATAAACGACTATCTGAACTTATTAGGAGTTGTAAATCGAGGAACATAAACAGGATGGCCGTACAAGTACTAGTGGGTCTTGGCATTTGTCAGTGATCCTCCGGAATGATGACCAAAAGCGTGACCGGCGTTGCTTCACTCCCGCTTCCGTTGACCCTCCACGGAGCACCAAGTAGCCCTCGATGACCAGCTATTTCCCCCCAGTTGGGGCCATTCCCAGTCATGCTTCGACCAGGACGCCTTCCCCAGCGGCTTCCCCGCTGTCCCCGCCAGCGACGCAGCGATCCAATGCTTTGACGAACCGATTGACAAGTGTACTCTCCGCATCCTATGCCGACTCGGACATACGCGATGCGCTCGAGACCCTCAGCCTGCGAGATATACATAATACACCGGAAGTGCGACGACAATTGAGGCTGGACGTACAGAAGGAAGTGGTCGATTGTAACGCGGAGATCGTACGGGACTTTGGGAAAGTTGCGGAGGTAATATACCGGGAGGGGAATGTAAAAGAAGAGGCCGACGCTAACTCTGAAGGATGAGACAGCAATTAAAGAGAATCGGTTCCGTGATTTCCAGCTTGAACCAGACATGCGACGAAATGCGAAAGCACATCGACCTGGCTAGACAAGACACTGCCCCTGTCCTGGAGGAGGCATCCACGTTGATGAACCAGAAGAAAGAGGCCGAAACGAAACAACAGTTGCTAGATGCCTTTACGAAGCATTTTGTTGTTCCGGATGATGATATTCTGGTCTTGACATCGCTGGAGGACCCCATCAATGACGAATTCTTCGATGTGCTCGCCCGTGTGAAGCAGGTGCACCGCGACTGCGAAGCTTTGCTAGGCGGAGAGAATCAGCGCCTCGGCCTGGAGTTGATGGACAAGAGCTCCAGAAATCTCAACTCTGCGTATCAGAAGCTCTACAGGTGGATCCAGAAGGAGTTCAAATCGCTGAATCTGGAAGATCCCCGGATCAGTAGCTCCATCCGACGTGCGCTGCGGGTGCTGGCGGAACGACCGAGCCTGTTCCACAGCTGTCTGGATTTCTTCGCAGAGGCGCGTGATTACACCCTTTCTGATGCTTTCCATTACGCACTTACGGATGCGGTTTCCGGCACTGCAGGGGATAGCAATGTGAAGCCAATTGAGTTTTCTGCTCATGATCCCCTGAGATATATCGGTGACATGCTGGCCTGGGTGCATTCGACCACCGTATCTGAACGGGAGGCCCTCGAAGCCCTTTTTGTGGCTGATGGCGAGGAGCTTGCAAGGGGAATCCAGGCCGGACTCAGCAGCGAGCCTTGGTCTCGTATCGATGAGCATGAGGAAGTCGCTTTTGATGGACAAAAGGCTCTCAGTGACCTCGTTAACCGCGACTTGATTGGAGTCTCCCGAGCTTTGCGTCAGCGAGTCGAGTTGGTGATCCAAGGTCATGATGATCCGGTTACTTGTTACAAGGTCGTTGGTCTACTGTCTTTTTACCGCACGACTTTCCAGAAATTACTGGGACCTAATTCCAACCTGGCGGAATTATTGGTGACACTGGAAAAGTTCACTTTCGGCCACTTCGAGGTTCTTATGAAGGACGTCGTTAGCAGTCTGTCGACAGACCATCTAGCTCTGACTCCTTCAGAGGATCTATCCACACCCCAATTTTTGGTTGATGCGCTCGAAGGCTTGACTTCTCTTATGAAGACCTATGAAGCTTCTTTTGGAGCGGACGATACGGAGTCCACTTCGAACGAAAACCGGTTCACTCCTGTTCTCCGCGCCGCATTTGATCCGTTCTTGGAGTTAGCGACATCGTCAGCGGAGGAGCTCTCCGATGCTACCGCGCGTGCAATCTATCTGACCAACATCCATCTTACTGTACGAACGACCGTTTCGGAACACTCGTTTGTTAGTACAACACATCTCAACCCCATTTCAACGAAACTCTCGTCCCTCCGCATAGATCTACTGGAGATCCAACACCGCTACCTTCTGGACGAGTCTGGTCTCCAAGTATTGCTCACGGCACTTGAGCCTTTCTCCCCATCATCGCTAGCGAAACCATCCGCGGAAACGGAGAAGCAAAACTCACACCCGCCAGAGAGCCAGCCGCAACACCAGCCTAACCTGGCTGACATTGCGACTCTGCCGGCCTTCCAACCCGAAGCTCTCATCGCGGTCAGCCAGCAACTTGACGACTTCCTCCCGTCCGCCTTGATGGACGCCACGGACAACCTGAAACGCCTGCGCAGTGCCGCGTTCGTCAAGAGCGTGACGGAGGAAGCGGTGGAGGCGTTCTGTCGCGACTTCGAGTTTGTCGAGGGTATGATCATTGGTGCCGATGAAGCAAGAGGGAAGGTTGATGTCACTCGTGTGGATAAGGGAAGTGAGACAGGCGCCGAGAGCGAGAAGGGCATAGAGGAGGGAGAAAGTGAATGGGGGTTGAGAAGACTTTTCCCCCGTACGACGGGAGAAATCCGGGTATTGCTGAGTTGATTCAACCCACACTCTATCCTAACCATGCCAACATACTTAAACTCCAGTTTTTGTACATATCATTCCATACATATAATCTGATTCTACCAGTCCTACCACATAAAACCATTCCCATCCAATAACCCCTGATTAACATACCCCTAAACCCTCCTAACCATGATCCCATAAGGATCCCGATCCTGCTCACTAACATGCACCTCACACGCCCCATCCTTCAAAATCTCCGCCAACCCCTCCTCACCACCCTCCAACGTCTTCAACGCCTCCGCGCGCTGAGCCTCCCACTCCCCCTTAAGCACGCCCTCCAACTTCTCCCGCATAACCGCCCTCAAATACCCCCTCTCCGTATTCGAATGCGCAAGCGCAACAACCACCTTCCCGCGCTCAATCGCCGCCAACGCCTCATGATGGCTCATCTCGCCCGTAAACAGCAAATCAGGAACATTGCCCCCCTTCATCAGCACACTCGACCCGGACCCGGGACAAACGCCCACCGTGCGAATCGAAATCTCATCCACCGACGCCCCCTGCGGAACCGCAATGGGGATACCACCGGGGAACCCGACACCCTGTGCAATTCTATCAACGAGCGTTGTTAGTGGCTGCGGAGCGTCGAAGGTGACGAGACGGCCCATTCCGGCTGTTTCCATGTTCTCGGGCAGAGGGGGCGCCGAGGGGTGGATGGTTGTTCTGGTGTGGGGTGGGACTGAGCTCGCGTCGGCCGGGACCACGGCGTGCGGGGTTGGGTAGGATGGGGCGGAGTAGGTCTTCGAGGAGGATTGGGCTGGTGTGTTGGTGGTAGTGGACGAGGGGGTGATCGAGCCTGTGACGATGTCGCAGAGCCAGTCGGCCATTCCGCCGGGCGTGGCGTCGACGGCTGTGTGCGGGGAGTAGACGCTAATGCCTTCCTGGGCGAGACGGAGGAGGGATTGTTGTTGGGGGTCGGTGAAGGTGAGGGATTTGAGGCCGCGGAAGATGATCGGGTCTGGATCGTGTTATATTAGTGATTTTCTATCTTTCTAGGTTGGAGGGGTCGCGTACGGTAGGCGACGATTGCGGAGTCTTTGCGCGCGATGGCTTCCTCTGCGACGGCTTTTGTGAGGTCTATGGCTAGCAGGACGGAATTGTTTTGGCGGCGGGTTGGGTTGAAGGGGGCTTCGAGGAGGACTGGAGAGTGTGTTAGTTGATTTGAGTGAGGTGGGTTGGAGAGAGAGGGGCTTACGGCCGGTGTTATCCCAGCTTTTGTCGGCGAGGGATTCGGGGTAGCTGTGTGTGTGTTGTTAGTGATTGGGTTCATGGGTGGTGTATGCTGCTCAGACCAAGTGGACGAGGGCAATTGGGAAAGGTAGAATTGCATACAGCTTCCTCATGGAGCTCACCACGGCCTTGGTGAAGGGCGATGACGTGGGGGACAGTGATGCAGACATTGTTGAGTAGAGGCGGACAGAGGACCGGAGAAGGGGGTTCATAGAAGGCTCTATACTGCCTGGGTAAAGGGGTAGAGGAGGAATTTAAAGAAGGGCTTGTGTGTGGGGAATTGAAGCTGTGAGGTATAGAGAAGACAATATCAAATGATGCCGATTAGATGAAGCAAAAGCTGACGCCACACTTCACCAGCCACATCATCTAATCACATGACCTGACGAAACCCCGATTCAATGCATTCTTACCTTATCGTAGAAACGTGGTTGGTTTTATTTATGTAATATCTCAGGATGTACTGTGAATCTCATGTCGATGATTGGATAATTGGTATGATGATTTATTAGTCGTCTCAAAGCAGCGTATTGTCGACTCATGTTACGTTGGTATTCGAGTGCTTTTTGACGCTCACCCAGGCAAACTACACAACATAGACTTATACCTCGAGAAATACCAGTAAATACTGAATGGGTATATTAGTAGCTGGACAGTCGAGCTAAGGATAATGAAGCCAGGTAAAGTATACGCAATCGCCGGGTTCGTTATGATATTCAACGAATTGGACATGCTGAAGGATGGACAAGATACCGGCGATGATCTCGCCGTGGGGAAACCCACTGAAGGTACATCAACTACAGTAGAAAGGTATACACATGAGAGATTGAATATCAGGTCCATATATGATTCTCCATGTCGGCAGTTACTCTTATACCGTAGTGTAGATCCTAGCAGGTGACTTATCCAAGAATAGACTACTAATATCCATTATTATCACTGGGTCAGAAATTGTATCTTTTATGTTGGGCCATACTCAGCATAGTGATAATTTTTCTTCATACAATAAGGCAGGGTAAATTATTGTTGATACCTGTGACGCCGTAGGGCAAGCCTTACGGTGGGTCCGTACTTAAGCTTATCTAGAAATGTGGGTCAATTCCATCTCGGAAATTGATGTCTTGCTGGCTGATGCTTATAGTCATTGAAAAAGTGAGTGAAACGGGAGTAAAGCACTCTCAGGGCTCAGGTTGTATTGCTCAGAAGGTGCCTGCTTAGAATTTAAGTTTTTAGTTTGGTAACAATGCGACAGACAAAACATCCTCGGTTTTCCTACATTCAAGGATGAGGAGTATATGAGCAAATGGGGAGGGCTTGATTAGCTTAATGCTTACGGTTGTTACATTGCTTACCCCAATTGTCGGATAGTGCCGTCAGAGGTACCTAAGAGGCTCAGTATAATCGATCGGCTTGTGTTTGATATTTAATCAGGCGTGCACCTTGCGACACAAAGGTTGGGCTGCCCATATGTACTTCATATCGAAATGGATATCAAGAGAGAGTCAGCCACTGACAATAGAATGTGAGGAGACGTATGGATGTCTTACTAGATATTAAATGTAACGCTAACAAGGGTCTAGGAAGCATAAATGAGTTCGAGGGCCAACTACCCTCAACCCTTGAGATACAAACTGAATTCGTAGGTGCATTAGGCGCCATGGATTTAAATGATACCCCTTTACACTGTCCTTCACAGATTAATAAACATAACATTTATACAGAACAGTACCTCGTCAGAAGGATGATCCTATAGCACTTCTTGTAATATGTACACTTGAAAGCTTCTTACAAAGCAGGTCGTGGTGGCTTTCCCGCCACCTCTTCTGCTATTCTGATACCTGCCGTTCGCCCCGAGAAGATACAGCCTCCCAAGAACGTTCCTTCAAGTGCACTATAGCCATGCACTCCACCGCCACCAAAGCCCGAGACCTCGCCTGCAGCGTACAGGTTTGGGAAATGTGACCCATCCGGGCGGAGTACCCTTCCATGCAAATCTGTCTCAAGACCTCCTAGAGTCTTGCGAGTAAGGAGATTCAGACGTACAGCGACAAACGGGCCGTGTGACGGATCCGCTAGCTTATGTAGTTTAGCCACCCGTCCCAGTCGATCTGGCCAGTAGTTGCGCCCATTCTGAATCAGCATTACTTGAGCATCTTTCGTGAATTTATTGTCAATTTGCATATCACGGAGGTGGATCTCGTGTTCGATCTTCTCAACATCTAGGGTGGGACCGCCTCGTTCTTTGGCAAGTTTGTTCATCTTAGCCACCAGCTTGGATATTGTTGGCTCCACCACGAAATCCACACCCTTATCCATGAATGCTTGAACAGGGCCAGGGATTGCCGAGCCAAGCGCTCGGTAAAACGTTCTTAGCCTGCTTTTGCTTGTCAAATCTGGGTTCTGCTCGGAGCCCGAGAGTGCAAACTCCTTGCTAATGACTGTCTTATCAAGCACAAACCACGTATAGTCATAGCCGGTGTTGCATATGTGCTTCAAGGTGGCAAGGGTATCGCATCCAGGATAGAGCATTGGAGGAAGCCGCTTCCCTGTAGCATCCAACCACAGTGACGAGGGTCCTGGGATGATACGTATCCCATGCTGTGGCCAGATGGGATCCCAGTTCTGTAGACCTTCAGTGTAGTGCCACATGCGGTCTTCATTGATTACATTGGCCCCAGCGTCTTTTGCAATCCCAATCATGCGTCCGTCCACATGTGCAGGGACGCCGATAACGAAGTTTGACGGTGGAGACCCGAGTCGATCAACGGGCCAGTTCTTCTTAACCAAGTCGACATTGCCGCCGATGCCTCCACTTGCAATAAGCACTCCGCTGCCGTACACTTCGAATGTGTCGATGCTCCTTCGGTTGCTGGCCTCACCGCGTGCTGTGTCCGACGGTTCAAGCACTTGGCCTCGTACGCCAATGACAGCACCAGTATCCTTATCAACAATTAATGAGTCCACCTGACGGCGAAACAGGAACTCCACCAACCCTTTCTTTGCAGCTGCACGGACCGGTTTCTCAAAAGCCTCCACAATGGCGGGACCAGCACCCCAGGAAATATGAAATCTCGGGACCTAGAAGATGTGCGAGTTAGAGTCTTGCTTTTTCATTACACCTCTTTCACTGCGCACGTCTTCCACCCGGGGTTAAACTGACTGAATTTCCGTGTCCTCCTGCATTTCCATCCCCACGTTCCGCCCAGCCAACACTGGCAAAACTCACCCCCAATGACCGGACATAGCGCTCCATATGATCAGTCGCAAAGTTCACAAACGCCTCCGCCCATTTCCGGGGCCAGAAGTCACACTCCCGATCAAACCGAGCACTGTTGAACCAGTCCTCCATTGCCAGCTTTCGACTATCTTGAATACCCAGCCGACGCTGGTCGGCCGAATTCACGCAGAACAAGCCTCCCAGAGACCAAAATGCTTGTCCACCTAAGCTGGCTTCATTCTCTTGATCTATGATGACCGTGTGCACGTCACGTTTGGACAGCTCGAAAGCGGCGACTAGGCCAGCTAGTCCACCGCCGACGATGATGATGGGTGAATTCTTCTCGGCCATTCTTGGATATCAAAGGCTGTAAATTCTCTCGGATATGGTAGATTGTAGTTCAGAGTCTGGGGTAAAATGTGGAGTCGTTGGATTCTGGGCTAGGTAGTACTTAAATATCGCATGAGATCACGCGATGGAGGAGTCCTCGGCTTCGGTCAATTCACCTCGGCGAATTTATTCCTCGCTGTCACAGCCTGGTATGCTAGTATACATGGTCGAATATGCATGATAGCATGATATTATTTCCATATATTGAAACCGAAAAGCGGAAAAAAAAAAAAAAAAGAATTCATTGTGGTTGTTCATGATCCATATCATACTTCATTCCATGTATCTAAAAAGTCGAAGATCGAATTCTCATCTATCAACGCATCGATAAAGCCAGCAGGCATAGATGAATCAATCCCGTCACTAATCTTTGGATTACATTCTCCACTGGCTGTTTCAACAGGACCAGTATCTGAGTGAGGCCCAACCGGATCAGCACCTGTAGAGGCACCAGGCCGATGTGATAGCGGCGAGCTCGCGGCATATGTTGGAAATATTTGCTGCAAAGCTTTTATGAAAATCCCACGAAATAAAGACGCTACTGTATAGGTTTTCTGTAATTCTTCTAGGACTCCCATGCACATATCGAGCTTGTTGAAGCTGAAACGTCTCGAAAGTGGGTTGCCATATTTACAATTGAGAAGGTGGGTTTGCATAACCGGGACTAAGAGGGCGGGTCTATCGTACATTAGATGAAGCTCTTCTGGGAGACAACGTATACAAGAAAAGGTATCTCGAACTTACGTCATTGGCCCTACATATTCCAGCAGATTTTCTCGAACAAGAATGTCAAGGATCTCGGTTGACTTTGATGCCGCAGCATCGGCCTTTGACTGCAGGCGTTGCTGCTCAACTTCTTGTTGGCTTAGAGCGAGGCTCTCAGTATGTTCGATTCCGCAGGGACGGTATAGTGTGATCAAAAGCGCCCTATGGTCGTGGTATTAGTGCTGACAATGCTAAGGGGGAGGAACAGTCTTAACTGGTAATGCAGATGAACATGATGTGCATAAAACTTTGCCAAAGGAGTCAGGCCATGCTCATCTTGGTCTGACAATCTGCATCGCGTAATCTGTGCTTCAAGAGCATTGATCTGATTGATCGAGGACTTTGACTTCACGGATTGGCTTTTCAGCAGCAGAACCTTACCCAAGAGCTTGCTCAGTTCAATTAAAATAACCCAGAACTCAGCCAATTTCCGAAACTCCTGGGGAATATACGACGCATCAGTGGCTTCAGGTATGCTCTCAAGCTCGCTGAGTAGGTCCGCCGGTACGGACATAGGCAGGTCACAGTCGTCCAGATTGATTCTCAGTGGTCTACCAAGAGTAAGGCCAAGCCAGCGATCGCGGAAGAAGCAGGTCCACCACAGACGGCGCCACAAACGTCTCTGACAATCTGTGATAGATGAATTATACCTCAAGGAATCCGGATCGCGGTGTAAACCCAGCATTTGGCAAAGGTTAATTGCAATTCCGGTCCAGTACCAAGGTTGCATGTGTTCGTCTTGCTCCGAGTGCCAAAATCCCAACAGCAGGGAGGCTTGCAGAAGTGTGACCTTGTTTCTCTCCCCGCCGTTATCGTACATGCACTACATGTATCAACACGACAAACGTAAAGGGCGAGATGACGCTAATAGCTATAGAGCTTGCTCACCTTCGCACGTGAGTACATAGTGGCTTTCATTTCCTTCCGAGAGACATAACCTTCTTGCTCATAGATATGCGAAGACACGAACTAAAAACCAAACGTTAGATTTGCTGGATCGTGACTTGGTTGTAACCTTCTTACATTGACTGCAACGAAAAATACGCTCCACAGTAGTAGAATATTACAGTCACCAAGCCGGCCTTGATCTTGATAGTTCAAAATGGAGCCCACTTCAATCACTGGCATGATTGGATGGACATGATAGAAATATGCACGAAGCAGGCTCTCACAAGTGTCGGGCTTAGGTAGGTTGAAGACCCCTTTCTTTTGGAGGTAGTCCCGATCATCGTCTGACAGGGTAGTCTGGTTATTCGATGGGATTAGACAGTGTCTTGGCAAGGAGTGATCCGGCGAGCAGATATCCAGAGTAGATACAGGCCCAGTTCGGTCTCCTAATTAGACAATAAACATAGGTAATATTGGCAACCTAAGCGTCATTGTTACCTGTATAGAAGGGCACTTCGCCCACCCTTCGCGGTTGCCCTAAAGCGGCCGCTGCAATTTCATCACCGTTTCGCTCTTCATCTTCGATATCATGCGCTTCGCGAGCTGCAGTGGCATCCGCGCCTAGAGACACATGTGGCTGCACTTGGAACGCTGGGGGCTCCACTCTACGTGCTGGTGTCTGCTGATTCGGACTCTGAGGGCTTGCAAGGAGAACCGGCCCACCGTGTCGCTCAGGTCTACAACACACTGACGTCAACATCTATCAACTCATGCTTCCACATGAGCTTCCATCTTACTTCTGTCCTCGCCTGGTTGGGACTATACATTGGGTACGGTCCTGTGTGCAGCCGATACATGGAGCCCCGGTGACATTCAAGCTGCACCGTACTTTCCGTTGGCGACACCTTTGACATGCAATCGTTCTCCGACTGCGGCGGGCTGAGGTAGTAGAATTCGTAGGCGGCATCGTAAACCCTGTAATAGTACCCTTCTGCTCCTTTTCTGTCGCCGAGGTGTTAAGATAATGATTGACATAAAAGAGCGAGAGTGGGGCAGGCCACCTCGGAGGCGAATAACCCTATTCTTCACCCCGAGGAGTTCCGCTCGATGGGGAAATCTTGCCGCGGTTCAACTTCGTCGCCGAGGCTCACTCTTAGTCCTTTTTCGGACGGACATTTGCTGCCCCAAATCAATTGTTACATGATGCTGAGTCTGCGTGTGATATTACTTGCATAATTAAGTTATGTTGTATGAACTAGTCCACACACTGATGGCCAGCTTAGGGCTACTTGGGCCCTTCATAAGCTCGAAAAAGCTTCACCTTCACAGGGCACATCTACCGAAAACGGATTTGCAGTAGGTAATATAGTAGAAAAGGATTGAGTTTGTATGCTAATCGTGACTATCATTACTAGTATACATTGGGAGTCAGTTATTGAATTATGTATGTACTGTACATACGTGGATATTTTTGTATCATTTTTCCCTGGGTATATATATCCCATCCTTCAGTCGCGGAAGTCTCCCGATTCCGCCAATTTCCTCGAGTCAGCAGCATCACTCAGTGAAAATTCCTAAAATTGGTATGAGAATAATGTTGAGATATGACATAAGTCATTTATTCCATAGTTGTATAAAATTATGAATAGCTCAGGTATGCTTTTTCTAGCCCTATCTCGGAGCTGCATCCGGTGACAATTTGCGGGGAAATGTTCGGAGGCCTCCCGTAGCGGGTGGAGATAGTAGTCAACCCTTATCTGAAGACTGGTCTAATTCGCTGGCCAGTCTGCTCATCTTAATATCCTATTTGGGTAAGAGGTAGAGGTCTCCACATTTCTTATCAAGGGGTAAGGCGGTCTGTATACTTGATTTTGTAAGATGTAGTAGAAACATCGACGTGCGATCAAGATAGACCGGAGTGCATCCGAGCAGGTTTGAGAGAATAGAGGAATATTGTGTACACACGAGTATCTGTATGCATATTCGGGAGGGCCCCGAATAAAGACGCCAGATGACTCTCGGGCTGCTCCCAGGATAGGTGTATGACTTAGATATAAGAGATGTAGGCTCACGATGGAATTCGAGGAATGCTTGCCCTGAGCTCATTCACATCGTAAGGGTCTCGTATCTACAGGTTGCCATCATGTCTTCCACTCAAGCTGCTTTTCGTTCTCTTTCCACCTCTCCCGATGACTCTAATCCGAAGTCTCTAGCCAGTAGTTGGACAACGGATATTACAGTTCCCAGAGTGGAGACCAGCGACCACCCCAAGGTCGATGGCCCCATAAACTACAGCAGCCCGTTCATCTCGGAGCGAGCTATCGACCAACCCCGACCCCTCAAGGTGGTCTACATTGGAGCGGGTATCTCGGGGATCATTGCGGCCATACGTTTCATACAGGCAGTCCCTACCCTAGACTTAGTGATTTATGAAAAGAACCCCGAGCTGGGAGGCACCTGGTATGAGAATAGGTATCCTGGATGTGCATGCGGTACGGGCACCAATCCCAAAAGTGATGGGTATCTTCTAACGAGCCTAGATGTCCCATCTCATGCATATCAGCTTAGCTTTGAGTCTTGGACCGGGTGGAGCAGCTTTTTCTCAGGCTCCGATGAAATCCTGGAATACTGGAAACGGGTGGCGAAGAAATACGACGTCCGAAAATATATCCAATTTGAGAAACGATGTACTGGGGCTCGGTGGAATGAGGCATTAGGGAAATGGTTTGTCCAGATGCTGGACTTACAAACGGGGCAGACATTTGAAGACAACGCTGATGTCTTGATCACGGGAACGGGCCAGCTCAACGAATGGAAATGGCCACCAATTCCCGGATTGCACAGTTTCAAGGGGAAATTACTTCACAGCGCTTGCTGGGACGAGACGTATGACCTGAAGGTAGGTAAGTGCGCGTTGTACAACCGAGTTGCTCCGCTGATGAGTGGGATTCACAGGGCCGGAATGTTGCTGTTGTTGGCGGTGGGAGCAGTGGGATCCAGATTGTCCCAGCTCTTCTGGATACCGTGCAGTCTATGGACCACTATATCCGTGGAAAGATGTGGATCTGTAGCCAACTTGGAGGGGAGCAGCTCGCTGAGCGAACAGGCCAGAAAGGAGGGAACTTTCAGTTCACCGCAGAGGAGAAGCATACATGGCGTGAAGATCCTGCTGCATACATTCGGTATCGGAAGGATCTAGAGTTCAAGATGCAGACTTTTCATGGGAAATCGCAAAGAGGAAGCAAAATGCAAATCGCTGCGCAGGCTGAGTACACAGCTGACATGGAGCACCGACTGAAGCCGAAACCAGAACTCTTGGAACAACTCCTCCCGACCTTCCCTCCTCTTTGCAAACGCATTGCGCCTGGCCCTGGCTATCTGGAAGCCTTAACCTCACCCAAGGTTAACGTCATCACTTCTAGCATCACCAATGTAGACGCCACGGGTATCATTGCCGATGGAAAACACCGTCCTGTTGATGCGATTGTCTGCGCGACAGGTTTCGAGACTAGCCCGGGTAGCGGGTTCCCGATTCTCGGACGGCAAGGAGTAAATCTTCGTCAACGCTATGCCGAATGTCCTGAGACCTATCTAGGGCTTTGCACGGATGGCTTCCCGAACTTTTTCCAATCGCTGGGACCGAACTCATTCCAGGGAGCTGGGAATTTGCTGATCACGATAGAGCAGACGCATCTATATATATCTGAAATCCTGACCCGAATGGCATACGATAATATCGGGTTGGTAGAGCCGAAGCGGTCACAGGTCGAAAATTTCACCAAGTATGCAGAAGAGTACTTTAAACGCACCGTCTATAGCGCGGAATGTGCGAGCTGGTACAAATCCTCCCCGCCAGGCACATCCCCACAAGCGCAAAAACGGGGGCGGGTCGCAGCTCTATGGCCAGGAAGTAGCCTCCACGCCATCAGGGCGCTGAGACGGGTTCGATGGGAGGACTTTGAAGTGAGCCCGTATGATGGCAACGACTTTGGCTGGTTTGGAAACGGATGGACAGTAAAAGAGAAGGCGCCGCATGTCGATGATGGAATGACGCCTTATCTGGACCATACTGGGTTTGTGGATGATGTCCAGTTAGAAGATAACGAGAGGAGTATGTATTGAGGCTAAACATGTCAAGGCATTCATTCAGAGATCTTCCCTATCCGTGGATGAGATGGTAGTTGTAGTAGTCTACCATTTAGAGATGGACTGGCATTCGTAGCGAATACACTAGGGCGACATTAGTGAGCTTGACTTCGCAGGATGATCACATTGGAGCCAGATTAGATCCTTTATTGGGTTGTTGGACCGGCGCTAGATGTTAGGGTACTGCGGGGGGTTGCCCTCAAAAAGATAAGATCCCCGCTCTCTCTAAATCAAACCGCAAGCCGGACCCGCATCAAGTTATCAACACGACTCTCGATCCTGCAAAGCCTCCCATGACAGGTGAAACCAGTAGTTTCGCAAATAGACGGACTATAAGCGCGTACGTCAGCGTCCACATTGGTGCTTGTTAAACATTGCTGACGATTCCTGCTAGTTGCCTGAGATGTCGTCAACAGAAAATAAAGTGCACAGGGGAAAACCCGTGCCGCAATTGTCATCGTCGACATGTTGTGTGTACATTCGAGCGCGATCACGATAAAGTATTAGTTACAAAAAAGCATCTGCTGGAGCTGAAACAGCGCATCATCCAGCTAGAAAGGGACAACCGTGCTCTTCGCCAGCAACACGAGTCCTCAGAGGATCATGATAACCGTGTCTATGCACCCTCCCCTGTCGCCGAGGGACTTGACTCGACGGCAGCAGGCGGCAACTCCATGCTCACACCTCAGTCGGCGTCAATGTTCACGGACTCTGCGGCAACCGATGGGAATATGGTGAATCCTTTGACTACCGGCCCTCCAACGTATATAGCAGATCGGACCGGCAAGGTTTGTACGTTGTAACTCACCACGTCCTATTGCGAACAACTAACACAACTGCACAGATTATCTGGGGCATAGCTCCACCTGGTCGCTGACGATGCGTCTCCTGGAGCTCACTCACGAAACGCTCTATAAATGTCCATTCCCTGTTGGGATGCAGCGGCTGGATTCAACAATCTACGACCTGGGATGGGATGGTACAAGACACACCGTCATGCCGGGTGTTGCAGGATTGCCTTCCCTGGATCATTCCCTCTTCCTTATGAATGTGACTAAATTTCACACGGGCTTAATCTTTCACTTGTTTGACGAAAAGACCTTCGTAGCTAGGCTTTACGAGTTTTATCGCGATCCCGCGGAGAATGTACACACGGCGGGACTATGGTTTATCCAATTCCTTGTGATAATGGCTCTGGGCAAAGCGTTTATTGGTCTTAGAACCAACGGCGAGGCTCTCCCTGGGGCAAACCTCTTTCTGAAAGCCTTTATGATGCTTCCAGACTATTGTTGCCTATGGCGAGAACCAAGTCTATCCGGAGAACTGCTTTGTGCAATGGCGCTATATTTGCAATGTATCGACTGGCGAGTTTCGGCGCACAACATGGTAAGTCTCTGTACCTCACACTTTGTCCACATTCTGTGTGTCTTTTCCCTGTGCTTTGTTTCCATACAGAACATTTAATGTACCAAATAGATAGGACAGGCTCTTCGGATTATGTTTGTGCACGGATACCATACGAATATTCCCCGAGGTACATTCGAGGATTCTGCTCTTGAGCGGTCGCGAAAGGTTTGGTGGACTGTATTCAATCTCGAACGGCAGATGTCAGTCCTTATGGGTATTCCTTCAGGTGTCAGCAACCAAGATATCACTGCCCCACTGCCGTCCTACCCGGAGTCGTTGAACAGGAGCGCTACGATGGCGATACATGTGAAGCTCAGCCAGGCTTTCGGGATAGTAGTGGACAGTATGACTGCAATCTACACTTAATCATAACAAAGATGCTGACGGATTTGTAGAGCTCTACGGACAGGACAGTCATATCAACGCCAAATTTGTAAGAAATGCACAGAAGGTGCTGCAATCCGTCGCTGGCGTGGCCCCCGAGCTTACGGACCACTTTCCGATCCCTGAGGAGGGTTCACTAAACGGGATCTCGCGGGACACTGGCTATATGAATCTGCTATATCATCAGGTACCTTATTATTAGCGGCGTTAGATGTCATCCAGCTGACTGATTATGCACTCCCAGTGTATCATGGTAGCTACCCGACCATTCCTTGTTGGTCTGATAATTAGGCGTATCCGGTCTGAGAGCCCCGAAATCGTCATACCATCCTCGATTAGGCTTCTCCTGCAAGTGTGTATTGACTCTGCGAAAAAGACTATCCACATACTGCAGGCGCTCCAACGCCAACAGTTACTCGGTGTGTGCCCAGTTCTACCTCCTACAATTGCATACTCTAACATTTCCCGAATTCCAGAGCACTTTCTTCCATTTGACCTCGAAAGCGCTATTTCTGCCGGCGTGATCATGTGCATGGTCGCAATCGTAGCTCCATTCTTAGTTGAAAGTCCTCGCCATTATTTAGAAGGTGTATTTGCTATTCTGGCAGAGATGGTTGAGAAGGGAAATCTGGTGGCCGAGGCGCACAAGAACAAGCTGGAGCACCTGGAGGCGCTTTTGAGTGAATTTCAAACACCGGGTTCTTCACGGAGAGGCGACACAGGTAGCGGGTCCCATCCGGTACCGGAGCCAGAAGAAGACGATGATAATGGAGAGGAATTGATGCGGGACGGTGAAGCTGCGGGCCTGGGGCTGATGGGTGGTGAGGGGTTAGGGCACGTCGAGCCATGGGATCTGACGCATGATATCACTGCCTCACAGCTGATGACGGTGGCCAGTACATTGGACGTGAATGGGATGCTTGACTGGGTGGGGTTTGATTTAGCCATGGATGAGAGTAACAACTATCCCATGCTGTGATGGTCGGATTTGTCTGTCAATAGTATGAGCTACACATGTTCTAAGTCAAAGATGGCCTGGCTATATGACCTTAATTTCGTATCCCCTCATCATGAAAACCTTCCTCGGTGCTGCCAAGGTCTTTCATGCGGGGTCTGAGCCGTGGCACCGTATTCTTATCGTTCAAGACCTCCAGTGGAGATATCCTCCGGTCCTTTCCCCACATAGATCGGATGCACCTCCGAGATAAGACAAGATAGGGTATCGGAGCACTCAAACCAGATATATAGTATGTAGCCATCGTAAAAGAGATGACATGACCACATTATAACCTTCCAGAACAGTTGCCACAGATAAGAGACGTATAATGCCCCTCAATAAAGTACCCCCGGAACTTGTCCCCGTTCCTCCGACAGCGCACTCGCCCAACTCTGACCTCCCAGTCATCGCGTTCCGAGGGGCGTTGATTGACCGGACGTTCGAGGGTGCCGTTGCCTCTGTGTATACGAGCGAATGGCCGCGGGGAGGACACTGGAAAATCTCCGACGAACAGCTCGCCGCTACGCCCCACTACCACGCCACCACGCACGAGGCGTACACCGTCCTGAAAGGCAGCGGAACTTATCTCCTGGGCAAGTCCCCGTTGGACCCGGACACTGACGCACATGGTAATGCAGTCGGGGTCAAATTTGTTGCTCGTGCGGGGGACGTTTTTATTTTTCCGGTGAATCTTAAACATACCCATGGGTTTTAGCAGGGACGTGGCTTGGGCTGATATTACTCTCTATAGGCTGGGGTTACGCACTTTGTAACGGACACGGAGGATGATTACGAAATTATCGGCTATTACTTGCTGGTGAGTTGACTTACAAGTGATCTCGTATTCAGGGCATACTGAGGGTGATTGCGTAGAACGAACGGAATTCTCTCGAGGAACCGTACGACATGGAGTATGCATTGGATTCAGTAGAGGAGACGGACAGGATGCGCGAAAAGTGCAGACAAGTGCCATTGCCTGTCCACGATCCCATATATGGCAAGGAGGGGCCGCTTCTGAGTGTCTGGAAGAGAGATGGTTAGCTAAGTCTTGGTCATGATAAGCGGATATCTTATCTGGATATCGATTGATCTGTTTGCTACACCGTAGAATCCTTTTCTGCAACTTAATCACAAAGGGAAGTCAAGCCCCGGAAGTGCTTTCCCGCGGAAAGACAATACTGATATGGGATATGGAGGTATGCTTCTGCGTTTCCACTCCTGTCCAGCTATCCACGGGTTGATTGGACCGTATCAGATGGTGACGTAGAGTCCGTGCGGCAATTGGCCGCAGTCCGAGAGGAGATAACAACATCTACTTGGCTATCTGGACGCTTGAAATCTGGGGAAACGTCCTGCTCATCTTTTTTGCCGCATGCAGTAAGGGTAGACGCTGGCTAGCCGCGTGATTAGGCCACGTTGATCCCTTGCGCCTAAAGTTCGAGATCCCTTATACGAGTTTTCTTATATACTGGATCTATCCCCTATGGTTTATTACAAGATGATTGATATAATTGTCTTTCTCATTCAATCTCTAGAGGGGTACATTCATGGATGTTCTGCAAATCTCTCTGTGAATTTACCCATACAACTACGACTTTGTTAGCAAATACAAACCGTCTCCTTCTGTATTGTATAGAATTGTATGACATAGACCCATTTGATAACGATGTTGGACTCCAAGGATTCACTCTCTGCGGAGCCTCAGCTCAAGCATGAGATTGAAAAGACAAGAGATATGAGCGACACGCTCCATCCGTCGACCAGCTTGCACGACGGAAGCATGATGGAAACACAGGACACTCGAAATGGTCAATTCCATCGTTCCTTTTCTCCGCGCCAGGTCCATGTAAGAACAAGTGAATGTCGCAGAATCATTCCTTTCCTTGGTTACTAACAAGAAACTATGTAGATTATCTCACTTGGTTCCAACATCGGCAGTGGAGTATTTATCGCAACAGGCCAGGCTCTCGCCTCGGGGGGTCCAGGGAATATGGTCCTTGCCTACGGAATGGTCTGTAGCGCGGTCTGGGCTGTACTGCAGTCTTTGTCTGAGATGACTATCGCGTTCCCCGTCTCAGGCAACTACATCGACTACGCCGATCGGTGGGTTGATCCTGCCTTGGCCTTCGGGGCGGGATTCGCAGAGTGGCTTGGTTTGTGCATCTGAAGCGAAACATGACATCTCATTATTCTGACAAGCAAATAGCATGGAGCGCAATTGTCGCGTCAGAAGCGGGCTTTTTCAATGTACTAGTACAATACTGGGCAGAGGGATCGTTACCCCTTGCAGCTACAGGTAAGTATACCCGGTGTGTCTCAGCCATAGGCATGGATGGTGTCTAACATGCTGCCCAGTCACCATATTCCTTGCAGTCTGCCTGTTTGTCTTCTTACTTCCTAACAAGGCTTTTGCCTGGTTCGAATACATCACGTCTATCATTAAAATATTCCTCTTCCTCTTAATCATTGTGCTTGCCTTGGCCCTGGTTTTGGGCGCTGGACCGAACGGCTACGTCCATCACGGCGAAACTTGGACAGACCTTCCCCCCTTTTTCAATGGCTTCACCGTAGGTTCCAAATGGCAACCCTACTAAAACAATCCCCCCACAACTAACGAAGACAGGGATTCGCAAACTGCGCTCTGCTGGCTGTCTGGGCAGTTGGCGATCAAGTCTTCATTGGAATCATGGGTGGTGAAGCCGAAAGTCCACGGTTCTCGATGGCACACGCGACAAAGCTCGTTCCATTCCGGGTGAACTTCATCTACATGGTCAGCATCGCTTTTATCACAATCCTGGTTCCGTCAAACGATGAGCGTCTCCTCAGTGGAAGCGGAGTCGCTGCGTCTCCCTTTGTCATCGCCGTTCAAGACGCAGGTATCCCGGTGGTTCCGTCCATTTTGAATGCCGGAATGATATGTGGAGTGCTTGCAATTTCTGCAGAAGGCGTTTATCTCTCCTCAAGAGTGTTAAGAACGATGGCGCATCAACGTCTCATTCCAGAAGTTCTCGCCAAAGTTGATTCTCGAGGCAGGCCGAGATGGGCGTTGGTGATCACCAGCGTGTTTTCCGTCATCCTTTCTTATATCCAACTTGCATGTACGCGTGAACCCCTTCGGAACAGCATCTATTAATATATTTCTAACCATTAAGCCATCCCACAGCCGGGGGTCTCACTGTGCTGAACTGGCTGATTGCTATCAGCAGTGCGTCTTTCTTTACAAACTGGGGTATTATCGCCTTCACCAATTGGCGCTTCCATTGCGCCCTCAAGGCACAAAAGGACCAGCTGTTTACTGAGGCATATGGGTGGAAGTCGACATTCTGGCCCACAGCTCCGGCGTGGCTCATGTTGGTTTCCCTCATGTTGCTGGCGTGCTGTGTTGGATGCGGTGTTAAGCCTGTTGTATGTCAAGCCACCCCCTTTCTTTTCTTGCCCTCTTAACTGTAGAGGCAAGCAAAGGCAGAATTGTTACTTGGCTGACAAGATCCCGGTTACTTATAGGGCGGCCTTACCTTTACCGCAGAGAACTTCTTCCAGTACACACTCGGGCTCTGGGTCATCGCCGGTTTAACCCTCGCTTACAAAATTATTTTCAGAACCCCGTGGAGAGACCCAAAGACCGCGGATTGCATCACCGGTAGACGGACATTGGGGGCAGAGGAAATCATGGTTCTCGACCGTTACTATGAGCAGCCCTGGTGGAGGCGGTTTCTTACATACGTGCAGCTGTGGTAGTGCTGGCTGTAATGTTACTATGGGCGTTCTTTTTATTAGTCCGAGACTAGTAGTCAGCTTCTTGTTCCACATGATGGTATCTAGAAATGTATTAAAAATCTAGATGGCTTTGATCGAAATACCAGGTTCATAGGCTCATAAGCCGTGAGTGGATTTATCCATGCTCGTCAACAAACTGGACTTCTCTGCGCGATGCGCTCCTTTTGAAGCTCCTAGTAATTGCTAGGTCCACTCAGCTTTAGTTCTTGACAGGTTTGTATGTGAAGTAGCCTATGGGGGTAATCTATTAACCCACGGTGGGGCTGGAGAATGGAGAATTGCGGTGATTCCAGCTGAACATACAGTGGGTATAAGATGCCGTAAATACTCTGGGAAGGCTGAGCTGAAACTGAAAACTTAATACACCACCAGCTGCAAGATGTGGTTGAATCAGATCTCACCGTGATTCTCCTGGACATTTCACTCGCCAGTGTCAAGCCCGAATCTCCACCCATCGGCATTGACAACAAATATCCAGCTTTGGCCCCGCGACGATCATTGATTGAAGCCCCACCAGATCTACATTTTATGGCCACTATGTTACATTACTGCGGTCAAGAGAGTAGCTGAAACTCCTCCCGCCCGGCTATAAATTGTCATTCTTCCTCCTCTGAATTTCTCTCTCACTCTATTCCTGCAATCTGCCCTACACAGTCATCAAGAACAAAACCGCACTGAATATAGCAAGCCCGACCACCACAAACATTCAATATGGCTGTTCAAACACTCCAAGAGTACGCCTTCCTACCTGGTTATCTTCTATCCTGTCCATGATAATCAAAACTAACTCCTATACCTCTTCTCTAGTCCTGGCGAGGTCTTTCAAGCCATCGAGAGCGGCAAGCCCACCGTCATCCATTACTGGGCTCCCTGGATGGGACCGGAATCGCCACTCGCTCCCATTTTCTACAGCCAGGCTGAAGACCACGATGCGTTGAGCATTTACATTGTCGATTCTGGCTTTATTCATCCCGAACATTCACCGGATGAAATGCCCTTAACGGTCTTCTATAGAGATGGCAAGGAGGTAGACACGGCTGCATTCGATCCGGGCGAGATCGAAGAACTTTTCCAGAGGAACACATGATTTCTATGTTGGACGGTGATTTTTTATTATGAAAGTTGAATTATCTCATGATGTACCTAGCTCCACCCTCTATCAGGCAATTAACAAGATACGTTTAGAGCTTAGTACCGTACCTGATCATTGCCGATAATAGCACTTGCGTATTTTCAGCTTGGAAGCTATGATATGCCGTTGCAGCAACAACATTCACATTTAAGAGCATGTTCACATTCTTCGTGAAGAGTGTGGGCGAGTACTGTACTACGGCGGTGCTTCAATGACTCGATACAACAGGCACCTTCTCCCATTTGCAACTTTATATACACGTTTGGTTGGCTTGGGTACTTCATGTGGAACTATATGCTCACGCCATTATGTATTACTTGTTGAGATGTTCTTGTATAAATTCGATAAAAAGGAACTAGTATGGCTGTCTTTACCAGGAAGGAAAAATGTCTTACCAGGTACAGTATATTAAGTCTCTAGACACTATCTATATTATAAGACTACTTGCTATTCAGTACGAGGCAAAAGAAATTAGTATGAGAGAGATTCTGGCCCTATCTTAAAGATTTAATTCTTCTATGAACAGTTTACCCTCACTCTCTGATTATCTAAATATCTCTGGGAGTGATATAACTATCTCTATAGTTAAATAAACTGGTTTTAGTACGACAGCAGATACTATATACAGTAAGATAAAGCTTGGATCGAGATTCTAGTTTATAAAGAATTAATATATCAAAACCCAGATTCGTATGCACTATTATATCTCCTTGTGGGGTCAGCCAAGAAGTAATTATTCCCAGCAATGCTGCCGATGCATGAACTTTGCCGCTGGTTTTACATCAACGATAGGGTGTGCCATTATTCTACCGTTACTGACGGCTCTCGCGACAAACTGGGTTTCTGGAAGCATGACTGCTGGTGACCCACCATTGCGTGTCTGGGCCATGAAGGGTAGCTTCTTCATATTAGGAAGACGATACCTAAGTCAGGCTTGGACTCAGGTGTTATGTGTCTCTCCTGGTAAGCGACCAGTACTCCTAGATACCATCTCGATCATAGCAGTATACTCAGCTTACCTCAACATCAAGATAATTTTTCATTCGTCCTACAGTGGAAGAAAAACAAGCAAAAGCGTTCACTCCCAATCGTATCGTAATCTCTTGGCCTCATTTTCCTCCTCATCAAAAAGGGAACCTGCTCGCTTTTGCACATACACCACACCACGGCTAAGCATATCAAAGCTCTGCAGGTGGGAAAGGAAAAACTTCGTGTAAGCAGCGGCAGTAGCTGCAGCGTATTTATGCCATCCATCATTCTTATGCGAGTCTGCGTAGTCGCATATTCCTCGAATAACCAAACAATTACTGGTTGTCATAACACCGGCGCCCTCCATCTCGAAGCAGAGGATGTTCATATCGTCGCGAAGGCGGTCTCTGGTTTTTGCGTCTTTGATGACTTGATTGCCAGAGGCAATGAGGCCGTAATGAATATGTGGTCCAGGTGGTCGCGACTTCCGAACAGCTCGAGGACCCGTACAACTTTTGCACGTAGCCTGGCCGGCTTCGTGCTTAGAATCGAACTGAAATAGATGATCATGTTCTTCGCCTGGGTTTCCATAATCGGACTGTAGTTTAACAATGTCTGCTACATATCCCCCAAGCGGGTTGTGAGGAAGACGAGGGTCTGACCTGATCATACTAACTGCAGTCATCAGTGACCTGGCGGGACGTTGGATAATGCCTGTGTGGTTAAACCCCGAGCCCCCCTGGATAGTTTTGCCCATGTCGTGTTGAATCACACCAGTACTGACCACTACATCGCCTAGCCGAATATCATCCTTTGTTGATGGTACTCCGCCACCGATTCCCACGACGAAATACCACTTAACATTGGGGAAGCTTTTTTCCATATCTGAGGCGACCTTGGAAGCAGCATTTGTACCGTACTCCTCATATGGAAGACAGGCCGCGACCACATTGTGATAACCCATTCGGCCGAGGGCATAGGAATTGGTATCGTTTTCATGCTGCGGTAGATCGCACTGGAGGTTATCGAACAAAGCCCGAATAGCCATCAGTTCCTTTGGTAGAGCACATATTATTGCAATCTTGTAATTCTCATGCGCAAGAGCGCTGCATATTGATCCGTTTCGCAGATCTCCATGTGCCTCATACGTAGGAATCGTAGATGAGATACCACTGGAAGATCCAATGCCGCTGTCGTTTGGAAAATCATCATCGTCTGATTCCTCATCTGATTCTGGTAGGTCTCCTTTCTTAGGATGCCCAATGTCGTTCCATATCCATCTAGCGTCCTTATTATAACCAAAGACAACCGCCCCGATGTCTCTTAATGGGAAGGGGACCCTCCTTAAAGGCCTTTGGCTCAGCTTTGAAGGCAGCATTGTCTGCGAAAGCTCATACTGACATGGAGAATCTGCTCTGCACTCACGCATCTCTTTGAACGTTATTATCGAAGGATTCCAAGCAATTGACTCCGTCAGTCGCGGGGGGTTTGCTCTTGGATTACCGAAGCGGTCTATGATCCTGCTGAGATCCGCCATACTCGCAGCCAGATAATACTTATTGGGTGGTAGAGCCTTCCAGTGGCTACACATCCCAGAGTTTCTCACAGGTTCGATTATATTACGAAAGCCTCTGCCAAACAAGGTGACAGCTTGAATAGCCCGAGTAAAGTCAACCCATCCCTTGCCCATAGTCTTTAACTTTGCGAGACGGGGATAGATAGGATCTTCATTTGTTGCGATGTCTTTGAAGTCCCAGCCCTCAAGATCTTTGCGTGACTTCAATATGAGTCCCTCGCCATTTCGTCCTGCAATCATCTCTTGATAATCAATTATCTTCTCAAGAGTTTGATACAAGGCCTCAATGCGATCACGGACACGGAACTGGACGTTTTCATCCAGATCACCTTCGTCGTAAAGCACCATATTAAGATTTGCGGTATTCATCAGCACCTCGATGGCTGCACTAGCCGTGTATGGGACCTCGGCTTCTTTAAAGTCTGTCGATTCAAAAAGGAAACAACTTGAAAGTTCATCCGCTTTGTTATATTCAATCGAGGCTCTGAGAAGATGCAGCAGTGCGCTTGTTGCATTCACCAACCACCCGCGTTTGTCTTGGACATCCCAGAGCACCACATACTTTCTGGAAATTGAAAAGAGTTTGGCTTTGTAGGTACCCCGTGAAACGTGTGGTGACTTGTCTTTATTCCCAAAGGCTGCTTTATGATCGGACTGGATCAATTTTCCTTGAGAAACTTGGGCATCTTTTAATTTGCATTCAGCTTGAGGGCCTCTGAGCCAAGATCTATCAATACTGTAAGTTGCATCGGCGGCCCCTGGGAGGCGTTATCGAATGCTAATAGAGCAAAGAATCTAGGGTACACCTTACCAGCAAGATATCGGACCTTTGGACACCAACCCAGGATATGTCGACTTTTTTCCAAAGCAGACAGACTAATATCGGCGTGGCCGCTAATAGTCTCATTGTACGATATGCGTTCTCCGTTCCTCTTGTGTAGTAAATGCCAAACAATGATATCATCATAGGAGTGGGTTGGCACCAGCATTACACAAAATCCTTTGATATAGAATTTCCTGTTGAAGGTGTTAATGTGCTGCGTTTTCACTAGACGTGCCATGGTATCCAGACTGATTTCGATGCCTAGGTTTGACATTGGCCGCCGTAGAACAGGATAGCCGCTCACTATCACGGGGTTTCCGAATAGCTGGTGCCAGCATTGGCCACTTGATGATATCTCGGCTTCGTCGACGAATTCAAGATTGAAGCTGATATGGAAAAAGAATCGTGAGAATGATGGCGAAGTTGAATCTTCCAGCTCCTCCATCCCGAATTCGCTAGCAAATGCATTGCAAACGGCGACTCCAGTCTCATATGGTGACGAGCGAAGAGCTGCTCCAAGCCAAGCGAGCTGCTCTCCGATCTCTGCGATACATTCTGAAATCCCTGTCACTTCAAGCCTGACCTCAGATCCTTGCAAGCATGCAATGAGCTTTGTTCCATCAGGAAGATTGTCTATATCCTAGTCAGCATCTAGTCCATATATACCTGCCAGATACTAACATGAATACCGTTCCCCGGCAGCATTTACAACGATATGCTTCACTATACGTAGAAGATGAATACCAGTTGATGGCCATGTCTGACTCAAGTATTGTATAGTTGTTGCTGCTTGGGCATCTGTCCTTGATCCAGTAATTGTAATGGCCCGCTCTATGGCCTTCATAGGGCTTTCCAAGTACCCTTGCTCCTCCAGAAATGTATTTGGATTCCAATCTGCAATTAGAATCAAAGTGTGCCGGGGCGGCGCCTGTTTTCTGCTGACATGTTGGGCTTTGGGCAGGCAATCTAAAATTGCCCGCCTGATATTGGTATGAGTCTCTCCTATGTTACTCAAATAAATCTCTTTCCGGATATTCCGTAGAAGCCATGCGTATGAGGGAAGATTTGATACAAACTCTTTATATGTAGAAAGTTCCGGGAGGATATCAGTGTCTTGCTCTCCTTCATCAAATATCTCATCATCATCATCATCCTGGAAGGCAATATCTGGTGGAAGCTCTGGAGGAGCATTTGGGTCTCCTTCGGTGTCAGTGTGTGGACCCCATTTGCTCATAATGTCGTTCAAGTCCATCTTAGCCATTTTGTCGCCGAGCACACTGGGTCGGCCCTTGTTTTCATCAAGATACCTTTGTCTGACCATATCGGAGATCTCCCTATAGTGTGATTGCATCAATACTCGCAAACCTGCAAAAGATAGTCTCATGTAGTATCTACTAACCTTCTATGCCTTCGTATAAATACCATCACATCTCGATATATTTGCATTGACTCACTAGATCCACTCATCGAGGCGAATGTTTTCAAAAGGTTCGGGAGGACTGCAAAGACCTTGTTCAATGTTTCTTCATCAAGCCTCTCTGTTATGGCCCTGTTTAGTAGATCTTCAGCAAGTGACAGAATATATGCCTCTTTTTTGGATGGGTGAATGTAGGGGCCTAATGAATATGCCGAGTCGGCATCATCCATGGCTGCATCATCATCGTCAAGTGAGCCTTCCTCGGTGACATATGCGTTAGTGGAGGAATATTCATCAGTGTTTCCTTCCGCCACCTGGCCCACTCCTTCTATGTTATCCTGATGTGTCTCTGTTGCAATACCGGACTTAAAAGCTTTATTTGACATGGATGCGTAGCCTGAGTCTGATACCTGGGCGTAGTCATTGGCCCACCCGAAAGGGACATCTTCCGGGGAAGCATGATATGCCACAGTTTCGCTCCAGAGGGCGAATTGCGCGGGAGATTTGGCCAGCGAGTCGTGGCGAGTGTTAAGCTTGGCCTCAGAGTCGTACCATGCGAATATCAAACTATCGTCGTAATCTCTAATCATTTCTTCTTGGAGTCGTTTAAACGCTTGTTCCCCTCCTTCACCATAGTGCAGGGGCATGTTTACCGAGAAGATCCCCATCAAACAATATGCCACGTCCTCGGGGCGGGTGGTTTTACGATGTGCTGCCCAGGACATTCGCTTCGCGATGCTTACTGAGCCCAGCTGGCTCGGATCCACGATAACCTCTTCGTCGATATTGGTGATCCGAGACAAGGTCGCTGTCATAGTACTCTTCTCTCCGATCATCACCCACTCGCGCGAGAAGAAAAAGATCTCCCGTGACGCCAGCAGTTCCTGGAGGGTCCAGCCTCTTGTAAACCACCTGCTTCTCTCAAATTCCGAGCCTTCCTGATAAGGGTCACAACTTCGCGGAACATCGGATAAGTACGCGTAGCATAGGGCGGCATTCGTATACCACAAAAACATCGAATTGAGCGCCTCCGACAACTCAGCGCTGCTCGATTTGTCAATGCAACACGTATCGATCCAGGCGTATTCGAATCCATCTTTTATCGCCTGAGCGCAGGTTGACTTGACTTTGTCCCATCCTTTCTTTAGTCTTGCGGTAGGACCTTGCATATCACTGAGGCTGATCTCTTCCGCTCCCCACGTATGCGAGAGAATCACATACGGTGGGATTCGGTGGGATGGGAAGTCGATCAGTGTGAAGTTTTTGGCGTTTAATAGACGCATTGTGTGAGGTGGAGAGCGTTATCCCCCAGGAAGAAAGCGTGTGGGGAGAGTGGATATTAAAAGGATGTTGTTCGCTGCAGAGGGATTCGTGCCTAACGGGGCGGAACCGCGGAGGCTGCAGCGGGGCGGACGATCCAACGTGTTATCCAACGGTAGTACACTACTTCAACGACAGGATTAGAACCTCAGAATTTGGAGACCTCCTTTTTTTTTTTTTTTTTTTTTCTCCAGGTAAACAAACATTTAAATGCAGGAGAACAGCCTCACTGGGCACCAATGACAGCACATCCACACAGCGATGCATACCAAGACAGCCATTACTCCCACTCCTACGTCTTATTAAGATATTTCTTAATGGCCCAGGACCCTGACTGGGGTCGTATTCCACCTCAACTAGCATGGCCCTGAGAAAGTCTATCTTGCCCCCGAATGTATGCCAACTGTCTAAGGCAGAAATCTCAATCTCTGCCCTTCTCAACTAATCATTTGCAGCTCTTGCTTGGATTTTTATGGCTTACACACGTGGCATCCTAACTATATTTGCTTATGTTTGCATTTATATTTCTCTTTGCTCACACGCTAGAGATTGAATGTTTTTAACTAACTTGAAAGATCGTGAGATGGAGCAATAGTGTGCGAGGGCTAATACCAGTATGTACCCTATTTTAAGTCCCTTACTGTAAATACTCCGCCACCGTTTCAGGATTAGCTTAATCATGTGCGAGCCAGGCATAACAAGGGATTTAATGGTCTTTTCATTTGGGATTTCCCCGTCGAATTCTTTATATCATTATCAGCCATGGCCAACTCCGATATACGAGAAGATCTATTCAAAGATGACACTGCGAAACGAATTGTCATCAAAGTCAAGACCAAAACTTTGAATCCCTCAAGCTACCTTACTTCGGCAAAGAATATAGTCAACGAGATTTTCCCTCGCTGGGAAAGCGACCATCGAATACTTTTCCTCGTCATTGATGTGTGGAGTGAGCGCACCTTTATGGTGATTGATATCAACAACCGCAACTACGACTTTCGCACGGCACACAACAATACGATGATGTTCCCAGTTTATGTCCTTCGACAGCATGGAAGACGGCAGACCTGGGTATTGATCCGCTGGCATCAACTGGATGAACGTATGAGTCTACAGCTAGCCGATCTCCATAGAGTCAATGGTTATGAAGCTACCTTGCCTTTTCTGGAAGACCATAACTCACGCATCGTCCACGCAAACCCGCGCGACCTTCAATAATTGACATTCAACATCTCATCTTGGAATAGCGAAAGAGCTATTGCTCCTTGTAGTTGTTTTATTTACTGCCATTTGCTACGAAATGAAGCTTCCCTGAACAAACCAGCGGCTTATTTAATAGCCTCTTGGTCAATGAGATGTGGAAGACATGTAAAGGTCTGATCTACATCGATAGAAGTGAACAGAAGGACTCGGAGATGCTCCAAAAAAAGCGGACATGCACATTTTTGGCCCAAGTCCGGAGTCATGGGATTCTAGGGCATGGAGAGGTTTTATGAACTCTGGATCAAGCCAGTGTCGTGGGGTTTATAGGCTACTGGTACTAGTGGTACCAGTACTGTCGAGTCATTGTTAACGCACTCTCAATTTACTATTTCTCAACTTGAAGGGAATTACTATCCTGGAGAATCTCGCGTTTAGGAATACGCATGTTTTGTCTGGCAGGCGATCCTCTCATACTAACGGAAAAAAGATGTGGACGTAGTGCATTGCTGTAATTTGGTTCCTACAAGGCTCGTCGTGGAGACATTGTAGAGAAATTATGGCATGAGTTTGACGATGGGAAAGAAAATAATAGAGGTTTGACTGGTGAAAGTCTAAAGAAGTGGAAACAAGGGATTACATCAATATTTACTTGAACGCTACTCGGGGCCATCCGCGTGGAGTGGATAAGTGAAGTTCAGAATAAGGGAACAATTAAATACATGGAAAAGAGAATGAAAGATGAGCTATCACGTCAAATAAGCACTAATTGGATATTTGGTGGGTCCAACTGTAAAGGAATACGGGAATCTGTTCTTCACGGATACTCTACCTTTGGCTTGGAATTCAATTCAAGAGTTAATTCTCAGTGGATGTTATTCCCTATGCTATCCTGAATATATTCTGTCCTCGATAGTTTTTGTCCTCTTCTTTTAGTCCATCTCTACAACCATCACCACAGTCATAACCCTATTAGGCCAATGAGCCACGTTAAAAGAGGTTCTATATATATCGGTCGAAGTTGTGCTTAATTGCTTTGAATCAAGCATAGCTAATTTTCTTTAGTGAAGCAGTGTACCCTAGAACAGTCGAACAACCGCTGTTAGACCTGAGCCTTGAATAAGGGGTAGACAGGGACTCAACCCGATTTCTCAGAGGAGAAGCATGTGGTTAATACTCCACTTGTGTGCTAAAGGCGACTATATCAACAGCCTCATTAGGAAGGCAGATAAGATGTACCAACGCCAACTGGAGTGGATCCATCACTATCGACTGATATGATCATCAGGGAGTAAATCCTCCAATCGTTCTGGTTCTAGTCGATATTATGAGCATTCGAGTTTAGAAAACAACTCGAAAAGCGATTGTTAGCATTCTGCTACGCTATGATCTACAAGTGGTGGCTATTGAGATTTGCAAAGATGCCACAGTACGACGGCCGATGCCTGTACCCAGAACAAGAAATGATAAAAGATTTCAAAGTAGTCGCGAACATGGTTTGGTATGTATGGTTGTTAATACTTACCTTTGGGCCGTTACGAGTCACTTATATTCTATCTAATCTCATGTCACGACCAAGCAGCAACAGCTCGCCGCTTTATTAGCAGGCGGCTGCCGGAGCTGTTGAGTCCTGAAGAGACCGTAAGTAAGCCTTTATGTACTTATTTCCAGAAAACGCGCTAATAGGAAGATCCGGGATCTAGAGACAGGAAATCATCGACCTTCGCCACGAGATAGAGACAGCGCTTGAAGAAGTTGAAAGAAAAAAAAAAAAAAAAAGGGAGAATTGTATCAGTTTTCTTCTGAAACAAGCAAGCCAGACTCAAAGTAAGTATGCTGAAGCTGTTACTTATGGTGGTACAAACATTCCTAACTACGGCACATTTGTATCACTAGGACCACCCTTCAACTTAGACAAGACCTTGCCACCATTGGACATGCCATTTTCAAAGGGATATAGACTGCGACAGATGCTGAGATGGCTGTGCAAGCTGGCGTGCACGGGATTATCGTCTCCAACCGCGGTGGGAGACAGTATGACGGCGCATACGGTTCACTAGACGCTTTATAAGAGATTGCCGACGCAGTAGCGGATCGCGTCGACATTCTATTCGATAGTGGGACTCGTACAGGCGCAGGTATGATGGGAGCTCTTGCACTCGGGGCGAAAGCGGTGTCTGTTGGTCGACCGGTTATTTATGGCTTAGATGCAAAGGGGCAGCAGGGTGCGTTGCATGTACTTCGTTGCCTTTTTGGCGGATTTAGATATCAACCTTGTTATTACTGGCGTTGATAATGCGACAGGTCTGAAGCCGGCTGATTTGCGGGGACCTCTTTTATCTCAGATAATTATTGGTGTGAAACGGTTGAGTAGATTCTATACTAAAATTTAACCAATTATTATAATAGATATTAGTACTAGTACTAGTAGTTGACACGGTAAGTGGAGCACGGGAAACTGCCGGCATGTTTGCCAGGCACACCGCCTCTGACGAACAAAGTTCTGGCCGATCCGGGAAGGTGGTTCCCTATCCCAGTATAGCGCCATCACTTCCGCGCCTCGTCCCGGCTGTGGGTCTTCCTCCTCATTTCACCTCAGTTTCATCCAACCATGGCTCCCCGCTCAAAACGCCAGCGATCGGCATCCCCGTCTGCTTCGGCCCCTCGTCGAAGGTCGAAACGTCTCGAAGCGAAGTCTGCAGGCTCATCTCGGCAGCAACAGAGAGGCTTATCAGTTATGTCTACTGAAACTGAGTCTTCGGTGACCTGGCCGTTCTTGGCGGCAGCAGCGATGGAAAGAATAGCGAAATACCAGCCCCAACATCGAGCTCACGAACAGATACTCCAACCCTCCTTGGGTGCTTTTGTCACGTGGTTACCAGCAGGCGGCCGGGAATCCGTGGCGAGAGATATTGTGGACGCGACTACGGATAAGGATCTTTACGATGTCTTTCATAATCTACTTACCAGCCTTGCGGTACCTAGTAGGTCCTAAACACATGGTATAGAGCAATAGGGATCACTAATCAATTGTCGGAGGGTAGTGAAAGCTCGCTCCAAGCAACCATCTGTCACAGAATCGCCCCACCCTAGACGGCAGGCGAATGTCGAGGTTGTAGCCGCAACACTTGACCAACCAGAAATTCGTGATCCAACTTTCCGGGACCTTTGTCTACGGCGTGATAGCAATTGCTGCGTCGTAACCGGCCACATGGACACTGACTACTGGGAGACGATTGGATGTCCAGATGATATCAATTTCGGCCCCACTGAAGGCGCACATATTATTCCATTTTCTTATGCATCATGGGACAAGTCATCGGTAGTGTATCCTAAGTGTATAGAGACTCATATATTAATAAATACCAGGCACCACCAAATGATACCTCAAGTGCATGGGAGGTGCTCTGGCGCTGTTTCCCCCGTGTTCGACAAGAAGGATTACGAGTCGAAACCATTAACAATCCATCAAATGGAATAACGCTACGAAACTCTGTCCATACCGAGTTTGGGAAATTCTCTATCGCTCTCAAGCCTACTGTAAGTAGCTAATAGCCGAGTACGTATGTTGTTCAGTTTTGCTAACAGGGAGACGCGCAATTAGGACAGTGATGACACATATGAGGTTAAGGTCTTCAGGCGATACCCAAAACCGGACAGACAATTCCTTCCTGGGAGTGGCTATATTGAATTGAAGAAAGCACATGATGCACAAGGCCTGGACCTCCCTAACCGTGCCCTTTTAGAGTGTCATTACAGACTTGCGGAGATCCTAAACGCATCAGGGATGGCAGAGGTGATTGAGCGCAGTTTTCGGGAATGGGAGGACCTCAAAGGCAGTTCTTGCCACTTACTCAGAGAGGATGGGGGTACGGATGTCGAGAAGTTTTTACGCACTGGCCTGTGGGAACGCGTGATCGGATAAAAAAACAGTTCTCTGCTATCATGCATAATATCCTGGCATTACACCGCACAATATATGCAGTGACTGGACGTCTGATAGTGAACCAAGGAAGACAGAAGTTACGTGGTGATTACCAGGCTCCCCCGTCGCTCACATTTTATTTCCTTTTCCTTTTCTCTCGTTTCTTCCTTTCCTCACTCCGTCTTACTCCATCCAACACTTCTTCTCTTCCTCTCATTCTCATCTTCTACCAGATCAAGACTAACACCGCCTCCTCTGTCTTTAACTATGCGGCCTATATTCTTTCCAGAAGACTGCTGGCTCGGCAAGACTCTCGAGGTCTCGTCACCTCCCTCTGTTTGGAAACTCACCGAAAAGATTATAGAGGAATCCGAGGTTATAAGCCGCAAGGACATGCAGGAGTTGGACTGTGTTCCTTACGCCCGCGCCGAGTTCAAATGCTGTAATACAAGCAATCCCGACCAGCAAGCTCTGATTATCATCTATCTCCAACTTCCTGCGGAAGAATCTATGTACCTGTCTCCGTCCATGCGTCGCAGAGAAGCAACCGACAGAGAGGTAGAAGAATTCGACCAGTTAGTCAAAGCCTATAAGTGTCTACAACTTCATGGTTGTGATTTCACACCACAATTTCTCGGTTCTTCTCATGAACGCCAAGATGATGATGGTCTCGTACCGGGAGGGTTTCTCTCATGTGTCATCTTCACCTTGGTCCCGGGCGATTTTCTAGGAACAGGAACCGTTGGCTGCGACTTCGGAGGCAGTGGCACTCCTTGCGTGGTACTGAGTCTTTCTCAAGAGGACCAAAAGCGCTGCCGAGAAACGTCGATTCCAGATGGGATGTTCTGGACATTGAGTGCAGAGGAGCGAGCCGTGATACGCCAACAGTTCGAATCAGCTTTCACGTAAGTCACTTCCTTTTACTGTAATACGATTCTCAAGCCGCAATGGCTGATACCTGCTGACACTGCTATCTCCTCTCAATAAAAGTATCTTATTCAATATCGGTGTGGATGTTTGGTGGGGTGACTTAGATAACTTGAGTTGGGACCGAAGGATGCAGAAGCTGTGCGTTCCCTTCCCTCTTCTTATGGGGTTTTTCGCCTTATTATAAAGCAGCAATCTTATTATTTCTGTGTACACATAGATACTTCTTCGGGCAATTTTACCTTGCTGAGGAACGCCCTACCTGGCCTAAGAAGGACGAGCTTCTCAGCTGGGGCCTAGCTTTGAGTCCTATTAAGCCACAAGGGGTGGAATGTGACGAAAGTGAACTGATACTCTGAGAGCCTATATACGGTATCTTTGTCACCCTGATGATAGTTATAATTGCTAGCTATCTGAATTGATTGGGATGCTCTCTGACATTCGTTGTGCCTGTTTGCAGTGTAGCTACCACATACACAAGAAGAAGAGAAAGAAACAATAAGGGATAAATGTTAGGAGATACAACGAAAGCAAAGTTCTAAGTATCCCCGTAGATACCAAGCTTGGCGTTCTTACTGAAAGATGGAGTAGAACTTGCTTGTGGATATGGAAAGTCACATCTGGTCAACCTACTCACTGCCCTCAAAAGTCTGAGGGAAGCGTTCAGTGGTCTTCTTGACGATATTCTTCCCGATGAATTCATAATCTGGTTCTATTGTAGAGTCTCGCGAGACAGGCTGGGAGGGAGGATTCTATCGTTCACCACATATTCTATTAGCCGAAGAAACCATAAGCAACAGTCTCAGTACACTTACCGCACGGTCGCTGAGTTCTTTTTGTAGAAGTGATATCCGTTGCTCCTTTTTCTTGATTTGCTCACGAGCAGTTTCGATCTCATATTGTAGATCGATGAGCTCTCTTCGCTAGGTCCCGAATCTTCTGATTAGCTTTTTCTCTGGAAATAAGTACTATAAAAGACTAGTTACCATTTCATCAACGCTTAGTAGGTCTGGCATTCTCCGCCTCAACCAGCGGCGTAATGCAGCAGCCCCTTCAGATGCCCGACCGCGAGGTATTCCCGAGAGGAGAAGAAGAAAAGGAAGAAGAAGAAGGAGAAAGAGTGGATAACGGAGGCGCGGGCGAAGGTTGGAGCTGGTGGAGATGGATATGGTGATATGTGTTGGAGGTGCTAAAGGTGACGGTAGAAACTTGAAAGAAAAGAAGCAAGACTATGACGGTATGAGGACATGCGATCCAGGCAAACAAGGTCCCCAGTACCTAGGTCGAAAGGTCATAATTATGACTCTACTATTCAGAATACCCTGGATCGCATCTATATATTATACCGCCTTTACAGACGAAAAGAAGATTCAGACAAAAGAGGAGATTCGATATATAGTCCTGGGTTTATTCACAGCCCAGTTTCAAGAGCGACTCAATACACTTCTATTTTTCTAGCTTTTCATGTATTTCCACTCTCGTTGACGTGTTTGTATAGGGTTGGGTATTCATGTACCTCATAGATAATAGCCCTTTTGGCTTATGTTGTCAGATTTTTTTCAAAAAGATATGAATAGTCAGTGTGGCCGAGTGGTTAAGGCGATAGACTAGAAATCTATTGGGTTCGCCCGCACAGGTTCAAATCCTGTCGCTGACGTTTCTTTTTAAATAATTTTTTGGAGTATCGGAGGAGTACATCTATGCTAACATGGCTACTGGACGATATCGCATGTACTTGTACTCTGATTCAAGTCAAGAAGATCAGCTTTTGTTGGGTCAATAGCACAATTGGAGTATGCCAATGACAAGCAATCCACCCCATAGAATTACAAATAGAAAAGACACACGATAAACATATGTGCCGTACAAGTATCCACTTCCCGGCTCAGCCAACGTCAAGAGCCAAACCCTACACTCCATACTACTGTAGAATACCCAAAGTACTAAAGCAAAGGTCTCATATCCCTCATAAAGATCTCCACCGTCTTCGGCCCGACCCCCCGAAACTCCTGCATCCGCACCCCCAATTCCTCAGTCCCGAACCGTCTCAACATCTCCCCAAATGTACCATATTCTTCCTTAATCGCACGCGACACATCAAGCAACTTCGTCGCAGTCGAAAAGTCATACCGGACATAATGACCCTCATCCAGTATCTCGACTAGTCGATCCCATCCTGCGTCTAGGATAGTATCCGGCGAAGTGATGCCCTCCTGGATGAGCTCAAGGAAAGCTCGCTTGGCGACGGCTTGCTGGACCGGCTTGCCAAATAGCAGACATGCGAGGAACCATTTGAAGTATTCTGTTTCAGTTCTGGACGAGAGGTTGATCCCCAGTTCGGCTGCTTGGATCTCTTTTTTGGGGGGCATGTTGGGTTGGACGTTGGGTGGTGTCTAGGTTAGGGTATGGAGTAGCACGGGATGATATTATTATGAGGTCATGTGCGCACGTGGTGGTGAATAGTGGACAACATTTTATTTGGGAGCGTATTGCTTCTGATACTCGGGGTGGATATTAGATATGCTTCCTATTATAAGTGCTTGTGGTCTTGGATTTTGTTTGGTGAGGTCGGGTGTGAGTTTCTTTTACGCATATAATGGATAGCAACTCAACGAAATATGGAGATGAGTTTCCTTTCACACACACAATATGAAAACAGTGATCAGTATCGATCATGTATTGAATCACTGACTTCCTCTACCACTTATACAACTTCATTAACTAGAAAGACTCATAACTGTATCCCGCAGTGAAAGTAGACAGAGTCTGTTACAAGGACATCTCCAATGCCAGCCATATCGAGAACATGAAGTAACCCCAGAACATGCGTTCAAGCAGGCATGTTCATAGATTATCGTCGTCTTTAAGACTACTATCCTCCTCAATGAAAAGGTAAAGCATGGAAGGCAGCGAAAGTACGATGGAAGTGCCACATATACTGCCCTGTATATGGTGGAAATAAGCAAATCCAAGGCTTCTGATATAACTCATGTCTGAACCTTATCAGTGTAACAAGTATCATTAACCTTCACTTACAATCCTTTTAACTCATATAGCATGAGTCATGTTTCATCCCTTTCTTAACTCCGCGGATTCCGCGGAGATAAATCTCTTTGCTACGGAGTAATTCCAACTAGGTCAAAAGTCACCAATACCAATGTCTTCGGGCAAAAAAAGTGTCTGAACAAAGGAATGAGAAGCCAAGGAAAGACAACTTAAGCGAAAGAAAAACATTACACCAAAAAATCACAAACCGGCATCTTGCCCGTCTTGCATTTGGCAGTTCCCGAAGCCCTAAAAGACCGATCAACATCGTACATGCAGACGCAGTAAAACATAAGGCGGATAAAGCCAAACAAGAGAAAAAGGGAAATAAATCCAAAACCGGTCCCAAGTAGATCTCAATCTAGCTGCAGATATCACGATGAGCAATAGAAGTAAGGCTGTTGCGCGATCGGCAGGCAATCACCAATTTCGCGTATGTAATGGAAATAAAGAATGCAGGAGAGACGATCAACCGTTGCTTGGCAGAGATTAATTCTCCAGGCTGATATCGACCCGGGTTATACTCGTCCTAGTGACAGGGGTCGAGTTGGAGTTCCGCAGTTAGGGCCATGAGTCAACGTTTCTTTTACCACATAACATAAACCATCGCCCTCATTTGATGGCCATTCCTTTCCACCCCCATTGAATCGAACCCTTACTACCGCGTCAGCCACCCCTTGGCTGAAATTAAGCGTCAAACTTGCAGCTCCTGAAAAATCTTTTTTACCCGGTTTTTACAATTTAGCCGATTTGCAGCATGGGCCGACGCGATGAAACACCCCAGACCACGACCGACCCATCCCCCACACCAATTGACCCCCCACCTGACGGGGGACTCAATGCCTGGACACAGGCCGTCATGGGTCACCTGGTCTGCTTCAATACATGGGGGTATATTGCCAGCTTCGGCGTGTTCCAAGCCTACTACCAGAGCAGTCTGGGGGTCTCCTCGTCGGCAATCTCATGGGTCGGATCCGTGCAGATCTTCCTGATCTTCTTCATCGGCACGTTCTCAGGCCGCGCGCTAGACGCCGGGTTCTTCCGCCCGGTGTACTATACAGGGGTTGTCCTGCAGCTCCTGGGGGTCTTCATGACCTCGCTCGCGACCCGCTATTGGCAGCTATTCCTGGCCCAGGGCATTTGCACTGGCCTGGGCAGTGGACTGCAGTTCTGCCCCGTCATGGGATTGGTCGCGACCTACTTCGCCAAGCGCAGGGTATTCGCCTTGGCCTTTGGTCTCGTCGGAAGTGGAACCGGGGGCATGCTCTTTCCCGGCCTCGTCAAGGCCCTCATGCCCGCCATCGGCTTTGGCTGGACACTCCGCGTCCTGGGCTTCGTCATGCTGGGGACCAGCATCCCCGCCATGACCTTGCTGAAACCCCGGCTGCCGCCACGGAGGTCCGGCCCCCTGGTTGAGTGGTCGGCTTTCAAGGAACCAGCCTACGTGCTCTTTTGCCTCGGCATGTTTCTGAATTTCTGGGGCCTATATTTCGCGTTTTATTATGTGGGTGCCTTCGGTCGCTCCGTTATTGGGCTGTCATATTCGGATTCCACCAATTTAATCATTGTCACGAATGGGGTCGGGATCGTCGGCCGTCTGATCCCTGCGTTTCTGGCGGATGTCTACTTCGGACCCCTCAATACGATTATCCCGCTGGCGTTGGGCGCCAGTCTGATGATGTTCTGTTGGATAGCCGTGCACTCGGTCGGAGGACTGTATGTCTTTGCCGTGCTGTACGGCATGTTCTCCAACGGTGTGCAGGGCCTGTGGCCGTCGACACTGTCGAGTCTGACGCCGGATCTCAGCAAGACAGGGGTCCGCATAGGAATGGGATTCACCGTGGTGAGCTTCGCCTGTCTGACTGGTCCTCCTCTCGGCGGGGCCTTGATAGCCAGGGCGGATGGTTACATTGGAGCGCAGATCTGGGGCGGGTTGACGTTCGTATTGGGCGCGCTGGTCTTGGTCACCGCGCGAGTATCGAAAACGGGCTTACAGATGAAGGCGAGGATTTGACTAGAGTTACTTAGATTCGGCTGTATTTAGATCGGCCGCGGTTGTTGCGGACCGTTGCGGGGCAATCTACTAGTCTTGTGGTATTTATATTAAGATTCTGCGGCCTCGGTCAGCGATCACTGCTGATCATTTGTTCTCCACCGTGGCCAGAAGAACAGCGACAACAAGATTTTTCAAGCTTGGCGGCGAAATCTTTCGTATACTTTATTACTCAGATGCAAGAAACACGCCAAACCAAGACCCCACAGTCTGACATTGCATGGAGATCACCGGAGAGCGACTCGGACATTTGTCTTGGAGGATCATCTCGCTACGCATAAACGGCTCTAGCTCCGTGCCGAACACAGGATGAGATTATACAGGAGAGCTCCGATTGTGACGCTGCCAACGCGTGGGACAAACTTAGACGCCACCTCGACCACGTTAGGCTCGAAATTCTGTCCATTATGGTCAGCGGACACAAGCCAAGACCTGATGATGGAAAGCCCGGAGGGCACGATGCGTACCTTTTCTGAAGAAACGTTGACACAGATGGCGCCACGCTGAAGCCACTTCGTATTCACCTTGAACGCGGGATCTGGAACCGCCGAGATGACCACTCGAGACCGCTGCACGGCCGTCTGCAGCGTCCAGTTCGGGAGATCCTTTCCGTGTAGACCTTCGGAGTGCCAAGGATAGTACAGGCGTTGGAAGAGCTGGACACCGGAGATGTCCACGCTGTAGACGCGAGCGCCTTCCCCCGCGAGCAATTGCGCGAGTGGCAATCCCACCACATCAGACCGGTTAATGATGCAGATCTCCTGGTCCCGCAGCCGTTCCCCGGCGGGCCGTGTGCGATCATGCACATCCATCCACTCCAGGATCCACGTAACCGCCCTTGGCGTGCAGGGGATGATACTCCGTCCCTGTTTTGGTGGTCTGGACTCTGCAACATCCGAGGGCCGGTGCACAGTCTGATGGTTCAGTCCTTCGACGTCCTTGCTCGGCGCGACAAGCTGTCTGATTTCGTCGTCTCTCTGGTCACCGAAGATCGGATAGTACACGAGGATGCCATGGACACTGTTGTTGTCGTTGATCGCCCGGATGTAGGTTGCCACATTTTCGGGGGACAACTTCATCAGGTGGAAATGCACTCCGCTAAGCATGCGTATTAGTGACATGGGTTGATATCCTTGGCGTATTGTCTCGGGCTTACATTTCCTGACAGGTTTTGCGAGTCCAGTTCGCGTACTGGCTAGAGCCAGCATCGTCGCTGGCCAAGATGCCCATGAGAAAGAGTCGCTTCGAGGAGTCTCTCAACATTTCAGAGATCTGGTGATGTGCCCTTCTGGTTAGGTCATCTGGCTGAACGGTTTCGCCAATTCGTGGAGCCATTGTGAGGGTTTCGGTATGCCTTCTCTCGAACTGAGAATGGAATGATGCTTAATGCCGGTGTAAGCCGAAACAACGACGGTAGACTTCCGCGGTCTAGCCAGCCCTTAAAATATTAAAATCTACGCTGTAAGCTCCCAAGGTCATGAAGTACGCGTCCTTTTGATTGTGGACATCTTGGTGTGCGAGTCTTCAACTGCCTAGGCCCTGCAGAATCATGCCGAACGCACCCCTATCCCGAGTCATGCGTGATCAGCCACCGAATATCAGACTTCAGCATGGATCAATTGGCATATCGGATATCCCCACTTCCGGACTCCGTGTAAAACCGCTGGATTATGGAGGTGACGAGCAAATGATTTCAACAGCCGGACCGTAGAAGTGATCCACTGATCTTCCCCTCCCTCAACGCCTGGATTCATTTACCAAAAACCAGTCAGAGTAGCACGCGGCAGCAATACTGGCGCCAAAGGTGACAGTGATGACCCGTCATCTTTGCAGCTGATGGGGATAATCAGGAGTTGGAATCCCCGCTGGACTCTTGGCATCGTCGACAGACCCTGGCATGTTCGCGACACAACCCCTCCTCTGGTCGTAATGCAGTCATGTCTTAACCCCCAATTGTCCCTCGGTTCGTCTGAAAAGCATCTATGCCTGGTCCCCACAAGCACATATAAACGGGCAGCCCCTGCTGATACCGAACCCCAGATCCAGGGTCTCTCCCCCGCAAGAGCTGAGCTCAGCACCTTTTATCATGGGTTCCGCAGTATCCCTACCCTATACTCCCTCGCCGCCCGCCAATGACCTCATTGTAGTGGGCAGCGGAGCGAGCGGAGTGGCAATTCTTCTTCAGTTGATTGAACGAGTCAAGAACGGGAAATCCCTGGGAGAAGTCATCTTTGTAGAAAAGAACGGACTCCCCGGACCCGGTCTGCCATACTCGTCCCAATGTGCAGGCACCATCCTCAACATGCATACAGATACGATGGGATTGTATCATGATAAACCCCTCCATTTTACGCAGTGGCGCACGGACCAAGAAAGTGGGCCCTTCCCTTCTCGGGCGAGATACGGCCAGTATCTCCAGGAGACGTGGGGCCAGGCGTTAGAGGAAGCTCAGCATATCGGACTCCGGGTGTCGGTGGTTCATGAAGAGGCGCACGACATTGATCGACAGACAGACGGCACAATGGCTGTGAGTCTCCGGAATGGCACGCAGTTGACGGCCAAGTCGGTCGTCTTGGCGCTGGGCAACTTTACTTCGGTGTGCAACGCGCATCTCATCAATCTCCCCGGGTTCTTCCCCGGCCCGTGGCCGACGTCGCAGCTCAAGACTATCCCGGCCGATGCCTCTGTCCTCGTTGTCGGGTCCCGGCTGTCAGCTGTCGATGCGGCCATCTTCCTCTCAGAGCATGGCCATCAGGGCCCCATTACCTTCATGTCGCGCAGCGGCAGTCTGCCCAAGGTGCAGGGTGAATCGACGCCGTTCCCTCGCCGCTATGTCCTGCATGACCTGGCGAAGCATGTCGAAGAGAATTCTGATGAGAACTTGCTGCAAGTAACAAGCAGCCTGATGGAGGAGATTTTCCACGCTACCAAAGGCGACTGGAGCTGGCTCCACAACGATGAATCTCCGGTGAAACAGCTGGAACACGATATCCATGCCGCAAAGAGCGGCAACGTGGAATGGCAGACGGTGCTGCGAGCAACGGCTCCCGTTATCGAGCGGTACTGGAACGGTCTACCCGCGAAGAGCCAGCAGCTCTTTATGGACAAGTTCTTCAGTCCGTGGATGAGGTACCGCCACGGAATGCCGATACAGAACGCTGAGAAGATCCTCGGTCTCTTGAAGAAAGGACAGCTACGGGTGGTCCAGGGCGACCGAGTCCAATGGGACGGCATCTTCAAAGCGCAGACCTCCGTCGGGCTTATAGAAACTCCCTATGTGATTGAGGCGACCGGACAGGAATGCCAACTCGACCGCATCGAATCACCACTGATCCAGTCCGCAGTGGACAAGGGTCTCCTCAAGCTGCACCCTGCTGGCGGCGTAGCCGTCGACTTCGACACCCTGCGTGCATCAGAGGGCCTGCATGTCATCGGGTGTCTCACCAGGGGTACCCATTTCTACGTGAGTGCGATCGACCGCGTCGCTGCCCACGCTGCCCGGGTCGCGGACGCCGTAACGGACGAGCCCACTGCACGTCCCCTCCACATTGCCATCTTTCTCGGAAGCGACCTCTTCTCGCACCTCATGGCCAGCACACTGGTGCCGCAGCTCCTCGCCGCCGGCCACACACCATTCATCTTCCTCCCAGCACACAAGGCCAACCGCAAGACCACTCCGCCGTTCGAGCTCCGGGAACTAGCCTTCTTCGAGCGCGAGCTACTCCAGAAACACGTTATCCCGTACTTCACGAACGAGAGACCAGGCTGCGCATCACACATGACAGTCGAGCAGATGAAAGACGCCTACGGGATCCTCGTCCAGGAAGTTCCCAACGTCAACAGTGCGTCTTTCATCAACATCCTCCGGAAGCACCATATCGACGTGGGTCTCTCGCTGCGCTGCTACCAGCGGTTCAAGACAGATATCATCCGCTACTTCGCGCGGCCCAGACGACTGCTCAACCTGCACCCGGGCACGCTTCCCGCCTACCGTGGAGTCATGACCACCGTGCGAGCGATGAAGAACAAAGAGACACTCTTCGGATACTCGCTGCATGAGATCGACGAGAACTGGGACGCAGGAGACCTCATCGACGTCCGGCACCATCCCATCGACTATTCCAAGTCGATGTTGCATTTCATGAACGATGTGTATGCCATGGGAGCCAAGATGGCAGTGGATGTGTGTGACACTATCGCCCGCGGAAAAGAGCTGCCCACTGTTCCACAGAAGCCCGAGGAGAGCAACTACTATACCTTCCCGACCCTGGAGGACCTGGAGGGCTACCGTAAAGACGGTATTCGTCTCGTTGATGCGGAGAGTATCGTCAACGTCATCGTGGAGTCGTTTGCGCCGCTGGAAAAGCAGGAGAAGTTCCGGGCCCACATCGATGAGGTCGTTCGGGAATGGTATGAAAAGAATCAACCGTAAGCTGGGCATTGGCCCTTGATTCGCATGGAGTTGGCGTGTTTGATTGTGGAATTATACTAGTTCGGTCATTCTTAATATAAACGTATACATGAGTCAATGACAGCATTTTCTAGTTTTTTTGGTCGTTCCTTGCGAGTCAGGCCAGTCTTGTATGGGAGTATTCTATTCTATTCTAAACTGACCCCTATCGAGATGCATATTTCCTCGCAGTCCGAATGATAGAATCCGGACCAAGTAACTAAGCTCCGAAGCTACGATACCCATACCTACTGAACCTCAAGCATATCCTGTGCCATCACACCATCCTCAGCCAAGAAACCCACTCCCAGAACTACATTTAGAAACACAATCCAACCCATCTCCGGAAAAACCTCCAAAGCACCATATCCAAAACCACCAACCAGCACCACCACGAAACCAAATAAGCTCCCAATTGGCGGCATAACCCCCGACCTCCCAAAGCAATTCCCGAAAAAGGCCATCTACCGGTCTCAGATAAATGAACCCAAAGACCAAAGCGGGAACTGCCAAGAAGAAGTGGTTTGAAGGTGAAACGCCAACCCCAAGTAACTACACCGAAGCCTTCAAACAGATATAAAATCCACCACATACTTGGCGATTCCCAAGTGACCTTCGCTTACGATTCGGAACTACTCAATCCAGGGAGAAAATAACCATGAAATTCCAAACAGCGACTGCTACCCTCCTTCTCCTCCCAGCCTTCGCGTGGGCAGCGACCAAGCGAGCCGATACATGGGGCGGGAGCGTATCCCTCGGCCCCACAAGGTCGACGATCACCAATGCCGTGACGACTCTTATCCCCGGTGCGGCGCCGGCGACGCAGAACGGGGTGCTCTTTCTCTGGCCCGGGATGAGTAACGGGACGGGGGATCTCGTGCAGACGACGCTGGAGAGTTGGGCGAGTAATGAGTGGTGCGGCGCCGAGCAGGGCGAGTGGTGTGTGCGGGCGAGTTTGTTTGGGAGCTTTGGACAGTTGGATGGCGATGCGGCGCCTGTTAAGGGGGATGATCAGGTCCGGATTGAGTATGTGTTGTTGGAGGATGGGGATACTTGGTTGCAGTACGTTCCCCCCTCATTTTCTTATTTTTCTATTGTTTTAGTTTTGCTTTTACTTCCGGTGTATAGTCGGGTGGTAATCGTTGGGGATAGTGACTGATGACATGTCTAGAAATGTAACCAACGCACAAACAGGCGAGATCCTCTCGACCTTCTCATACAAATCCGGACCCTACATGACCGGGTGAGCCCCCCTTCCCTTGCTTTCACCACTAGATGGTAAAGCTAACCAACCCAGCTACGGAACCGGAACAGAATGCAACGAAGATTGCACGGGCACCATCGCGGCGCAGCAGTACGTCAACACGAAGATCACGCTAGCGGAAGCGGACGAGACCTTCGGCGACACGATTGCATCAGCCGGCGGCGCGACCTACACCGGGTTAACATCCAGTGAGGGAGGAAAGGTTTGGGAAATCGAGAGCATTGACGTTCCGGCCATGTCGTCGTAGATCATAGGCGATCACGGGAGTTGGCGTTGCCCTAGCATTCCAGGAGTTACATTCCTGTGGAGCTTAACAGGACCTCAGTGTAACTTCAGAATCCAAATTCGAGACTTCCGGGAATGATTCCCGAGAATCTTGTATATCCTACTGGGTTCTATGTATGTATCTTGTATCGCACGTGCTTTTTATGCTGTTTGTGGTTTGCTGGGTCGGATTTTGAAGTGGATGCTGGATGGTCTCGACATGTAGTTTTCTGACGTGATTTGCTGGAATGTGGAGTCGATGAATTCGAGAATAGTGCCGATATCACGGAATTCCACTTTAAAACTTAGATTGAATTTCTGCACGATCTGCGTTCTAAGCTAATACCATATCTTATTATGTTGGTCATCACTATCCTAGACATTATTTCTATGCAAACGAAACATGTACAACCGTAAGACTATCTAAAGAAAAGAAAGGAAAAGAAAAGAAACCTCATCTCAAACGCCAAAGGCAAACAGCAGACAAACATAAAGAGAAAATGAAAAAGAAAGAAACCAAAAAAAATTGCAAATCATCTCACGTCAAACCCACCCCCAATCTAACACTTGTAGTCAACATACCACCCAGTCTCCGCATTCTGCTCCAAGAAAACCTCACTCTCCTTGACCAACTTGGCCCGGAAAACCAACTCTTCGGCACAATCCACACTGCCGACAGTATGCGTATGCGGGCCATCCACACCCGGCCAGTTTGTAAAGTCCGCGGCCCCAACACTGTCGCCCTCGAAGTTATCCCCCTTCCACACTCGCACCAGCGCGTTATTGCCGGCCTTGAAGTTGCGCTCGGCGGGCACGCCCCAGTTCAGGGAGCAGGACTTGGCGCCCTTGGGCAGGGAGAACGTCATCGTCTGGTCCCATTTTGCGGTGGCGGTATTGGAGACATTAAGGTTTGGGGTGGAGATGGGGTCGCCAGAGGACGAAATGTAGGTTTGCATCTTGGGCTGGTAGATTTGGCCCGGCGTGCAAGTTGGGGGCGTGGGGTCGGTGGGCTTGTCGTCGGGACAGCCGGTATCCAGGTCACAGGGGTCGATGGAGCAGCAACCGCGGAACTTGTTCTTGTAGCAGACGTAGTAGGCTTTTCCGGTGGGGCATTGGCCGTCGTCGCGGGTGGTGAGGGAGGAATATGAGGTGGTTGGGAGGGCGGTGGTGAGGGTCAGGAGGGCCGCGAGGGCAGTGCCCAGTGTTGTGGTGTGGAAGTACATTCTGATCAATTGATTGTATTAAGTTGAGATGTGTAGAATTGAAGTGTATTAAGAATTATGGTGGTGGTAGAAAATGTATTGTTGGCTGTGTGGTCTAAATGTGGTGGTGGAAGTCAACGGATGTGAGGATGGAAAGAATAATTCTCCTGAACAGCAGATCCGGACGCTTTATTTATATCCCAGGATCAGAGATTAGATTAATTAATAGCGCAGTGGATCTGAAGGAATCACTGGGTCAGAAAAAAAAATAAAATCAAAAGGAAGAAAATCCCCAAAACAAACATCAAGGGCCAAAAGTCTAAAGATAGACGCAAGGCGCAAGGGATCCTGGCCCTGAACCCTTCCGAACTCGCACCGTGAGCCGACGAAATCTGGGGAAGGTCGGAAAGGGAGCAGTTAAGGTGAGGCTGATCGTCGGGTTGGCGTCTTCACCATTGGAGTTTGTCTCCGACTCTGTGGAGCCGCCAAGTAACTAACGACTGGCGGTCTAGGGCTGTGCAAAAGTCACACAATGCATGGTTCTACGCCTGCTGCACCTTAGTCTGACATGACATCTGGGCGTAGTCAAGCTACCAGGTTGATGCTGTGTAATGCTGCGACGTGATCTTGTTGGCCCTATCTGGGTCCCACGGCTTGTCTGCCTCTTGGTCCCACGGTGAGATGCAGTAGCCATACTCTCTTTATTGGTTCTTTCGGCAACGGAACACAGAAGAACCACTGCCACCGCCATTGTTGTACGCAACCATGGTTCCACCCCAGGTCGCGGTCATCAGGCCGACAAGCACAAAGAGCCGGGATGACAATCAGGTTTGGCTTGGCAGATCCTGGCTGCCAGTGCATTATTACTATCTTTAGTCTGACAGCACAAAGCTCGGGACGTAGACCAAGCATGACATGGCCCACGTTAGCATTCACTACATGGCTGTGCATGGAGCCGCCTATCAAAGGCACTCCGGCAGCTGACATCGCCTGTAGCGTGTAGGGCTGGGCAGTCGGCCTTAAGCAATGCATACACGAAGTCTGGTGGGTCCGACAGCGTTGATGTCGACAGCAGATACACTTGTCTCAGATCCAGACGCAACGCTCCAGGCCATAGGAAAATGCATCCCGTCTAATTTTGGGATTCCTCGGGGATGTGACCATACTACGTTGGCGAAGACTCTACGGGATTCGCAAGGCGAACCAGATCGGGAACATAATCACTGACGATCGGAAAACATTCGGGATGTTGGTCTTGGCTGTTGGTGGCTGGTTCGGTGATCTTGGCGGCGAGATTTGTGGAGAAATGGTAGCAGGAAAACAGAAATATGTTTTCCATCATTGTGGTTCATAAGTGCATGCATTAGGTCAGTATATTCTAGTCGTACATCGGCTACCATGAGGATTCGTAAATGTAGGAAACAGAAGGAAATCAAACAGGAAACGTATCGCATCTACTGCTCCGGCCGGCCAATATCAATCGCAAACCGCTTCCCCTCCCACCACCCCAGACCAAACATCAACCCACTGAACACGCCCCGTTTCACCAGCTCGGCATCGTCGCACCATTCCGATCCTGGCGGGATCACGTCCGGCTTCAGCATTTCGGAGCCAGCCAACAATGTCGCAGCCCCAGCGATGCTGCATGGGTTCACCGGAATCACCTTCCGCCGATGCACCAGGTAGAACGCCACCATAATACAAAGAGCCATGGCGGCCAGAAACCCTTCTAGAATACGGGTCGAGACCGCACTTTGCTTGAGACGGACACGCGTAGGATCGACCACCGTCCCCTGGTATCTCGTTTCTTTCTCTAGCGGCAGTCGGGAGTTTCCGTTCATGCTTTGAGCCATAAGAACGCGATAGAGATGCTGGGTGGCGTTGATCACGGCAGGTTCTCGGTCCGCCTGTTCAACATCCGTAACTGTTAAAGTCTTCTGGTCTTGTATCATTGCGAGAAAGACGTTGTCTAATCCCTCGTACTCGGTGATTTTGCCGCTCGTGGGTAAGTACGCATCAAAATCCAACTGTGATGCAAGGCTGTCTGCGAACCGCCGGCTTGAGGATTCGTCTGGCTTGACGGACTGGATCTTGTATCCTGGAACGGTGAATCTTGTATCCACATCGACTTCGTCGACGTATGGGAAACAGGAGAATCCGCGAATACCGTCGGTCTTGGTGGAATTAGGGTGGTTCACGACCCCGTATAAGCCCACCATCTTCGGGCACTCTGGCTTTTCATTTATCATATCCGTAACCTGAAGTGTGCCAAAGGCAGTGCCGTTGTAAGTCGTGGTGTTCATTGGGAGAGTCATGCTGTAATACGTAATTGCACTCTCGTTGTCAACTTTCGTGCTACCGGTCCAACACTCGCCCCCGAGAGACAGGTATGCCGTTATGGAACCCCCGAGGTACGAAGTCGTTTTTAAGAACTGACTTGGTTGAAGGACTGTACAGTTGAGGCCAGCACGGAGAGCAGGGTACGTCAGCTCAAAAACGCTGTCAGTCGTAGAGCTCTGGTTGGTGGGCTTGTACATGGTATCTTCTTTCACATCCGTGAGCGTACTTTGGTTGAGAGCCGGAAGGACTACCTCATCATACGTCCAGTCCGGATATGAGAGATTGGCTCCCACGACAAGAGCTCCGGTAAGACCTATCCCTTTCTTCCCTGAGTGGTAGGCTTGAGGATCCACGGTCGAGTTGAATGAGTCGTTTCTCAAGATCGACACGGCACGCACGTAGCTAGCGGCTTCGGTAGAATACAAACCACTCGCGGCGATTGTCAAACAAGGTGCCAGAACCATAGTCAGTGCCGTAGTAAAAATTGCATACTTTCTTTTAACAAGTGCACTCCAAAGCGCATGCATGGTGAGTTTCGACAGGTAATTGTCCATCAAGCTTTCCTGTGCTGTCAAGCCACCTGCCCTCAGCTCCAAGTAGGGCTGGATAACTTGAGTAGAGAAGTGGTTGCATTCGAAAAGAGCCTGAATTAACAGCATTATAAACGCAGGAATATAGACCCAGGTGTAGCGAATATAACCATCGGATGTGATATCCGCCAAGCCATTTTGTTTCTGAGAGATCTGGTAGGTGGTCTCGAGGCCCACAATGACGAGAAGAGGGACAGCTAAGGTAAGAATTCGCCAACCCAGTGACATTGCAAGAGGCTTCCACCAGGATATTTGGCTAGAAGCTTCTGTAGCACGAAGTTCCTCTTTGGCATCATGCTTCGTGACGATGCTGAAGCTTCGTTGGCCGTCCAGGCTGGCGACCTCTGAAACGAACAGACCGCCGGCCAGCGATGACTTCAAATCCTTCCCATTTTTAATGCCGGAGAGTCGATGGGATAAGTCGGGACTTCGGGCCAATATCGTTGCCATGCCCGATATTGTACCAGGGTCTCGAGGTGTGCATTTGGCCGGTCTCCACATCCACATCGCCCCAGCCACCAGAATCAAAAGTGCCGACGCGGCCTCCATCAGTCGAACTGACAATTCTCGCACGAGGAGCTTTTCTGTGGATGCCGAGTATACGCCATTGAATGGCTTATCCGCAGACGTCATGAGGTATTGCCTTGCTACCTGTGCAGTAATGGCATTGTAAACTGGTCGAGATATCGCCTCCAAGTTCGCCGCGTCCAGTAAGGGCTCAAAATTGTCCGGAGATGAAACAGTTGCAATCCGGTAAAAGGGGTCGAGGTAGTTATTATCCGGGTCAGCTAAATTGGCAGCTAAGCCATAATCTAACTGGATAAGGGTCCCCACAGCGCTATCTGCAGCCGTCAACGTAGTAAGCAACCCCGAGACTATATCGGCCGCCGTTACACCCGGAATTGTATGATTGGACGTGGCCGCCTTGCCAGTGGAGTTGATTTCCGCCACACTTTGGTTGCTTTTAAACAGCGAGACCAATCCTGGCGATATCGTGTACGTAGGCTCACAAACAAGGGACTGGACCTGCGCACTGCCATTCAGCCAGTGGGCAGCAGCGAAAATCACTCGGTCAGTGTTCGTGTCATCACTAGAACTGGCACATCCCTCCGAGACGACGGTTGCATGCCATCCACCCACAGCGGAAGTGCTTCGGCTGAATGCGTTGAACTGGTACTGTGAGCATTCTGGGGTACTGAGAGTCAAGTTGAACAGTGTTTGTTCACAATGCTTGGTTGCGCAACTCTGAGTCCAGTTTTTGACGGTTGCCACTTCACAGCTTAAATCAGTGGAGAACATATCCACGGTACCAGACAGAATCGTGTTCGAAGCTACACTGAATTTAGAATCTGCGTCCTTACTTACTAGCCATGATGTATCGACCTACCTGATGGCGTATCGGATCCGTGGAAAGGGACAAACGCGTACTTGTCCGTGGTTCCGACAGGATAGGGAAGATTCAGAAATTTATTGCCGACAACGGTCAACGCAGCATTGCTATCAACCTTCGCACTGCCATATCCCGTGCCGCTAAACGTCGCTTCCGCTGTTAATTTGGTGTCGACATCGCTGACGCGGACATTTTGAAGCATGAACAGGCCTGTTGAAGCGACTGTAAGCAGCTTCAGGAGGAGGGTTCCGAGGACTGCAATGGCAACGACCCAATGACAGTGCTTCAAGGCCCTGAACAAGGTGACTACATTCCAGTCCGAAACATAATCTAGTAGCAAACTCTGCGATGCCGGCCTTGGAGTTTGGCCCATCAGTTTCCATGGCATGAGTTGCTTTGTGCGATACTCCACCTGTCCCCAGATTCCGGCCACGATAATTAGTACTTTGCGAATGTCAGCAGAGTTGCTATTACATTGGTGGGGACATTAGCCTACCGGCAGTTGGACCGTACGTCCACAGATAACGGTACTTTGCGTCACTCGCACTGATGCCATTGTTTTTGATTGACACGCTATAAAGCACTTGGACAACGATCAGGATGGCAATAAAGAGCGCCGCAAATGCGACGAAGGCCCACGGTCGGAGGACCGTTGGGGTCCACAACCGGGATGGGCTGCCACCGTTGTCGTCTTGCTCATGATAACTGGCCGTTAGCCTTTCATTGTCGTGGCGAGGATCTCTATCCCTAGGTTCCTCGGACTGCACTTGAACCAATGTATGATTTTTGGAGCCTGGCTTTAATCGCCTAGCAAGCCTCTCGCCGATGGAATTTGAAAATTCCAGCATTGCGTCCGCGATGGTTCAGTCCTTCGAATCCATGTATTCGCACGAGTGATCATGTACTTGTCATCAGAGGAACTGCGACCAGGCGCAGAGGGCGGGGCTTGAGGTTAAAACAAAAATCGTGAGGCTGAGTGCTGCAAGGCTGCGGAAATTCTTGCCCATCACTGCGAGCCGTGCACCCAAATGACTAAGGAACATACGACCGTATTGGCCGTTTCATTTGGCTTTTCCCGTGTTGGTGGGCCTTTGGGGGCCATTTGGCAGCAAGGATAACACAACCATGTCAATCCTTCCCTCTCTTGACTTCTGGAGCTCGTCAAAACTTTGATGTACATTCATGATGCCTTTTATAGAACGGACCGCTGGGACCAGACTTTTGATTGTGGAAATGCGGGAGGCTCCGTCTGGAGACCGTCGCACATCAACCGTTATCTAAAACCTTTAGCGTTATTCTCGTCGGCATTTGGTCGGGACTTGCGATTTTAGTTCTTTTTTCTCCGACCACGTAGTTCTTAGGGAGTTCAGCTGACAGGGGCTTGTTGCATTATATTGAGAGAGAAGAGATATGACATGAAGGAGGGGGGAAGATGGGGCTGACCGCCCAATATATGTCAGGAGATACATGGAGGCGTGCACCAAAAGTCCTGGGCTGCCACTAGTAAGTTTGGCCTCAGGCAATATAACAACAGTCTTATGGCAGAGCGAAGTATTTTATTCCGGTTATTAGGTGTTTCCCCCCTTTTTTTTTCCCCGAAATCGCGTTCCGATTGGTCGCTCGATTCAAATACCACGTGACTAATGTTGTCTGCATTGGTTCCCTGGACTCTAGCTTAAGCGGCCCAAATAAATTGAATAAAAATTAGATTAAATTACTCCAATAGATTGAATTAATCGGATAATAGTTTCACAGCTAATAAAAAGATTGTGCTCTTAATCTGCTGGCCTACCTCTACTGATACAGATCTGAAACCCACTCTTCTCATACAGCTTGTTAAAGGCCTCGTGAAAGACAAAGATACATTCCTACGCTGTTTTTCTGCTTCGTCGGGGAGTATCCTCGTGGTAATCTCACTGAGCTCACGGCATGCCTTTCTTATCTAAATACTCGTTCGACCTGGTCCCAAGAAGGCACCAAGGCCCTCTACAACGGCCTGGTGGAGTTTGCTGGATATATTATTGACCACCTGTTTATGCGTTGTAGGCTGCGCTGCCCTATCTAATATGCGTGATGCTGATTTTATTTAGTCTTGGGACCTTTGAACGCCTCGATTCTTTGAGAGAAGACTGTCTCATACGAGACAGACATCGATGTGTCATTACTAGACAATTGTCTCGGATAAACGCAATAAGACAACTAAAGATAAGACGGTACTGCATGCACGGATGACAATGGCCAACCCTACCAGAGCGACAAACGATACGAAACTTAGAAGTGGCACATATCTTCCCACACTCCTTAAGGGCCTTGATTAAAGGGAAATATGAGCTGGTGTGTACCGTTATAACAAACTGCCCACAAACTCCTGAGCATATTCGACCCGACCATTGTTCCCCGTATTAGTGGGACGGACATTGATCGTCCGATGAACGCCATCACATTGACCTTTGATGCTTACCAGATGTTTGGTAATCTTGAGATCGCATTCGAGCATATGTATGGGCATACATATAAAATTGACTACGTGGACCCAGACCAATTCTTCCCCACCATCCAGCTTCCTGTCATCCGCACCTAAAATCCTTTAGTGTTGTTCTCGTCGGGACTTGGTTGCTGTTTTAGCTCTTGTCTTTTTGACCACGTAGTTCTTGGGGAGGTCGGCTGAGAAAATCGTGCAGAACAGGCTCTTGCTTCATAATATTCAGAATGTAAAATGGATATGACAATGATGAAGTAGGATGGCAAGTAGTATGGCTGACCGCCCGAAATATGTCAGGATATATATCTCCGATCGAGTCGGCGGTACCATGTCCCCCACAACCATCAAACCGGTGGAGAACTGATCGGCACAGTAACCTTGTCTTAAAATATCCCCTGAATGATAGTTTATTTTATACATATGCAGGTTTACCAAATCTGAGTAGGCGAGCACCTCTGAAACACTTCATGTGTTCGAGACGCCAAGAAACGGTCAGCGAAAAAGACGCCTTGGGATCTGGAAAGCCCAGATAACATTCGCGGAACAAATGAGATCAGATACATTTATCTATCTGTATATATACACTCTTCCGATTGACAAGCTATATATATAAATGTCTATGCGTATTCACAAATTATGCGCTATAATCCACAACAGCCACCAAGCGCACCGAATTCGTGTTGAGCGAACCACCAATGCCGTCCACCGAGGCCTCTGACTTGGTATACGCGTTGGTTACTGTCGATGCCCCAGAAGTGATCGTGGAGCAGGTTTCTCCGTTGTGGTTACAGATCTTCATGCCCTGGACGGTTTGGCCAGCCGACTGCGCCTGGATAGCCGAGACATCCCATCCAGACCAGCCGTCATTGATTGTGCTTCCGAAGTCGAACTCTCCCCAGGTGCACGAGTATCCGCCGTAATCATCCGTCGGGAGCGAAGAGCCCTTTGCCGCGCCCCAGCCTCCCTGCGAGTCCTCGTCGAAGGCGACATACTTCGTTTCGCCGGCACCCAAGGTGAAGTTCAGAGCTGAATGACCGTACCAGCCGTCCATCTTACCATCGGGGCCGATCTTGTTCCAGAAAACGACGGTCCAGTCGTCGGTGTTGCTGCCGGTGAACTGGACGACATATCTGTATTGGTATGCGGTACTGGCGCTCACTTCGATGATGTTGCTTCCCCAGGGGCTGCCGACGTTGCCGCTATACTCGATGCCGCTACCAGAGGAGTTAGTGCGCGCTCCAAATCCACTAGTGGAGAATTCTCCGCTGGAGGGAGTGGACGTCCAGCTGGTGGATCCTCCTGAGGCTGTGGTGCTGGCCGCCGGGGTGCTGGTTGGTGCGATGCTCTCGGCACTGGGGATAAGAGAAGGTGTGGTGATAGAGGCTCCAATGCTGGCGCCAAGGTCAACGCTTATCACGTCTTCGTGCGTATCGGCGGGGGTGATCTCGGCTTCTGCTGCCGCCGCGGTAGTCGTGCTGCTGGAGGTTGGGGCCGGGGCTTCAGCCACGGGCTGGCCGGTAATAGTAGTAGTGACGGTGACGACATCCAGGTCGACGACGGTCTTAACTTCCAAGTCTCTGGCTTCCAGATTCGCCTCCGGGCCTTGCAAATTCGGATGCGCGGGATGATGTCGGTGCCGACGCTGATGGCCATGGAGGCGAGCCAGGCCCGAGTCGGCAATGGCAACGAACAAAAGGAATGACTTCCACTGCATGGTGGATGGTATCAAGATAAGGAGTGTTAGTAGGCCAGCTAGAAAGGAGCGAAAAACTATCCAAGCTAAACGTTCAGGAGTCAAGGAGCGGGCGCGCTGCGTGGTGTATATAATGCTGCCGGTCGACGGAACAACTCCCAGTTTTCCGTACTAAGTGGAGTCCGAAATATCAATCGTCAGCACCAAGACCCAATATCCATGATGAGATGAGGGCCAAGGCTTGTCGCTACGTTTCGAATCACACCGTCGGGGCGACTAACCGTAGTGTTGAATGGATAGCCCCAAGTCGGACAGCCAAACGAACAGCATTTGAAACGCTCGCCAGTCCTTCTATGGATAAAAATGGGTGACTACCTCTTGCAGACACGTCTTGTGGTTTCCACTGGCATTTAGCGCGCGTTGATTGTTGATGTTCTCCACAATCTCACATTCAGGCACGAACATGCCATTCGTCCCTACGCAACGGCACCCCTTGCGTCGTCACCTTCCTTGACCAGTCAACGGCTGTCGTTGTCCATGCTTTCGCCATGTGTCCCGCGAATCAAAAACCTTCGTCAGCGATGCCCCAGTGCGCTGTCGCATTGAGTCATGTCGGGATTGGTTGTGGCATTTTCTGGCGCGACACTGTGGCTCTGCTGCTGGCATAGTTCATTGTGGGGGTGACCAATTCGGCGGTCCAGACTATTCGACAGATTAGCAAAAGCTTGTCACGGCCCAGGCAGACATATTCCGATCTCACGGGAAGTTCCTCGCGGGTGCGAATAAGGAACTGAGTTATGGTTCCTCCCCCTTGTTCACTCTGACAGGGAGATCTCAGATCGATCGGCAACACGTGTGGTGCATATTGATTCAGTTCGCGATTCACACAGGAATTTCTCCAAGACGCGATTGAAGCAGACGAGAATTCACTTGTGTTAGTAAAGAACTCGACTAAGTGAAGAACAGCTGAAAAATCGGGGCTAATGAACAGTGGGTCCGGCATACGTATACGCCTCGACTGGAAATCCTCAGCCACCAATCGATGAACTGCACACTAGGAGTCGTAAGAACTGTGATCAAATACGGAGATTGGATGACGAACACATCACTGAGAGCGCTATACTATATTTCATTGTATTGTTTTAATTCTTGCAATGTGTACGGAGTCGTACGTATTATAAGGGCGGTTCTCAGGGCTTTTCTATCGTGTTCAAAGCATGACAACTGTCGCGTCACGGCTACAACGGGGTATTTCCATACATCAAAACCATGATACCATGAATCATGAGTCGAGGAAGAAACTTTAATTTTACCGTTCAACTTTACTTGTCCTGTACCTTACCCACCCAAAAACATTTTTAGTTCTTTGGACTGAATTTTCTGCCCCTCGATTTCGGCATTCGCCGCTAGGGCAGCGGTGGTCATATGTCACCACTCACCGCGAGTCCAGACCATGCTCAACCCTATGCTAGGGCTTGTGAGACGTGATTTATCACATCTTAAGGAAATAACCTCGAATAAGCCCTGGAAGCGATATCCGATGCTTTCCCATGGAAAGACCGGGGGCATCCATGGGTCTGTGGCTGTCACTAGCCTATCATACCTATACTGTGTGATCTTATGTCAACTGCGGTCATCCTTAATGCCCCTGAATTGTTTCATAACCAGGCCAATACGCTCTTCACGAGCTATTAGTTCTTTCTGGAGTGTGACTCGCCGTCGTGAGTATACCAGTGGCATTATACCTGTCGATGTTGATGTTGACACCTCATTTTGATAGTGAGTCTCCAGAATGAAGAGATGAACGTACAGATATGCTATTAGTAGCGTATATCAATAGCCAAGCTCCGTAACCAAGGATCCAAGTAAGGAGGAAGAGAAGTATGAATGAAGTAAAGCGAGGCGATTGTACCTCTACTACATTGCTAGAACAGACGGAATAACTACAACACACAAAGCTCACCTCGAAACACACAATCCTGCGACAGAAGGCTTGTTATGTTTAAATATGCGTAAGACACTCTGTACAGTTTCCATGCAAATGATTGTTCACAAACCATGTAAACGATCAAAACCCTACGTGATCCACCCGGATCTTCATCCATTCGGAATACATTCTTAGCCCTACTCATGAACAGCCACCCTCCACCTCTTCGTACACATACTATCGAAAAGCTCCACAAGCAAACTAATACCCCCTCCAATGTATCCCTCGCCGCCCTCTATTAACCTCAAAAATAAAACCTTACTCTCGCCCCCAAACATATAATCTCACCCCTAAAGTTCAAGCAGACACCCCGTTTTTCACTCCGTTCTTCTAAGTCTCCTTGTGGGATACATTCAAGCTGATAAATAGTTTTTTTTTCTAAATGAGTGACATGGCTGGCGAAGGTTGTGGGGTTTCGAGGTAGCGGAGAGTTTGATATGGTGACGGAGGGATCATCCCCAGCGGTTTGCGTGCTACACATGGTGGAGTTAAGGACAAAGTTCGTAAATGAAGGTTTATGAAGCTTAAGCGTATTTCTTAGTTTCGACATAACTGGGGAATCTATCTCGTCAATTGGTTTATGAACATGGCATATGTACAGAGATGTTCGGTTTAACATTATACAGAGCACTATCCTCATCTTCCATAGCTATTAATCACGCAATCCACAACGTCGGCAACAATGCAGTCGTCCCAAAAGAATCATTACAAAGCAAGCAGAAGACCAGCGCCCGCGAGGCCAGAGAGCAGATGTCTCGTATTACTGGTCGGCAAGGCAGCGATGCCGCTCGAGGAAGTGGTCTCAGCCGCGCCAGAATCCGACCCCGTAGTGGTGGCTTTAGGACCGCCGATCGTGATGGTATGCACGATATCTGTGGCGGATGCAACGGTAGCCGAAGTGACAGCGGACTCGACTGGGGTGGCGCCGGGCACGGCACTGGTGCCGGTGCCGATCTCCAAGATGTCGTCTTTCTCGGGAGAGAAGTTTGTGTTGGCGAGAGAGATCTCGTTGTTACCGAGGTCATACACGACGTATGCACTGCGCAGGAAGGTGTCGCCCAGGATGTACATGGCGTCTTGGCGGTCTCCGCTGGGCACAACGCCAAAGGTGCAGGTTCCCTCGGGGAAGTCCCTGGCAATCACTCTCAGGACCAGTTCGTTGATTCCAACGGCGATGGTGGCGCCGGAGAAGTCAAAATTCACGGTATAGTCCTTTTTCATGAGGTCGCAGTCCACATATGCCAGTCCGTCATCCTCGAGGAAGGTGGCGTTGAACTTTTTGTAGAGCGAGTCAGCGAGCGAGTTAGGCAGATATGTCAAGGTGGTACCCGAGTCGAGCAACACTACTATCGGAAGCTGCGAGGAGTAATCGTCAGACTCCTTGCCATGTTCCACAGAAACGCCGGTCAGGGTAACGGCTAGATAAGAATACTCTCCAAGCGTGCGCACAATGGGGATAGTCTGGAGGTCGCCTTTGTACATGGCCTTGTTAACGCCACCGAAGAGAATAGAGCCCCGACTCGCTGCGGGATCATTAAGCCACAGGCTGTAGGCGGGCGATTTAATGGCGCCACTATTGACCAGGGCTTGGGGGAGATTGGCGTATGTTTTGCCTTCATGTGCAGCTTCGTTGGTGAGAGTGTCATAAGCTACACCGACGATACCCTCTGATGAACGTGAATATTAAGGGTTAGCAAGGGACATTTCTACAATCCTAACAGAGAACCCACGTGTTATCGTAGTTGATTCGGCAACGCCAAATTGCATGTCATCAACATGTATATCACCCAGGCCGAGTTTATCAGTGGCGTAGTAACCGTAGGCGTTGGTGCCGTCACCGTAGGTTGCATTGAAATCAACATCCAGGTTCTTGTATGTCGAGGATGCGTCGGGATCATACAAGCCAAAAGGTTTGCATGGATTACCCCGGGACGAACAATAGGACGAGTTGGCGACATTCACCCAGAGGTCACTGCTGCCTGTATCCAAAGCGACCGCGAACTGCTGCACTGGCGTTCCTAGCGTCAGGTTTAGGATATAAAAACTATCATACTATCCAACTGCATTAGTCATATTTCACAGGTGGTTAGCAGCACGGAGAAGGATCAGAGACATACGTAGTTTATGAGTGGCAGATCCAGCGTCGAATCTCGCTTCTGCAGGCCGCCAGCATGCTGCCTACGCTCGATAGGCAGCTCGACGGTGGCTGGGGTATCACGCCTGTGAAGCGAGAGGGCGTCCACGCACGACAAGGCAGTTAAAGCAACGGGGAGGAAAGACGGGCCCAGCATCGTGAAATCAATACAACCCGCACTTCCTCTAGACTTTGACACAACTTCTCCAGTAGATGAGGCAAAGGGCGGGGTGGTGGGCAAGCCTTATAAATTGAAATTGTTGCCTCCACTTATGACATCGGATGGGGCGGAAACCCTGAACAGTAGTATTTGGGAGATGTGTAAATTTCCATAGCTTCCACCTAGGGCGAATAGCGTATGTAACATTGACCGTTAGAGTCGGACAGCCAGTCACCTACGATATGCAACACCAGTGGTCCAGGGCTAAGCAATGCATGGCAAGACTGCGAACCAGTCAGGCAGAAGCCGGATCACCGGCGTCAAAGTCTTAGCAAGCGAGACAACTTAGCCGTGATTAGTCCGTGCTAGTTCGGACCGGTTTGCTAATAGATAGCTGCAATCTAGCGAGGATACAGGGTCTAATTTGGAACTGTGGTCCAATTGTAAGCCTCTCGTGATTACTCCGGCGTATGTATGTTGGCCGTAACCGAGTGATCCGGAGTGTAAATCCGCTGGTGGATCGGCGGATGTGCCATAGGCATCCCGATTGGCAAATTGCCGTATCTTTTGGAGAAAACCCCCGATCCGAAAGATGAGTGTCGATGCCCTTGCCATAAACGGATTAACATGTCCGCCTCTAGTCGCCTCCTTTTCTACTTTCTATGACTCAGGAACACCTTCCAAACCAGGAAAATGAAGATAAGTCGAATGGGGGCAGATTTTTCTCCATGGTTCAATGGCTGTGGGTCAGCTAATCTCCCCTTCGGATAAAAGTCTGAGACAAGCTCCAAGCACCAAAATCTTAGCAGTCCTAATAGGCTGGCAGGCGCTTAGCCGTCTTGGCATAGTATAAGTATGAGAGAGCTGTCTTAAAGTTCCTGGCAGCGTTAAAGTAAGCGAACAAATGGCCTTCTGCTTTTTGTCAGGGGGCGTCATGCAATCTCCCGAAAGGTCACATTCTTAATTACAGAGCTGTGGGCTGCCAAGGAAAAGTCTCAATGGCTAGCTTAATAATTTCAAGGTGAAGCTACTGTTCACATTTGGCTATTGACTTTGTGTGATTGAGAAAGACCTTCCGTGGTATTCTTAAACCATCACGTTTACTAAGAATCCAACATGGTTACGGTGTAACGTTTGCCAATTAAATAAAAGTCCAGAGCATTGGGGCTCTATCCAGCTCGCCCTCTGCCCACACTACTCCGTACACAGTATTAGCATCCAAGCTTTAAAGTGGGGAATTGTGGCGTTCTGAGGAAGGGTTATGAGCCTCCTCCTATCAATGAATTCATCGCGCCATAGGCTGGTTAATTCACCCCCTTATGTGACAATCCAGCAGCGGTGGCTCATGATTTACTCAAACAAAGTTCCTACTCCAATCAAGCTCGATGTGTGTCCTCGCGATGACAAAGGAGACATGGTAGTTAATGCTATGTAGTCAATACGACGTCTTTTCAAACTTGGCGTATCAGCGTCTGATGAGTGACTCCTTGATCCATGTAGCCTATTGATGTAGTTAGCTATCACTGGGACGCCTGGCTCAATATTACACGATATCTAAAACTTGCCCTATCAGCTGAAACCACACGCTTGCCTATCTGCTTGGATCTTGTATCAGGGATCGAGAATAGATACTGTGTTGCACACATGCTGAATCTGATTTACACATGACATGGCATCTCTCACATTCTCACGGAAGATGACAACCAATGGTTGTAAGTTCTGTAGGTCTTGTTCAAGATACATTGTCAGCCTTAACATACATCAATCGATGCCTCAGGAATCTCGGCAAAGCTGCCTGGCAACGTGCTATGACGCAATGCTGAGTAATCGTCAACAGACCCCTAAGCAGCCAATCAGCATGCTCGGGTACCTTGCCGATGGCAACCGAAGCGATGTTGAACCTCCATCTTCATTAGCAACCAAAACAACAACTTACAGCTCAACTATCAATTCTACCGTTCAATCTCCGCCATCATGTTCGCTGCCCGCCGTATCACCGCTAGCGTTCCCCGCGCCTTGTCTCAGCGGGCCTTGTTCCACAACACTGCCCCAGCTTTCGTCCAGAAGGGAGACTCCATCCCCAACCTTGATGTCCTTGTTGAGGACTCTCCCGGTAACAAGGTCAACCTCGCCAACGAGCTCAAGGGCAAGGGCGTCATTGTCGGCGTCCCCGCAGCCTTCAGTATGCACCCTATTTCATCATTTCCCGAAGGATCCTTCGCTGTGCAATTCTGACATGCTCCGTCACAGGCCCTGCTTGCTCCAGCTCCCACGTCCCGGGATTTATCAACCACCCCAAGCTCAAGGAAGCCGGTCAGGTATTCGTTGTCTCGGTCAACGATCCGTTCGTGTAAGTGGCCGATGGATCTGCATTTCTTCGGCGAGCAGGCTCAATTGGCTAATTATACAAACAGCATGAAGGCGTGGGCTGCCTCTCTCGACCCCTCCGGCAAGAGCGGTGTAAGTATTTACTTTATATGTCCAATTTCATTATCTAGTCGTATGCTGATGAAGACCGTAAGATCCGCTTCCTGGGCGACCCGGCCGGCAAGTTCTCCGAGGCCCTCGATGTCACCTTCGATAGCTCGTCCATCTTCGGCAACCACCGCAGCAAGCGCTACGCCCTGCTGGTCGAGAACGGCAAGGTCAAGGAGGCTTTCGTGGAGCCCGACAACACCGGTCTCAACGGTACGATTCTCCCCTCTTCCAATTCCTCAATATACTATACTAATCTCTCCCTAGTCTCCGCCGCCGAGAAGGTCCTTGCTTAAAATAACCATAGTGATCCATACAACCGATATCTAATGTATGCAAATACAAAGCAAAACCCCTCCATCTACCGTATAATATATCCATAGTCATGTCTTTTATTTCCACCCACCGTAGCCCAAGACCAGTATACTATAGCCCACAGCTGGATAGCGACGACAAATGTACATTAATGAAAACTCCAACGCCGGCGTATATGCTTCCAGCGCGTCGAATACCCAGGATATATGAAGTTCTTCATCCGTTTCTTTTATTTCGGGCCGTAATATAACAGGAAAAATCCATCATCCTCTACTGCTGCAACGCCTGCCACTGCTCCGGGGTATAACACTTCGGGGTCCACGCATGGATGGCCGCGATCTCCGCCTTCAGAACCGAGTTCACCAACCGGTGACGAGCGAGCATGGTCTTCTTCTCGAACTGCGGGGATACGATCACCGCCTGGAAGGCCTGGCCACAGCCGCCTATTGAAAAAAGAGAGAACTACGTTAGTGTATTTGTTTCCCAAGGTATATCCAACCGGACGCCATGGATCTTTTTCATACCCGAAAGGTCCTCAATCTCAACATGCTGTGCCTGCAACTGCTCGATCAACTTGCTCTTCAGTCCGTCGGCGGTCACACCCGCGGTCGCGTCGGCCATGGCTGCGTTGACGGCTGCGAAGGAGCGCGCAGAGATCGAAAAGGTCTGTCGCTGGTGGACGGGGGCGCGGAAGAAGTACCGGCAGCTTCTGCTCAAGATGGAGGCGCGGGAGTACATCAAGTGGGCGGGGGATTTGTTGACCGGAGAGAGGGCAGATTGCGTCCGGAGGCCAGGCGATCGGAAGTTTCGACTAGAGTCTGGTGGTTGGAGTCAGTCGAGGCGGCGCAACAAAAGTTTTTGGATGCTTTCTCCGGATTTTTGATAGTTAAGTTGATTGTTAATGACGACGGGGCATTAATCATCATCGGCTTGGTTCCGTATCGGATGTCACGTGATGGGAACATCACCTATACTCTGGCCGGTTTGTTTGAACTCATTTGCGAGTAATGTTGAACTTGCTATATCACAGATTCCATGTTGATATTCACCTCTATTTTTGCAATTCCTCTGGCGTCGCAGAAGGCTGGAATCGTACTATTAGTTATTCCAGTGGCAGGGCTCCACAATGACCGAGAAGGATTGCATCGAATATAATTGGATCAACGGGGTGGATATATGGGAAAAGTACCAAATAAGCTGAATCAGAAATTGTCTGATTCAGCTTACTCTCTTGATATCTTCAGCCTGTTCCCAATTCGCGTACACTATACTATACACATAACTGGAATTCTCAACCTTACCAAAGCCCTAACTACAGTCTACAAGTCTGCAATTACTTCAAGTGGTGAATTGGGAGAATTGAATACGTTGGAAATCATGCAAGATAGATTCTCTTGAATTGAATTGTATTAAATTGAAGTGTATCGAGTCACGCTTGGCTAAACTGAGGAGAATAATGGCGAGTCCGGTATATAAATTATGCTCTATCTTCTGGAGGCTGTTCCGAAAGCATCAACTTTATAATCGCGAGGATCCTGGTTTTGATTGATATCGTTCTTACGAGGATAGCGCCATATCCGCTCGCTGAATACAAATCATAAATAGAAGAGTTTCTTGTACAGAGTTTTCCCCTTACGATCACTTTTTTATTTCCTGCTTTCTTTAACCTGGGGGCAGTGATAGATATCTTGCGAGCCTTGCCTTTTGGGGCGCGAGCTTCAGATCAGCGTTGTCTGATTCTTCTCTTTATAGTAGTATTTGCCCCTCTTTTCTACCATCCTTAAGTCCTCAAAGTCCTCAAAATCATCAAATTTCTCTTTGCCAGAAATTTAGCGTGACCCGTCGACAGACAGCGGTCGCCATCCGCAGCTTCGTGCGGCGGAGGCACCCAGACCTGCTAAGTACCGCAGAATTAGCAAGTAAGCCTTTATTGTACTTATTTCCAGAGAAAAAGCTAATCAGAAGATTCGGGACCTAGTGGAAAGAGATGTCCGACTTAGAGGAAGAAATTAAGCACGAACAACAACAGATCATCAGAAAAGAAGAACGGAAAAGACTAATTCAAATAGAAATAAACACCCGTGCGGTAAATGTGCTGAGACTGTTGCTTATGGTTACTTCGGCTAATAGCCTATGTGCTGAACAATAGAATCCACTTGCTGAGCCTCTTACCACGCAAGACCAAGACCAAGGCCCGTCTCCGTTCGGTGGCAGTAAGGAGTCTGGCCATGGCAAAGAGGCAGACAAAGACGTTGCCATTGAAGAGATCTGACCTTATAGACGGGCACACTTATTATGGAGAGTATGCTGGGACTATATAGGTCTCCGCCGATGGCTTCTCTTTCTGATGCTTATTCCAGTCCTGTAATCAAGGCTGGGCTTTCCTTTAAGGGAGACGTATTGAGGGATGTTATTAGTTGGCGATATGCATTACATTAGGGAATCGAGCTCACGTGTTGATGCTCTCGGAAAATCATGAACAGTATATTGTAAATGTAGAGTCATCCTGGTCAACTTTTCTATAAGACAGCCTTCTATTCTAATTTCTGGTTTTAGTTAGCGGATATTATTTCCGTTCGATAGAACAATTCAAAGCCTATCATACATCAACCAAGCAAAGTATACCATGTTTCATGGTTGATAAAGACTACCCAGAGCATGAGCATTATATCATGTCATGAAGCTGGTCCACTGCCAGACACAACAATGAACTGGAAGTTCAACAAGTAAACGCTGAAATTGTTATATAAGTCAACATTGCTCAGCCAGACCCTCTATCCATTGATTCCATCCTACGCAACCTCCGCTCCGTCATACTCAGAAACGAGCTCCTCCACACGCCTCTCCAAATTCCCCCAAGACGGCGCCGTATCATTGACTAACAGAATACCCCAACGTTTCTGCATATCGATTATACACAACCGGATTCTAGTTGCATAAAAGAAACACGCGATATCACGCATACGGGAATTCCTCTCAACAGGAGTCCTATTCCTATCGGCGTCATATGTCCGTAGTTCCTCCAGCAGTCGTTCAATCCTTCTCGTGCTGTATTCGACCAAGGCTTTGATTTCGTCGGGTGATTTGAGGTTGTTGGCTTTATTTTTGGTCCGCACTAGGAATGACCCTACCTTGGTTAGTGCGTGTAATTCCCCTTCGATAAAGTCTGCTTTGGATTTTCTTTTGGTGGTTGTTTGGTGACTTCGTAGCAAGTGGACGATGTCTCTGATGAGGTCGGCTATGTGGTCTGTGCTTGTGTCCATCTCTGAGTATTGTGGGCTGGTTGTTGCTGTGGGCATTGTTCATAGGCGTTACTACATGTTGTGATGATGATTATGTACATTGGAGATAGGGTATATATAGACAGTTCATGTTGTTTGTTGTTGGAGTATACCGTATACATCAATGATGAAAAGTGTAAGAGACTGTGTCGGCTAGCAGTAGTCCGTGAAAGATCCTCAGGCATCTACCGGGATTGGTCTCTACAGTAATGCAGATAAGTATAGTGTCCATTCTTCTCCTAGACCGACTTCCTGAAAGAGACTCCAGTGACCTCACTTTCTCAGTCTGAACCAGAGTCAATACCATGGCACCATAATAACTATACAAACCATATACTGTGACTGATATCCAGGCTTTGAGCCATCACAAACCACCCTATAGATCCTATCTAGAAGGCCTCGGTCATCCCAGATAGGCCTAGCGCCAGACTCCCTTATCCATAGAACCAAGTTATGCAAGCCCTAACTGTCCTAGATCGCAATCCAGAACAATACTCCCCTTAGTAGAGCCACACTATAGTTCGGACATTTGACTATACTCCCTTCACCTCAGACCAAAATACATTATTCACACTCTACAATTCAATCAATCGATGCAAGATGACGTAGCGCTCCCGCCTTGCCAAGATACGCTGGCGATATTAAATAAGAGGGGCAGATGGCGGGGTTCGCTGTCGATCACCATCCATCACTCATACCACCATTCTATTATACATACAACACAGTATCCAGACACACCAATCTCCCATAGCAATGGCTCCCTCAGAGTACTTTATCAGACTGCAAAAGGGTGAGTAACCATCCAACACAGGTCTCCTCCAAAAACTGTGAATTGTAACCTGACAAACTCCAAATGAAGGTATCATAGGCGGCTTCGCTCCCCCTACCCCATCTGCGATCCTGAAACTGGTCAAGAGCGCAGGGGATTCGAACATCATCGTGAGCGAATCTACCCGCCCAGATGGCCAGCCGGAATTGCAACAGCAACCCGAGAAAACCCTCGACGCGTCAGATGGAAAGGTAGAGAGTCTTATAACGGAGCTTTATGAGATCCTGAAAAACCTACCAATGGAGAGTCCGCCGGGGTCGGAGGATATCTATCGAATGGATACTTCTATTGCATTGGGCAGTGAAGATTTGGAATGGCATAATGGTGGGCCGCAGGGGTGTGTGGGAGACACGAGCTATGTACAGCCTTCTGAGGAGCAGCGTGCCGGGTTCAGGAGGGCGGTTGATGTTGTGTGGGAGTTGGTGGGGATGGCGAACCCCTAAGTGAGTGTTAAGGGATGTTGTCCTTTGTCGACTTTGTGGTTATCGCTGTTCCTTTTCTGGGGGTACTGTGTGGTTGCTTGGTGGTCGATATTTCCCTTGGGCTGCTGGCAGCATAGGTCCCCGGCTTGAAATGATTCTTGGATATTCTTTCATGCTCATGAATCTTACTTGAAATTTGAAGAATGTCCTATCTCCGAAACTCTCATAGCATGGGTTTCTGAATAAACTTGAGGACTGTCACTATCTTGGTACCACAGTGTAACCGCAGTGACTAATATCCCGGACCATAGCATTCTCAATATAATCAATTCTCTATACCGCATTACAGCCACCTTTTTGACTCCTGCGTACACCAGCCAGCAGTAACAGTAGTATAACTACAACGGTATAACTAGTATTATTAAGTGAAACTCCCCAGAGCATCTAGATAACAATAAATCATAAACAGGATACACAGGCATGGCTCTGGCAAGCCAGCCTAAACGACAGTCTAATGAATGCCCTGTGGTCAAACAGCGAAATATAAGATATGATCCGTGCTTGATACTAGTAGTAGTACTAGTAGTAGTATAGCCGAGCAAGATTAAGCTTAACTTTGAGCCAACCGGATTTATTCCGAGGAACTTGGAGATAGAAAGTAAAAAGGACAATCATGACATGTAGGATATCGTACTAGTAAGAAATGATGCCATATATCCTGTCATGGGGCGTTCTGTCCGGTCAAGGGGTGGTTACTTTGGGTGTTGGCTTACACTCTGTGCATATCTATAAGCAACTGTAATTTTATTGTGATATGACAGAATACCGGATAATCAGCTGACTTCGTTGAATTATTGTGTTGTTTTGTTTTATCTCAATTTGGGGTAGCGGAGTCAAAGTGTGTACGGAATATATATAAAGATCGCAATTTTGCCGAGAAATATTCTCAATTCTAGCTCTACCTTGGTATCTTCAGCAAGAGCTCGTAAGCTGGATATCTTCAAACCCCACTTTTCATCCATAATATCATGTTCCGCCACAAGAAATAATCACAACTTTTTGATCCATATTAAAACGTACTATGATGGGTCAAACCAGCTAAACCCATATGCAAGCCCAAAAATCAAGACGCCACAGATGCAATTAGAGCCCAATAAACTTCATCAAGAGCCAATAGCTCAGTCAGCATCATTGGTCTAGTGGTAGAATTCATCGTTGCCATCGATGAGGCCCGTGTTCGATTCACGGATGATGCATTCCTTTTTGTTTTCTTTTTTTTTCTCTCTAAGAGACGATTGCTGTTCCCTACGGAATTTATAGGCGGTGACCGGCCGCATTTCGTTCCTCGTCCCAGATCGCGTACCCCCATTGCCATCCGGCGGAGTTGCCGATCGTCCGCTCAATCCACGGTTCCTGGAGGTTGTCGCTGCGGACCACTTCCCGGACGCGGTGGATAGGCCCGTAGCCGTGCCAGTGGTGCTTCCAGCCACTGTTAGGTTGCTCAATAGCCGGCATCAGCGGGAGGGTTCTGCCGATGTCTTCGCTTTCGTACTTGTCGGCTGGGTACAGGAGGGACGGAGGGTCCCGGGAGACCTCGACCAGGATCATGAAGGAGGATTTGGAGGAGACGGCATTACAGGCAATGAGGTTGCGGCGTGCCTCGTAGGACGGTTGACGGAGGACTTTGTAAAGGAAGGATGGGCCCAGGGAGACCAGATGGTTGCGGTAATCGTTGTAGTCGTTACCGTCGCTTCCTATTCGTCTTCATTAGTCTCTGATGTCTTCGATATAACAGTAGATAGGGAAGAGAGGCTTACCATCGCCGTCAACGCTGGGGAACAGTTCCATGCCGTCGACCGTGGGTCGGAGAGATTGCCATTCGTGACTGTTTCGTGGGAACTCCTGGGCAATCTCGGAAAAGATCTCCGTGTACTGCTGTTGGAGGAAGACCCAGAGACAGCCGAATTCTTCGACCTCCCAGGGGGGCATGGTGCCAAAGATCATACCCCACATTTCATGGAGGTTGAAGTTGCGGTACCAGCTGGAGGATCTGCGCTTGAAGCGGGGTTGTGAGGGGGAGGATACGTCGGTCTGTTGGTGTTCTTCGCTCCATTCTCGGGCGCCGAAGATGTTGCAGTAGGTTTGGAGACGGCAGAGGGCACGGATGATGCGGGCTTTTTCAGTGTTGGAGGGATTAATGGGACGGTTCTGGTCCCATGTTTCTTGCGACACGCCAGGTGGGCAAGAAGCTTGGGCGCAGTAGACGTCGAGGAGGTGTTCAAGGTGACGGTAGAAGTGGGAGAGACGTAAGCATTCCTCCATGTCTGCGGGGGCGTTTTCGGAACCTGGTAGCTCGCCATGACGACGGCGACGGTCGAGGAGAGTGACAATCTGATCTCGGTTGGCTGGTACGTCGGCATGGAGACCTTGAGAGCGAATGGCGGCCACTGGCTCGGCCAGGTCTACGAGACCATACTGTCGTTGGAGGATGTCATGGAGGAGTCTCTTCTTGGAAAGGGCATATGTGTTGTAGTAGATCGGGGAGGCGTGAACCAGAGACTTAAGGGATTGGACATCGGGGAGCTGTTGGATCACAAGGATACGGAGCTCTGTTGGGAGGGATTCAAGCGCCATGACTGCCGGCAGCACATTGGCCAGTGATTAGATCGATCTGATAAGAAAGACGAAAGTATGATGACACGATTTTGTCAGCTGGGAGGATTGCCGAAGTGGCTGTGGTCGGGGGGGTTATATATATGACCGGGAATTGGGATTGGGTTCATGGTGACTGTTTCAATTGCTGACCGAAGATTCATTGGAACGACGTGATCCTCAACAATGGAAACGTGAGGCAAAATGGAAGCTTGACAACGTCAGTGGATCCGCTGTTCTGGACCAGTCACGGCGATGCGCTTCTCGGCATTTACCTAATGAAAATGCGGGGGGAGAAAAATGCGGAGGACCTGAGCTGCTTTTCTCCTCCCTGTCGATCTCCCTTTTTTTTTTAATTAATTATTTTTTTCAAAATTGGGGAAATCATCTAATTGAGATTCAAGAAAATCTCTCATACAAGGGGAACATCGCTCGATTGTCAGGCACCGAATTCTATTCCCTTCCTCCCGTCCCTCCTTTCTGCCATACTACCAAAATTGCCCCTCAACCTATTCAAATAATACATAAATAAATCTCAAATTTAATGCTCCAGCAGATCCATTCACGACAGCCACGCAATTCTTTGCGTGATGATATTAATAGACGATCCATGCCAATGGCTGTGACGTGATCGCAACGTGATTTCATCCCAAGAAATCTCTTCATTTCCATTACCTAAAATTATGGACGCCGGGCCGGTCTAGAATGAGCGCCATGGGTCAGCAGCCTATCCCTTTCTCTTTTCAGGCCATCACGCGGTGAGGGATAAAATCTCTCACTGGAAACCCCTTCCCTTTAGAATGATAGCTCCTTCTTGGGGTTTCTTCGATTTATCCGACCTTCCACCGTTGTTCCACACTGGAAAGCGTCGGCTACCACAGGCGATTCGTTGTTCGTTGAAAACGCCGTCGCCGGGCCAATGACGTCAGATCCGCCGCACCCTAGCCCTAACCCGGTCCGGTCATGTGAATCCGGTGAGCCTGGTTCCCCTGGTTTCTATCCCTAGCCTGTTTGGGCATGGCGCTTCTCCTTCCGTATGGGGAACTGGCCGGGGTCACGGTACCTGAGTCACGGGGGGAATATTTTCGAACTATAGAATTTTCATCGTGACTCAAATCAATGCCGCTATCCACCCTCCACCGTGGATGTGGCGTGGATATGTATACTCCGGAGTACCACTACGCAGCACAACCGGTGGAAATTCATTCAATGAAAACTTTAATGGTTGAGTCACGTTGAGAATTGAATTCTCTCTTTTTCGGCTAGACTATTCCCCAGGTTTGGAGACGAAAAATACTAATGGTAGCCTCTGAACCTAATATGGAACTCTGAATCTCAAATCCAGTTTCTGTGTCCCCAGTACTAAGAAACGTACAACCAACAGCATTCTCACAAAGGCCATGGCTGGAAGGCAAAGTATTTGTTCAAGATGGTGGCAAGGTGACTATGTTACCAGAGGCTTTTGCCCCCACTGAGTAGCTTCAGTAGGAAGAAAATCTGGCATGAGAGCGTGACCGTGGATTGAGAACTAGACTCCGGGAGGTCAGCGGATCAAGCGCAATATTTTTAGAAGCTGAGAATACACTATAATTTAAGCAACTCAATCAATTGAATCCAATTTTTATCCAATTTATTTAAGCAGTTTCTAGAGTCTAGGTCCTGGCGGCTTAATGAAGAATACAGGAATATAGTCACGTGGCGTTGAAATTGAGCGACCAATCAGAATGCAGAATCCGGGAAAACACTACAAATACTACTGAATAAAACAATAAAATAATAGCTTCGCGCTTCACGTTCTGCTATTAGATATAAAAAGGATGCTACATGATTCCAAGCCGAGAGATTTGATGTACTGCCTGACAATACTTAAGTCTATTATTCATTCATTATCCACCGTTCATAATGTGCCTGGACAAACTTTGCACCACCCTCTTGAGCTGATGAGGATGTCGACGCTACTGACAAGGGACAAAGACGGTTGTACAAAGCGGCACAAGTGTGGGATTCTTGGCAGGAGCAGGTTCACAAACACTCATCCTTTGCCATGGAAAGATAATTGGATCCCTCTGTCTTTAATATCATTCATTTTGTCATTTTTTGTGTAATCTATTTTACATAACGCCCCACGATTCGTAGCTATTATGGCTACCGGTGATCTAGAATACTCGGTTGACAAAGAGATTGCTCAATTCTTTGACAAGACGACAGCTACTCGCGCGGCCTGTGACGCATATGCGGCGGAGCACCTTGGAGGCGATGTAATTCCTGTCGCCGTACAAGGTGTGTGCAGCTATACTGTCTATGCTGGGCCCATTGGCGAATTCGTGACCCAGTTTCGCCTTAGGTCTCTTGAGCTGAAGATGGAGACTGCAAATCTTGCTCGAACCATATATATTCCCACTTTGCTCCCAACGTCGCTTTTAAGGGACATATTGGGGATGATATGGAGGGCAAAGAACCAGTCTACATCTATGTCATGGACCGAATACATGGTATTAGTTACTTGGATTTTATCCTCGCCCATAACAGCCGTATATCGGAAAATTCCGGTACATTTTCTTCCTGGCGGAGGATTCTTTTAACTGATATCGCGAGGTCTGCCTGACCCTTCATGTCACACCCTCAATTAATGCTAACTGTACATCCTATTAGGTTTTTTGCTCTGCCGTGGAATGCCCCACAAACTGTTACTCACCCCTACCGCGATGGACTCCACCATCAATATGAGAAAGAACTTGGGTTATTGCTTACCTCTCTACCCCCCCGTTTCTGTCGGTTCATTCAAGAATCTCTTGACTCCCTTCTGGTTATTTTGTCGCTTCCAATGGTTCTCCTCCACAAAGACTTTGGCGTCTGCAATATCATGGTAAACGAAACATCTTTCAATCTAACTGGAGTGATCGATTGGGCCGAGGCTGAGATTGCGCCATTCGGCCTCAACCTTCATTCTCTCCAACGATTCATAAGTAAGTTCCACCTCGAGAGGGGTTGGATCAGATACAATGACTACTTCATCTTGGAGGAGATATTTTGGACCACCTTTCGCAACGAGGCTGGAGAGTTGGATGATGAAACGATTAGAGTCGTCAAATTAGCAAGGGGTATGGGACTCTTGCTATCCTGTGGCTTCACGAGTCGCCTGGCGAATGAACCGGTGCCAGCACCCATCCAAGATGATGAAAATGGGGCGTACAACATGCTGGTTTGGATGGGCTATTAATTAATCCGGATACAAGGTTTACGGAATTGACATAACTAGACTAGACTTTGGAGTAGAGAGAAATGCCAGTTCTGTAAACCTCGTATCCGGATAAAATCAATGAAGCACAGCTTAAAGAACACCGGCCACAGTCAGAGCTTCTGTCAGATCTCCAACAATTTCCAGCTTAGGGAGAGGCTTCCCAGCATTGACAACCTTGTGGTTAGTAGCTATCGTATTCACATACTCGAGAAAGCTGTCTATATTCAAGAACTAGAAGAATCTTAAGTAATCTCAAATCTCCAATCTTGTCTGTCCCAGTAGTCTAGCAAGTCTCCTTCACCCTTGACTACATAGAATATTCAGTATACAATAGTGTATGCTTTGCATTTACCAATGTTTCTCTCCATAGTAGTGTACTATAGTCGATAAGCTAATGTGGGCTGGCGGGGCAGAGTACGTAAAATCGTCCCCACCGTGTAAATCCTCGAAGGGCTTGGCACTATAAAAATACCTATGCTTCCTACAACCATCTGCCAAATATACTCCCAGTATAGATCTTTTGATGCTAGATCAAATTAGCAATTTCCATGGATATTCCTGGGAGATTGACAGGAGCGGGACAATGTAATCCCGAATGACTTTCATTTCAAACCATTCCTACCCCTTTGCCAAAACACAAATGCTGACAACTGTGAGCGAATACGCTCACAAACAGCATGTACGGGACTTTTTGGGAGCAGGCCTTGAATATATGCCAACGTAAACCTTCTTGTCTACAGAAGCAGTCTATATGTTTCTTCTCTTCTTTGCGTTCGAGAGCGGGCGGATCGGTATCTCCCCGACCGGAGTTATGCATTGAAAGATCCAATGGAACCCGTATCTATTTCCCTGTACCCCCGTATATTTCTGATAATTGATCAACTAATCATGTTCCAAGATGAGAAAATCCCTGCAGAAGACTTATTCAGATACACCAGACCGATGGTTGTATGTAACCCTGCTGTGATGAAGCGAGCACTCACTCATCAGTGTAAAGGTTCAACGAAAAAGAAGAGCTGTCTAAGCGCTATGTCAAGTTCAATCTTCAGCAGCTTATCGATGTTGCTGTGAAAGCTAGTGAGGGGGGTAGATATTGTGCGCTTTGGTTCTTGCCCTACAAAATGTTTTGCTAATGTCGTCGATAGGCACCCGGGTTCTTAAATGCTCAGAGGGCCTACACAATACGGCATTTATTTTAACAATGGATAATGGAGCTGAAGTATTTGCGAAGCTCCCGAACCCAAATGCTGGCCCCCCTGGGTACACCACCGCCTCTGAGGTCGCTACGCACGTGTTGGTAAGCGGACCCCCTGTTGTTTCTATGTTTTGGATGGCATGTTGATAAATGCGGTAGCTACGTGATGTTCTCAAGATTCCCGTTCCACGGGTTCTTGCATGGTCCTTTGATGCACCAAATAGCCCTGTTGAGGCGGAATATATCGTTACAGAGAAGGCACCAGGGATCAGACTTGGCTCTTTCTGGAGCCAATGGCCACAGGAAGCGAAGCTGAAGCTCATCAGACAAATTGTCGACATAGAAAATAGGTTGACCACTATATCCTTTCCTCAGCACGGTTGTATTTATTTCAAGGACGACCTTCGTGCATTGACCGGGGACGCAGAGGACATTAATATCGAGTCTGCCGCTGCTGAATCCCTCAGTCGCTTTGCCATCGGGCCATTAACTTCCACTGAACTGTGGGAGGGGGCTAGGCGGGATATGAGATTGGACCGTGGTACCTGTGAGTCAATGCATATCTAGTGCCAATGTAGGATTGCTAACCATTTCTGGGAAGGGCATGACCCGCAAGAGTATACACAAGCATTAGGGCGAAATGAAATTGCATGGATCAAATCCCACGCCTGTCCTCGAATGAATTACTACAGGTCGGACCAGGAGCATGAGCTTCCTGATGATGGTGTTGCTCTTCTTACCAAGTATATGGACGTGGCACCATATCTGATTCCTTCGCCCATCAACGAAACAGCAATGTCCAAAGTGATCTGGCACCCTGATCTTCACCTGGACAATGTCTTTATAGATCCGGATACATATGAAATCACCTCCATTGTGGACTGGCAATCTGCATGTATTGCTCCTCTATTCTATCAATCAGGCGTTCCAAGGATGTTCCGACATCCTGGGCCTGTTCGAGAGGGCTGGGTTGTACCAGAACGTCCTGGAAACTTCGACACCCTTAGTGAAGACGAGAGAAGGATGATAGACAAGAATTTGGAAAGTGAGACCATACATAAATATTACGAGGCTCAGGTTTACAAACGAGCACCTTCTCACTGGGATGTACTTCACGATTCATCAATTCCAATCCTCAGGAAACCTGTCTGGCTGGTAAGTGGCATGTGGCAAAATCGAGATCTCTTCTTCTTGCGTCAGTCACTTCTATCCCTCGCTACCCATTGGCATGAGATTTTTGCAAACGATCAGTTACCCTGTCCGATCGAGTTCACCGAGGAGGAACTTGAGCTTTACTCCAAGGAGGAGGAAAATATTGATGGGGTTGGACGCATGCTTGTATTGTTTCGAGACCAGGGGGTCCTACCAGTTGATGGAATGGTGGACCCGGAAGACTACGAAAATGCTATTGAAAATAGCCACAGATTCAAGGACATCTTTGTTGGACTGGCCAAAGATGAAGCCGAGAGGAAGTTATATGAAAAACTCTGGCCATATCAAATGTGAGAAGTCACCTTTTGGAGAGGATAGCCCCAGTTCCCCCACGGCTGTTTATACTCTGTAGTTCTCTGCGCTTCATCTTCAATATTTAATTTGTCTCAGCTTCATGGACAAGGCTTTCTGCTGGTCGGCTTTGTTGTGGAACATCCTCCTAGTTTGTCTCAGTATCACTCTCACTCATCCCAACTGCTTCACACGTGAACCCTCCTTCGTCATCAACTTCTTCATCCTCCGTCTCATCCTCCGTCTCCTCCAGGTCCCAGTCTTCCCACTTGACATTGTGAGTCTTGACCACAGGCCCAGTTGCATCTGAATCGGATGTAGTCTTTGGAAGTGGAACGCTTATTGTGTGTTTATACTCTTTGAGGGGCTACTTCGGGTTAGTTGATGAAATGTATTTTAGGGGCAGAGGCGCATACAGCCTTTCCAATGAAATTCTTCCTCCTCGAGAAAACATGTCTGACTCCCGCAAACGAGACAACATAGCCCTTACTGTTCTGCACAACGTCAGCTATCGTGGCCCAGCCCGGATGCAGGGTATTTAAGAGAACAAGTCCTACTTACCTCGACAGGGGGGTATGACTGACACCCCTCCCTCTTGAGCTGCTCAAATACTCCGATGCCGCCGCCCAGCTTACCGATCCCCGTCGCTCCCACGTCAAAGGACAAGTCTAGGTCTTGCTTCTTGCCACTGGCCAACTTGATCGCACACTCCTTGGTAACCCATGTGGCTGCGACCGTCCATAACTCCTTCTTCCCCTTGAGTTCGCGACCAAAGTCCGGATGCTCAAGAAGTTCTGTTGTATTATCTGTCACCCAATCGATCATCCGATGCTTGGCGTGCCCTGAGATGCCGTGTTTTTGCACCTCCGACCTGGTGATGAGGGCTGCTGAGCCGGTCGACGAGTTGCTCACCTTCACCTGAACTGATGCCTCAGCTGGGGCCGCAGCCATGGCGCCGGACCCTTCGGCCGTGCCTCGGTAGCTCCGTCCCTTCTCAATCTCTGAAGAGTTATTTTCCCAAAAGATCGGCTGCGGCTCGGCATATTCCAGGCCTTCCCGGCGGAATGGCTTGTACCCATCTCGTTCTGGACGGCCTTCCTCCATGAGATTGGTGACTTGATGCCACCCTCCGGTTTTATCGAAATAACCCACTGATCCTAGAGTCATTTTGGAAAACCATTGAGGAGTAAAGAGGAAGGTGCCATAGGTCCTATCCCCCATGGATTTTCTATACTCCTCGTGATCGGACTCCATGATGTAAGATATGAACCGGGCGGAACGAAAGAGTTCATTTTTCAGAAGTGAATGAGTATCCAAGATGCGACGGGATTATATCACTTCTTGGGGATCATTCTGCATTAATACCCGAGAAAGTCTCGGGCCCACAACTTGCCGATGGTAGATCGTTTTCTCCCGGGCCCTTGTGTAGATCCCAAATTCATGCGGGAGTCGATCACCACCTCTATGTAGATCGAGCTGACTCTAGATCTATTGCGCGATTTACCACAGTGGGTACCCTTACTCCAGTACCGACTGCTTTCGAATCTCTCTGACGGGATAAGGTCTCGTCAAAAATCCGTGGAGAATGTGGGTCTCTTTTCAGCTCGTCATGACTTTTCTCCACCTTCGTTATGTCAGAGTGAAATCAGCAATCAATGATGGATATGCTATGAGAATATTGTCGCCCATTTGAGTTTTTACTGGCTGAACTCGCGCGCGACGTGGGTGGTCGGTGCTCTCTCTAAACGCATCTGGAGAGCACCTAGCAGCCTCAAAGCCCCGTTCACGAATATGAACAGCCTGTCAGAAGGTATGTGGTGAGGTACAGAATGCATGTCGCCGCTGTCACCTTTAGCCTAGGGCTTCCGCAAGCGGACGAAGGGCCTGAGTGTCCCTTGGCACTGATACCTGGAATAGCCCTATCTCATATCTCATGTCCTCAGATGCTGTGTAATCCGTGGGTGTACTAAAATTTCATTAAATCCCTGCCTAAATAGTGTAAATTGCTGCGTCTGTAAACATACCGACAATTGTCAAGGAACATGGTCCAATTGGTTTACACAGGAAGAAGATCCTTGCCGCTTCGTAACCGTGTCAAAACTACGTGCACCTATCAGGATAGTAGTAGGGACGCTCGGGGCGACCCGCACTACTGCTCCGTACGTTTCATGTGCTTGATGGAGGTAATCGACTAGCCGGCCGGAAACGAGGTGGTGGCAATACAACACACGGGTTATCGCTGCCAGTTTCGGTCCAGGGTGCTTTGCAAGTGGGTGGAGGGTGACGCTGTAGACTGCGTAGAGAGCGTAGTACTGATCAACTGAGTCAGTGGATGCCGCGCGAAGGGGATGTAGCCATTAGAGTTGGCACAGTCAAGTAAAATTAGTGTGATAGAGAAGACGGACCACCACTGGTAGGGATAAGGCAGCAGCCAAGATATGGAGTCCGCAGACTTGTTGAGCAGTATCGCTGATCGCCCGTGGCAGCTGGAGGAATCCTGCATCTATAGCCATATTTTGTGGGTTGAGTAATGGGGAAGCATTGAGAGATGTCTAATACGGGTGAATATCATATACTTGAGCGGCATCTGGTGCGACTGCGAGTATTTATGCATCTGGCACGGGCAACCCAAAGTCAACGCGACATGGAAGCGATGACGATTATGTCGTAACATGAATCCTGCGGTATAACGAAACACAAGCGTGCGCGCCTCGGCTGACGCAGCAATAGCGCTCAATAGGACAATACGATCCATAAGATCCGTTTGGCTTAGCCATCCTACAGTTCAGATAGTTAGAATGACTAGGATGGTGTATCAAGGCAGAAGCTTGTCGACGACTTGTATACGTTCAATTTAAGTTCCAACGGTTCTCCAAGCCCATACTATTTCAGGGGATGATAGTCTTACACACCAGCCGGGTGTCATGTAAGGTTCCAGGGAGCCCTAGTGTGAGTTTGCATCTGTACGCTGAGATTGTTCTATTGGTACTAAGGCAGTCTAATGTGACACATTTAGACAATTTAGTGTATAGTATGAGGTTACGACTGCCAACAGTATCTCAAACTTTTAGCTGGGAGGTCAGTCTAGCTAAAGATTTAGCCCCTTGTCTATATTTACCAAATGTAAGAAACTGAGTCTAAGCTAGTAGAGTAATAGGAGGTTGCAGTCAATATTGCCCTGTATATTGATAAATCGGTCCAGATCGAGCATAGCCAGTATCATTGTCAATAGCTGCCCGATACTATACACAATTTGACTACTTTTTGCCTATGCCACACAAGCAATGCCGGCTATTCTCCGGAGGATGCGCCCTGAAACCGCTACTGCTAGAGTGCAAGGATTAATCCGCATGTGCTTTCGAGCTAAAGCCGAAGGGTGGTGGAGCCGAACATAATTTGTGCTCAGATTAATTTATATGGCCTGCGCAGCTCCAGACCGGCGTTGAGGGCCCACCTGGTGCGTCCAAGCAGAATCTAGCGGGGCGCCCTAAGAGAACGGTGTATGGGCGATGATACCGTGCCACATCCCACCATTGAAGGAGATTTGCCTGCGCAGGGATTATTTGATTGATTTCACACAACTTAAACTAGTTATTATTTTCTATTTTCTAGTTAGTTACTAATTCCTGTGCCATTCAGAATTCCCGATCTAGAAAGGCACATTTTCCATCTACAAAACCAGGGGTGCCTCGCAACGTGCTGACGCAACTTCCTACACCCATTCCTATACAACACTTAGATTTCACATAACGATGGAGAAGCCAGATATTGAGGCTCGCGTCGCCGAATCCTTGAGTAACGACTTCGATCCAGCCTTGGAGAAGAAGTTGCTACGGAAGCTGGACTGGCGCATCATCCCTGCACTATGGTTCCTGTTCCTCGTATCATTCATGGACCGATCGAACATCGGGTAAGTTGTCTGCTCCTGCTCGACACAATCTGGTACTCGGAAACTAAATGTGGATATTTCACTCTAGAAATGCCAAAATCGCTGGAATGGTCAAAGAGCTGCATATGGTCGGAAATGATTACAATGTCGCCGTTACAATGTTCACTGTCGCATATGTGATTTTCGGAGTGCCCGCCAATCTCCTGGTCAAGAAATTCGGCCCCAGAATGCTGGTCATGTACATGTTCACCTGGGGTGAGATCACACTCCCTTGCTTCAATTGGTAGTGTGCTAATGAGGGATCGCACGATAGGGCTGTTTGTGATGGGTCAGGGCTTGACAAAGACTGCGACGGGGCTGATCGCGTGTCGGTTTTTCATGGGAATGTGTGAAGCAGGGTTTGTTCCTGGTCCGTGGAAGTCCGGAACTTCGTTGGAGGAACGGTTACTGATAAACGTGTCATCTCTAGGCTGCGCATATTTGATTGGGAGCTACTATAAGCGAGATGAGTTTCTGCGTCGCTATGCAATTTTCTTTAGTGCTAATATGGCAGCCGGTGCGATCAATGGGGTTAGTTCTAGTTGATGATACTCGCTTGTATCACTGTTGACTCTAGATACAGCTATTCTCGAGTCTCTTAACGGGGTTGAACCTCAGCGGATACGCAGGGTGGCGATGGTAGGGTTTCTTCCTCGTTGAATATTCCATCCATCTGACCATCTAGGCTCTTCTTGATCGAAGCCATCATCACCATGGGTATTAGCATCGTTTGCTATTGGATTGTCGTACCGTTTCCGGAAGACGCGGATTTCTTGACGCCCGAGGAGAAAGCGTTACTGCTGGCTCGCCTGGAGGCCGATGGTGGTGGTGTCCGCAATGACCCCATTTCCTTGAAACGGGTACTCAGTATGGCGGCCGACTGGAAGATCTGGATCTGGTAAGCCTTCGTCTCTCACTGTGATTCAATTATCGGCCAACTAATCGTACAACAGCGTCCTGGCCTATATCGGTGCCGAAGAAAGCGCTAGTTCTCTGGTGGCATTTCAGCCCACCATCCTCAAGGACCTTGGCTGGACCGCTCGTTCCGCACAAGCGCACGGCATTCCTATCTATGCAGTTGCATTCGTTTTGACGCTTTCTAGTGCCTGGTTGAGTGATTACCTCCGACACCGCTTCCTATTCACTCTCTTCGGCTCGGTCCTGATTATTATCGGATGGAGTGTTCAGCTGGCACACTACCTGCCAGCGGGTGTCCGCTACATGGGCATGTTTTTTGTGGCTTCTGGTGCATTTATCATGATGTCAATCACAGTGGTATGGTTGTGCATTAACCTCGGCAAGGGGGTCAAGCGCAGTGTGGGTATGGGCCTGCTTCCAGCATTTGGCAATTGCGGTGCCTTTGTGTCCGGGAACGTGTTTATCACCAGCCAGTCCCCCAAATACCCAGTGGGATTCGGCGTTGGGTTAGCTTTTGCAGTCATGGCTGGCGTGGCAAGCACGGTGTACTATTTCGGCTTGCGCGCGGAGAACCGCCGGCGCGACAGCCAGCCCGAGCACGAGTGGACCCCGGAAAGTGCTCAGGATCTCGGAGATGCGCACCCAGATTTTCGGTTTCACCTGTAAGAGATGCTGGATCGTATGAGGGCGCATTGTGCCGATACTGGCACGCCCTAAGTGGGCTGCTTTCATTTAATTTAATCTGCAATACGGGATATTCTACAATGATTACGGGTCTTTACTCCGTACAGCCTAGTCAGTGTTTTGTCGGACTTGTAGTGTAGCACGATTTGTTGGTCTCATTACGTAGCCCTAAGTGTAGATCCACCCAAACCGAAGGTTTTCATATGCTTAGATTGAACAAGATTTGGCCAGCCGCCAGGAATCGCAACTGACAGTCCTAATTCGTCAACTTGGGAGACGTTTCGCTATCTATTGGTCCGGGGAATCGGCCAAAAGCCCACTCTAGGTGGATCTTTTCCACCAGGAACGGACCGGAATCAAACTAAAGAGTCGAGACCCACGCCTGTACTTTTTACGCAATGCGACCATCCTATAACATAGCCAGTCCGATTGATGATGGCACCATGAACCATGTCCATAGACTCCATACCCCTGCTCAACTAACGACTTTTTTTTCTAGTGTTTCCTGTGGGCTAGTGGGTTATGGCCAGTGTGCCGATAACCATTTGCGAATCTGCCAGTGGAAATTAGTTTCATCAATTACCGTGTACCAATCCTACCCGAAGGCCATGTGTGCAGGGATGGAGCATACCAGTAATCGACCTATCTAGAGGGAATACCAGGGTCTCAGCTTAGCGGATCCTGCAGCAGGGTTTGCTTCCGGAAAGAGCCCATCGAGTGCACAGGATGTGGCCAGGTCTGGTAGTTTAAGGAGCAGGATTCCTTCCACGAGGGCCGGATCATGATCGTTTCTGAGACTTTTCCCGTCTGGCAGGCTGGCGATTACGTTCCTTAAGTCCCCTTTCACACTCGTTTCTTCCCTTTCTTTTAAACTCATGATTTGTGTCTGTCCTTTCGTCCATTCTTTGCGCAGGGTACTGTGACGGTTGTCCGAGGGAAGCTATGGTGTTGGATCCCTCCGATGTTCCAAATAAAGGACCCCGGTTTGTCAAGGTGACCGCAATCTTGACGGCGATTGCTTTCATATTAGTAGCCTACCGAATAATATGGAAGGTGTACATGAAAAGCAAAATCGCCGCCGATGATATGATCATCTCTTTCTCCATGGTATGTCTTCCGTTGGTCAGTGTTGCTCAATTATACCAACAAAGGCAATAGGTTATACAGATTGTAAATACAGTCATGGGCGACTTGGGTATGCTTTCTCTCCGATCAATAATATATCATAACTTCTAAACATGGCCCCCATTTTAGCATGTCACTACGCCTTCGGTCGCCACCGCGCCGATGTAGTTCGAACAGGGGGCAACCGAGTGCTCGCATTGAAGGTGTGATTCATCAAGAAGATAATACACAGTGGTCCCGACTAACCGCATGACTGGGTAGTTCTTCTGGCTTTTTCAGATCTTCTACAAACTTGTTCTATGCCTCAACAAGCTATCCTTCCTCGCTTTCTACCTCCGCCTCTTCCCAACCCCAAAATTCCGCCTTGTCTGCTGGATCACTATCACCCTCGTCCTATCCAGTACCTTCGGGTTCGTCATCGCCACCATTTTCCAATGCATCCCCGTCCACGCGAGCTGGCACAAGGACATCCCCAAAACATGCGTGAAAAACGCCGAATTCCGCTGGTCCTGGGCGGGCTACAATACAGCTATGGACATCTGGGTGTGCCTAATGCCTCTCCCGGTTCTGGCGCAGCTACACCTCGACCGTATCCGTAAAATCGGGGTAATGCTCGTGTTCTGCATGGGCCTTTTCGTCTGCATAACGAGCATTATTCGCATGTGGGCTATGACCGAAAGTACGAAGACGCACGATCCAACATGGGGATCGTTCGATGCGCTGATGTGGAGTGCTATCGAGGCTAGTACGGGTATTATTTGCGCATGTCTGCCGTTCTTGAAGCATCCGATTCAGAGGATCATTCCTAGCTGGCTTGTTTCATTGTCGAATGGCTCCAGGAAGACTCGACCGAGTTATCGGATGAGTCGCCTCGGCTCTCAATCCGGGATGCGGACGGGTGGGCAGAGGGATGAGGATTTTTATGGGGAGGCTGATGCTGAGAGTATGGGTAGTCAGGGGCCGATTGCGAAGGGTCAGATTCTTATGAAGACGGATATTGTCATGCGTAGTGAGCGGGCTTATTCGTGATATGATCTCTATGTTCTTAGAAAAGATCCAAATCAGAAATGTACATTTGCGAAGTACGTTCATGGTGAAATTAGGGTAGAGGTCCTGTGTATCATATGATGCCTTGATGGTCATAATGCCACGGCATATTACTCCCCTTCTACGGCTTCTCAAGGCTTCTTTTTTCTTATTTTCTCTCGCTGCGTGTATCGCCCGGCTGCTGTGGACCTTGATCCACTCAGTGCGCGCCCTAAATTAGCTTAATTCCACTGACAGGGATCTTGGCCGAGTACGAAGACACAGAATGAAACATTAATTAAATAGTCATGGCGTGATAGTCCTAGTCAGGTAGTGCTCCGGTGGACTTCCGAAGATTGATTGCGTTCTTCCCGTCTGTCGATTAATCCCTGTTACCGCAACAGCACATACTCCGACAGTCCCAGTACTCCCAGTTACTCGCATAAAGCGACAGTGCTAAGGGATCGTCACGAATATCCTCACCTCAGCTCAGTCCACTCTAAGTATAGCTGCAAAATGGCGGAGGAGAATACTGCAGGAAGTACTATCGTGGCGGATGCCTTTCTGGAGGCTTTGGCAGAGGTACTGCCTATCCCATGTCTTCTCTGGTGAACAGAATCTAAATCATGACAGGCTGGTGTCGACTATCTCTTCACTGTACTTGGCTCCGATCACCCTAGTATCATTGAAGCCTATATCCGCCGCCAAAATGACCCCACCCGCCAATATCCCAAGATGATCCTGTTCCAGCACGAGGTCAGTCCCTGTTTCCTTCGCCAGGATCAGCACATGGAACCCCACTGATCAAGCAACCAGTTCGTGGCCATGTCAGCTGCCGATGGCTACGCTAGGATCAGTCACAAACCGGCATGTGTGATCGCCCACGTGGACGTGGGGACTGCTGCTCTGGGCCAGGGCCTGCACAATGCATCTAGCGGTCGTGCCCCTGTCGTAATCTTCGCCGGTGTTGCCCCATCCACGCTGTTGGGTGAGGCTCCGGGTTCTCGTTCAGAGCATGTCCAGTGGTACCAGGATATTCGCGACCAGGCGGCCATCGTGGCGCCCTATAGCCGTTTTAGCGCGGAGATCAAGTCACCGCATAATGTTGGCAGTGTGGTGCATCGCGCTGTCCTGATGGCCACGACTGGAAGCCCAGGTCCGGTGTATCTCACTGCAACTCGGGAAATACTAGCTACCCCTATCCCCTCGGTGGAGCCCCGGCCAAAGCCCATCCCATCCTGCCATTTGGGGTCCCTGTCTCCGGAGGCCGTGGAGATGATTGGTAGCGCACTGCTGGACGCAAAAGCCCCTCTCGTGATCACAGGGTACCTGGGCCGAAGCCACCGCGCAGTTCAGCAGTTAATAACCCTAGCGGACACGGTTCAAGGGATCCGAGTCTTCGATTCCGAGCTCCGCGAGGTCTGCTTCCCAGCAACTCACCCAGCCTGCATAACCCGCAACACGGGCGCCGCATCAGCCATCCAATCCGCCGACCTGATCCTCGTCCTAGACGCCGATGTGCCCTGGATCCCACGACGAGTGCATCCCTCCCCAAGCGCAGAGATTTACCACATCGACCTCGACCCGCGCAAAGAGCGCATGAACATGTTCGACATCGGTGCCTCCGCCACCTTCTACGCCGACACAGCATCAGCCCTAACTCAGCTAAACACCTACATAGCCAGCTCTCCCCGCCTCCCAGCGCTCCAGAAATCCTGGTCCCCGCGAGCCGAAGATCTCCTCACTGCTCATAAAGAAGGGAAAGCCCGCATCGACGCCCGCGCGGCAACACCCCTCTCCACCCCCAGCGAACCCTGCACCGTCGACTACCTGTGTAGTCGCATCCGCGCCTCCGTCCCCCAGGACACAATCTACATCACCGACTCGGTGACTAACCAAGTCCCCATGACCGAACAACTTCAACTCACCCGTCCCGGATCTCATCTAACCAAAGGAGGCAGCGGACTGGGCTGGTCCGGTGGCGCTGCCATCGGCGTTTCGCTCGCGACATCCCGATACGATATCTCCGATCGTCCTAACCTGCACCTTAACGAAACCACCACACCACCTTTCATCTGTAACATCGTGGGCGACGGGAGCTTTGTTTTTTCCGTACCGACGGCTGTTTACTGGGCCGCGCATCGGTATCAGACCCCTTTCCTGACGGTGATTTTGAATAATGGGGGGTGGAATGCAACCAGGCAGTGTTTGGCCGATGTTCATCCTAGCGGTGTGGCGGCCGGATTGTCGAATCGGGATCTTGGGATCTCGCTGGTGGAAGATGGGCCGGATTATGGGGAGGTGGCTAGGGCAGCTGCTAATGGGAATTTATGGACGAAGAGGGTGCGCAGTGTCGGGGAGTTGGATGAAGTGCTGAGGGAAGGGATTAGGGTTGTGGTTGAAGAGCGAAAGTCGGTTGTTTTGGATGTTTTAATTAGGTAGTAGGGCTGGTCTGGGTTGTTTTCTGTATATACATTGACTCAATTCATTGAGCATATTTTCGCACCATGCAGACCAAGTTCACCCAGTCACCATCACTCCCTCCCCGGCCTGTAAATCTACTCGCGTCAAAATGTACAGTATTTTTTTCCTCCTGGGAAGATATCTCCTCAAACCCCTTTCTCTTGTACACCGGGTATCCCTTCTTCGAGGCCTCAAGGTAGCACTCAATTCCAAGTCTGTCGGCAATATCACAACCCCACTGCGTTAAAAGAGAAGCTGCTCCACGACGCTCATAACGAGGATCCGTAGCCAGCAATGCCAGCACTACGTTGGCAATCAACACGAGGCCCATTAGAAGCAGCAGCGCACAGAACTTACAACAATGATCTCTCCCCTCCTCTCCAAAGAACTCCCTCCGTTTCTCCAGTAATTTTCCCTTGCAAAATCGAAAGCCTTCCTCATTTGCCCCAGTCGGGATCTCCATACCCTCATCCGTTCTCACAGAAGCGCGCCATTTCGTCAGTCCCTCGTCCCCATGGTAAACATGCCACTTGGCAAACGCAACCATCTCCCCCGAGTCGTCGTCAACAGCTTTCAAAAAATAACAGGTGGGATCTTTATCCCAGTTCTCCGAGACTCGAGATATCTTGTTTGCCCTGCAAGGCGACGCCGATACCTCTTCCGGTGTCCCGTCTATGTTGGACACATCGCCTGTACTGCGGAAGAAGGCACTGGCTCCCATGGCCATCTGTTGGATGTCGACCATGCGTGGGATGTCGGCTTGGGTAATGGATTCAATATGTAGTGGCATTGTGCTGGTCGAGTTCTTTTGTCACTGGGATATGTGTCTGTCTTACGAGGTATGGAGTGTGATATTGCTGTACGGAGGAATAGAAATATGTACTTTTTATTTCTTCTGAATAGGCTTGCCTTGGTCGGTATTCTGCATTAAATACTAGTAATAGTAGATGTCCCTCGTATCTGCACGTCGGTGATGCGGGCCAATGGTGTCGTGGTTGAGATAACTCACGGCCGACTCGTCGATTGACAGCCTTATCTTGGATAATTCTGATATCTCGGTGGAATTAAAATTAAAGGCATACCGTTGAGCATTTAGAGAGGTCGAATTGAGCGATTGCTGATCGAAGGTGTTGGTTGAGACTTGGAGATTAACATGGCTAGGGCTAGCCGCTACATATATATTTCGGATACAAAGTGAGCAGCAAACCAGAGCAACTAGCGTACCCCTTGTTTCCTGAAGCACATATGATATTCTCCATATTTGACGGGATGGGCATAGCTGAATCAACCACGGATATGCATAAAATGTCCTTTGACCCAAGATTTCCACAACCTCCCTTGCATATTCTAGCAATATCGACAAAATGTAAAAATGTGGACAAAGTGTCTAAAAGACCTTTATATACCAGTAAAAGAAGCAACCTTTCACCAATTCAAGGTGCTGTAGTGTAGTGGTGATCACGTTTCGTTGTGGTAGTTTCCGCAATTCCGAATCGACCTGGGTTCGATTCCCAGCAGCGCCAAATGGCGTCTGTACTTGATTGGTCTTTCTTTTTGCTTTCTTTCTTTTTTCTCATTGTTTTCCTATGAGTCCAGTTGTTGAAATTGCATACCAATGGACTTGTTCCTGATCTGGAGATCTTCCTCATGGTGTGTTTAGCCATGGTCGGTTCTTCATGCCAAGCACTGGATCAATCTTTGCTTGCAACTGCATGAAATTGTAGTACTTGATTGATATCTTAGTGGACGAGAGTAGAGTAGAAGACACTGCTAAAATAACTGGCCGGGGAGGGTTGTACAGATGGCAGGCTGCTTATGGAGAGGAGATAATAAGATAGATAATCAGTTGGACTAACAGCCAGAGTAGCTTAAGCATACCTTATACTGGCTCGAGATCGTTTAGATGCTAGTCCTATTAGATTAGGAGAGATAGTATAAAAGGAGATACATTTATCCAACACAGTGAATCAAGCCCATTTGACACTATGGAATCAACGGTCCTTCCCTACAATACCCAGATACGCTATTTTGAAGCCTTGCACGGCTGAGATGATCAGAAGGCGTGGCAGTCAATTTCCTGAGCATGCATGACGGCGGCCTCCAACGCCGATATCTTTTCGGTTTGTTTATAATCCCGGTGAAACCGGGACACCAGTTTGCTCATGACCTTGGGCCACTCTGCATCCTCGCGTGGCACTGCGGCTGCAACGGCTTCGGTCTTCTCAACCCTCTTCTTGCTTTCCTCCAGCTCCAGTTGCTGGTATATTTCCTCAATGGTGATATGAGGGTCTTTGCCATCCTCCACCCTGCTGAAAATCTGCCGAACCAAGAATCCGGCCAGTCGCTTGACATCGCGCGCGTTGGCCCAGCACTCCATCTTTCTTAGTCTGGAGAAGGCACCCGTTACTTTGGCAACGCCGCCACTTTCTTCTATAATCTGGATATCCACGGACGCCAGTTCCCTCTGCAGTAGTCGCCAACAATCACCCGCTGACAGAGGTTGGAAGACAACGTCGGTGGGAAACCGGCTGCGCAGCCCCCGGTTCACCTGCATCAGCTCCACCATCTCGCGGTTGTACCCTGCGAGCACCACGATAAGTTTCTGGGCATACCGCGTCTTGGTAAGCCCATCCACCAGCTCGTCAACCGCTTGCTTCTCGTGTTCACCGGCCGCCAGCCGATATGCCTCGTCGATGAACAGAACCTTCCCCAGCGCCTGTTCCAAGAGGTCAACCACCTGCTTTCCTGTCTGCCCCTGGTACGACGCGATCAGGTCGCTAACCGAGCACTCAATCACCTCCGCTGCCGACAGAAAGCCCATATCATAAAAGATCTGGCCCACCTTGCGCGCCGTGGATGTCTTGCCGGTGCCTGGCGGGCCCCGGAAGACAAAGGTAAACGGGATATACGGACGGGGATTGACGCCTCTCCGCCGCATGCTAGCGACCGCCTTCTGGTATTCTTGCATCTGGACGATGATCTCCTCCACCCCGACCAGGTCCTGAAAACGGGATTCACACTTGGCTGCGGCCTGCAGATGCCGACGGTGATGCAGGTCAAAGTCCTCTGGCTCGAGCACAACATCTATCGGGCTCTCTAGCATTGGCGTGATTGCACGCTTCCCGTACGCCTCCGTGGCGTGGCTGAGGAGATTCTCAACGTCTCCGCCATTCCCAAAGTTCGGTCGCTCGGACGCTTTTTCTAGCATCTGCATCGCAACTTTCCGGGCCTCGTCCGTCACCTGTAAGCCTTGGTTGTTCAACTTCAGGTCTAGAATCTGGCCGAGTTGCTCCACGGTGTAGTTTGTGAAATGAAACGCATCGGCCAGGGCAAACCGTCGAGCTAGCCCGGGATTGCTCTTCCGGAACATTTCCTGCATCTCTTCCTCGTAACCCAGAAGAATCACACACCGGTCGTTCCCAGGGGTGTTATCAAGCTCGGCGACCAAAGTGTCGATCACTGCAACTCGGAAGTCGTCCGGCTGAATATGTGCGCCAGCCCTCGCCCCGGAATATAACATGTAGGCATCATCGATTATTAATACCTTACCCTTTGTCTCCTTCAGGATTTTCTTAGTTCTGTGCTCGGAATGTCCGATATAGCCAGCAATAAAATCTGACGGGTTCTTGACAACAACCTCTGCGCTTGATAACAGCCCGAGATCGGCCAGGATTTGCCCATAGAGCGTGGCAACTGTGGTCTTTCCTGTGCCGGGCGGCCCCAGGAACACGCGGTTCAGGCTGGACTGCAGCGGCACAGAACCCTGCTGCAGGCGGTGGTAGTTCCAGGTTGCACGATCGAACAGGAGCTGGACGGATGACTTGACGGCCTCCATCCCGATCATAGCCTGGAGCTTAGTCCATGCAGGGCTTTCGCGATGGGCTTTGGCCGGATCGGGGCCGATGAGATCCTCTCTGGTGAGCAACAGACAGTCCGGGTGTCTCCCCTCGCTCTGTTCCTGGCGGATGCGCTCTGTCTGGCGATCCAGTGCTCTATTCCACGCTTCCTTCAAGGCGCAGATATTGCGAAATCCTGGCCCGCGCGCACTGCCCACAAGACGCACCATCATCCACATATATTTCCCATTTGGCCCTCCCTCAACCTTCCACTGCGTGCCGGCGATTATCCTTACCATGATCCGCTGCAGCTCATCATCAGAGTAGTCCGGTAGATTTAGTGTGATCTTGAGATCGTGGGTCTGGTCCCTGGTATAGCAAGAGGCGTAGCCAGGCGCGCGCAGTTCTGACAGAAATCTGTGGTACAAGCGTTCCACTATTGATCTTCCTGCTTGAGTAAGAATCAAATCTATTGCCAGAGTATGGGCTGCACACCTATTCCGGGGTTACCCACGATGGCTATAGCCAGGTCGTCCCTCGACAGCTCCTTTTTCTGCCTCTTCGCTATCTGCACTATAGCCCGCATCCGAAGAAAAAATGCCTTGGCATCTTCCAGTCCCACCATCTGCATAAGTTTGTCCAGATACTTGCTCTGAGCGCCTTCGGTACGCTTTAGGCGGATCCATTCTAGCCGGGATGGGGAATTGTCCTTTACCCTTTCGACAGGATCGTCCGGTGCTGATAGTTCCAGTAATAGAGGGGATAGTACCTTGCAGAGATTGCGAAACTCGATAGCATAATCGCGATAGTCCGGAAGCGATTCCTGTAGCAGAGGAGACAGCGCCCTGCAGAGATCGCGAAACTCGATCTCGCTGGATTTCCAGTGGCAGCTTGTCTGCCTTCCCTGCCCGGAGTCTTTCGTCATCGCCGCGTGTCAGGAAAGTAGACCAACTAAAGATAAAAGGGTGCGCAATAAAACTGGTAATCAGGATGTAGTGGGTAGACTGTTTCCTATAGTCAGGAAGAGTACTACCTGTTTTTAAGCTATGTTTAGTTCAGAAAAGCGGTGTCCACGTCTAAGGGACATTACATGCCTAGCAGGCAGCAGCTCCCCCCTCGCCTTCCACATTCTTATACCGTCCGGCAGTATCAAATCTCTAGCTCTTTCGACCCCGCATATTGTCACTGTTCAGTGATTGTGATTGCCAGACCGCATTGAAGAAGTCGCTCACCACTTGTTTACGCGCTGTTGTTTGCCTCGTTGGGCGGTTTCTACTCCTGTGATCTTCCCAGCCTCATACACTGTCCGCAGATAGAGTACTGAATTCTGCCCCGCTCAGTTATCGGGGAGTTATTAGAGGTCATTTAACTGAGCTGCATGTTCAATACTGTGCAGTTGACAGGTTTACTTTGCATTCATTGGTGAAACAATACAACATCGCGCGACTTTGGCTTTCGGTTGGCTGATTTTACGAATCGGCTTCCACTCGCCTCGCCGACCAGCTGTATCTTGCTGCTTATATTCTATCTGGTCTACCGAGCAGTGTACAATATTCTGAGCTATAGCATCGCGATTCTACCCATCAGCCAGCTGGCTGGTGGTCTTTTGGGTGGAAAGCCATCTATTATGAGATCTTAGAGTTGAGCCTCTTGAGACCTCGAAGAGGAATCGAAAGAATACTACAGTGTACAAACCTTATAAATCTTGCTAACTTTCGGGTAGATGTAGAAATGTAACTATTATATTTGAAGAATAATATCTAGACTGTGTATACCTCAGGGCTCCACTTTCAGGTAGATCTCCCTAGTCCCACTAGTGGGACCAGAGTTCTAGCAACCTAGTGTAGACCTTAAATAATGAAGGAACAAACAAGAAGCGTAGGCTCAAGCTATTTTGACCGTCTTAGACTTTGCCAAGCACAAGTGGGTTTGTTCTAGCTATTTTTGCGGGTCTTATGGAGGCGATCCTTGTGCATAATTGTGAAAGGTTGCATTGTTTCAGGCAGCCATGCTGGACAACTACCCGTCCCAACTGTGCGCCTGGCTTCCTTGCTCTGCCGATCGCAGAGTGGCCTAGATCTCTGCCCTCTAGCCTGTTACCAAGAATAATATGTGGTACTCGAGATTCTAGTGACTGAATGAAAGCGACAGAGCTTGTGGCACCTAGTTTTCAGGCCAGCTTCTGGCCCTCTGCATGTGGAGAGCCCTGATCAAGGTGTACCTTCCTTCTTGACAAAGAAAAACCTCGCAGGAATCCTGGTGAGGGCCAGAACGATCGAGTTGTTCTCGATAACATCAAATCCTACAAAATGAATACTCAACCGCTTTCATTCAACCCCATCCAATACATTTCAACCCAAGAAAAACAGTCAATCGCCAATTTGTCCATCTCATCCCTCCTCGCCGTCGCCCACGAACCCCTCCCCCAAGGAGGCAACCACTGGAGCATCTACCTCACCAGCGAAACAGGCTACGTCCGCTTAGACATGACGCCCTCCTACACCGTCCCCGCTACAGTGAGTCCCGGCGGCTCTAAGGGAATTCTCATCGTCAGCCGCGTGGATGACCTCCGCTTAGGCACCGCAAGTAAAACCGTACGACTTGATGTCCGGGAAGGTCTGAAGGTCAGCGATTTTGTCGACCTGCTCGTGAGAGAGAAACGGCATCTCTACGAGTTCAACAATGCAGGACAGGGGTGTAGATTCTGGGTGCATCATCAGATCGGTCTTTGCTGGGATGAGGGCCTGGTAGTGAATGGTGTGCAGGTCGAGGAGGCGAGAAGTGCCATTCTAGTGATGTATCCTGAGATGGTGGGGTATAGCCTTGTTGTTGGAGAGTATTATTCTTAATCTTTGTTTTGTTTTCATTTATCCGTCCGGTCTTTACTATGTGGGCTTCTGTATATTGTTTTCTTTATATACATGTTGAAGTCGCAAGGCGTCCTGTGAACATTAGCCCTAAGACATTGGAAGGAATCACTCGTCTTTAAGGCTTTTAGTGTCGCCACAACCCCTGCTAACAATCTTGAGATCCTCTAGAGATATCTCCCCAGAAGCTAGCAGTTCTAAACGCTCGATAAGGTATTTCGTTTTTGGATTGAAGCCATCCGCGAGTCTTTACACTGTGTTCAAAGCTAACTGCAATCTTGAACAATTTTTCATATTACCTCCCCGGGCTTACTATAAACACCTTCCACCTTTCAGACCCCTTATAGCGGCTCATCATAATGGTTGCTATGTTGTGCAGCTTGCGTCAGAATGAGCATAACCTGCCGCAAGGTGAGCTCTTCATAAATTACATCGAATGGATACCTGGGGATTTCCCAGCGTGCCTTCTCTAAACGGACCTCTCTTGGAGCAGGCAAAGATGGCAAGCAAGCTTCAAGCAATTTTGCTGCTCGTAGGATACCTTCTTCATCTTTTGTGTGTGCGAGTACTCCTCGCGTGAATTCCATGCCAGGCTGATCAGACTCGTCGTCTGCGTTTCCTTTGTGTCCAATCAGCACGAGATTGGTTCCCTCCATCAGAAACAGTTCGTCTCCCTCATTGAGCTCCCTCGCGGTAACGCAGCTGTTATAAGGCCCTAGGGACAACAGAGGACCGCAGTTATGGGCGGCCAGACTACATTGTATTCTGCCGACCATAAACTCTGAAATGGCCTTGCCGCGCAACTCTTGTCGAAGATGCTCATCCAGTTCAAAAGTGGGGTGTTTCTGCATCTTGCCCTGGGATTTACACCAGTCGCATACCGATGATTGAGAGTTCGCATGTCGAGTGTGTCCGAGATGCGTGAGCCCGACTTCGAAACCGAGGTCACAGATTTTGTCTGGAATACCGACGTCCCATGCACAGTCATGGACATGGTGCAGTTGTAGGATATTGAAAACCTCTAGTGCAGTATACTTCAATGGAAGGACATATGGCATGTTACTGAGCAGTCGGACGAACAGATTGACTGTCGTTGCGGAATAATCGGCCATAATCCTAAGGCCCCGACTGTCCTCCGGCATTCTGGCGAGGCCAAGCAGACCATAGACTCGATCGCGCACATCTCGACATTGAGCTTCCCCAAACTTGACCACAATTTCGTCTATCGTCTGGTTCAAAATGCTGTCCTCTCGGTCTTTTCTGTCTAAATAGCTGAGCACTTTCCTTGTATGTAACCCCCTGGACGAACTGCCAAGTTGTATTTCCGCTCCAGTGAACCCCCCGAGAACAAACTCTCCTCTGACGGCAGTTGTTAGCTCCCTGAACGATGACCAGGGCGCAGATTTGGAGCCACAGAAGACAACCGCATCCTGCGCAAGGAATAGCTCCTGGATAATCCAAAGCCTGGTCCAGTAAGAACGCTGGTACAGCATATCAAGCGCATTTCCGCTAGAGCCCTCCAGGTCTATTTCATTTTGCTTTGCCTCTGCACATATATCGAAAATAAGGTCCGACTCAGCGGTTCCAGGACCCAGCCAGACCAGAACCTTCTGCGCCTGACTGTATACATCACCCATGCGCTGCACTTGGGCGCTCCGCTCGGGAGTGTCTTCTTGATTGATGCAGATCGCGTCCGCGAAGAACGGGGTACTTCGCTGCTCACTGCCAGCTAGAATCCCCAGACAGGTGTGTAAGTTGTCTCGGATGAGGAATGGACGATTGTTGATGAATATTGTTCGATCTGCTGTGTCATCCCCCCACTCATAGGAGAGCGCATTGTACACCGGCTCGTCTGAGAATTTGTATACTCCTAAGCTAAGTCTGAGAGGTCCCGTCGACGCCGTATCTTCAAATTTTAGAAGACGAATATGGTGTGCGTCTGTTGGAAGCACCGTGTGGGCGAACGCTGAAGTATCAGAAGCCATAGGGGTCCGCTCTAGTTGAATGAGGAACTGGATATATGTATACAAGAATATAGAAGATTTGTGTGTCAAGAGTGAGCGTAAAGTTCCTGTGTGAAAAGGGTGTGTTTACGATAAATAGGCCAGTTGTCAGCGGGGCTATGCACGCGGGGCTGTGGATCCCATGGTGGCTGGCCGCTGATTCTCACATACATTGACTAGTAATTTTCCTTTGGTCGATCTGGAGGCTTATAATATCCCAAAAGGGTGATACCATCAAGCTCAAGCTATAACTTATTAGGCAACGATCTTCTGATCCCGTCGCCCCGTCGCTTGCTTATACTGGCACAGCATGCAGATAGGCATTTTCCTATTCGATGAAAGGCTAGCCACGTATTATGAGAAGTCTGAAGCTCACGCACTGTATAGCGTGAATGCTAGTATGTAGACTATGAGTAGGAATAACGATGCCAAGTGTGACGCATGTCAATGCATGATCTGCTTGAACCTGACCATACCTTGTATGTATGTGACTCGGAATATTCTCCATCAACACCTTAAATAATTAAGGGAAAGCAGGACAATTTTATGTCTTGGAAGTGACATTTGCCTGCCTCACAAAAGAAGAAGAGGTGAGATTCGAAAGACAGTTGACAACTTACTAAGCAGTCCCATGAAACTTTTGAGAGATGACACAGAATGATGCATAGATCTAATCATCAACGAGTCAGGGTCTTCCTCTGAAACCCCGTCAGACTCGGTGTATCCTCCACCATTCCACTACAATCATTGAAACTCTTATGGCGACTGAGAAACACTCGTACGAAAGCTACTATCGGATCGGGTCAGGATTCTGTGGCACTGTCTGGGCTAGAAGGCTCGAAGGCCCTGCATTCAAACGAGAGGATGGAGGACCATACCGATCACTAGCAAATGACTTTGCAATGCACAATCGAGCACTTGAGGCTTTTCACAAGTTGTCATCCGTTAAAAGCAACATTCAGGATCAGCCCATACGGCCTCAGGTTTGCATTCCACAATGTCACACCTACCTGACACCGCAAGACGCCTGGTGGGAAGAGAACATCACCTATTTCCCACTGGGATACTCACCCTGCAATGCCATCTCTTCCGAACGCATCCCACCATTTCCAGACACTGTAAGGGCACTTCTTGTGGGGAAATACTGCCCTTCAGAAATCAGAAACCAAATACTGAGTAGCGCAAGCAACCGGGCCTGCCTGATCAGACCATATATTGGCCGCAATCGAACCTACAAAACGGCAATGAACGTGAGGTCGAGATTCAGCGGCTTTTCGCTGCAGAACTATCCGCTCCATTTGGATCAGATGGTGGAACTGGGGATTCCTTCCAACCACCTTGAATGGTATGCTGCCATGATGGGGGAAGCATTAGCCACGCTGCACTGGCTGGGCGAGATCGATGGTAACGACGTTGAATTTGTTCTCGCTCCACCACCAACACGGGACGATGACCGCACCATTGCCATGACGAATGTGTTGGGACAGCACACCATGTGGATGTTGGATTTTGACCTTTGTCGTGCCATTTCCATGGACTTGGAGGGCGTCAAGCAAATTGTCAATGCATTTTGCAGAAATGATCCCTTCTATCCGCGGCCGCACACAGACCAGTGGGTTGCTTTTCGCCAGCAGTACCTGCAGACCTCTGTGGGGTTGATACAAAGTTTTCATGAGGATGAGGCAGAGACTCGAATTGGCCTTTCCAGAAAGTTCATAGAATTGCTGGAGACCAAATAGAACTGGACACTGCGATTTGCAGTGAATACAGGTGGGGGATGTGTTACTGCTTATTGCTCCTTATCCTCACCTTGCCTCCCTCCTCACTCAACCCACATCCTTCAAACTTCGCCCGAGCAATCTTTTTCTTGCATAGCTTCTGATATAGCTCTGCCCTCTTCAACACCATAGTTAACAATAATCGACACCTTTCAGCATCACTTTGACCAACGATGAGCCGGCGAGAAAAACAACACACCGACAGCTCATGGACGAGTTCTCTACAAGATGCCATGGAGCAAAATCTCCACCTTGAGGAAAAGCTACTTGAAGAGGAGATCAATACCCCTCAAGTTCTCTTGAGGAGATTGCTGTCGACACGATCTGTGGTGTCAACATCTTCATCGTTCGCAGAACGTCAACAGGCCGCAGTTGGCTGCACATCCCTGTTTCGAGAGATTGGAACAGGGTCGATTGGGAAGGTATTTGAACAGGCTGGTACATTGTGGGCATTCAAGGTACTCCTTATAGATCGCACCGATAAACTTTGGAATAATTATTTGATGCACCTACGAATCCAAGATAGCTTCGACCGACTTGGCGACGGTTCAGGCGGTCTCGAGATTCCTCGAGCTGCCTGGTTCGCGAATAGAGAATCCGAGTTCTGGTCCGAAAACATCCACCTATTCCCAGATGATCCTACGTTTCCTCGTCGACCTCGAGAAATCCTCTGCATGGAAAGAATATTTCCCCTTCCCCAGCCAATCCGTCATGCCCTAATCGATCTTTTCTGCAACCCGAATAATGTCGCCATGGCCAAGAGCGATGCATCGAACAAAGATTGCCTGGTACGCCTGTTTCTTGGTCGGAAGCGATACGGGGCATCGCGTCCTGGGGGCAGTCGGTTTTTTTCCCTGAGGAATTACACACTGCACGTCGATCAGATGGAAGAACTACAACTAGATGCGGATGAATATGCGGTTAACATGGCGGACGCACTCGCCGTTATGCACTGGCATACCAAGATCGATGCCATGGATGTTGAGTTCGTCCTGGGAAGCACCCCATTCGACCACAATTCCGTGCGTCGCCCTCCACCGCTTCAAGACATCTTACGCCTTACACCTGGGACAAGTACATTTGAGCGCGCCACGAACACTGTTCCTAACTTCAAAAAGCGCATTGTGAGCCTTTGGTTGCTTGACTTCGATGCTTGCGGTCCTATTACGATGAATACAACAGGAGTTAACCAGGCAGTTAAGGCTTTCATTGAAAATGAGCCCTACTGCCCCCGTCCGTACATGAAAGACGCTTACTCGGAGCGACTTTGGCGCATATTCTCCCAGCGTTACCTGGAGACAGGGAGAAAGATAACTGCTGGCAGTCCTTCGCAGTCATTGCCGCAGCAATTTATCCAAGGTGTGATGGCCAAGCTGTCGCCGCCAGACCAACTCCCACCGCGTCAAGCCACAGGCACAGTCTTAGGAATGGGTGAATCTTCAGGGGGCAGAGGGCCTATACCTCAACAACAACAACAACAACAACAACAACAACAACAATCGAGCCGGACCCCATCTAGACGTGGTCAAGGCGGGCAAAGGGGCGGTAGGGGCTCGATTGTTGGCTCGTCAAAGAGAGGCCCTGGAAATCGCGGACAAGGTCGAGGATATCGTTGAGCTGTAGGCTCTCATTTAGTATTGCTGGCGGAATAAAAAAAGGAACTGAGACAGGATGGACATTGGGAAAATGTACTGTTTTGCTTGAGCATAGAATTAAGTTTAGGAACTAAGGGAAGATATTCAATTTCATCTGCTGCAGGGTTCTATTTTGAGCTCATCTTGATTGAACAGTATCCACGGCCTTTCCATCCGTGAAATAGCCATATGCACGTCACTATTATGCCCCAGTTTGTCACGGCTGGAAAACCAATGAAGTAATAATGAACGGACCAAAGCTTGACCAGACCGTCACATTATGCCTTTTAACAAAACTTCAGAAACCGACGACTAGTGTTTCATTCAAAAGAGGCCTCTGTTGTCGTATCAGCTTATTCCAAGATGAAGAATATCACAGTATCATATCTGATTGCTATACTATCCTTTGCGGCCTTTGCTTATACCAGTCCGGATGACGATCTGCCCAACTGCGGATATGTTGTTTTCGTTTGTGCAAAGATATTTAACTCATATAATGCCTTTCATGAATGCGTTCGTGATGAACGAGGATGCTCTTGGCGTGACTGAATAGTTAGTATTCTTGTCTCAGGGACTGCGTTTGTTCTATCGTTGACAGAAACTGTCCTCAGAGTGTTATGCCTACCTATCGTTGGTCCAGTTACTCGAAGACTAGGAACTGAGTGTTATTCTATCATTGAAGGAGATATCAAGATGGAAGATGGAAGATAAGTGGTGGTGTTCTCTTTGATGGCTAGCAAGCAAGAACTATCAATCTCCAATATAACGCGTTCAATGATCTTGAAAGTTATATTACTATGCAAGCTTCAATCGTCGATCATACACTACCGCAGTATCTCACGTCATTAGGGATATAAATGTAAATGACTCGGAGTAAGCACGTCCTTCAAAATAAACTTGCATTGCGCGAATGGCTTGAGGCCATCCATATATTTCTTGTCTCCGTGCTTGATTCCGACTTACCTCAAACGTACTGTGTAGCACATATATTATGCACTATCATTGATTAAGTCCTTCAACATGACACTTTATCCTTTGTTCACTGGCAGGATCGCGCATGGACACATCCGTTGTTTCCAATGCTAGGTGGGGCGGCGGGGGAGATACATCGGGAGTGAAAGCAGAGTCTGCTATATCTTTTCAAGGCTTGTAAATTGTTGGTTTGGGTCAGGATTAGCTGTTGTTGATGTTGACGTCTTTCAAATTAAATATGGACATAGCACTGCCACACTGTCTGAATATAGTTATTAACCGAGCCTCGTTGCAAAGGCCAGACACTTCTAATTTAGCTATTCTAGATGTTCATCCCAAGGACACGGTATCTACTAGCTACCAGCAGATGTCATACAGCACTTTGCACATTCCCCTTCTCCTGCGATGGAGGCGTGTTCTTCTGCAACCCCCATTCACCCTCCCCAATTCGTGCCCCATAGAACTTAACCAATAGCCCGACCGTAACCGGGCCGATAATCGTGTTCAACAAGATCGCCCAGACACCGGTAATGAAGCCCTCCTCACTCACGTACTCTGTGGAGTTGTAACCGATCTCAATAATCAACAGACCAATCTCGCCGCGCGCAACCATCGCAGAACCAAGTAACAAGGCCGATAACATTGTTGCGTTATCCTTGGGAGACTCGACTGGTACGTCCGGAGCCGCGGGAGACTCCTTAGATGCTTTCCCGGTCTTCGATTTAGTTCCTGGCAGGTATTTCCATATAGGGATCCATATTCCCACAACAAACTAATCCTGTTAGTCAATACTATCTGTTGAATATATGCAAGAAACCAACCTTGGCGACGACCATTAGAAGCGTGTACAAGATCCCCCTCCAGATGCGCTTCCCCGTCCACAGCTGCACAAACGGAATGGCGAACCCGATACTAGCAAAGAACAGAGGCTCCATCAGATACGTCTGCACGCCCAGAAGATAGGCCTCGAAGGTATGAACGAAGGTCGGGCTTTTATCCTCATTTTGCTCGCCTTCTTCGCGACTCATGACCACGAATGGGCCATCGGGACGCTTGCTTGGCAGATAGGAGAGAAAGGTGCCGGCGAGGAAAGCGCCAAAGAGGACCGATGTGCCCGTGTATGCAGCGATGGAGATAAATGCGCAAAGCACAAGCGTCATCAATATGATGTTGGAGATGTGGTCGTAGCGGGCGAAGTGGAACTCGATGTATTTTCGGAATATCGGCGCAAAGAGAAATTTCGTCACGACGGGCGTGAGAATAGCCATTGCCACTGAGGCTACGATGGGGCGACCTATGATCCAGCCGAGGTTGGCGTCGCTGTTGGAGAGTTTACCCAGGTCGGAGATGATGCTGTTGGTTTCGGGGTGAGTTTGGGTCGGATTTTCGAAATTTGGGGCACTGACCTGGAAAGCACGAGACCAACTACATCGTCAATGACGGCCGCGCTTACGAGAACTGAGCCCACGCGGGTCTGCGCGAGATCTACTGTTTTCGAGGCTGATGAGATTACCGCGAATGTGGTGCCTAGCCAGTTTGTTAGATCGCAAGGGTAAGTTAGGGCTTGGCTGCGGATTCTTACCCAAAGAGGTGGCGGAAAGTGCCGCCCCAATGATAAACGTCTCGACCGCACCTGATTGACGTTAGATCTTATTCATAAACAGCATGGAAGATAATACCATATCCATATCCCAAGTATAGCAGAAGATAAGAAAGCCCGATAGGAAAACACACCCCTGTGGCGGCGCCGATCGTGCTCACCACCAGATTTTCCTTCAGAAGATCGAGCCGGGCGCCAAGGCCACCTGGAGATGATTGACGTCAACACCGACAGACGCTGCAGAACTTTCAAGCCACCAACCTTCAAATATAATCAGGATCAAGCCAACATATCCAAGCGCTAGGAAAGTCTGTTGCCAGTTCCATTCAAGGATATTTGTCAGCGGTACACCGTATATAATGCCAACTGCAATCTGTCCAATGATCCCAGCGCGGAGAACTTTGGCGGAGACCCATTCCGCCAAGGAGAGGAAGAAAAAGAATGAGATGATAATCAGGATTTCAACAACTAAGTGAGTGAGCCTTGCGATCCTGTGCAGTACTAGGGACGAATATCCAACAGTTCATACTTACTACCAGGCTCGTGGTACGGGAGGAAGCCACCTGCCATTATGTATGAGCGGACTAGGGCGGAGCATGGAAGCAGGAATAATCTCCAGCTGGAGAGGCGAAGGGCCCATCAAATAGTGAATTTCTCAAGTACAGATATCCCAAGCACAGTATTGGCATTAGCTAAGATTTCTCTTGGGTATCAGTCAAGAAGGCGAAGATGGTGAAAGGTGGAGTAAGGCCAAGAGACTAAGTCTTGGTTCTTCACGAAGACCCTGAAAGAATGGGTGCAACGGTCTGGGCCCATGTGATATGGCCTTTAGTTTGTGGGGACTTCGTGGGATATGGCATAAGGCCGACGCTAGAATCAGTAACTGTGGAGCATATCCAGACTTTGCCCGAGCTAATTTATAAGCTCAGGTGGCTGCGATGCTTGTCGTGATCCATCTCCTGAAGAAGCCGAGAACCACCATTTCATATTGTGCAGGTGATACTAGAGTTCCTTTTTGTTAGAACATCACTTTTCACCTCCAATCCTTTTGCCTTCTTTCGTGGCTTGTATGCTCATGTGTATCGTGGCGGGAGAGAAGTGATTCGGCATATCCGCCCAAAAAGTCTATGATCCACCCTCGGATGATCATTAATGTCTGAGTCTCCACTGCTGCGCTGTATGTAGTAGTCGAAGCGAAATGACTAGTCCAGTTGTAACCTTACAGATCTGTGTTTAGCTTCACCATGATATTGGCGTACTTGTCGAGGATGCCGGAACATCTGCAAGCTAGTCAAACAGCCAAGCATCTCAAGGATATGTGGCAACATGGTTCCAGTTGTGTGCCTATCATCTCCTGAAATTAGCACTAAGCAAAGATGGATTGGATGACCTGGTCTCTGGACACAGGCCAATGAGCGCAAGGACTAACGGATAAAAGAGAACAATGAGGATTGACTATACAAACACTGCAGGCATTTAGCCCTCAACAGGTATTGAAATACACATCATTCGCCCCGGTAGAGCCCAGTATCATCTCGTATTACCCTTTATTCCACCCCGAATATGGGATTCAGCATCTTGAGTGTCATACACGCCTGAACAAAGCGCCCTAAATTAGCGCTATACACCAGTTGCATCATTTTTTCTTTGGCAGATTATAATCAAAATGATACAAAACAAGGAGTCAGAGTGAACCAAAAACAATGGGCATTGCTCCCAACCAAGCGCCCTGAGATTGCCGAAGGCTTTGTTGAATCTGTACAACGGTCTCACATACATTGTCGTCTCCTATTCTTACGCAAATTCCCTTTCATATTTGACCCGGTCAGGGCTACATGATAATTGTGGCCTAGCAGAATCCCGTCTTGAATCGGATCATTTGCAAATCCGCTAGAGATCTCCGGAGATACAGCAAGATATAAATATCCGTCTATCTCATACAGCAGTTGATAGTAACCCTCACAAATTCTATCCCAATAACCAAGTGCTAGTGTCCATCCAAAGGCCAACGGTCTACCAAAATCACGCAGAAATAACACACCTGCCAAAGACACAACATTCCTTTTCCCAATGGCGCAACAACCAGCTGTGTCAGAGAACTTTTTGGCGCAGTTGCGCGCGAACCGAAGTTTCAACAAACGCTTGAAAATTGCGGCCTTTGTTCTTCTAGGACTGCTTATCATTATGGCATTAATACTCATCATCCTAAGTACCACTGGAGTTCTGGTTGTTGGCTCGACGAAGACAAAACCAAGGAAACCTAGATAGCTTTTTGCACGTACGTGGTGCTTGAAATAACCCCTTTATGTGGAAGGAGTATGTGAATATGGATCGGTTATTTTCATTGAATGGTTAGTGGTTGATCAGTTATATGCCCACTACTTCCTGGTGACGACATGGAGGTCACTATACCGCTAACTACTTATCGGTTCTCTTGCCTCTTCGTGAGTGCAGTTGACTTTGTTATTTTTTTCCTCTCTTTGTGCCTTGTCGTTCCTTGTTGTGGTATTAGTAAGACTCTTAGAAATACGAAGCAGTTAAGTTCACCGGTGATGAATTCAGCAGGAATGACGGCTGGTTATCGCGCGTCATCTTTGATTGAAGTCCAATCTACAAAGTAGTACACAAGGAAATCTCTCGCCAAGTGCACATGCTTTTGCAAACCTGGTATGTTCGTGATAGATAAAAAGTTACAAGATCGTACCCTGAAATGTCCCTGGCATTGTTTTTAAAAGTCCAGTCCTTCAAATGGTCGTTAATCACATCATTAAGAATAGGCTTATCTATTCGCGTGGCGTATCGTCAACTCCTCCCAGTTTCAATGAAGTTTATCCTAGAATCCCGATGTGATGTCAAGATCCGACAGGTTCAGGAAAGAACATTTGTCAGACAGGATAAATATCCCAGCAACTTGCATTTTAGTGGTCAGAAAATCTATAAAGGTCTTGTTGACCGGGATTTTCTCATACACCGAGATTCTCAGGAACCTTCAGTGAATAGGAAATGATACTAGATCAGCATATCACCGATCCAGCTACAGTCATCCCCACATATCCACATCCCTAGGAATATATCGTCTGGGGTCTCCAACCCCAACGAATTAGATCAACCGTGGAAAGGAATGTTTTCGAATAGCTCCGGCCCCTGCGCAATGTCGGAAAAATCTGATCTCGACACAATGACTCCAACCGAAGATAATTACATGGTCAAGCAAGACCCCGACCCAACCCCGACTGCTCATTGGCCTTGCAACAGCTATTTCGAACAAGCGAAGCCGGGGAGCAAGACAAGTAAGGGAGAGTTACCTTCTCCCAGAGCGAACGGACAAGACCATCCCCACGAAATCTACTTTCTAGAAATAGCCCAGAGCTCAAAGATCACGAACAGGGCCTTTTTCGACCACAATGGACGGATTCTCCGCAGTGTGGACGGCGGAAAGAATGTCACTGCACTAGTATCTGGTCTTAAAAGTCCCGATGGTCTTGACGTATCGAAGTCCACCGGCCGCATGTTTTGGACGAGTATGGGACTTGGTACATCTAACCAAGACGGCTCGGTACTGTCTGCAAATCTCGATGGCAGCGATATAAGAATTGTCATTCCCGAGGGTGCCGTGCACACGCCCAAACAACTAGCTGTCGACGATCAGAACAGGAAACTCTACTTTTGCGATCGTGAGGGCATGAGTGTTCACCATTGTGATTTCAACGGCCACGACCACGAGATCCTAGTTCTCCGCGGAGATTGCAAAAGTGGTGATAAGGAAGATCAAATGCGGTGGTGCGTGGGTATAGCCTTGGATCTCCAAAAACGGAAAGCTCTTCTGGACACAGAAAGGGACGAATAGAGGACACAAAGGGCGCATTTTCCGTGCGAATATCAATATCCCATCTGGGGAAAATGCTTTCTCTCGATCAGATATTGAGACGTTGTTCGTGGGTCTCCCCGAGCCCATTGACCTGGACTTCGTGTCTGAGACGCAGACACTTTACTGGACCGATCGTGGGGAAGACCCGCATGGTAATACACTGAATAAGGCGAGAGTCGCAGGCGAGGACCCTCAAGTACATATCATGGCACGGCAGCTACATCAGCCTATTGGATTAAAGGTTGATTCAATCAACCAGTATGTCCATGTCACTGACTTGGGCGGTAGTGTGTATCGAGTCAGTGTGAATGCGGGTGGCAAGGAGGTTATACATCGTGGGGATGGGTTTTACACTGGCATCACTTTTGTGTAAGGTTTCTGCCATCAGTGTTATTGAAGTTCCAGTGAGCGTATCTGACAACGTGTTGGATATGTGAGTTGAAATAACGAGCATTGCATTGTGTAGAAATCGCCTCTCGGCATCTCATCCGCGGATGCCGCGGACCTACCCGCGGGACTCGTCGACCAAGTCCTCGGCATGCCGGCCATTTTCCACGGACCCGCGGTATTGATGATGGGCCATGTATATGCCTCAGTTCGCTAGGAAATTCTACTGTGTTGCATAATCAACAACCAGATCTATGGAAATTGTAGGAACCAAGGTTTTTGGAATCGGGTTGCCGAGTTTCAGTAGTGGCATTGGATATATATTTAGCACCCTCCCGATCTTGACCATCCACCAACGTAACAAATCTTTATATATATACACCAACCATTCCATTACTCATCGTCATCCCTAATACCAAGTGATTATACGTTACTTCCAAGATGTCCATTGCAGGCAAGAACGTGATTAAAACAGTCGCTACTATCGGCACCGGCGTTATAGGAGCCAGCTGGACTGCTCTATTTCTGGCCCGAGGGCTCAAGGTCCTAGTGACGGATCCTGCTCCGAACGCAGAGAAGAACCTCAAGACATATTTGAAAGCACAATGGCCAACACTTACTCGAATTGGGCTCAGCGAAGGGGCTTCCCTAAAAAATTACACCTTTGTGAATTCCCTGGATAATCATTTCGACGAGATTGATTTCATACAAGAGGTACCGCCTACTTGTACACATGCTGTCCACTATCCTACTAACCGTAACCAAGAATGGCCCCGAGCGGGTAGAATTCAAACGCACCCTGTTCGCCTACCTGGATGAAAAAGCACGCCCAGAGGTCATCATCGCATCGTCGTCGTCCGGAATCCCATCGTCCGAATATGTGTCAGCGTGCCGTCATCACCCTGAACGAGTCCTGGTCGGGCATCCTTTCAACCCACCACATTTAATTCCCCTGGTGGAGGTCGTGCCGCATACAGCTACAGATCGAGAGACTGTTGTCCCACGAGCCATGGACTTCTACAAAAGTCTGGGAAAGAAGCCAGTGCTTATTCAGAAAGAGATACCCGGGTTCATCGTCAACAGGCTCCAAGCCGCCATATTGATGGAAGCATATAGCTTGGTGAGCAGAGGTATTATTTCAGCGGCAGACCTAGGTAAGATTCTATAACCCCCCTAGCTTTCTTGACAGATAGTCTCGTTGATATAACGCTAACTCTAATGAACTTGTAAAGATACCACAATGACGTCCTCTCTTGGTCTACGGTGGGCGCTCAATGGACCTTTTGCCCTGAACGCTATGGCGGGCAATGGCAGTTTTCAGCACTTCTTGGAGCATCTTGGCCCGGCTGCTAAATCGTGGCATGATGACATGCATAAGCATACGTTTGAAATGACGCCCCAAGCAATTCAGGATTTAAGCAAAACAGTGGAACCGATGGTGCAGGCAACTGATTTGGATGCTTTGCAGAAGGAGAGAGATGATGTACTCTTGAAACTGATGGACATGAAAACGAAGTCATCTTTGCTAGAATAGAGTGAAGCGAGTCAATTAGATTAATTGGCAGAAGATCGTTATGTATTATAGAAACTAATTCATGCGGATAAACCGATTTTGTATAGTTGCAATTTCGGGTAGGAGGGAATCGTGTCGTGTTGGTGCCAAGGAAGTGAAATCAGAGCCATATTACCTCTTCCTTGAACCCTTGATGCACAGCACATACCTCTGCAATTCTAGCCTCGCTAGATTCAAGGGGTCTGAGTGTCAGAACATAGCGTAGTTCAAGACTAAACCCGCCAGGGGTACATAAACGAGACGAGAGAGAAGGCCCGCAGGCAATGACACTCCGAGATATGAACATGCAACAAGCACAAGTACTTCCTAAGAGGGTTAGCAAATTCCTAATCTCTTGGTGTCGCGCAGTCAACTTCGCAGGTTAGTGGAAATAGGATTGTAGAACATTCCGCAACGCCAATTGAAACTGGGAACCCAGGTTTGAGAAGAAGCAAGGGATACGCCGGGAGTACCTGCCGCCATCGACCTCACACGAACATCAGGATCTCATCGTGTATAGGCATGAACATGCTGATATACAATGACGACTATGATTTAAATCGAGAGAAGAAAAAGAGGGTTAGAGTATATTCAAGGGACTGTACCTTATGTACAGGTTACACGTAGTGGGTATTGAAGATAGGCTAAGTAATGGTGATAGACATACTCTGTAAACTCCTGTCTAGTATAACATTGCGACAACAATTATAATACGTCTAACATTACTGAAGTCCGAGGGGCGAAAAGATTATCTGATCGGCGGTCTCTCTGGTAAATTAGTTGTCGTGATTGAATGTTTTGACGAGAATGTAGACGGCAGGGACGAAATCCCAGCTGGAATGCAGCATAGTTGAAGCTACACAACTTATCAACAATGCAAATGTGTTTATTTTCGCTTGGGGATACCGACCATAAATTTGGATTGTTAACCCCATCTTGTCTCACTATCGTTGTGTTTCACAGATCACAGTCAGCCCAATTGTCTATACACTCAAAATGAAACCCTACAGCCTCCTCAGCAGTTTAGCTATCCTCGGCCCTGCAGCCTTGACGGTTGCACAAACCCTGAACATTGTTGCACATCAAGATGATGATCTACTCTTTATGTCCCCAGACCTCCTTAGTGAAGTACGGTCAGGTCGAGCAGTCCGTACCGTCTTCCTCACAGCCGGCGACGCAGGCAACGGCGAAGACTACTGGACAAGCCGTCAAGCCGGCTCCCTAGCGACCTATGCACAGATCGCCGGTGTTGCCAATGAATGGAACGAAGGCGATGCAGGCATCGAGGGATTTGACATCCCGGTATACGAACTCGCAGCCCAACCCCAAATTGAACTGGCCTTCCTACACATCCCGGATGGCAACCTGGACGGGTCAGGTTTTGCTTCAACAGGAAGCGTCAGTCTTCAGAAGCTCTGGGAGGGAACCATCGAGGAGATCGGCACAGTCGACGCCTCCGGCACTACCTATACGAGGCAGCAGCTGCTTGACGTCCTATCCGACATTATTGAGAACTTCAGCCCCGACCGTATCAACACTCTCGACTTTGTCAATGATCTCGGTGACGGCGACCACAGCGATCACCACACCACTGGGTTCTTTGCAGACCACGCGTCTCAGGCTGCTGATAATGATGCCGACTTCTTCGGCTACATGGGCTATCCGGTAGCCTCGCTACCCGCAAATCTGAATGCGGATCAAATTGCTGATAAGAAGGCCATCTTCTATTTCTATGCCGGCTATGATTCTGGGACCTGCAATAGCGACGCTGCTTGTGCTGGTCGACCGGAGCTGGCTTGGTTGGAGCGCCAGTATCAGGTATGATTTGGGATTTAACGACATGAATGTGATACGGGAAACTCAATTGGAAGTTGCCAATGTCTTGATGTAACGAGGAGCGATTCTTTCTGACCTTACTCGTGGTGGACTCTTACGATTCGTGAAGCAGAACATTATATGTATGTAGCAAATTTAATGACACAAAAGATGACCGTATTCAGCGGTCTGCTCTCACTTCAAATTGAATCATGACTAGCTTTTTATACATTTCTGCAATGTATATGTCACATGCACTATTTAGCTGGAGATCAGCTGTTGAACACAGTATAGATCTATTAGATTGACATCAACACCTTGGGAACATGTTCCCTTAGGAATACTTACAACTTCGCATATGAGGTACACCTTGTCTAGCTCAATGGAACCACAGCTTTGATTTCACTGGGCTTAAAAACTATGGATGGGCGCGACGTGCATTCTTGACAATGGAAAGACCATAGATACTGGCAAGAGCTGGTGTTGTGACTGAATAGTTTCGACATGGTACCGAATATTAAGTGTCCCATAGCTAGTCCCCGTGGCCGGCCAGGGGACAAGAACAAACGTAGAAGAAGTTATTTAGCTCTACCAGAACAGTGAACGCTGTTGCAGCTATCATGTCGCGTGAGGACAATTTAAACTCCTGTACGGCTCTTCCATTAGCAGCAATGACGATGGAGCTAGCAAATGTGACAACCGTCGGCATTAAGCCGTACATTGCAGTGAAGGACCATTAATGAGGAGCACCATGCCCTGCCCAAGCTACGATGTATCCGTTCTCTTGATCACCTTTAAAAATCGCCATATTCAGCCCTTCCCACGAAGCGCGAGAGTGCAAGGAAACGTACGATCCTGTAGAGCTAGCAAGGTAGGCTGTCATGTACCTGGACTTTCTGGGTTTTCGGACTCGGCCAAAGCATTAAATGCAAATCTACAGGAGACTCTGGTTAGTACGATAAATTTAATACGCTGCCGCATTAATCGCGCATCATTCGTCCTTTTGGATCTGCACCGGAAGTTGAAAACTCTGGTTGGCTCTCATCCCCGAGGGGCAGACGCGCCATTTGTGCGCCAAAATAATCCACTAGTAGCGAGTCCGAGGACGATCCTTGGATGAGCACTAAATCATTATCCATGATGGTCTAATTATTTTGTCTTACACGCTAGATCTGTTGAAGTTGATTGTGTTGGGACGGATTTATGGAATATACGCGCACATGTTGTCTGTAGAGGAACATATATTTAGATATTGTCATCCACTTTCCACCCACCATGTGTCCAGTCGTTCGTGTTGCTCTCTCCTTTCAAGACTTTATCCGGTGGGCCACTCAGCGTTGGCTTAGATAGAATGAGGGACACCGTCAATTTCGCCACTGTGAACATCTTTGCCCTTTTCCTTTATGGCTGCGAGCACGGCGTCGTATGAAAGCGAGGGTTCGGCGACGATAGAAACGGTTTGCTGTTCAAGGCTGATATCCAGGGACTTAAGTCCTATTGAGAGATCCATCTAATTAGTATGATGCATGACAAGGACAACGTAGAGACAAAGCTCTCTATGGTATATACACTATGGACAATGGCACTTTGGGCTCTACTGGTAGTCACGTACCGCTGAGTGGTCTGAGAGCATCCTGGATAGCATTTGAACAGCCGGAACATCCCATCTTGACATTGAACTTGTATTGATGATTGGACATTATTGTGACTGTTGTTTGGTGATTGGTGGCAATAGTTGAAGTGAATTGGTCACAGGCGAAGGTATGTTTAAATGCTGAAGTTGATCAAAGGTTATGTTGAGGGAATCTGATCTGGGGAATGGAGAGAAAGATTCATTCTATTTATAAGTCGAGTGATGCGTCTACCTGGTGAGGTATTTGTGCCCTGAGCCCAAGCCGTTGGCGTCCCTGCATCTTTCCGAATACTAACCCGTAGAGTGTATGGCCCTGCCATTCTGGATGTGGGTCGTTCTGTGCGCGTTTTTCGCGTTAGTTCCTCAGTAGGAGGATAGACATCCTACAATTAGCTGAATACAATCACTGTCCTTATGGGCGCATAAGGCTCCTCAACAACCCATCTGAAAACCCCAACCTGGGCTATATAAGATTGCGGTAAGCCACAACCGCAAGCATACAGGACTAGCCGCCGAGCAATGATCAGTGGCTGTCTCTTCATTACCCATTACCGCACTTCTTCGCCGCTTCTTTCACCGCCTCTCCCGCTCAAGATGACTTGGACATACTCCGTCTGCATCTGAATTTCCTCCTATGTTTTCAATTCATCCCTTCGATTACCTGGAACCAAACAGTTAACCAATGTGGCCGTTATGGGAACCGGAGATTCGGGTCTTCCAGATGCTGACTATACCCCCCAGCCCGACGATAGTGATGAATCCAGCAGTAATGAGGATATAACTTGGTTCCCTGGGGATGGAGTCTGTCCTACAACAGCAGAGTTCAACCATTGGTGTCAGTCAAAGTTTGATGAGTGGAAAAATGCGGCCGTTACTCACCAACAAGGCACTGAATCTTTCCAGCACTATTTAACAGCCTTTCTCGGTCTCCTTGACAATATCCCTCCATTCTATCACCGTCTCCCAGGAGCCGTTAGCACTTCAGGTAGACCAAGGTCCTTTCTTGTTCTAAAGTCTACGTTACAGGTGAAAACGACGGAAGATTTAAACTGCGATCAACCTCAGAAGTCAATCGATTATCTGCAGTGTCTCGGATGTCCAGCGCCAGTAATCTACAGGACCAAGGCTGAGACCCAGCTGGAAGTCGCTATTCCTATTTGCGCCAAGCCTATTCGTTCTGGGTATTTAACCAGCATTGTTCTGGCCTGGTCATATATCATTTCCTGCCGTTGGGTAGAGATACTCCAACAGACGGGTGAAGAAAGCCAGATCTTGCACGAGCAAGGTATGCAGATAGAAGATTGTTTTTGGGATATCGTCACGCGGGGCTGCTGGGTAGCTCGAGTGAAAAAGCACAAAGATGTCTTCTATTCGCCATGGATGTTGAGAAGAGAAGGGATCTCAATCAAGCGGTATGTTCATCATATGAAGCATATTTGGCTCTTACCGGCTAAGAAGTCAGTGCAGACGCGACTGGAAACCAGTCATATCAAGTTCGTCACTTGCGTTCGATATCCTTTTAGGCTTCTGCATGCTGGAAAGCCTTGAAGGGGAATTTATCACTGGCTTTGCCTCTGTTTTAATATTGACCTCACGGCACACGCCTCCACCCAAATTTGCTCCTCCTATGATGATTTCGGCAGCTCCTACGCGCTCTTCATGTAGACCGAAAGACATGGTATTTCTTGAACTTTATCGATCGATTGATAAATTCATGTCTCTTAGCTCTACGCAAGATGCTCTGGATTCGTTACTATGCAGCGTATTTTTTGACCCATCCGTTCCATGTAACCTTGTCGGGGCCGCATCCCTGGGTGTTAAAAAAGCTCTCTCGGAAGTGGACAGGATTGATAATCGCCAACTTCTCTCTGCAGTTACCAATATGAAACCCTATCTGAGTCTCTTATGGGCTGCTGCAGTGTGCAACGACCAGGCAGCCTCGTTCCTGAATATGGCTCTCCGTGGTCTACCGCCGATATGTCTGGTGGCTGCCTTCTGGACAAATACGGCTCAATCCTTTCTTCAGATGGTGTATCCTGGACATGATCTAGAGGAATCCACTACTTCCAGAGCACACGAGTTTCAGACTTCCTTCTTCTGCCGACCAGAATTATCAGTGCCATGGTCGCCAGCACCTCCCTTCGGCACAACTCCCGTAAAAAATCTCAGTCTTGAAGTGAGAGCACATATTGCACATACACACAGGCCTACTTCCTGGAGAATATACTGGATCTTAGACTCGGGAGAAAGAATTCCGGCCAGCGCAGAGTATCCACTTAAGCCGATTAAAGCTTCCATTCAATGTGACTCTTGCGCCGCAGATGGGACAAATGAGTAAGTCTAGCATAGGCTCAATTTGACATATTTTCTGACCACTCAGATTGCCTGACCCCGAGCAATATATTGCTGATGAGCAATCAGGATCTGCAACATCACGCCTATTTAATTGGCATAGAAGCTACGATGATGGGATCTGGCTTGATGACGGTCAAGGGGATATTGAAATAATTCGTCGACTCCAAATGCATGCATGGATCATCGACCCGTTTGATAACGGAGACGACGATCCAGTTGAGGAACCCAAGCACCGTGAGCTTTCTGTTGAGCGTATTCTGCGGTGGAATAGTGAGTGTGTAAAAGCTACTGATGACCAATGAACTCGTAGATCCGCATAGTGCAATCTGACGACTGAGAGTTGCAGCTGCAGCGGGCCGTGTGCTAGCTGGGCTTGTAGAGATTTAAGAATTCTACAATTTCCAAAGGACCTTATCTGTTAGGCTTGGCTGGCTAGCTCGTGGCGCCTACCATGTTCCTTGAAAGAAACCGCTCATTAAGGTCAAGGTCGAGTAACTTTTACACGCATGGACTGTCAGTATTGTACATAATTGGCCATGACCAATGTTGAGATGTATACGCAGCGGCATTGAATGTGCCATCAGCTTCAAGGCTTTCACCGAAGTAAGAATCTACTGGCCGCACCGAACACCTTACCTTTCCAAATCGTTGGCGCGTCTCTCATATCTCTCCCACTTTTGCTTCTCTTCTGGGCGCAAAGGCCCTGGGAAAAAAGTCTTCAGCATACTCCTCCCCACGCGGGGATATGCGTCCTCAACCGCGAACAGCGTCGGCATGACTTTGGTTTGTCCGAAAACAACCAGAGGCCTCAATGGAATACCGAAACTCTTCGGTGACCTCCTCAGCCCCGCGGCAATTGTGTTCTGAATCATACCAAGACCGCCGACTGCGAGCAAAAACCAGGTGTTATGGTGTAGACCGGCTGCCGTGATTAGGAGCAAGATCCATAGTGTAGCAAGAACGATCAAGAACACTCTTGTAAACAACGAGGCAGAAACATCAGCCGTGAGGGGGCCTGTTGCTAGATCTTCCAAGTCAAGACCTACATCATCGCCAATGATGACGATAGCATGCTGACTGCCGTTTCCTCTTGTGAGAATCACTGTTTTGTCCGTGTTCCGGCGACAGGCCCATTTCTCTCGCTTCCACTGCGGGAGAGCGCCAACAGCAAAGGAGAGCGCTATCCCACTACCCGTCACCAGCAGAATGCCCCAGTCCCCGTATATACCACAAGGAATTGCTGCGATTCCTAGCTGGACAATGCTCGTGGCAAGCCCAAGGCAGTAGACCCAATCGCGGCCAGGATACCCTGGTTTCGCAATCCCAGCCTTGTACACCGACACGCAAAGACCGGCCTGTGCTGGTTTCTTAACCTGCGCTCCTGTTCCTGGTTCCTCCGCCTCAGCCTCCTCTATCTTTGATTTCCAAAGTTCATCAATCATCTGCTTTACGCGCGTATGAATTGGCCCGTCCTTGTTGCCATCGTCCATCCAACTTTCATAGTCCCGCATGATCCGACCGATAACCCAGCTTGAATTATCCCGGACGTACCCCGTGTGTCCGTTGATGATTTTACACGCACAGTCGGGCAGGGGCATTAGTTTGTTCTCGCCAACAGCGGAGATGACGGCTGTAACGGCATAGGCGACCCATCCTAGCGGAGACACGGCATGGTCAGTTTGCAAGAGCAGTAACTAGGTATAGAAGGCATTTTGTGAGGGGCCACACCGAACGAAAATGCGACAGGAGTCACGGGTGAGCCTGCGAGCTGAGCAAGCGCCCGACCTACGACGTCGCCTCCGAGAATGAGGAGAACGGAGAATACATCGCTGGGGTTTGTCCACTGGTCGGAGAACGCGACGGATGGGGCGCTCGCATTGAAGTGTCGCGGAACGATATGCGGGCTTGTTGGCGGCATATTTTCAGGAGCGGATTAGCTCCATCTGTACTTGCATCATGAGGGTTATGGAATGGAAGCCGAATGAGTGTCTGTTTTAAGACCGCTGGAAATAGAGCCCAGCGCTGGGATAGTGGTATCATGTTGTGGCTTTTACTGTTTTCGACAAGCACATGGTCTAGACCTTTTCTTTTGGATATAACCAGTTCATTGGACAGACCAGAGGCGGAATCTTTGGATCTCAGGTCTAGTTCACTGGTCATGATATCGATCTTCGCCGCTGTCATACTTTGAAGCGTTACCACGGATCCAGTTCCCATACTTCCATGGGCCCCTCGTCACACCACTGAACGAACCGATCTACTCTACACTACTTGACTGTGGCACTCAGTATATCAATGATGATGTCGTCAGACTTCAACAACCTGTACTTTCCATATCCCAATAATATACGTTACTGTCCAAATATTGCCATGCTCCAGTACTTGCTTGGTTTGGCTGCGACTGCTCTCGCAGTCAAAATTGCTTTAATGCTCCGGGTTAAACCGGCTACTCCATCACAGCCAGAGATGGGCGAGTATATTGAAACTGTTGATCGGGATGAGGTACCTCGACTATGTAATATCATCCACGCCGGGGATCTCTGTGAACTGAAGACAATGCCCCGGTGCCAAGATATAAATCCAGGGGCCTTTGAATGGAGGGAACCGCCAGCGTGCATTCTGTTCATCTCTCATCGATGGGAAACCCCAGCACATCCAGATGCAGACGGCGAGCAACTAAAAGCTATCATATTTCTGATGCAAGCCATTGTGAAACTCGCCTCAGTTTACATGCTGCCCCTCGAACAAAGAACGGCAGCTGTCAAGACATTGAAGGTTCATGGATACCTTCAAGCTGCGAACATTGTCAGCAGAGTTGCAGAAACCCTCGGCGGACTGGACCGATCAGTCTTGGATAAGATTGGTGTCTGGCTAGACTACATGTGTCTGCCACAGAAAAGTCCTTCGGGAATTGATGATAGAACACCTGCCGAGAAGTTATGCTTTAAAGAAGGGCTCCGACAGCTTCCCTCGCTGATCGCATCCTGCGATTTCATTCTCAGCATCAGAACCCAGGGAGACGATTATCTTCAACGAGCATGGTGTATATCCGAACTCTGCTTCATGGACTGGAAGTACCAAAAGAAGACAATCGTACTGAGACAAGACCTGCTCAGCCAACCCATCGACGCCCAAATCCTCAACTCCAAGAGTTTCGAGTCAAGTTATCTGCCGAGCTACCGGAAGATGATCGAAGCATGGGAAGACAAACCCAACTTCACCTGGAATCCCAATATGTCCTTCTGCTATACCGAAATAGGACTCGCCGAATGGGACCGTGCCAGCGAATTCCGTGACTCAATTGAAGAAGGTTCAACACCTGCCCCAAGTGCCTGGCCAACTCCGTTATTGACCACCCCCCTTGTACCACTAATCTGGCCGCACCACGCCGACTTTCTGATGCAAATCCGATCCCATCTTGTTCAACCTCCTCCACGGAATGTGGATCTGTTGATCACCATGACCATGCAGGACTGCGAGCTGTCTTGCCTCAACATACAAGACTACACCCGCTGTGGCCTCCACATTTTCCGCGCCCGCATGACGGGGCATTCAGGCTGGAGGAACTTCTCCAACGACTGCCTCCATCGACTGGCCGATGGGAAACCCCTCATCCTTGCCGATGTACCCGTCCTGCACGTCGAGGGTGGACTCGACCTTGGCTCTCCATTGACCTATCAATGGGAAACCGATGAAGACGTTCTAAATCTCCATGCCCGAGCGACGGAGATCTGGAAGAGCTACTTTCAGGTCCATCATGACCGGTGTGAAATCTCCGAGAAAACAAGAGTCCTGCTCAACGCTACGGTTTCTCATCTTGTCGCCGTGTCTAGAGAATCGAATAAGCTACTACGCCCAAAGGCCTGGTCTCTTACCGTCCTGATCGGAGACGCCATGAATGCGGCGAACATAGATTCCCAGCAAGAGGAGGTGGAGGAGATGGTGGCAGGTAGTCTGAGTTCCATCTCGCGGACTTCATTAGGCCTAGCTCTCCTGTATGGTAAATGTCAAGTGATATACAAAGTCGAACCACCTGGGGCCGTCCGTCTGTCGACCTTGTTCCTGACTGCACTCGACCGGTTGAACAAAGACCCTGGTCTCAATATCTCGAGGATACAGGACTTTGAATGCGAGTGGGCAGACGGGTAAAGGGGGACATTGCTAGTAAGTATTGGGTGCATTCTATCTCCCGTATGTGAGGTTGAGTATGTTATCAACGAATGTATAGTGATAGGGTCTCGTTTTGCGACCCAATAACCTAAGAATATACGATATAGGCGTACCACAAATTCGCTCTCCATATATAAGTACAACACACAATCTATAATTCCCCGTTCGACTCGCGTAGAACATAGAAATTGCACAAGTTCGTACTAAGTGCTCGACTGATTGTCATTGGGTCGGTTGAAGGCGGGCTAGCTCTGTGGCATGCACGTCAGATGCGGGTTAAATTCGCCATTCCTCTTATCTCCGTGGATTTTGAACACCGCACAAATTCCACAGCGCTCACACTTTCCAGGTCGAATTCCGTCCTCGATTTATAAGCCCTCTGGTATCGTGCGGGTCTATACAACGGAAGCAATCCTTACTTGCCTGGTAGCACAATGAGGGACACTCCCTTAAAATGACGCCATTGTTTGTCGAATTTATATGAATTGTATTGGGTAGCCCTCGCGCTCACTACAACACTTCTGCAACTGTTTAGAAAATCGAATATTAAAATCACACAGAACAGCTCCTATCAGCATGTCAAACGCAGACAACAAACCGAAGCTAAGAGTGGCAATCATCGGCGCCGGCCCAGCAGGCCTAGGAGCGGCTATTGAATTTCAAAAGCTCCCCTTCGTTGATCTCCACATCTACGAGCAAGCTCGAGAGTTGCGTGAGGTCGGTGCTGGCATCAGTATCCAGCGGAACACCTGGCGCATGTTAGACGCGTTGGGTGTATACGATAATATCGATCGGGACAGTGTGTTCAGCGCCGCAGATGGCCACTCCGTGCAACATCGGTTAGTCGATCTCCCCCTACATTCGAACAATAGTAACGAAAACCAGCAATGGCCGAACGGGAGAATTACTTCAGTCCAGTGGACAACAGGACACGCCCCCTCGGCATAAGCATGCCAGGGCCTTACGCTCTGTACTTCAACAAGCGCTGTTGAAGGCTGTAGATAAAACAAAGCTACGGCTTTCGAGTCGCCTTGTTCAGATCCGGGAATTGCCGAACAAGGCATTGTTGTTGCGCTTTGAGGATGGACATGTCGATGAAGTAGATCTTCTCATAGGAGCTGACGGTGTTCGATCGGTAAGTTTTTATCACTATTCTATCTAGTGTGATGGTAGACCTGAGTATCCAAGGTTGTCCGCCAATTCTCTTTCCCCGACCATCATATCGGCTATACCGGTACAACGGCCTTCCGGGCCCTAGTCAACGCGAGCGACATTTTGAGCATCCCCAACTTTCCAGACGCTGTGACCTTCTGGCATGGTCCAACCAGGTGGGTATATACATGCAATCTCAATAAGGGTATATACGAGGTAACGGCAAGAACGGACCTCCCAGAGACCAGGCAGACGGTCAGTTGGGGGCAAGATGCTAGTGCGGAGGAGTTTATAGCGTTATATAAGGTGAGTATTTCTCAGCTAGTCAGCATAGATCAATGTTCATTGGAATGGAATAGGACTTTGGACCAATTATCCAAGACGTCCTCAGTAAAGTGGGAGAAGTGAAGAAGTTTCCTCTCTTCGCAGGACCGCGTCTGTCAAAGGTCGTCTCACATGGTTCTATTGCTTTGATTGGGGATGCATCTCATCGTGAGTAAATGCTGTTGGTCAGTGGTGTCAGCATAGCTAACTGTAAAATAGCGTTATCTGGAGCCTTTGGTATGTTCTCTACTACTTGGACATATCGTAGTCTAACATGATCCAGGCGCTGGAGCAGGATTCGCATTGGAAGACGCGTATGTGCTCGCCCGCGCAGTGACATGGGCACATGAACGCGACCTTCCGGTCAGCAATGCTTTGGCTCTGTATGATAAAGTCCGATCGCCACATTACAAGGACATGGTATGCGCTCAAGCCTGGTGTTATGTCGGTCTACTAACTGCCGCAGTATGATATTCTGGATGGCTTCGGGAGATCCGATACCGCAATCAAGGACCTAACCTCCTTTGACGAGATTGTAGTGGCCAATGTCCAGAATAAATGGACGGATGCTCACGATTGGCTATATCACTATAATGTAAGTTTACAATCATGCTTCGCTCTACCTCCGATGCTAACACAGATATTTAGGTCCAAGAGGTGTGGAAAAAGGCTTATGAGGAGGAGGATGCTCGTCGCATACCAAGGATTAACGATACAAAGGAGGTTGATGTACATTCTCGTTTGTAGAATAGAGAGTATCGTCTAGCCATATATCATAACAGCACATTAATAAGTGACCAGAGAACCAGAACGCCAAGCACGCCTTCTTGCAAATGCAAATACACAGAACTGCGAGGTGCAAATCGTAGGCAAATTGGAACAAATCCTGCAAGAGTGTTGTTTATAGTCGGAGTTTGTTATCGTTCAAATATTGATCATATCGTTCCGGTAGGCCAGAGGGCTCCGCCACTGCAACATACGTATCCGGCCGGACCAAATATGCTGCATCTTTTCCCAGGCCGACCGACTGATATTTGGTATCCCAAGGAAATACATGCAGGGGAATTTCCTTGGACTGACACCACTCTTTCAGACCATCTTTGGCTTCACCATATACATGGACCTGCCATGTAATCTCCTCCAAGCTCTGGAAATTATCGAGTTCGCCCACGGGAGCCCAAGGGATACGGTCACCTCCTTGGATGGTACCAGCCGAGCCCGCCGACAGCGCACTATCCCGATAATTTAGCATGATCTGAGACACGCCACGGAACATTCTTTGTCGCACGAAGTCAAACTTGGACATAATAGGAGACACATAGGGGATGAACCATGTCCGAATAAAATAAGACAGATACCCCTCCGAGGCAATAGCGTTGAATGCCGTATCCGTTGTGTTCACCAGCAGTGATGCGAACGCACGGCGCTCGGCTTCGTAACTATCGAGGAGAGACATATCCGCTTTGTCCTGAATCACTGCTGCAAGCTTCCAGGCGAGGTTAATGGCATCGCCGATCCCGGTGTTCATCCCTTGTCCTCCGACCGGACTGTGGATGTGCGCCGCGTCCCCGACAAGGAAAGCCCTTCCGCTGCGAAAGGCTTCGGCCACACGGTGGTGCACATGGTAGGTGCTGAACCAGTTCACCTTATCGATCGTGATGCCCACAGCCTTGCCGCAGTCTGGCGCAACGTCGTCGAGCGTGAGGTCGGAAATGTCCTTCGTCAGTGCGCTTTCATCGACGGCACCGTTGAGTCGTGCACGGCGGTCCTTGTCGTACGCCATGAGCAAGAAAAATTGCCCGTCATTGAGACTCAAATGCGCTTGACCGTTGAAACTGGGTCCGCTACCCTCGATGTCAGCTACATAGAACAGCTTTGAGTATGTAGCCCCTTCGAAACCGATCCCGCAGCTCTGGCGGACGGCAGAATGAGCGCCGTCGCAACCAACGATGAAACTTGCTTCGCAAGTGTCGATGTCGCCATTGTTGATGTGAGATTTTGTAAGGTCCCTGAGTCGTGCTGTGATAATTGACCCCTGCTCTTGAAAATCGATCAATTCGCGGTTGCGCTCGACATGCACGCCCATTGTGTTCAATCGCGCCTCTAACAATCGTTCATGCCGATCCTGGGGATATATGTGTATGAACGGGTAGGGCGTGAGGCCCGTACCAAGATCACCAAACGGAACATGGGAGCGATGGACTCCGCCGGCCCATATATTGGTCGCTGCGATCTTATGGCCGTTTGCAACCACATCTTCGGTGAGGTCGAGCTGGCGATACAGCTCGAGGGTGCGGGCGTGGATTGCCATCGCTCGCGACGTGGATGCCTTGGCTTCTGATCTGTCGATAATGCGCACGTTGACACCTTGGCGAATTAACCATAGAGCGAGAACGAGGCCCGTTGGCCCTGCTCCGACGATGAGAACATCCGTGTGTGCCATAGTATGGAGGTGGGTGTTCAAATTAAACAATTAGAATTCGTCAATAATAGACTGTACACAAGAGTTGTATTCATGAAGTATACATGTATGTAACATGATGAGGAAATCCTGATTGAGGGCTCGTATTTAAAGGCATTCTTCTCCGATCGCTTCTCTGACTCAGTTCACGATGATGGGCATTGGAAACGAGAAAGGTATGCACTCGCGTCATGATGCTTTAGGCGCCCAGCTGCAAGTCCGCATGTATTCTAAATTTGGGGTCGAGGTCGGCGTATAGTTTCCGACGAACGCGAAGGCTTTACGAATTTTACGAAGGGCAGTGCAGTTTGGCTATATACATCGGCCAGCAGCATTGGAATCACCGATGTTTTCCGCGCGTCGGACGGACACTGTCGGCCCGTCGGAGGTTAGCGAGGCCGACCGCCGGAAGAACGGTCACCCGTTCGAAACCGGGCCTGAGCGTAAGTCATTTCTTTTTTCTTGGTTCATTGTCCTCCGGATCCAGTGTGTTCCGTCCCATCTAGGCCAGCTGTTGCCTGATCAGGATTAGGGGCCGTGTCATGCCCAAACAGGCCAAGTGCCCTACAGGTTGTTGTACGAGGGATAACCCTTTTGGGCCAGTTCTTTGTCTGGCGGATCCAACGAGGGCGATGGCCACCTCAGGCTGTTAACTCTTTGAAGATTAGAGCTGGTGTCCATCATGGGCGAGAATCCAATGGACCCTGGAGCGGGTCAAGGCTCCGCAACCCTTCTTTATTCGCGGTCACCCCCGTGTTCGTCCAACGTCCCGGTACGACTTGTCTCTCTTTCAACTGTCTTCTGCTCTACCGTCTGACAGGTCAATATATAGGCCAATAGACAATGTCCTCCACACGCCACAATGCATCGGCCACTTCGTCTGAAAGAAAACGCTTGCGCGATAGACGAGCGCAACAAAATCTCCGAGAGAAGCGGGAGAACCGCATGAGAGCGTTAGAGGAGCGGGTGGCCTATTGCGACAAGAATCATGGCAATGAATTGATCCGGAATTGTATGCACACCGTCGACTGCGTGAGACGAGAGAACGAGCTTCTTCATGCTCGACAGGAACACCTTCGTCGCCTGTTCCAGGACTGGGAGGTTCAAGGCAACAGCGCAACGGGGGTACATCGAACCCTTTCTTCTACGTCGATGACGACCAATTCTTTCTCAGCACCATGGGCCCTGACGACATCGGCTGGTAGCCCACGAAGTGACATAACATTGGTCGATCCGGGAATGCAGAATCTCTCCGGCTGGACCGTCAATGGCACAGATTCTGCAGGTCTCAGGTCAACTACCGACGGCCTCACAGCTCCATTGATGATGAGCACGTGGCCCGTGGGGTCAGAGACTCGCAGTTCACCCTCACCAATTATCGACATACCTCTGATGCCCAGCATGCACCCCACACCAGGGCCAGACATGTATCCCCTGATGACCCACAAGGATTACACTCAGATGGCTGCCAATAGTGGGAATTGGTCTGGGTGGTCCGCTCTGTCCGACACCGTCCACAAGCTACCTCTGCTACCATCTCCGTTCGACCTCCTGCATGGCTCCAGACGTAACTGGCTGGCAGATCAGATCAACCGACTGCTTCGGCGGTTGAGCCTCCGAGAACCTGACCGTCTGGCATTAAGCTGGACTATGTATTCTTTTGTTAGATGGCGGGCCAACCCGACCCCGCTCACGTTTGCTAACATGCCATCATTTCTACAACCCGTGGCAGGACAGGTACGGCAGCATCAACACCCAGAATTTGTTTTCTTTTTGTGGCCCCAGCTGCGGGTCAACTATCTGGAAAGTCGATCTGCAATTGATCTTATAGAGGTCTATAGATATGGGATCAGCTCATGTAGAGTGCGGTGGCCGTCCTCCGTGAGCATCTGGGATTGGGATGATGACGAGAACATGTTTGTGAAGCCTGAATTCTTCGAGACCTTCCTAGACCGCAGTGGCTGGGGGCTAACGTCGGTCTTCATCGACAAATACCCAGAGCTGGTGAAAGGGATGGACGTGGAAGGTCTTCGGTACGACGTTCCGTAGACTATCTCTTTCAGGTCGGAAGCAGGCATGATGATCCGATACAATCAGTATCTTAATGAAACAGAAGCTCCAGATTGCACATCCAGAGAAATCATCCATTTTCTCGCATTTGATCACTCGCAATTCAGATTCCAGAGGATCCTGTTGGTCGGTTGGCTTGGTTAACTCGGCCTTATGCACGGCACTGAATCAGCGTCGTATCTTTTCTTTGACACCCGGCAGCCTCGTTTTTCTTAACACACGATGATTGGCTCTGCGTGCCAGCTTGCGGAAAGTTGAATCAGCGTGGGATAAGCTTCTGGCCTTGTCTTTCTGACCAGCTATCTTAATTTATCTGTGCTTCAACTTGGCGAGGAGTATTAGTGTTTAGATCGTTAATTGATGTACAGATGCAGTCTGCACAGACTTATTCTTTCATATGTGAGGTTGTATAGTTCGTTGATTCTTTATTTGTTATTTGTCCAATCTATGCTTCTTTGTCTAGCAATCTATTTCTCCTAGCTCTATATACAGCGCATCTATCCGTACTGTTGCAAGCTGTGCCCATCTTACCTGCATAATCCCTTCCATCAATACCCTATTCTACGATGGTGAGGCGTTCTTTCAGATGTAAAAGAGATTGCCTTGAACTCGATGAAGCCCAACATCCATCCGTATGCCAGCCTATTAAACTTTCTCGCCAGCAATATGCTTCCTCAGGATCCCACTCGTCCCTTCATACTCCTTTCCTACCACAGATCAGCCCTGACAACTGCAGGGCAAGCATCTCCGCTTTGACCGTAGATCCACAAACCATCATTTTCTTTGTCTCCCGCGCCTGGTGGCCCTTCGTGGAAAGTACATACCTTGCGGAGAATCTCCTAAAACAAGGCCAGTGCGCTTGCATCCCGCAACAATCAAGGTGTGCGGCGAACCTTGCTTTTTTCATGGGTTACTCTGGGGCTAGCCCCGGGGAAATCCGTACCGCCCGTTGAACAATATTCCTAGCCTGATTGATTGATTGTCTTTGTATACCGGTTTTGCGCTACAGGTATACTCCAGTAGGCAGAGAACAACAGATCATTATACCATAGTGCAGCAGGATGAGGCAATTCTTTATTCTCGGTCTGCAGTACGCCACCACCAAACCAGTCGGAAGTCCGGAGCTCCGTGAGCTTTGTATTATGCCTGTGGTGTGATGCAACCTCAGCTGGGCTTGCATTATCACAATATGCTGGGCCGCAGCTGATCGTGCGGACAAAGGGTACATTGGGGGGTGTGACCTCCGGTTTCTATCCGTGGCTAGTCGGATAGGATGTGCCTGGTCATTCCAGGAACGGAGGCAAGTTTTGACCGCGGTATCAAGCTGGACAAAGCCTCCGGAGTTGGCCTAGCCCAGACAGGGACCGACACACGGCATTATTCCGGACTAAGCCTCTGTCAAAGTCTGCCTGCATCATGCCCACAGCTAGGGGCAGGCTGCTAGGCCTCCAGATTAGTAGGCAACAAATGCATGACGCGGGTAGCAAGTGCCACTAGGTGAAAGTAACATTAGAATCGTGCTTTGTATTCGGTACAGATTATCCAGTATGTAGTTATGTACATAGTATCAGGCTGGAGTTCTCGGACCTCCCACAGATCCCCTCATATTCCCACCCAGTGTTAATGCTCCATTATCTGTAACTTGGGGATGAGCTTCTCATGAAGGCTGTGAGGATGAATCCAAATCATCAGTTTGATGAAATGTTCCGCTGCTTCCTGAAAAGCAAAAAGACAGACAGAAAAAGAGAGAAATGTTCTCTGTGTTTCGTTTGTGCAACTCCTAGGCTTCCGCCGCATCCACCAAACCCTGCAACATAGCAACATCCATGGTAAACATATCCGACCCATCATCTGCCAAGAACACAGACGCACCACGACTGACCATCAGCAGCTCGGTCTCGCAATCAAAAGGCAGCGGGTCGTGAAGCGCCCCCTTAGCCTCCGAGATGTAGTCGCCTGCCGCGTAGGCACCAGTCTGAGGATGGGCTCCGGTACCCTTGAGAACATAGATCTCTGCACTGTCAAGGTGGCGGTGTCGTGGAAGCAGACCCCCTGGCTGGGCCCGCACCATGATTGTGTTCTCGCCTGTCTCGGGGACAAGCTTGACGACCTTGATCTCGACTCCGGGAGCGAGGGGGAGCCACTTGAGGTCGGCGCAGTGCACGGTGAAGCCTGCGTCGTCTGTAGAGTGCATTTTGGCGAAAAGCAGTTTGGATGATGTGTGCTGATTGAGTCTCTGCTGTGTTCTTGGATATCAGAATCGGTGCTCGTGCTCCTGCGTAATAGGGATCCGTGAGGATATTCCACCTACCTACTGGTGGAAAAGCCGGCCGCAGTAATGATATGGCAGCAAAAATGAGTTTGTGAAAAGAGGGAATGGATTTGGATTAAATAACATGACTGACACTGTTTCATGCTGGCTTTCGGATATCCGATGAACTCGGATATCCGACTCAAAATGGTAATGGCTTCCCGAGACTCACCCCACTAGCCCTACAGAATTGTCTTCAAACCAGTGATCCACGAAACTACATTTCCATCTTCCACAGAAGAGTCAAAGCTCAGAAGTGGTGCATTTGTTGCGATGACGATTACGGATATCTGCATAGCGCGAGCAGGAGATGTACGACTAGAAGATCTGCTAGACAATCTGCTAGTCTCGCAGAACCATGCATGCAGGACTGATCTTCATTCCAGGGTTGTATCTATTAGAAGACAGATTCACCAGCCTCCATATTTTCCACATGCAACCTCATTCATAGCTCTCCATTAAACTAGACCCTCCCCTCCCCACCTGTCTCCCAGCTCCATACTCCTATTTCAGACAATACCTCATCATGGCTGCATCAGGAACAAGCGCAGCCGCAGACCCCTTCACCACATTGTGCTCCCTGCTACGTCCGGATGAGATAATTACTCCCCAGTCCCCGGACTATGAGGCAAGCATCCAGACATGGGCAGCCCAGAAGCAGGCACGCCCCCGTCTGGCAATCCGGCCCACCTCGGTCGAAGCCCTGGCCAAGGCCATCAGCTATCTGTACACCACGAGCTTGGACTTTGCGATTTACGGCCAGGGATTCAGCTCTGCCTCCGCCAAGGACATCGTGGTGAATACCTCGGCGTTCGATGACTTCCACTTTGATCCGCAAGCCGAGGTGGTGACCATTGGTGCCGGTCAGACATGGTCCGCTGTGTATCGCAAGCTGGCTAAGGCGGCGCCACAATATGGAAGTAAGAACCTGTCCTCCAAGAATTTAGACTTCATTCTCCAAAAAATCAAAAATAATAAACAAAAAAGAAATATAAACGCTGATCAAGGATTGTCCCATAAAAACAACAGTCGTGGGAGCTCGCACGCCTTGTGTAGGCGTCGCGGGAACCATCGTCAGCGGTGGCTATTCCTGGCTTTCCAGCGAGTATGGCTGCATCTCTGACGCTGAAAACATGCTGGATGCGAAAGTGGTCAAGTACGACGGCTCGGTGGTCTGGGCGTCAACAGAGCCGGACTTGCTGTGGGCACTGCGTGGTGGCGGGGGTGGATTTGGCGGTATGTCTGTTCTATGTCCTTTTCGTGGCGCATGTTTCCATATTGAAGGGTGTAGAGAACTGTACTAAGTGTGCTTTATTCGTTTCCAGTGCTGGCCCAGGTGAAACTCAGAGTCTTCCGCTATCCGCAGAATGTCTGGGCGGGTCCGATCCTGGTCCCTCGCGAGAGACTGGAGGAGGTCGCAGAGGGCATTGAGAACTTCATTGCACAACCGGTCGATCCCAAGATCACTATGTTTCTGTATGTGGTCAAGGGCCGACTGCTTGAGTCGATTGGCACCGACTCGGATATGTTGGTAATCCATTCTTTCGATGCTAATGGGGAAGAGCACGGTCGAAAAGCGTTTCGGTGGGCATTGGATATCCCTGGGGCGATTGACCAGACCAAGATTACTACGCTCGCCGGCGTTGCCAATTTGCAAGGTATAACTCCAGACGTTAACAAGGAACAGCAGATACTGACGATGATCTGGAACAGACAAGGCCGGTATCGTCAAAGGCACTATGAAACAGTTCTGGCAGCCGCTGCTGTTGCAGGAAATACGGAAAGAGACCGTCACCAAAGCGATTAAATGGTTCGAGGAGGTCCAAAAGGTCGACGAGTCGTTCGGCGATTGCACATATCTTATCTTCGAGCTGCTGAGCTCGGTAAGTGTTCAACTGCTTAGAGAGCCCGCCTATTGGAACGCATTCTGATGGATTTAGCGGGATCCAGCGGCAGGCAGTGCGAGCTCTGCCTGGCCACGTCCCAAGGGTGCGAAGCATATTCTGCTCCTCGGTACCGGATGCCCTGCGGACGCTGGGCCAAGCAAGGAGAAGCTGGCTCGCGATCTCGCTATCGAGGCTCCATCCAATGTCTTAGAAAGTAGTACGGACGTCCATGTGCTACCCAACGGTATCGAGGACTATCATGCTCCGACGAAGGTATGGCTCCACTGTTTAACGCTATGTTCAGTCACTAACCAGGCATACAGATATGGGGCCCTCATGTTGCCAAACTACAGAGCTTGAGAGTACGATACGACCCACGTAGGAGATTCAAGGGGGCCGTGAATCCGTAGAATAGTGGGCGTGAGCGGCTTCTCTGGTATGCTAATGTGACTACTCCTTTGTTTGGAAGTATGCAATTGGTATATTTTGGAGATACGCCATGGACATGGGAGAGGAGAGAAAGGTGCTGACTGTGCGAGACAGTTGTAACTGCTTGTACAATTTGTAACAAGCCAATAACATGATACTATAAGCCTACAGGCTCAGATGAGAGTAAGCCTCATTTTTACCATCCCAGTGCACCTGAATACAAGGTAAAAGTCGGTCAATATTACCCAAAGTTTGCGAATAGCTATCCACTGTACATATATTTAAGGTTATCCAATGCCACTATCCTCTAATGCATTAGAACTCCACCAAACTGAATACGGGCATAGGATGTTCCAAGATCCAAAGCACTGATCATATCCTACATAAATGACTATATTCATGCCGAATCAAGAGGCAGCATTTCCGTAGTTCCAAAAATTAGAGAAATAACGCTAAGAACAGCTCGGTAATCTAGTAATGGGAGCCCTAAAGTTCTAGAGTGCCATAACCTAATCTAACCGACCCCGGCTAAGGTTAAAAGTAGGGTAACCGCGGTTAATCGTGATTGGGTATCGAAGTTCTATTAACCTAGCCATAACCTGACAGTTAGGTATAACTGACCTTATTGACCTAACCTAGCCTAGCCATATGCCAGTCTACTCCAAACACCTAGTACCGACACCCCTAAATCTAGTACTGGCATTTCTTTTGGACAGATTCTGAAAGACAGCCACTATCTCAGACCTGGGCTAGTTAATAATCCGGAACTTAAAAATTAATTAAAGTATATAATACGTTAATATAAAGTACGTTGATACTTATAAAGTTGGTATTATTTTAGCTCGATTTAGTCTGCCGTACCTGCGGCCCTACTTTCCCTATGGATTCGTGCTTCTGGACTCAATGTTTGACCGGAACTGGATATGCACGGTAACCGCAATACTTCCAGAAGCCGAAGCTCTATTAAATATGGCAGTAGTCAAGCCAAGGAATGGATCATGCGGTTTAGTACCGCCTAGACCTAGTGAGGGAGCATTAAATCTTTCATTAAGGCTGCGATTGGAAATATGCACGATCAACGTTGTGCTTGGGCAAGTTGAGAGCTGCCACTATTCGGATGGATTGGTGCAAGTAGGGCAAATTGTGAGTCAAAAGGGGCTTGGCGTTCTGCACGACCGTTGAGAAAGGTTAAAACACGGGGCTACCCAGCTGTACTATAGTCTATTCCACTAAGCCACATTAATTGGATGAAAAGAGAGAGGGAGGTTGAGTACCTGGCAGGAGTGAACGCAATGTGATCTCCTCCCCCGACGGTCCGTAGTGCCATGAATACTCCATATACCGCCATGTAATATAATGACTTCGCCTCCCCACGACATTTTCCCTCATCTGTACATTCCAACTGCTAGCCAGTGACCCTGCTTCTCGCAGGCTTCTCTATCTTAACATCCACTGGTCACACTTCCTCCCGAGCACAGATAGCAAACCACATGGCCATCAGGCCCCAATCACGCCGCATTACGCTCGTGGGAGCCACCGGGTCTTTGGGAACCCAGGTCCTGTCAGCTCTCCTTGCAACCGGAGTCCACGACGTGTCTGTGATCATCCGGCCCGGAACGAGCACTGCTTTCAACGAGAGAGTTGCGGTGTACCCCGTTGATCTGGATGACGTGGACGCTCTCACCTGGTGCCTGGAGGGGCAAGAGGTCCTCATCATGACCCTCAGCCCAGACGGCTACAATCAAGAGATCTCCCTAATCAAGGCCGCTGCAGCAGCGCGAGTCCCGTACATCATCCCGACCGAGTTCGGCTCTGATCCCATGCACCAGCGGCTGAACAGCGAAATCTTCCTGGCGGAGATGCAGCGGCCCTTCCGGGCATTGATCGAAGAACTCGGGGTCAGCGCATGGATCGGCGTCGTGACTGGGCTCTTCTTTGACTTCAACATCCGGAATGGCTTCTGGGGCCTGGACCTCGCGAAACGGTCCGTCCGCCTCTATGACGACGGCCGCGTCCCGATCAACACCACCACCCTGTCCTGGGTGGGCACCTCGTTGGCCCGCTTCTTTTCCATGCCCGACCACTTCGTCCAGCGGTATCGGAATCAATGGGTCTTCTTCAGTTCGTTCTTGGTCAGTCAGCGCGACGTGTGGGAGAGTGCCCAGCGAGCTACAGGTACCACCGAGGTGGACTGGCGGGTTGAGACAGTCGATGCCAAGGCTTCAGCTGAACAAGCCAAGAAGAGCATCCAGCAAGGAGACTGCGTGGCTGTGTTTAGCTTGCTGTTCGCGCTGACCTTCCAGGATGGCTTTGGATCCGACTTTTCGGACCGGGTCATTGACTATGGCGCGATGGACCTGACTCCCCCGCCCCTTGATGCTGTCCTCAAGGAGCTTGTGGAAGAGTGTACCTAAACAGTAGCCCTAAGAGAATGGAAATGTTAAATGGGTGTACAGATTTGAAGCCATGTATGACGATTGTTTAAGGGTATGACCAATATGCTACAAGGAAAAGTATAGTCATCTTCCAAGCTATAATCGAACAGCTATTCTAAAAGTAGTTTTGGTGACAAACATGAAGCTTCGAGGTGCAAGCCAAATTACGATTAAAAAGGATCCCCAGGGGCAAAACATCCACAGAGGTGATCTGATACCGCCTTGTGGATCCCAACGAAGCTCTAGTCAACGGATTCGGATTTCCGAGCTCCATGGGGTCGGATTCCGAGCCCAAGTAAACTATGGTGTGTTTGAGCCTGCCACGGCCTTTTCTCATCTACTCTTTTTCAGCCACCTGTATGCGAGCTTTAGCTTTGTCCGCCTTGGAGAATTTGAACATGGCTCCCAGATTCAAGCTGATCAAGTTAGTGGCAGGCACTGCCATCACTGGAGGCAGTTGCATAGTACTTTTTGCATCCTATATCACGTCCGACATCCATTTCGTCCCCTTGTCCGCCACGGACCCTATCTTCCACTCGAAACACCTCCAGGAATACAACCCCAATGGCAATCCCACCATCCATGACTTGCATATTGCTAGAGTCCCTTTGACTCAAATCCATCCTCGGCTTCTCGAGGATCCGAACAAGCTTCTGGAACGATATTGCGGAGGAATATGGGCGGGAGCTGGTAAGCCTCATAGCATCATAAAATTATCCTCTCCGTAGCAGATGATGTAACTGACTCTTGATTCTTTCCATAACCCAGGCTTTGCCCCACAGAGAATCCTCCACACATGGTTCGACCGAGGCGAGTCGAGCTCTCCCCAGCTATGGTCTACTTCTGAGCTTCTCCAGTCGGACTACAAGGTAGGAACCGATATTGCGGGCAATTTTGAAGTGGTCAATCGTTCCAACGAGTCGATTCTGATCCGGGCCGGGGACAAAACCTCGAACAAAGGGTTGCGTCCTCTTGACGCTCTGATCGAGGTTGGCTCGCACATCGATAGAGAGAATAATGTGGCCGTGTTTGAGTTTAAGTCGCTGTTCTTCCAAGGTATCGGGACGACGAGCAATCCCCCTATGCCGGGGCCTATCGTGTGGTTGCATGAGCTTTACGCGAAGATCCTTTTGAAATCCGGTGTCCAGCATGTCCTTAGATAGTGCATAATTTGTAGCGAAATGAATGTCATTCTCTCCTCTTTAGAACTAAAAAGGTCTACAGAGTATACTTGCTCCCCGAGAAACACGGGACCATACAGTTGGGTAATTCCCTTGCAATCAGACACTTGAACCGCCAGCCCGTGCAGTGACCCGCGAGTAGTACCTTGGGCTCCATCTTCTTCAAGTCGGCCATCGTAGCGTGTAATTTAGTATCGTCGGCATCCGCCAGGTGATATCCACCCACGACGCAGTACAGAGGGCTACCATTGCCCAATTTGATTGCATCACGGCAGGTGTTCACAATTCCGGCATGGCCGCAACCAGTGAAGACAACAAGACCTTTGCCTATATTACACCAACCAAGAAAGAAACGCACGTCAGAAATCCGGACCAAAAAAAAAAAAAAGAAAACTGAAAAGCAGGGGATATAACATACCCTTCAGATTGCACATCACGTAGCGCTCTTCCATGATCAGGGTGTCTTCTTCCCACTGTTTGGTGTCTTCGTTGTAGCGTAACCCTCCGTAGATGCCATCCTCGTAGCTGGTCTCGCGCGGAATCTCGCCTGAGATGAGAAAGAAGTCGTCTAGTGCGGTATGTGGCTGGTGGCTCTTGAGCAGACGGGCTCCGGCGGCTTCCAGCTCCTCGAACGAGGGATCGGCTTCTAGCGAAATCGGTCGATCGGCTTGCACGCCTCGATACGCTGGACGGTTCGGATGAACATCTACCACCGGTCCCTTTCCCCCCTTGCCGGTATTCTGGGCGATGAGTTCAATCGCCCGGGTCAAACCACCTGGAATCTTCGTATTAGTGGGGAGTTGTTCCTTGCTCATGGGGCAACAACGAGTGGATTGCACTCATACCAGAGTGATCGCGATGATAATGCGAAAGAGCAACGTGCTCTATCTTGCCAACCTCAGTCCGAAGGCGACTGGTATTTCTCTCCCACACCGCACCCTCTGGCCCAGCGTCAAAGAGGAAGTGGTGTTTCTGGTCGCCCTTGGTGGCAATCTGTCGGACATCGTCAGCTTTCTTCCATAATTTTGCAGGAAAATCCGCGCAGCAATGGAGAACTTTACAAGAAGCAAGGAAATGCCGTGCGCGGCGCAACAGATGTTGTCCATTCGCATTTCCATCTGCGCACCGCCTCGTTCGGTGTTGGAGTCCAACGGGGAGAGCGGGATGCCCATAAACCGGCTGGCTACCTGCACGGCAGGATTGGGACTGGGAGAAATGGGGTCCAGCTCGTCATTGACAATGACATGGACTTCGAGTTGGTCGATTTCAGTCAGCATTGTAGAGATACCTGGGTCAAAGAATAAGTTATGATAGGCGTTGAGGCTGATTTATGTTATGCACCACTGGTGGTTGGAAGGTAGTGAGGTCATATATATACCCGACAGAGCAAGTATGGTCGTATTGTGCCACTATTCCCTTTCCGTTCGGCAGTCCGATGGCGGATGGAAGTCGATCGCCGAACATTTGATGTCATGCATTACTCCGTCAGTTTATTGCAGTAGACTGCACACAGTAGTCCATCCCCGAGTCGCCGACTAGTAGAATCCCCGGGACAGAATTGCGTCGGGCTGCAGTCGACCTCTTAAATGAAAACTTTGCATTGTGATAACTTGAAGGCACTTCCATCGGCATCAGTCACGGGGGCTCGCACATATTTCTAGATTGATCCAGGTCAGGTGATGTCCGCCTATGACTTTCTACTAAGAATGTCGTTGATTGAGTCCGAGTCTTTGCAGGATGTTGATATGTACGTGAAGTCACGTGTCGAAACACGCCTCCGCGTATATCAACGCCCACCTCGTCTCCCAGGTCGTTATACACCATAAGGCCGGTCGGACCCACATGTTCATCGACCCTCTAACTCAGAATAGAGAGATCGTCGCCAACCGATGCCATTCGAGTCCTCTAGTTCTGGGACCTGCAACCGCCATGGAGGGGGAGATTGCAGAACTACGAGGTCAGCTTGCAGAAGCGCAGCGGTTTCGAGAGGTAGTGAAACGCGTGAAAGAGGCAGAGCAACGCGCGAAAGACGCAGAGCGTCAAGTCGAGCCGAACTCGTTACCAGGATTACTAAAGGGCTGTCATAAGCTCTCCCAGGCACTCCGCGTCCAAACGAAGGTGATATGGACACAGGGAGATGCCACAACTCCTGTTAACAGGTTGTTCCCCAAGCGCATCTTGCCCTGGAGTGAGTTCCCTCGGCTACAGGAGAAGATATGGGACAAGTTGAATCGTGATCGTACGTTCATTCGCAAGCGCCTCTTTCAGAATAACAATTTCCTTGACCAAATCCACACCTACTTCCGGAGGCATCTAATCTTCTCTGAGGAATCATTGCGTTATTTTCAGAGGGATACCATAGAAAGGTTTGTGGATGACATCCTTGATGCGTTGGTGCAGGACAATACTCTTAGTCGAGAGTTTCGACTTGAAGGAAGAGTGATTTTTCAAGGCATGCCAATTCCCGAAGAGTTAACGGAAAGGCCAATAGATGATGCGATGCGGAATATACAGCTTCATGATTCTTTACCTCAGCAGCACCGTCCAGTACCAGTGCGAGGCATAGGAACGAATGCGCAAGGAAACAGCCTTGAAAGACGACGGAATCCGCGTGCGGATCAATTCTGTGTGCATGTCGCCGCTGATCAGCAGCGAATCCCCGCTTATGCAGTGGAATTCAAGGCGCCACATAAGTTGACAATTGCCGACTTAATCGCAGGGCTACATGAAATGGAGCTGGAACAGGATGCAATTGATAAAGATGGGGATACGTTCGAATTTCATGCCCGCCACTTAGTCGCTGCAGTGATCACACAGCTCTTCTCTTATATGGTTGACAGTGGAGTCCGAAACGGATACATTTGCACTGGGGAGGCCTACATTTTTCTCCATATCGCCGACGACCCAACGGTAGTCTATTATTACCTTTGCATACCTAATAAAGATGTCAATCCTGAGGACAAGTACCACCTCCATCGAACCGCCGTGGCCCAGGTGCTTGCTTTTACACTTAACGCGTTGGCCGCCGAACCCCCACCCCAGAGTTGGTTCGATGCTGCCCGGCAGAACCTCTCCACTTGGAAGGTAGAGTATCTTAATGTCCTGAAAGATATTCCAGAGTCGGTCCGAAAAGACCCCCCGTCTTCTGAGTACAAACCTTCGTACTGGAAACCCATGGAACGATCTCCATATCATACTCGGGCGCGAGGCCGTTGTCAACCTAACCAGACAACACCCCAAGGAAGTTCAGGAGGCAGTAGCACCGATGAAGATGATTTGCCGTCACCATCGCCTGCCCCAGCCACACGCGGCCGAGGGTCGCGAGGCAGAGGACGGGGCCGAGGCCGTGGGCAAAGTAAGTTCGCTGGCTCCTGTAACTCCAATACAGGATCGAATACTAGGCACTACTGCACCATGGTGTGTCTTCGAGGCTTGTGTACGAGAGGGCGTTTGGACCCCAAATGCCCAAATGTTCATGAACACGGTTCTGGGAGACACCAAATCAATTCGAGCGAGTTTACGCGTAGGCTACACGCTCAGCTGCGTGGAGACCGGGACAAGGGCTTCGAACAGCTACATATCCGCGGTCGAACGGGTTTCCTGCTAAAGGCTACGTTACTGTCTCACGGATGTACAGTGATTATAAAGGCCACGACCGAACGAAAACAACACGATTTGCAAAAGGAAGTCGACATCTATAGCTCTCTACAGCAGTTACAGGGATATCATATCCCGGTTCACATCGGTAGCTTCCATCCTCGCATCCCATATTGGTATCATGGAGAGCGTATGTCCTATATGATGATTCTCAGCTGGTCTGGGATCTGTATGCAAACCTTGATACTGCAAAGCGGTGCCAATGCTTCGCTATTCTCCCAGGAATGAGATAAGCTCCGAGAAATCCTTTTGTCCCGTGGTATAGTTCACAGAGACTTCGAATATCGCAATATGCTGTGGAATGAAAGCCTTGGCCATGCTATCATGATCGACTTTGAGGACGTGACTTGGATAAAGGAACGACAGCCACTCGGTTCAACTTCGGGCAACCTGACCAGGAGATATGCTTCTGATAAACGGAGCATCTTACATGGCAATGATCCACTTCCATCGGGACCGAGGTCCCCCACTTAATATAATTTTGGACGAAATAGACACGGCAGTAAATGGGAGATAGCAATCAGGGGGCATTGGTCACGGCGCCAAAGGCTTAGAAATCGGCCTTCAGCATCTTGGTGCTTATCGATGTCACAAGAGACACAAAGCAGGAAGCTCACCAGAGTAAATCTACAGGCCAGCACGATTATCAGGGTCAGTGACCTAGCTGCATAGCTCGTCAAGACTCCTCGAGCTTTGGCAGTGCATTTAATTAAAGCGATTGACTTGGCTGTACATACGGTTGTCTAGAATGTCGCTTTTTGTACATAATGAATGATGATAATGATTGGTTTTAAGATAGAAATGCAGCTTGAAAAGACTGCAATGTAGTCCAGCAACTCCAGCACCCTACACCAGGAAAGCAGTAATGCAAGAGTGTATACGGCTATATATTTACTCTACATAGATTGTATCTTCATAGAATGCTCAACCTACTCCCTTTCACCGTAGGCGTAATATGATGCCATTATATCTCGTCAATCTTTCTTCATTCTACAAGTGTAAGAAATCTTCAAATTAAATGTTATAGGGGACGCAATTTGGTCCGTATGGTATGTAGAATTACCTAAGCTATGCCATGTCTTTCAAGCCCAAGTAGGTACACCCATCGCACTGCCCCTAACATATTGAGAACACTAGGCTAAGGGCTGGCATTGTAGGTGATTGAATCCTTGCATCATGCTGTGGAGATGATAGACAGGGGAACATAAAGTTCAATAAGCTCTATCCCCGTTGACTCATGTCTCTATTCCAGAAGGATTCAATAGCCCCTTGTATATATCAGAAGGTCTATAGGAAGGGTAGTGGAGCAGGCCGGAGCACGGTGATACCTCAGAAGGAATAATCAAATACAGGTAACAAGACACGGCTGAATCCCCCATCCCCTGTATCGATAGTTTCATAAGCTGTAGAATTCTATTGTTGTGGCACAGGATATTATGGACATCAGTGATACAAATCCTTTGTTTCACGTTGAGGACATCGAGTTTCTCCATATGCTGGACCGTGATGATCTTCATGCCAAGCCTCATGAGATTCCTCCGCGCTCTCGTTTATTTAACGAGGATGAAACCGGACCCCTTGATCAACTTCTCCTCCCCCCCTTTCCTCCTGTTCTGTAGTATGAGACTTCATCCCGCGGTTGTGGACAGACACTATACACAGTATGATACTGCTGAGTATGCCGATCTCGGCTGGCCGGGAAATTTCAACCTCAGCCATTCCAGAGATGGAATAATCATGAGAAACTAAAGTAGACACTAAAAACTAGTCAAAGAGAACCGCAGGTGGGAAAACAGAAAACGAAAAAGGACATTGGTGAACCGCACATAGCCCTAATTTTGCGACAGGTGCTTTTCGCTAGTTCACAGCGACTGTAAATGGCGAATTGAGCGATGTCGCAGAGGATTCAAATGCACGCATACACCCCCAGCCTTTACCCGTGTCTTTGGTGGGCCTGTTCCGAAGTTATCCCGTCTGCCAAAATCCGGTCTAGTGAAGCGTGTACAGAGTGTCAAGAATTGTGCGGCAGGACATTTCTCTTGGTGCTGGTGCCTTAAGAGGCATTAAGGCATCAATGATGACCTCAGGCGTGATATCAGTCCATTTGATGTTCGCTCTCAATTTCCTCATCCAACACACGTTGCGATCATGGCCCACCACATTCATCCCCAGCCTCCTGGGCGACATCAGCTGCCGGGAAAAAGAACACACATGGGTTCTTTTGAAGCACGTCCATACGGTGGATGATGTCGTGATCTACCCAGCGCCTCAGTGACCCAGCTTCAAATGGGCGCATGATTTCGACATCTTGATCAATGCACATCACAGTTTATGCAATGTGATTCGGGAAGGAAAAAAGGAAAAAAGAAAAAAAAAAATCCTGTTCTCGGCATGTTTAGTACTACCGATCCCTACTATACATGGAAAAGCTTGAGCGGAAGCGCCAAACATTCATTGGAATTCGGCCAATTCAGCCACTGTTTATCTATCCGGTCCGACTTGCCTGTGAAGCCGTCAGGGTCTGCGCCGGATCCTTGGGATCACAACCTATAGATGCAGCTGATAGGTCACCTAGTAGGGTCTATCCAGATACATGTCGGGCTTTCCGCCAATGTACGTCAAGAACAGAAAGCCGATCCGCGGTTGTGAACAACCACATCCATGCTGGTGAAGAACATCATGCTGAGATGAGGACAATACGCAACATCCACAAGGTAGCGGCCGCATATCGAGTCCATTCCCATCACCGCCTGAGCTATGGCGTCTTCATTGGATACAGATTATCACCATTCGAATCAAGCCCCACAGATCGGCACTGATTTTCATACGAGCGCGCTTCTTGAAAACAGCTTCTGTGTCATCGAGCACGTCGAAGGATGACCAGAAACAGTCCCTGAAATCAGTCTTTGGCTCAGAGAGCTCGCCACCAAAAAAGAACGCGGCTGGAGGGACGTCGTAATAAACATATCACGCCAATGCTGGTGGCTTTTGCACTGTTGCCAGGTCCAGTGGGTCCATTGCCACCGCAACCCGACGTTGTGCAGCAAACTTGATAGCCTCTGGCCAGTTCCACATCGCCGATCAGCACGGCCAGACACGTTGCCGCCAAACCTTGGATGTCGGACCCTTGGATGTCATCGTTGCACCATGGCTCGAGGTTGATAGCCCCAGGGCATAATTCCTGTCCCTGGCTACTGCAGGTCCGTAAAGTCTTCTGTTATTCGCCCACGCACTTTGGCTTCCACACCAACCTCCTACCGACGTCGGCCATGGGCCGGTTCCCGACGATAGGATCCCCATGTGCTGTTACCTTATCTAGCACTAAAAGCGTGAGCGAAAAAAATTCATAGCGGCTGAAGGAGAGAAATCTTACTAGCCGCTAAGCAGCGACCTGGACTTGAAGCCATTATAAAGGCCCACCTCATTCCAGAGAGCTTTTACCCTCTTTCCTCTCATACTACTATCAATTTATACTACTACCCAAAGCAAACAATCTTAGCACCATCTGCCAACCCTCACTATGAAGTTCACTAGCTTCGCCATTGCCGGTCTCATTGGCTGCACTGCTGCCTTGCCTCCATTTGCCGCTTCTTCTACTCCGTCCAGCTCTGTTTCTGTTTCTGTCACCCCGAGCGCTTCCCCCAGTTCATCCAGCATCGCCTTCGTCGGTCTTAGCAAGCGCTCTGAGACCCCTTCAAGCTCTGCAACTCCCTCCAGCTCGGCCTCTATCGCTACCCCATGGGTATTCCACAAGCGTCAATTTGCCACTCCCTCCAGCTCTGGTATTGTGTCCAGCTCTGCAACGCCATCCAGCTCCTCTTTCGCTGCCCCATGGGTCTTCCATAGACGCCAGTTCGCCACCCCCTCCAGCTCTGCGACTCCTTCTAGCTCGGCTTCTGCCACCCCCTCAAGCTCCGCTACTCCTTCGAGCTCTGCGTCCGTAACTCCCACCAGCTTCGCCGTCCAGAAGCGCAAGTTCTCCGGCTCCAGCAGCTCTTCTTCCGCCTCGCCTTCGTCGTCTGCTACTCCTTCCTCCGCGACTCCTTCTCCCTCTGCCTAAGCCCTAGAGGTTTGGAGTATTGCCATAGGAGCATTCGTCATGCCTTACCACATGGAGTACATTACATCCTGTACTCTCCTCTCGTACCGCCCGGTCAAGAAATAAGGCTGACACAATCGCCAACTAATTCTACACTTTTTTGTCGCGACCGCTACTGGTTTGTTTAATATGTTGCTATTTTTGGTTATGCTGGCGTACAATATTTGCTTTTCTGTGCGATAGAGTCGGGTACTCGTCCTGTTTGTTCTGCGATTTAGTTTAGAAATAGAAGTCGTTCGTTTTACTGTTTGTCCATGAACTCGTAGTCATAAACACACCGCTGCAGGAAATCGACCGATCAAAGTGGAAATACCTAACAATGTATGCATGCGAGGCTTGCACCAGGCTAATACTTTCCACATTTTCTATCTCAAAATCAACAATGCACATGATGCATACTTTCTGGCTGCCACAGCGGCGAAAAGAGTGTTTTCGAGAAGGTTAAGTCATGGCTCACGTCCTTGTTTCGGATGGTCGCTATCGTCCACAATCAATTTCTGCCAGTAGAAATCGCAAGGTTCTGGTAGTAATTCCAAATATTCTATAGTTATCTATTTACCATTTCTAAACCATAATAGATACTATGTAATTTATGTACAGCGCACATTCCTCTATAATATATGTCGTCTGGTCGACCACCCGCGTTGAAGGCTATTCTAGCCCTATCTAGCGGTGAGGTACTCTGTGTGGAAACGTTAACTAAGGCGTTATTGGAAAACAGCTTGAAATTCCAATAAGATGCGTGTGAAAGAGGGATGTCGTTTTATTAAAGAGGTCTCGATGTGTCCTTGGGAAATATTGTGGCTTTCTTCTCAGTTGGTTAAGTTTTGTTTTGTGTGGATAGTTAATTAACATGGGCGGATGACCTAAGTTGAGATATATTTATTGAGTCAAAGCGTAGGTTATCACAAGGGGACGAGCCATATCCCGAGGATTTGATAAAAGTTGTATATTCTGGTGGGGAGACGGTTCTAAAATTAGATCAGAGCTTGGGTTGTGATATATATGGCCATGCATATCTGAGGGTACCTGTGTGAGGGAGACAACTCATCCTGTGTCACGCCGTAGCACACGACACATATCGATGGAAAGTCCTTGATGGATACCTTATGGCTATCGATAAGCTATCGGTGCCTAAATAGTGGGGCACTTTGGACCATTGCTCCATAAACTTGACTAGTCTCTTTCTAACAACTCGCCAAGTGTCCTCGGAATTCACCACGTCCAGAGTTCGGTAGATCAATTGTGGAAATCCATCCTGCCCTTGCTGTCACACCAAACAGGATTCCATAATGGATCCAGATGAGGGGCAGAGCACAGCTCCCAACAAGTCAAGAACGCCCGGTATCAAATATGATATCTTCGCGCCGTTCCAAAAGGCCAACGCCGAAAAGGTATGTATTGAATATCAAGAGCTACTCTCCTCAGTCTGACTCTTTTCAAGATCTGCATGGAGCCTTTCGAGTACACTAGGTCTCTTCCCGGCAAGAACACCGTTGGTAAGGTTATCGCGAGCTTGCGGCCTTGGCTGAATATTTCCGACCATTCTGCAGCGGTCCTTACGGACGTCATGACTATGTTGCAGAATGCATCTTTGATGTATGTACGATCGTCTCACAGCCCGAGACAAAGAGGTAAGGGATAGCTGATAGAACGTCTTTGACAGGCTAGATGATATTGAAGACCGTTCTCAACTTCGACGTGGTGAACCCGCGGCGCACGTTAAATATGGCTTGAGTCAAACAATCAACAGCACTACGTATATTGCTGCCAAGGCTTTCTCCGAGGTTCAGACCCATCTACGGCCAGATTGTGCCAAAGTCCTGTCTGGTAAGTTGTTAGCTTTGCTCAATCGACGACCAGGTATTAAACATGCTCGTAGAGGAGCTCCAAACTCTCACGTTAGGCCAAGCGCTCGATCTCAACTGGACATTCCATAGACAGTGCCCCAGCGTGCAAGAGTACCTTGTCATGATTGACCACAAGACTGGAGGTTTCTTCCGCCTGCTGCTTCGGATCATGGAAGTGGAAGCCAATGCCACGCCGAACGAGGAGCTACATCATTTGATTACTCTGCTGGGGCGATACTACCAAATTCGAGATGATTACCAGAATTTAGTTTCTGATGAGGTAGGCTGCTGCTTCCTGTGATAGTCGATACCGGACTAAAGAGCTTGTAGTATACCGCCAAGAAGGGCTTCTGCGATGATCTTTCCGAGGGAAAGTTTTCGTTTCCGCTTATCCATCTGCTCGAGCATAGTCCCAATGCCAGTATGCTACACAAACAGATCTTTGACCGGCAACCTGAGGACAAGGGGGAGATCTCTGAGGAGACAAAGTCGTATATCATTTCACAAATGAAGGAAATAGGTAGCTTGGAGTATACGCGGGAGGTTCTGGATGGCCTCTTTGATTCAATATGGAAGACAGTAGAGAAGGTCGAAGAGGTCATGGGAGACAATATGTGGCTCAAGGCTCTCTGCACGATATTGAAGCTGTGACAGAGCGGTGGGGAATGCTCTACGACTCAGGGTTGGCAACTCATCTATGGGTGCGTACGTATCTAATCCTGTTGACACGACTGGACATACATGTACTAAGTGACAAGGGTATGGACACGGCCCTAATCATAATCAGTGCAATGAAGTCTCGCTCCCTGTCCCCATCCTCCAGGGCCGATAGCAGAGTAGTGCAGGTTTACAGAATGTATCATCAGGCATAGAAGAAAGGAAGGAGAAAGGAAAAGTGAAGAAAGAAGACCGGGACGAGAGCTACCATGGGTGCTAATATGATCATTTAAATATACACCAACGCCAAACATCACCGCGCTCGACTCGCAATATCTCGCGCTACATAGATCTGCCCATATAAGTCCGTCACATCGACAAATGTGCGCACGATGCGTGCCGTCCGCGCTGGCAGCCCCGTCTCGGCCACCAGTCGCTCCAACGCGCCCAAACAGCACGCCCGCTCGTACTCAGCCAGCCACATCAAGTCTGACTTGACCGCGTCCAGGGATCGTTGAGTAGGCTGTCGTTTGCAGTCATCTTCCCCGCCTCCGTAGCCTTTTTTCCTCTCATCCCCCGTCTGCTCCCAGAATTCGGGAAAGTTCACGCTGTTCAAGTTCCCCTCGGCGCGATCCCGGGCGATGCTCCCGTAGTCGTTGTACTGGCGGCACATGGTGGCTAAGTGGCGACAGAGGGACTCGGCGAGGTAGTGTTGGCGGGGGCCGTGGAAGGCGGAATGAGGAGCAGTCGTTTCGGGCTGGTCATAGTAGGCGATGAGGGTAGCGAGGAAGTGGAAGGAATACGGGCAGCTGGTGTGATCGGCAGAGGTGGTGCGAACCCATGTGAAGTAGGAAGAGGGCGGGTTGCACAGGTGGTCCTGCTGCTGGGTATGCGTGCGCTGCAGTTGCTGACTGGTGGTCAGGTCGGTCAGATGAGCTTGCAGGAAGGTCTCCAGTTCGCGGGCGAGAAGACGGCGTGTACTCGAGGAGCCGCGCACGACGGCCGGATGGGTGAGGATGTACCGGGTGAATTTGTGGAGGATGCCGTCGATGTGAGCGAAGGAGTAGTTAGAGCCACTGCCGGTGGGAGATTCTGGTGGGGTGGGCTCGGAGGGTCGCGAGTGGATACCACCACCGTCTTCGTCTGAGCTCGTGTCTTCTATCTTAGACGCGGGCTGTGGACCGTGTGGTGTTTGTTGCTGGTGCTCCTCCTGCTGCTCGGCATGGCACAGTCGACGGATAGTCCCTCGTACAACATCCAACTTTTCCAGCGGATAGCCTCCGACGACCGATTCAAGGAACTCATCCACCTGATAGTTGAGCATCGAGATCATCATCATATCCCACATGAACTCAGGCTCCAGCGCATGGCCGTTGTGAGCGTTGCAGAGCGTCCATGTTTGCGGAATGTACTCCAGGTATTTGTCTGCGGTCATATTGTGGCGGGGGAAGATACGGTGACGCTGGGCTGCCAACCGAGGATACCACAATGCGGCTTCGTTCAGGGCGGATGTGAGCTGCCAATGGGGCTCGGCAGCCAGGAGGGGAAGACAGGAATAGAAGTTTCGGAACCGATAGAGGGTGGCTCTGGGTGCCTCCATCACCACCTCATATTCCTTGCTCAACACATCCGCGGTAAACGTTGGGGTCAGCAGGGCGGCAATACAAAACCCGCTGGAGAGCGAGGGGCAACTGTACAGGACTTTCTCAATCCAGATCGGTGGCCCCTGCCCCCACCGATCGAAGTTGGCTTCGAGAAATGCGCGTCCGTAGATGATGCTGGTGCGCAGTTGCTCTCCGATCACCCTTCCAACAGGGCTGGTGGAGGCGACGGCTAAGGTAAGGACGGCATATGCAGTTACCTCGATGGATCCGCTCCAGGAACCGTTCGCCGGGTCTTGATCCTGCAGTGTCCTCTGCAGTACATTGCTTAGGATGACAAGCGCTGTTTGCACGCAGTCAGCTGGCAAGGAAGAGAGTGGCCCCTGACCCCAAAGCTGGATGACCCGTGCCAGCACAGTGGCGAGGAGCATGCGGGGGTACATAGGGCTGATATTCTAATCGATGCAATTAACGGCGGATCAGGCGGACTTGCTGTCATGGACGGATCCGCACTTACCCATTTATCTTGCAAACGTCCTGCGTTGTGCTGTCGGTAGAGGAAGTGAAGTGTCAACTGGATCTCGTCGAGGTACTGACGGGGCTCCGCCGTATGGAGCAGGGCTACCAGCACGTTGCAGTTCGTACTGATGCTAGGGTCTCTTTCCTGAGGATATGTTCGGAAATGATCGCCGTTCCGGAACTGCGCGATCAACTGCTGGGGTTGGGCGGGATAGCCGACCAAGTTCAAGGTTAAGATGCTGCGCGCCGTATCATCCGCGTCGGCGATCAAGGTGGGAACTAGATGCTTCGCAGTTAGGACTATCGAGCCACATACGGGTCGTCAATTCTCACCCCATCCAAAAACCCCATTCTGATGCTCATAGACGTCCTTGAGATATTGAGCGATAATCTGCACACATTGTTGCCCCGTATCCCCAAGCATGACTTGGTACTGAAGAAGAGTAGAAGTCACCCAGACGACCTCAAAGATCGTCGTTGGAAAAGCGCTCGGCACGGCCCCTAACCCTTGACCTGTCCCATGTTCCACCGCGGCGCGCAGATAGGCCTCAGCAGCCTCGTCCCATTGGGAAGCGGCGATCAGATAGGCAGCGGTAGAAGAGGGCGAAGCCAGCATGCTACCAAAGTCCAAGCGATGCCGAACCTGGTCGAAGTCGATGATTCCGATGAAGGCTTCCAGGGAATGGGTCAGCGTGGTGGGTGTGTCGCCGTACAAGAACTCTGGGGAGAAACGAGCCAGCTTGGCCGCGCGCAGCTGATGCAACGCTTGTGCACCAGGAAAGTCTAGATTCACCCCTTCCTCTTGTAGCAGGCGCTGGTGTGTAGGGATCAGAAGCTCCAATCCTACGCGATCAGTGCCAGCAATGTCTACCAGTTGGAGTCTTGCGCGGAGAAAAGCGGTGGCCCGGGTGATCCGCTCGTCCAGATCGCGTACCTCGCTGTCGAGCACTTCGGCACCCGTTAGGGTCACTCGATGCCGGGTCAAGGAGAGCAGCGCAGCCATCGTGGAGAGAATGTGATCCACGTTAGAGTTCGAAGGCCCCGTCCACCCACCGTCGGACGACTGAGTGGCCAGAAGATAGGTGAACGACGATGGGAAGAGCCATTGGCAAGGGGAACTGTCTACCGGCTTGCGCACCATGGACACCCAGGCAGTATCGTATGTGGAGCATGAAATCGTACTCAATCCATTGGGGTGACTACAGCCATCGGCCAGCTTCTGCAACAGCTGGTCACAGCCCTCCTGAACTCGTTCACGGAAATCCATCCTCGGTTGGATACTACCCTCGAGGTGATCGTGCCTGCCCTGACTGCTCGGGGCTTTATACCTCGTTAGTCCAGAGTGACATTGATTGTTAGTACGGAAGCAAACACATTGCGAGCCGCTTGATTAGTATGGTAGTCGCCGGCAAATCAAGAGAGCCTCCAATACCTATTGCGACAATTGTCTACGATGGGGAGCTTAGCGACTATGGCCAAAACGGGTATACCGAGAGTTTGCGATCTAAACGCGGGAAATGATCGTCGGCCTCAGACACTATGAATGACATCGGCTAACAACGAGGTAGATTGGCCTGTTAGGTAGCGCCCACATATTGAGTACTTTCGAGTCTAGACCGGCCCAGAGTGCTTCCTACATACTTAGTGCTCACCTTCTGCGGGGGAAGCAAACACATAAAGCTCGCTCCACCCCGATCAAAGACACTCTCACGACTATTCCTTGCCCTGCAACTCTGCTCTCCATTTTTCTGGCCCCCAAGAACGCACGTCTTGATTATAAACAGGACCACAAATGACAGCCACCAAGCGCTTAATCCGCTTCGACACGTATGTGAAGCGGCATCCCTCACTGACCGTGGAGGAGTTTCACCAGTAAGTGAGACCCTTGCTCTAATCTCACAGGGGCTCTCAGAGTCAAGGACTGAGATTCTCCTGTCTATAGCACTTGGACCACTAGTCACGCCCAGTTGTTGAAGAACTGGCTGGCACGCCATGGGGTGTCTCGCTACACTCTGGTACGTTCAGTTCCTGCCTATGCCTATCTCTTCTTGAACCATTGTTTGCTAAAATATTTCCCCAATGCAGTTCCACACTCCACCTGACATGGCTAGAGAGTACCTCGGCCGGGACCACGCCAGGGGTGATCAGGTGATGGAGTCCTTTGATGGACATGCAGAGATCCTCTTGGAGGATTGGGCTATCCTGGACCGCCTACGCGCCGATCCGTATTATGGGGAGGTGGTGGAGCTGAGCGAGGTGAAATTGATCGACAAGGCCTCGGTCTTGAGGAGGGTGGGATATGAGGAGGTCTGTGTGTCGGAAGGCAAGGCCGTCGAATAAGATGATCTACGGAGCAAACAGAACACGCCGATCTCTAGGTTGGGGTCCATTTCCGTTCCAGAAAGGTTGTAATCAACCCCTATAATGACATTTAAATTCAGAGTCTACACTAGTACTGTAGCATTGAGGGACACTATTACTCTTGACAGGGTACCCCCTTGTGTTTCCCCTTTCGAGGGGTGTCTGTCCGCTCCCCATGCCGACAAACACACACACCTAATGAGTCAAGGAATGTAAGGTAAATGAGAGCATCCCTGCTAGGAAGCTAGACCACCTCCTCCGATCGCTTTGCCAGTTCGGTGATGGACTCCGTCGACGTGCCTTGGCAACGGGGGTACTGCGAGTTGCTCCTGCTGTTGTTGATCCCGGAGTCTTTCGAGTTATTAAGACTCCGGAAGAAGGTTGAGAGTTGATAGAAGCCGTCCAGTCGGACATGGCGAAAGAAGTACGGGATGGCGGGGAGACAGGAACAGATGGAGGCCAAAAGCGGCTCCATGGTGTTGAAGATGAGTGCCGGGGCGATGGCATCTACAGTAATGTGTTAGAGAAACCGTGTATCCGAGTGACGAAGAATTCAGGTGGTGGTTTAGGGTTGATGAACGTACACAAATCTGACTTGTGGTCGGTGCCGGGCGCACCTTGAATGTACGCAATCTTCAAGAGTGCCATCAAGGTGGCGCTATGTCAGAGTTTTAGATTGGGTCTCTCGAGAATGGCCAGAGAATCGGAGTTGGAATCAAAGCACTTACACAAATCCAATGAAGAAAGATATGCTCACGGCAAGTCGCTTGCGGGTGCCGAGATGAAGATTCCAGATCACCCGCTGCGGGAGGCAGAAGATCAGCACGTCATGGACGGCATTCAGGATACTGGCGGAGTATTGGAGTTGAAGGCTTGACCTGCAGGAGTTACTGAGATCCCACTGGCTGGAGAAGGGTCGACACTGGAAACTGTAGGCAAAGATCAAGGCGATGGCCCAGAGTATCATCCATCCGGTCAGTATATAGATACAGACGTGGAAGCCGCGGGGAGCCGTGGAGAAAATCCGGGCCAGGAGGGCCAGGATCGATAACTTGATAGTCGTGATGGAGATCGTGTATGAGTACAAGTTGACCACTTCCCACTGTATCCTTTGTTAGGCTAAACAAGTCACTCTGAGAATGTGTAGTGCGGGTGTTCGAAAACCCACCTTCATCTGCATCATGGACTCATGAGTGGTCAGGGTTATGCTATGCCGGCCGATGCCATTGGCAACCTCTAAGACGGGAATCAATTTGCGAATCAAATGTTTTGACAGACGGTCTACAAACCTCCCAGGGTGGCGCTCATAAAGGGTATCATGAATATGACGCCAGCTACAGATAGATAATCATCGAGACTCGGTCGTGTCCGCTGTAGTCGTCGTGCGGCCATACGCAGCCCCACCATGACGATCGCCATGATATAGAAGGTGATAACGACCCCGTAGCAAGCAGGCTGCCGGGTCTGGTTGATGTGAGCCTTTTCATAGGCGATCTCGCTGGGGGAAAGAGTGGACATGATTCTGGTATAACAAGTGAGAGGATGGATCTGGAGGCTGACAATCGTCCAGAAGAACGTGGACATGCGCTCACTCAAATAGCCATGTCCTCCAGGCTGTCAGCAGGCGTCAGGTTACTGACCTAAACCGAACTGATGAATGCAGTACAAGTTGGTCTACATATTGCTCATTGGGGGCGGGAGAACCCTAGTTGGGCCAGGGGTTGACGCAGTCTATTGGATCTATTTGCAACCACCCGCATGGTCCAAGCTATTCCAAGCAGTACAAAACCACCCTCCAACCATCTGAAGCTTGACATTTTGCTCCTGACACCTTCTGACTTCCATCAGACCTTGATTTCCGATCCTTCCATCAAATCCTTCTATCGAACCCTTGCTTCCTTCACGGATCCGACAGGATGGCTGACATCGACATGCCCAGTGGTGACTGTTCCCCTTCACTGGAGAAGGCTGCCCCTGGGGACAACGCTGTGGGGAGCAAAACGGGAATGTCTACTCCGCAATCGACCATCACGATTTTGGCCCTCCTTCTTGGAATGCTTCTGGTGAGAGCCCGTACTCTCCTTTGTTCTTATGGCATGAATGCGCCAACCTTGGACGAATACTGACTTCATGCCACCCAGACGGCCTTGGACCTGGTATGCGCATGCGATTTCCCCCTGGAATATCTGGCTAACACTGCGTTCGCGAAGACCATTATTTCCACCGCGGTTCCGCGAATTACGCATGATTTCCATAGTTTAAACGATGTGGGTTGGTATGGCTCCGCTTTCTTCCTGACCATGTGTGTCTTCCAAACGTTTTGGGGCAAGCTTTACCGATATTGCTCCATCAAGTACACCTTTGTCGCTGCAATCCTCAGCTTTGAGTTGGGAACCCTCGGGTGTGGTGCGTCTGTTCCCTTTCTGACCGCGTCTGGTGCTTGAAGAAAGAATTCTGATTGATGTCCAGCGGTGTCCACGAACAGTGCCGGGTTCATCGCCGGCAGGGCAGTCGCCGGGTTTGGTGGTGCAGGCGTGATATCGGGGACGTATATCATTCTCGCCCATGTTGTGCCACCTGAGAAAGTCCCTGTCTTCTACGGCTTGAATGGGATTATTTTCACCGTCGCGAGTGTTGCCGGTCCCTTGATCGGGGGGGCCTTCACTTCTAATGTGACTTGGCGATGGTGGTGAGTAATCGTTTCCCCAAAGCTCCTCGTCTTGGTTCGGTATTAACCTCGGAATACTCAATCTACATAGTTTTTACATCAATCTTCCGCTCGGAGGTGTGGCTCTTGCCGCGCTTCTGCTGGCGCTACACCTCCCTCGGAGCTCCCGATCGACTGCTACCCCAGTGCTAGAGATTATCTCCAAATTGGATCTCCCAGGCTGCATCGTCATCACTGGCGCCCTGGTCTGCTATCTTCTAGCACTCGAATTTGGCGGAATCACCAAGCCCTGGGGTTCTTCGCAGCCCATCGGCCTGCTGGTCGGATGGATCCTCTTGAGTCTACTTTTCGCCGTCGTCGAGTGGTTCCAGAAAGAAGAAGCGCTAGTGGCATCGCGATACCTACGCAATCATGGGGTTTTGATTTGCTGCGTCTTTGCCTTCTTGTAAGTGAGATGCCCCGGTCGCTGTGATAAACCAACTACTAACCCACCAGTCTGAACGCGGCCAACTACGTTCGCGTCTACTACCTCCCTCTCTACTTCCAAGCGATCAAGAATGCCTCACCAGCACGCAGCGGAATTCTACTGCTCGCATATATCGTTCCTATGTGTAGGCTTTCTCTTTCCCCCAACAGATGCCCTTTCAACCAAATTCCTGACCACCGTGGCTCGGCGTTTCGTATAGCTATTTTTACCATGCTGGCGGGTGGCCTGCTGAGTAAGGTTGGATACTATCAGCCTTTCCTCCTCGTCGGCGCAGCCATCGTCACCATTGGTTCCGGATTGATCTACACATGGGAGATCAACACGTCGTCCGCGAAGATCATCGGCTATCAAATTCTGGCAGGGATGGGCGACGGCATCTGCGTGCAAATCCCGGTGACTGTCGTCCAGATCTTTGTACACCAAAAGGATCTCGCCACCGTGACCGCGTTGGTGCTGTGTGAGTACCATGGCCACTCCTCCTTTTCTTGGTTTCTTTGTTTCTTTGCTTTTTTTTGTTTCCAACTTAGCATCCTTCATTTTCCCCTCTGTCTTGACCGGGCGGTTCTTTGCTAGTTTTCTGCTCCCTTTCCCAGCTCCCTACCTCTCACAGCCTGTTGTTATCCAGGAACCCTGGAAACTCACAGCTAACAATTCAAAACAAAAATAGTCTTCCAACTAGGCAGCGGCGTCATTGGCATTGCCGCCGGCCAAAGCATCTTCTCCAACCGGGTGATCCAGAGCCTGGCCCGGTACGCACCGGGAACCTCCCCGACGACGGTGCTGCAAGCGGGTGCCGCGGAGCTGCAGGCAGTGTTTGGAGAGGCAGAGGTGCAGGGGGTGCGTCGGGCGTACTTGGTTGGGATCCATGGGGCGTGGATCCTGAACCTGGCGCTCTGTGGGGCGGCGGTGGTGGTTGGCCTATTGGCGCCGCGGATCTCGATCGTTGGGAAGACCGGTGTCCAGTCTGCTCCCGATACTGACAGTGAAACTAATCCTAGACCCGCTAGCGAGATGGATGAGAAAGAGGGAGAGGAGGGAGGAAGTGGTGGTGGCGCCAGGTGACAAGGCTCCTGTGGAGGTTGAGATCGTCGCCCGGGCCAGGGGTTCTCGACTGAAATAGGAAGTGCCGAGTGAGATAAGAGTGGAGAGGAGTGGCGTGCGTGATGCAGTATGGTATGTACGTGTGTTTGTCCGAAGTGCGATAGGGGTATAATAGGTACTGGGGATAGATGATGGCGTGTCTGATTCTGTTTGCTTGGGGGTGACGGTTATTGGTTAGATGAATTCCGTTGTACCGCAATAGGTTATCACAGGGGTCAGGTTCCAGATTGCCTTGGTTTGGTCTGTGATCCACTGAGCTTACTGTACTGGCTACGTCTCTCAATCTCCGAGTCAGACCGTGTACTTACACGAGTCGAATGCAAACCCTAATTGGACGCCACATCGCCGGCCTAACGGTCCCGGGAACGATCTACTCTAGCTTGGCTACTGCTTAGAAGGGCGGGGAGGCAGTCCCAGCTTCTGGCCCACTTGATTTACGTACCCGGCGCAAGGACCCGTACTGGACGAACCCTGCATGGTAACCGTTCATCCGCGCGTGCCGCCGCTGCACCTGACTAGAAGAGGGAGATGACAAGCTCCTTCCTCTGCATCTGTATATGTCTGGTATACGGTAATAATTCTTGAAAAAAAAAATCATTCATTGCTGGGTTCAAAACTAGACAAGGATTGGAAATGCCCTAACTGCAGCACGGCATGGAAGTACTGTACTCTGTGTCCTCCCCGTCGCCCCCAACGGTTACACCTCTCCTGTCTGACGCCGCCGGCGCAGCATCAGTCGCGCAGTATGACTGGGGAAGTTGAATTCGAACGGGTTCAACCCTTTGGGACGTCCCGGCTCCTGCAGTTTGAACTCGAATTCGGTCAGCAGCGTGCCGAGGACCATCTTGATGACGTTCGAGGCCATGAACCGCCCCGGGCAGGAGTTCTGTCCGTGCCCGAAATGTAGGCTTGTGGGACTGGTTGTGGCGAACTGGTGGCGGTAGGTCTCGCCGGGGTTCTGGCGCAGCCGGTAGTAGCGCAGCCCGTCAAACCGCGTCGGGTTCTCCACGCTGTCCTGCTGGATCGGGACGATCGGGAATTCGATATGCGTGCCAGCTGGGAGGTGTAGGCCATCGCTGAGGTCGATTGAGTCGGTGAATTGACGTTTATAGCCCACTGTGATTGGAGAGTTGCAGCGGTTAGCTCCTAATAGAATGTGTCTGGGGGAAGAGAACGGCGTAAGAAACTCGTACTGAGGCTCGGGGGGTTCATTCGTTGGGATTCCTTCATGAAACTATCGAGTTTGCGCATACGGAGGAGGGTGGTCTTCTTCCATCCACCATCGCTGTCCAGGGCTTCCAGGACCTCCTGGCGCAGCTCATCCTGGTACTCTGGGTAGGCGCACAGGTCGTACAGGGTTTCCGTCAGGGCCATGGCAGTGGTATGATTGGAGGCGAGGGAGAGGGCGAGCACCATGGAGGCCAGCCGCAGGGGCTCGGCATCTTTCCCCTCGGCAGCCTCGATAAGATACTGGAGCACGTCCGGGAACTCGGATTTGCCCTTGCGCTCGATCTCATCGCGGCGCTCAGCGTAGATCTGCTTCCGGTAGCGGATATAGGGCAGTAGGATACGCTTAGCTCGCCAGAACCTCCACGAGATCTCCCACGAGCACGGGAGAAGCCAGGAGGCAATTGTCTTGAGCCCGGAGGGTACGAGGCGAATGGATATGGCCGTAATGAAGATGTTGTTGAGGTAGCCCTCGGCCGAGGCAACCCAGCGGTTGTCGTCGCGCAGCTCGCGCCCACCGAAGATGCGCGCCGAGATGCGGCCGACAATGCGGTGGAGCGTGTGAAAGGCTGGCACGCTCGTCCATTCTTCCTCGTTAATCGTTGGGGGCAGCTCGTGCGCAAAGGCCGCGTCCAGCTCCTTCCGCACCGTTGGCACCAGGATCGCCAGCTGTGGGTTCACCTTCCACTTCAGCACGTTGACAAAGAGCCGCGTGGAGTTTAGCACCTCGAGGTGGGTATATTTGCCCTGCATGTTATCTAGATTGGCTTTCATTGCGTTTGCCCGGTTCGGGGGCAGCTTCCGGATCTCCTCCAGGTACTTCTGTGGTAGCACGAGGACATCATTCCCCGTGAGCTTCCACGGTCGGTCCTTGTACTTTGTGTATCCCTGCTCTAGGATTGACTGCGCGGAGAGGAAGAACTGGAATCGAGCCAGCCAGGCGTATCGGATTCCGACGAACGGGGCCTTGAAGGCGGCGTTGCCGACCTTAGTACGCAGCCAGGGCTGGGTGATGAAGTACACAAGCGCGATACTCGCAACGGCAACAAGGTACCGGTACCATGGGTCGCTGGCTGATGGCAAGTAGAGTTCAATCATCTTAGTCTGTAAAGAGTTAGGCAGAACACGAAACGAAGGAGTATGATGATGGGAAGGATCGAGAGAGTCGAGGCACTGACCAACCTAGGGCAACCCGCAACTCTTATCACTCTCCGATTCATAGTACCCCAAAGCAGCCAGCCCCAGTCGCAACGTAGAACTTAATGGGACAATTTCTTGGATATAACTATCTTGCGCTAAGCAAACGCTCACACTAAATTCCTACCTGCACGAGACCGCTAGCCAAACATTTGCAAATTGGCTGGAGGGTATTTGCAATGCATCCCAGAGGACACGGGAGTCCCAAGGGAGTTAGGATCAGGCCCGGGATCTGCTTTGTTGTAGCAAACCAAACAACAAAATCTCGTGAGTCTTTTTTTTTTTTTTTTTTTTTTTTTTTTTTTTTTTTTTTTTTCTTCCTCGAGTTCCCTTCTTCCCCTTTCAATCACACTATCCCGCCACTATCTCAGATCGCTTCTCGTGGCTGAGTGAATGGTGCAATCATGGCACTCCCGTGGTCCTTCACTGCCGCCCTCATTACCGTCTTGTAAGATTAGCCGCCCGCACATGGGCCATGGAGCCCCAAGTTCCCCCCGTTGTCTGACCCGCATTTTCTAGTTTCCCGCCCTTTTTGCCGTCAAACGGCTGTACTTCCACCCTCTCTCTCGGTACAATGGACCTCTTCTCTGGGCTGTTACCCGCGTGCCGTACATGCTGGCCTTCCGAAATGGCCAGCTGGCGCATAAAATCAAGCACTTTCACGAAGTTTACGGCGAGACAGTCCGCGTGGCTCCAAACGAGGTTTCCTTCATCAACCCCGACACCGTGAAAGATATCTACCAGCGTCGACCCAGGGGTGGGGGCTTCAAGTCACTCCCCAAAGATCCCATCCGTCAAGCACCTCCACGGCCGGGGCAACCCATGAGCATCCTTGACGCGGGAGATGCGGACCATACGCGACTCCGCAAGGCCTATGCTGACGCCTTCAGCAGCCAGGCCCTGACCGTGCAAGAGCCGCTCGTGACCTCCTACGTCGACAAGATGATCACCCAACTCCGAGCCCAAACCCAAGACGCTACTCAAAGTATTGATATCCAAGAATGGGTCAGCTTCTGTACCTTTGACATCGTCTGCAAGCTGAGCTTCGGTGAAGATTTCGGCTGTCTGGACAATCAGCGCTACCATGAATGGGTTGGTCAGCTCGTCTACTCCCTGAAGGCTAAGGTCCAGCTAGCCTCCTGTCGCTTCTACCCCTGGCTGTTCAACTACCTCGTCAAGCGCCTCCCCAAGTCCGCGGGGATCCTTATGGCCCAGCACCAAGCCACGACCCAGGAGAAAGTGAAACGCCGGTTACAGCAACTGTACAGCGGCGGTAGCAGTAACACAGCAGGTAGAGATGTTGCAGGGGTCAATCAGCCGGACTTCTTAGCGCGCCTCGTGCAACCGCAATCCCGGCAGGAGATCTCCGAAGCCGAGATGGTCGTCAACGCCGCTACCCTCATTGTCGCGGGAAGCCACACCCTGCAGACCGCCATTACTGGCATCCTTTTCCACCTCCTCCAGCATCCAACTGTGCTAGACCGCGTGACAAGCGAGGTGCGGGGCGCATTTCCCGCGGCCAACCAAATGAGCGTCCAAGCACTGCTCAGACTGGCTCTCCTAGAGGCTGCGATCAAGGAAGGCATTCGTCTCACCTCGCCCGTCCCCCTGGGGTTGACACGGCTCGTCCCCATCGGGGACCATACAATTAATGGCGAATTCTTCGCGGAGGGGGTAGGTTCAGCCTAATCCCAGTCTTCCCCTTTTATCTATGTCCCCTCCAACCTGGACAAGGGGCGATATCTCCTTTGAAAATCTAAAGGTAGTAAGGCACAAGACAGCTAACCACGACTGTCAGACCATCGTCTCCTACATGCAATGGGCTGCCAATGTTTCCCCGCAAAACTACACCGACCCCATGGGCTTCCACCTCGAGCGCTGGCTCAAATCACCCTCGTCCCCATCCCAGTCATCGCCTTCTTCGATAGACGATCCGTTCGGGAAGGACCACAAACACGCCACGCAGCCATTTCTGCAGGGTCCACGCGACTGCATCGGTCAGAATCTCGCCCGCATGGAGATCGTCCTCATCCTAGGTAAACTGCTGTACCACTTCGATCTGCAGGCCGAGGGGAAGCTGGGGCGGTGGGAGGATCAGGAGACGTATGCGGTCTGGGTGAAGGCGCCGCTACCCGTGAGGTTGCGGGTGAGGGGGTGATTTGAATTTGTTGGATGGATGCTTTCGAGTTACTGGGGCCTGGGGAGATTAGAATGATTTGTTACAAGTGGCAACTAGCTACAAGACAAGTTACCCAGATGGTAGGTTCTATATTCCTGTCTTATCTCACTCGGTTTCAATAGAGAAGGAATTTTATGGGTGTTACGAGACTTGAGAAGATGTGGATAGAGGGATTAGTTTGTCTCAACTGATTACTAGGATTATCCAGATTAAAGGCGCAATTGTCTTTCTTGATGATCGTATGCGCTGGACGGTTGGATCATAGGCAGAAGAGTATATAAGAAAAACACGACTTCAACACGGAATAAACCGTTGAAACTCGTCCATCATAACAATCTGGAGTCTCCTAGAGTCTTGTTTAAGTCTTTCATAAGAATAAGCGCTTTGCTCTATACTAGATCGGTCAAGCATCAACCGACCTAGCCCTCACTCTACTCTGAAGGCGTCAAGGATTGTAGAGACTACATATCTCCGCTGATTGACATTGCTCAACTCAGAGATATATTTTACCCACGCCCTTTATTCTGCAAGCCCAAAATGATATTGAATAACATACTCGTTGGGTGGTGTAAGTATTCCAATGCCGTCCGACCACCTGGGACAGGGGAATTTCTCCTTAGCAGATCGACCGAAGCAGAACAACAGTTGGAGACCGTAGTCCGGGAGTGAATACTCTAGACCAGTCTAGTCTCCAGATTTTAGAGGGCTGCACACTTAGGACTGTATGAGGGCAAGTTATATATGCTACAATGATGCTCATTGCCCGACTGGCTTATGCATTCAACGAACTGTAATCCGAAACATCTTCCTCGATATATCTCTACAGGGTCCATAGTATATCCAAATCCAGCACGATCCACTCCAAGCCCCACCAGCGGAGCAACCAAACCCATCACTCCAGTAAACGTATCCACGGTTAAATACCAAGTCGGTTAAATATCACCATAAACCATCGGCCCACAGCGCCCCGGCCTTCAGGTCCCCAAAGGCGGGGGTGCCAGTCCAAGCTTCAGCCCCTCCCGACAGAAAAGCATAAATATCTATAAACTACCCCAGGTAACCACGCCGACACCCAGCCAATACATACACTGACCAAGATGTCTATGACCGTATCTGACTGCACGCAAATCCGGGATGGCTTTCCGCGGCCGTTCCCGGATACCCCTGCCAACGTCCTGCAGCAGTTCAAGTTGAACGGCAAGGTGGTGGTTGTGACGGGTGCGGCGGATGGTATTGGGCTTGCTGTTGCTGAGGCCATGGCTGAGGCGGGGGCTGCGGTTGCTTTGTGGTATAATTCGTGAGTTTTTCACTTGTATTCTGAGGTTCTGGATATGTTGTGATCAATTGCTGATGGGGTAGAAACGATGCTGCTGTTACGAGGGCCGAGGAGTTAGCGAGGGATCATGGGATTAGAACTGTGGCTTATAAGGTCGATAGTAAGTTGCTTGTCTGTTTTGATCTACGCTTTGTTGCTAATGGTGGTCAGTATCTAATCCCGAGGAGGTGCAGAAGGCTGTAGCAGATGTCGTGAGGGATTTCGAGAGGATTGATGTTTTTGTTGCTAATGCCGGTGAGTTCAGTTGGTAGAGGCTGTCTTGAGAATAAAGGACACTGATGACAAGCAGGAATGGCCATCTCCAAACCGATCCTGGAACAGACACTGGACGAATACAGGAAGCAAATGTCTGTCAATGGTATTTATTCCTTATTTCCCCCGATCCCCACCAACTATATACTAAGTATCTATTCTAGTGGACGGAGTAGTCTCCTGCGCAAAGTACGCAGGCGAGGTATTCCAGCGTCAAGGCTCCGGGAACCTGATCATCACGTCCAGTATGAGCGCACATATTGTAAACGTGCCAACGGATCAACCCGTCTACAATGGATCCAAGGCTTTCGTAACGCAATTTGGTAAATCGCTTGCCCGTGAATGGCGCGACTTTGCGCGGGTGAACATTGTCTCGCCAGGCTTCTTCGATACCAAAATGGGTGCCAGCCCGCTGGCTGTTAACGAGGCATACCGGATGGCGGTGCTTGGAAGACAGGGTCATGTGAAGGAGATCAAGGGCCTGTATCTGTATCTGGCGAGTGATGCGTCGACGTATATGACTGGTAGTGATGTACTCATTGATGGTGGTTATGTACTTCCTTAACTGACCCTGTGTTATATCTGTTCAGTAGCTTCTTTTCATTAACTATTTTGATTTTATTCGATGAACACGAAGCTAAATGTATAGAAATGGACCATCCCCACTCCATCTCCCTTCTCTGTCGAGTTTATATCAAGATGCTATCACCCCAACCGTTCAGCAGATCGCATGGCAGCCAGTTTAGCTAAGACAGGTAAAGGGCCAAAGAGTGGGAGAAAAGAGGCCATCAGTTGTTCCTCCATGTTCAAACCTTGGAGGCTAGCCACAATATCTGAGTCGCTTGAATCAATTCTGGCATTTTCTGGGGCAAACCGAAAAATCCCTTTGGGATCCCACTTGCTTTTAACTTCCCTAATCTTCCCACTGTTGGCACCATAATATGCCTCATGACGATCCTGTTCTATTTCACAGAGCTCCCGGTCCGGGAAGTTCAAGAAGCCGGCTTTTTGGTCGATCGAATATTGTTTCAGGTCCGCTTTGAACCGTTTACAGAACGCCTTCATCTGGTCACCGAGCCATTTTTCATCCCATTGCAGCATGATGTATGCAATGTGAGATGCCTCGCGCCAAGGGAAAGCTGTTTCATCGGTCCCTTTCTCGCTAGCTTTCTTTCCGGTGTGGATAAAGGTCACCTGCAGGAACGCTGATTCTCCAGTGAACTCTATCTTAAATTCGTCCATGCGTTTGGTGATGGACTCGATGATGCCAACATAGTTACTTCCTCTCCCGAAAACGAACGATGAGTAAATGGCATGCACCTTATTAGCGGGAAGCGCCTTCATCGTCTCCTCGGACCACTGGGCTACCAGCGTCTCATGCAGAACCCGCGACGACTTTTCAGCAACTGACCGACGTTCGAGATTTGTTCTCAAGAGGTTCTTCATCTCTTGGAGTTGTGCCTGATCCTCCGTCACCCCAAGACGTTCATAAGTTTCGGCTTTGAATCCCGTCTTATCCCCGTCGTAATACGAAAGAAACCGAACAGCAAGATCTCCATTCTTTTCCTTCGGATTACAGAACCAGCTGGTGTCGATTGTCATCGTATCACTCCAGTCGGCAGCATAAAAGTCGTTCATTGCACTTATGAACTCCTCTCTTCTGTCTGCTGGAGGGTAGCAAGTGTATCTCCCGGTCACGACGTCCGTCCCTCGCAATCTGCCGAGAGACATCTTCATCGTCAGCACCGCACCAAAGTTATTGGCGCCAGCTCCGCGGAGAGCCCAGAACAGCTTTCCCTCATCCGTATCTTGATCATGGTCCTTGGTCACCGTTAACAACTCCCCTTTTCCCGTGACAAGTGTCGCCTCCAGTAGGCTATCACACCCCATTCCAAGCTTCCGAGTGAATGGACCCAACCCGCCCCCCAGGACAAAGCCGCTGACCCCTACTGTCGGACATCGTCCGCCGTTGACCACCAGCCCATTGACCTCCTCAATGACCAACTGCCGATACGCGTGTGCCCACAGCGCCCCACCCTGCATGGTGATCGTCGGAGGGTCGGAGGTATGTTGGAGATGTACATCGTTCATCCGCGAGAGATCCAACAGAATGCCCTCGTTGGTGGTGCAGAGGCCAGCATACGAGTGCCCGCCATTCTTGACCGTAATAGGTATGTTGTGCTCGGCAGCATGTTTGACCACCTCCACTACGTGCAGCGACTGCTCGGGCTTCACAACGCACTTGGGGCGGCTGAACCGGTATAGGAGGTTGGCCACATCGACGGAGACTTCGTATTCCACGTCGCCGGGCTTGTAGACAGGAATTTGCGTCCCAAGGACCTTCTTCTCTTTCAGGGCTTTGTAGACGTCCGTGGTTGCCATTGCGTACTCTTGTAGTAAAATGGGGCAGAAGTGCAATGGTACGTGATGTAAGATCCTCTTTCCCTAAAAGGCTTATTCAGATTGACGATACGGAGAGAAACGTCAAGGCAGAGTATGATGTGCTTTTTATATCCTTTTGAGGACCTATGGGAAGAGACCTATTTTCCTAAAAGAGGGCTCTTTGGCACTGGTTGGAAGCAAGGATTTTCGCATGATCGGCATGAGTAGACCTAGTTGGTGAGATTGAGTGCAGTCAAGACACACCATACTGCTCGTAGTTGCCCCATACGTCTTTACGAGCGGCGTTGGATGTTCTGCAGAAGCCAGGTGTTCTGCATGAAAGGACCAATGGCGAGTTTGCCTTCGCTCTCCCCGATGCCTCTCCCCGCAGTGACAGGCATTGTCTCCTTGCGACTGGACATTGCCAATATGCTACAGAGTAGCATGAGGAGGGTGCCCGCTGCGAACCATCTCCGCTTCGGCATCTCCTATGGGCGCCTTGTCCAGGATAGTTATATGTGGTCATATTTCATTGGCCTGTCCCATAGAGACGAGATGGAAACACGCCAGGAAGAGGGATTCCTAACCAGGTATGCTCATCGCCAGTGATGAATGCATCCAATGATGAGGGCATGAGTAGCTCACTCAGCTAGCCACAGCGTACTACTCCACCCGGCTTAGGCGGATCTGCATTCCCAATATGGTAGACCTTGAAAGTACTAAAATTGAGCACTGCAGCGTGTCGCATATCATATGCATTGTGATTCCCCCCTGGCCCACATTTTGAGCCGGAAAGGATTTCCCAGATCCTTGATACGACAAGTCACCATGAGATATATGAAACATAGCCGCGGGGTTGCATGCATCGCACTGTGTACATCCGTCCTTGCCGCCAAGTAGAGGACACCACGTCGACTTCCAGCAGCCCCGCAGCCGGCGATCAAGGCTAACTAGTCCGGTGGTAGAAGATAGTACAGGAACTATAGTTGTATTAAAGCCTTATTTAGCTCTTTGCATGGTTGGGCAAACTTTCCTCAAGAGCGTCCCTTTGCCCAGTTCCATATTATCCAACCACAGTTCTTCCCGCATAGTCCGAGGCTGAATGCAGATCAACACTATTCCCCGCTGCCAGTATTGAACCTTCCTTAGGATAAGGGATTTCTCTGTTGCTACGGTCATTGTATGTGGGGCTTTTCTATAGCATTCAGAGCGTGATAACGAAGTACCAGGTCCCCGTAAATCAAAACTCTTATACTGTTACATGGTGTCGAATGGTCCCAGATATCACGAACCAGTTTCATCAATCCCAATCACGCCCAGATGCAGAGATTAAGAACGTCTAAGTCCTTCTTAACTCAAATCTAGATATGCCGATACAAGGGATACCTAGGTATAATGCATAAATCAAAGCTCAAATACAGGTTGCTGGGGTGTTGGGCAACAGCGTTTTCTCTCCGTGGTAGCATCAGAAATGGCTGGATAGAACAGGCAAGTATAGAAGCTAGTCAATACAAGAGACACACAGCGTGCCGTCGCCTCATTATCTCTGTGTCGACAGTTTTGTGCTCTTTGTGCAGTGTATTAAGATACTTGTCTCGAAAAGTATATATGTAGATTTTTTATAAGTAATTCACAAATTATATCGCTTAGTATATGTGATTTAATTCATGTTTATTGGATATTCTTCAGTATCGAGAGAATGTTGAGTACAATACTCCGTTTGCAAGATTGAGAATTGAAAATCGTAGTTGATATCCGGTATGCGCAATTTGTGGAGAGGATACGCGGATATCCATCCATCTTCGGGATGTGTGGATGATGGTGTATCTATTGTTGACGGCAGTGTATAGAGCTTCGGGTGGCTGTCTGCCGACGACGACCGATGTAGCCGGAGGAGAATGGTCCGCATAGACTGCGCCGATGTAGAATGGCGGGGCAAAGGCATGGATCCACATACCGGCATAGTTCCGACCGAAGTTGATCTATAATAAAGACATACAAGTACATCCCGCACTATACATACATATCTGTATCTACTCCTCTTGTTGCGATTCAGACCTGCACATCCGCATCCACCTACTCGCGCAAATGACTGCCCCCAAGGATATCTCGAGCCGCGATGAGCTCACTAAACGCGCTGTTCCCAGTATGGTATTGAGCGACGGCAGCCCATCCTCCATGACCCCACCACCGACATCAACTATTGACAGCGACCCCACGACAGCGGCGCAGAAGCGGTTCACGGTGCAAGGCAATGCCGTTGTAACCGGTGGTGCCGGTACTCTAGGGCTGCAGTCGTGTAATGCGCTTCTGGAACACGGCCTAAGTGGCCTGATGATTATGGACATGGATCCAACGATTTCACAGAAGGAGATTGAAGAATTGCGGCTGAAGTTCCCCAAAGCCAAGATCGCCACATTGAAAGTCGACGTCACCGACGAGGTCGCCGTAGACTCGGCGTTCGAGGAGACCACCAAAGTGCTGGGGTCCGTGGATGCCTTGCTCTGCTTCGTTGGCGTGGTCGGATGCGTCGACTCATTGGAGATGCCCATCCCACAGTGGCGCAAGATCATGGACATCAATACTACGGGCTCGTTCATCTGCGCACAGGCTGCTGCCAAGCGCATGGTCGCTCAAGGAACGGGAGGCTCGATTACCTTCGTGGCATCCATCTCCGGGCATCGGGTGAACTTCCCGCAGCCCCAAGCAGCATACAATGTTAGCAAAGCGGCCATTCTCATGCTGAAAAGCTGTCTGGCGGCGGAGTGGGCGCGATATGGCATCCGGACAAACAGCGTCAGTCCGGGGTACATGGATACGATTCTCAACGCTGGCGACGGCATTGCCGAACACCGCCGGATTTGGGCCGAACGCAACCCCAGTGGAAGAATGGGCAGTCCATCCGAGTTGACTGGCGCCATAGTGTTATTGGCGAGCAGCGCCGGTACGTATATGAATGGTGCTGATATCGTTGTCGACGGGGGGCAGATTGTATTCTGATGGTAATCGCAATACCAAGACTTTTCAAGAACATGTTAGGATCGGTATTTCTTTCAAAGACACATTTCAGCCATAATGAGATACTTCTCTTGAAGCTTTATGATCTCCATTACCTTTAGATTACATGAGTTGGGGACAAGCCAAATGTTCTTTACTCCACACTGCCCTATTGAATGTCCTGTATGTAATAATGTTTTTATGGTTCCGAAGCGGGAATATTACAATACTAGTCCCATTCAACGTCCTTCAGTCTCGGCATTCCGGAACCTCGAAGTTTTACCCTCAAGCCGCTGTCCATTTAGCAACCCAGCATGCCAAAACATTTGAGACAGAGCAAGTCAGGGGCGGTATGTAGTAGCTACTTCTGTCACTCTGGAGCTTCACTGACGATGTATAGTGTACCGAATGCCAGGTATGCCGCCCGTAAGCATGGCCCAGGAGGGGCAAAACCAGTGCTCTAGGGTTATTCCACAGACTGATCATTTATGAGCTGCGACTATTTACAGAAGCGGAAAAGCAGGGTTGGCTCTCTTCATCTATTATCCAGATGCCATGCTGACTACGACTCAGTGTTCTGGATCTGCGCCGTGCGCGTACTGCGCTCGGAGTAATAAGCAATGTATCTTTAGTGGGCCGCCTCAACGCACGCCGTTAACTCGACAGTGAGTCTCTGGCTTTATGTTTTGTGTGGTAGTTGACCGTGGCAGAAACCTCGATGAACTGGAACACCGATGTCGCGCGTTGAGGAGGCTGCTCCAGAAACTGAATCCTGACTTGGATGTTGAGCGTGCTTTGAAACAGATGAACCGAGATGAGCCACTAGCATACGTCAGCAATAGAGGCAATAGCAGTATAACTGAAGACAACCCCGCCACACCAGATAGATTTGACTGGTCCGAAGCCTCCCTGGTCTCGCCGGCAGCAGAGACGTACCAGTCCCCAGAAGAGGGTCCAGACGGAATGGCCTCGCTGCCGAGCAGCAAATGCGATACGGGATACCTTGGTAAGATTTATGCCAACCCACTGCTATGTGCAATGTCTAAGTCAATTCAGGAACTGGCTCGGGATCTAGTCTAATGGAAACCATCTCCCATTTGCTTCCCGCACAACCGACATTGGCTACTGAGGGGGAACGCAGTACTTATAGGAAGTCTGTTGGACCTACAAATAAGGGCCGACCTGATAGTCTGGCCTTGGCAAGGTCGCTGTCTGACACCGCTACCACAGCTCGTCTCATTGATGCTTACTTTCTATCGTATAATCGCGCCTATCCCATCTTACACGAGCCAACATTCCGCGAAAGGTACCACCATAGACACCAGATCCATGAGGCCTCCAGCTGGCATCCGATCTTCTATACGGTATTAGCAATTGGGAGTTGGATAACAGGGGCCGACATGGAGCCGGACGCTTACGACTTCTACGCTGCGGCTCGATCGCGTATGTCATTAAGAATGCTAGAGGTTGGAAACATCCTCACAGTCCAGGCATTCCTGTTAATGGTGAGAAGTCCTTATTGCAATATAAGGCTATGCAACCGAAGCTACTAAACCTTATCTACTTGCAGGGTAACTACTTGCAGAAGCGTGACCGTCCTAACACCGGCTACAACTTCATTGGCATAGCATACCGTATGGCATTGGGACTCGGCCTGCATCGCGAGCCCCAGTCGGGAACGAAGCATGACACACTCCTCCACGAACGGAGACGAGTCTTGTGGTGGATTGTATATAGCTTCGATAGCGGATTCAGTCTGACCACTGGCCGTCCCGTCATGGCCTCCGATTCATTCATCGAGACTCGCCTGCCACGGAACATAGATGACTCGGTAAGCCTGACTGGAGTTCTTGGTACCCACCTGCGTATTGACTTAGTAGAAATACTCTATGGACTCAACCGTACCCGCACCAGTTGACCATCCTACGCACTACTCTGCTGTCATCACCCAGTCCCAGCTTGCGTCCATTAGCAATCAAGTCTTTCACGAGCTATTCTCGGCTACTGGTCACCACCCGTTTGACATGAAGCTTCCACGGGGCATAGAGCATCGCCTAAAAGTGTGGAGGCTATCCCTCCCCGCCTACTTCTCTACGCATAACATACCAGACTGGTTCCGCGGTCCGAGAGCGGTCGTTCTGTGGAAAGAGCAGAATGTCCGCATGCTGCTCTGGTGGGGAAGTCACCGAGTATGCAATTCCACGGCGGACCGGAATGAAGCTCTAAATGCCTGCGAGTACACCGCGATGGAGACAATCCAGAGCATCAGTGCCTTTTGCAACGAGAGCCCTGACGCTTTACATCCTGGCTTGACTTGGTACGCGACGTACTTTCTATTCCAAGCAGCGCTTGTCCTGAACATCTTCCGTCTCCAAGAACCTTCAGTTCAAGCACCGCACATAGGGAGAACCACTGAAGAGTTATGGCTACTGTCGGTTACGCGCGCGCATGATTGCCTTGGCTCACTGAGTCAATCGAGTAAACCCGCATCTCGATGCCTTGAAGTGTTAGAGAGGATCAAACATTATTGCCAGTCACGACAACCCTCTTCACTGCCAGTGACAACATCAGCGACAGGAGCTCTTCCGAACATTACTTCCATCACCGGAAACACTCTTCCTGACCTCCAACCAGCAACCTTTGCGGCAGATCCCGCATTGCAGATATTTCTGGAAAACACCTCCCTCGAGACGGATCCGTTCGAGGGAATCGAGGGGTTTCCGGGTACACAGGAGCTGGAGCTGTTTGATTATTTGCCACTAAGCGGCTATGAACTGGGTGAGGGCGAGGGATCAATGCTTTTCACTTCTGGGACACATCCGCCGTAATGTTCAGGTTGGGCAGGGCTCGATGTTATCGCCGTCTATGCACTCGCGCAGATATAATTAGATGATCAGTATATGACAATAAAACCTATCCATGAGTAGTCGCCCGCCAGCGTTACCATGGCTACTTCTTTGGCGTAAAAGGATTGTTTACTTTCCCTAGCAAGGTCACTGTACCTTTTGTGCATTCGCAATTGCTTTTAGTCTTTTTATTATTTTATCATCCCGGTATTGTTTCATATATTGGTTCAAATGCTCCGATATCCCAAGTACTTACAATAAATCCACTTTCTGGGTTCAATTGAGCACAGACTCGACCCCTCATTCAAATACGAGAGAGAAATTCCGACGGCCCAGGAAAAGGCCGGACCATCATCGGGCGACAGTCAACCGACGACAACCAAGGATCCAGATAGCTTTCCCGGTGTCCATGTGGGGTTGTGGAGATCGCTCTATAAACTGTTGGACGGCCATGGACAAATGCATGAGAAAAGGTATTCTATGGTCAATACTATAGACGAACGAAAATGAACCCAGACACCAGAAACCCATCATGTCTTCTGTACGGAGCGTTAGACGCGCGATTCGAAGACCGCCCGATGCCCGTCCTTGACAACCCGCACGATGTTATTGTTCAGATTGCATATACGGGTGTTTGTGGGAGTGATGTGAGTATTTCCCGCTTCCAGTTCCATGGTCCCCTTTACTATAGGACACCGAGCTCAGTATAACCATCCATACTAGTTAAAGGACAATTTACTAACCAAGACATAAAGGTCCACTTCTGGCTCCACGGCGGAATCCGCACCTACGTCTCCGAAACCCAGCCCCTAACCATGGGCCACGAAGCGTCGGGTACAATCCACGCAGTAGGCTCAGGCGTGACCACTCTCGCCCCGGGAGACAGAGTCGCCATCGAACCAGGCTACCCGTGTCGACGTTGTCCGCGCTGCAAATCTGGTCGCTACAACCTCTGTCCCGAGATGAAATTTGCGGCCGATCCGCCATTCACCCATGGTACTCTTACGCGGTATTTCAAGCTCCCTGCGGACTTCTGCTACAAGATCCCCGATCATATCAGTCTGGCTGATGCCGTGCTCATGGAGCCGTTGGCGGTGGCTATCCATGCGGTGAGGCTGGCGGATGTGAAGCTGGGGAATAAGGTGGTTGTTTTCGGGGCGGGCACGGTGGGACTGTTCTGTGCGGCTGTGGCGAGGGAATTTGGGGCTGCAGTGGTGGTTTCGGTGGATGTGTTGGAGAAGAGACTGTGTTTTGCGAAGGAGTTTATTGGGACTGTGGGACGGAGTGCTATGCCGGATTTGTCGATTACTCCGGAGGAGAATGCCCAGCGCTTGATACGCAGTCAGGGCCTGGGTGAGGGCGCGGATGTTGTTATCGATGCATCTGGGGCTGAGGCTTCTGTGCAGACGGGTGTGTTTTCCTTGCGCATGGGGGGGACATATGTGCAGGCTGGGATGGGGAAGCGTAAGATTGAGTTCCCCATATCGGAGATGTGTGAGAGGGAGATTGTAGCCAAGGGTTGCTTTCGATATGGCGCGGGGGACTTTGATCTGGGGATTCATATGGTCAGTTCGGGGAGGCTACAGCTGGCGGGATTGGTAACTAGGATCTTCCCGTTTGAGGCTGCTCCGGAGGCTTGGGAAACGGCGAAGCGTGGTGAGGGGACTAAGACGTTGATTGAAGGGCCTAAATTTTAGGATGTGTGTTGTAGGTCTCTCGAGATAGATGGTAGGGTTTGAGGTCGGGGTTAGAACAACATAGGAGACATCACTTTCACTCCGAGGACCTTGCTATAGAGCAACTACGACAGAGTACCTGAATACATCTGTTGCAGACAAAGCCCTAAGCCAACATATAGAGCCAGAATCACAGAGTTTAGGGGAAAGTCACATTTCCCTGTTTCAATCCCAGTGTGAATTCGACGGCAGACTCGAAACATCTGACACCTTTGTATGGTTATTTTCTAACTTTGTGCATCATCATCAGACCTGATAACCTGTGTATATGCACATGTACTACAAACACGTAGACTGTGTCACATAAGAGTACAAGCATATACTTTTTGGACTTGATATGGTAAGAATATGCATCGTGGCCATCAAATACTCACGTGTCGCTACGTCATCGCCCACACCACCGACGTCACAGCCCGAAGGAGTAATCTATTTATATCAAGCCCTATACATACTATTCAATACCTTCATTGTGCACTTCACAATCCCCTTCTCTTTCAAAATAAACTACTTAGCGTCACCGCAAATAGCACACCATACTCTTCTACCATATAAGTTACAAGACCTACACCATGAACCCTCTCAGCCCCTCTCCCCAGCCACAAAACGAGGATGAAAAGCAACAGCAACAATCCTACTATGACTGGCTTCGTGAACAGTACAACATCCAATACGAAAAATGGTATCCCTGGATCGAGGACCAGTATCTGAAGTGGTTCGGAAAGGGCGATAATAAAGCTTCTTATGTTACTAAGGGTAGGTATACCTCGTTTATATGCATACATGTGTCTGTCAGAAGGACGCAATAGTTAACTAGATATAGACACGCTCAATAAATCCAAGGTGACTGGAATCAAACAGGTGGATCAGCTACAGGACGATGTGCATGATCTAGTTGGAAACCAGCTCGGTGATAACGGGTTGCTTTCGCCTGTGGGCAAGGTGATCTCGAAAGAGGGGATTAATCGGGCGGAGAGGAAGGGGAAGGATGAGGAGGGGAGATACGGGTTTGGTGGTTTTGGTATTGCCGGGAGATGATTTATGATTCTGGGATGGAAACGCTGGTGAGGCAAATTGTACGATATTGTTGTGGAGGATATACCTTGGTTTTGTTATTTTAGGTTTACTTAATGTTATAAGTTATACTTGTATCTATACCTGCTTTGTTCACTGCACATGATATCCGCATTATGTCTTAAAAAGTGTTTGATAGGGTAGTATGTACCGTCATGGTTACAAAGCCACACGCACTTCAGATATTATATTTGTTCGTTGGTGTGTCTATAGCGGTGAGATCTCGTATATATAGCCCTTGGCAGTCGAAATCTCCTCTCTATACACAGTGTCATTCACACTAAACTCTCTTCCATCCTGCACACGTATCGCTAATATCCCACCCGCTCTAGCCGTGACCCTCGCCCAAGTCAGCTTACCACCCGACCACTCCATATCCACCACAAAGTTCCCCCTGGCCACCAGCCCGGTCACCTTCCCATTTGGCACAGCTGACGGCAAAGCTGGCAGCAAATGCACCACCCCAGCATGACTCTGCAGCAGCATCTCAGCAACGCCTGCCGTGAACCCAAAGTTACCATCAATCTGGAAGGCCGACCCAGGTCCAGAGTCTGTATTCCACAGGTTCGCGCTCGGATACGTCTGCAGGAATACCTGGGTGTGGTTCCAGGCGGCGTCTCCGTCGAACGAGCGAGAGTAAAGACTAATCGTCCACGCTCTTGACCAGCCTGTACTGCCGCTGCCATGGGCGATACGGTGGTCCAGTAGGACCTTTGCGGCGGCGGCTAATGTTGAATTCACAAGGGGCGTCATTTGAGATCCTGGGAAGAGCCCGAAGATGGGGCTCATGTGTCGGTGGCCTGGTTCTGTTTCTTCGTATTCGTGACGCCATTCGAGGATCTGTCCGTAGGATCCGATCTGTGGAGGCTTGATGAGTGGTAACGTGGATACTGCTTTGCTGGTATCTGCGTTGTTGATACCCAGGATTTTACCGGTTTCTATAATAGAGTGGAAGAGCTCTGATAAAAGCGTGTTGTCCATCGTCGGAGCGATGTCGATGCCCTCCTCCTTGCCGCTCTGGCTCATGTTGTCCGGCACGACAAACGCATTTTCTGGTGAAGATGAAGGTCCCGTGCTCAGATAGCCATTGAAAGGGAACAGGTAGCAATGGTAGAACTGGGCAGCAGACCGCAATAGCGGCCAGATGCGTTCTTCCAGGAGAGCTGCGTCCTGCGTGAAACGATAATGCTCCATCAGATTCGCAGACAACCATGCACCACCCATCGGCCACATCGTCCACTTAGTCCCGTTGTTCACTGGAACCGCATCTCCCCAGAGGTCCGTGTTATGATGTAAAACATAGCCGTCATTATCGCAGTGGTACATGCGCCGCGCAATATCCTGCCCTCGGGGCTGCACGGTTTCGAGGAGAGATATAAGCGGCCCTAGCGTTTCTGCCATGTTCGTTACGCCGGCTGGCCAGTAGTTCATCTCCAGGTTAATGTTCACCGTGTATCGCCCTCCCCACGCAGGCTCGAAGTCCTCGTTCCAGAGCCCTTGGAGATTGGGAGGCAACGGCGAAGGGCCCATATCCCGCGACGACGCGATGAGAGAATACCGACCGAACTGGAACATGAGAGTCACTAGTTCGGGGTCCGCATCAGGGTCGATCTTGTATCTCTCAAGTCGCACATCAGTAGGTAACTGCCCTGCAGCGCCTAATGACCCTAGGTCGAGATGTACTCGCCCTGCGAGGGCTTCATGATCAGCCGTGGCTGATTTCTCGATGGCAGGAAACCCGGCCAGCACGGCTGCGTCGAGCTTGCGCTCTATCTCTGCCTCCCATGTTGTCTGGTCAGCATACCGATAAGATGTTTCGGCATTAATGAAGATGTCCACGACGGTTGCGTTTTGGATTACTACAGAGCTTGCGTTGCGTGATACTCGCCCTTCTATGGTTAGTTATTATCCGTAACAAATCTCGGGCACTCACCTCCATGGGCAACAATCCGGGCCGCTGCGGAAAAGTTGATCCCGTCTGACTCGGCCGTTGTGGCGCGGAGTTTGAGTAGTCCGGTGTTGTTTCCTACGGTCGCTGCGTTCTCCAGTACATACCGATCACGAAATAGCGAAGCCGCAACCTCTAACCGGCCACCCTCGCTAGCCCTAAGTCGCGCTGCAATCACACCAGCTGGGTGGCTGGCAACGTACTCCCGCCTACTTATTATTAGCCAGTGTTGAGCACTATTCAGCCAGTCTCACATACCAGAATTTAACACCGTGATACTCATAGTCCACAACCGCACGCCCCTTGAGCAAATCCAATGACCGGGTATAGTTCTCGATATGAGAACCCTCATGTCCGAAGTCCAGGACTAACGAACCAAGTGGATGATAAGCCCGAGGCTCATCTGGACTTCCGACCATCTTCTCCAACGTCATCTCTCCAGCCGCTGTGATGTTCCCTTGTTTAAGCATGGACCGGACAGGATCTAAAGCGTTGTACGCGTCCGGGTTGGCGCGGTCCATGAACTGGCCGCCCCATATGGAATTCTCATTCAGGGTTATATTTTCCACTGTAGAGCCCCAGACTGCTGCGCCTAGTCGGCCATTTCCGAGTGGTAATGTTGAGGAGAAATTGTTGGCTGGTGTGGTGTACCATGTAAAACGAGATGGGTCGAAAAGGGCGTGGGCGATAGTCGCCTCGACAACTAGGTGAAGGAGGGAAGACAGTCGCATTGTGTTGGTGTGTATATGTGAGACCTGAGAAGTTGCAATTGTGGGAGGGGACACGTTATAAATTGCGACCGATTGTCGTGGTGAGATCCATGCATCAATTGATCGATTGTTCACGATATTCCACGAATCAGCTGGCCGGAGGACGTGTAGCTGCATGGGGATAAATTAAATACAATAGTGCGCACACGAATCCTTTTTGGAGTTATCTCATCTGGCGAAATATACCGTATGCTTCTCATCTTGACTTGATTCTTATGTTGGTATGTTGTTTGCTTTGCTGATTGCTGTAATGGTATGCTAGGGTAACCAAAATGCTGTCGAATGCAAAATCGGTTATTGTGCCATTATTATCTCAGTACCATCGGCTTCTTGCGATATGGGTTATAAAGGGTTCTGGAAGTCTTTATGCAAGAATCAGATGGTATAGTTAGTTTCAGCTTTGTCATAGTTGATTGTTGAGCTTCCATGGCCGTACGATGCACAGGTTGCGTATTCCGTCTCCTGTCAACCATATTATATGAGTATGAGACATCATGAGTTCACCCCAAGTAATAACAAAGCTTTCTCATAGCCTTCATACCTGCAATCTGCATAGGAAGGGTCTTCTTCCTCCGCTCAGAAGGACACGTAAATTATCCCTTACCATGGACAATAAATACCCAAGAATATCCGGTGCGGCAGGGATAGATTTCACGACAACCCTGGCCACTGCGCAGAGTTGTAGGAGAGTCGGTACGATAAAGAGCACTGCTGCCTAGCCCAGCTAACTCTTTCGTATCGGAGGTCCATCCACAGGTTATATCCTACACGAGATAGTCTGCACCAGACACCGCCAATATTAACATAGCAAGTACAGGAACTGCTTTACGGACCATATCCAGCCCACCCTGTCATCTATAATGCGGAACAGAGTAACCGCGGTACGGCTCGAATCAATCGCTATCACACGAGCGGTGAACTGTCCAGTTTATAAAATGTATTAGCGACATTTGTATATTGTGCTGGGTGGGCAATGACTGAAGGTGTCACGGACAGCAGCAAACAACGCGGAATAGAGCGAGCCCATTTACCTAGTTCGTCGCTTCATCGAGATTACCTAGTTGCGACTCGAAGATTTTCGCGAGAGGTGTACAAGTTCATTGCGTAGACGGCAAGTACTACGTAATGTAGTATTATGTGGACTCACATCTCATAGAGCAGAGTCAGTGCAGCTCGGTGATGGTGATGCGCTACCTGTTATTTGGCATAGGGAGAGAGGGAGCTCATGATCGCGACAAGATAGGATCACGTGTCTATGTCAGGCACGACCACATTCCATTTGGGAAATCCTCATGTAGGGTCTGCTTCCCTAGAATATCAACGAGAGTACGATTTGGGCATGAGTAGCTCTGGCGTAAGAGACTTCTGGGTATGATAATCTATATGGATCATGTTGGGAATATAATCATGTAACAGTATGTACATATCCGCCCCCACTTCTCCGCAATATATACTGTGTAGTATCCGTGTATGTTCAAGGCAGACTATAAAGCGAAGGGGCAAGACCATAGGTGGCCGAGCCTGTCCTCTGGCAAATCACTAGCCGCAGACAGACAACCCTGCATGTCTGCCTCCAAGGCACATATACATCACATGACCGCATAGGCACACGAGAGATCGTCTGTCTTACCTTACTCAGGATTTAGTGGCTTGTTTATGGGGGGAATACGAAAATCATAGCAATGAAGAGGACTCTTGAGTGGTGATGATAAGATATGTGGTGCTAAGTTTCATTCGCTATTAGAGTTCACAGAAAGAGTACAGTTATGAGGGTATTCGAGACAGCTGGAAATGCCTCGTAGCGTTGATCATGACGCGTTGAGTTGGTGTGGCGGTCGTCATGGTCTAGTGGTTGTGGATACAGGCCATAACCAGTCTCAGTGCATTGTTCATAGGTCCTCTATCGTGAGATCGGGCTGGCACTCCTTTCGATAGAAAATCTATATGTAGGAATTTTAATCACTAGATATACTGTTTCTCGTACGTATGATGCCTTAAAACTATTAGATGGGCTCCTTACTTAAAGAACAGCTGAGTGTAATATTAGGTGTGAGGTTGGGCTTCCATGACACCATGGTCGTCGGCCAAGAGCAACCCTTGAGACACGTAGGAATTCCAGGCGCATCCCACCAATACTCATGCGATCATGACTTGCAACAACACGACCGCTTCGACGAACCTATCATGTCGACGCGTTTAGCATTGGGTGGCAATCAACTCCTTGAAGCTTGCAAAGCTAGTCGAGCCACCACGCCGTCTCATTGGCATGACCACAGCGATCCGTCGCGTTTCCAGGGGCGCTGTGCAGCAGACCGGATCGACGACGACACCATATCCAATCGCTCCCCTCCATGATGATCAGTAGTGAAGAGACTCGACAGGTCGATAGGTTAGGTGTATGCAGATGTCTCGTGACTCTACCCCGCGTTGTGATGTATTCATACGCCCCAGCGATTGATATAAAGGAGGCTAGTCCTGTCCTACCTGTTCTCGTATTCCTCTGGTCCTCATCAAGTCACTCGGGAGTGACAAAAGCTGAGACTAAACCTCACCGTGACTAGCTGATACTTCTCCTTGAATCTTCTTCTATCTACTATCTATCACTATCTACGCACGATGTCTGCTCCAGTGGTTCAGGGCCTCTCCTCCTTGGGCTCTCAGGCGGGACAATATGCCAGGCGACAGGCCAACGCATGGAGGGACAGACTCTTGACTACAGGTATGTAACCCGATACGAGACTCCTGCAACGTCGACACCCTGGAAGATGTGCCTAACCCAGAAAAGACAAATCTCGCCGCCGGGCACAGATTGTTCAGACCTCGTTCGCTGTCCACCGACCCGTCTGGATCTCCGCGGGTGGTGCAGCATACACGACAGCAGCGGCAGCACTGCTGACTCTACGATACATGAAACGGTTACGATGAAAGATAGGAAGGAGGGGTAACAAGATCCTTGATGGATACAGGGATGTTTCTGGTAAACATACACATACAGCGGGGGACTGGTCCACGACTGCATTTTCATTTCCTTTGTGATTTTTCTTTATATTATTTATCCGTGATTGATGATATGTGGGAAATATTTGGGATTTCTTTATTGGGGCGGGTGAATTGTCTATAGCCACCTTGGACGGGATGGCAGGGATGGAGTTACAGAGTTGTTACATTTAGGAAACTCAATGAAATGATGATCCATATGAACTTTGGCCAGAGTCACATCAGTGGCTGTATTGCGCCAGGGTACGGTATTGTCAGAAAGTATCCTGAGCGCTCGTTGGATGTCCATCGATGCAACAACAAAGACTGGACCGGGGTCATCACACCACACCCGTCATGCCACATCGATAGGCGTTGGATGTACATCGATGTACTCCGTGGTTCTCCCTTGGTCTTTGCACGAAACACAATACGAAGACCCGGAATAAAACCCCACCGACCCAATCCAAAAGCACCATCCAGATTACCCACGGCAGAGCGGGTCGATATCGACACTGACAAACCTTCCAGCAGACTGGAGATACCTCTGAGGTACTTCATGGAACTTCCAGGTCCAAGGTAACTCCCCCCACAGATCCACCAGAGCTGATACCTTAAATTACGGGCGACTCCACCGTTGATCGAATTGACAGCGTACGTATCCGTACTTTGTAATGGATGGGGTCGATTGGACGAGACGTACCGTGAGACTTTCAACCCCGCTCGATGGCGTCCAATGGCGGCCCTGGCGCCGCGCTAGGGTGCAGGATACCCCGGATCCAAATCTCAAGGCAACCCCGCACTCGGCACCACTTGGGCTTATCCACTTGCCGAAACTGGGTCCTGTAGTACACAGTAGTGCACACTACTAGAGCTAGTAGTCACTAGTCCTAGTTTCAGGTCGAGTGTCGCCTGAGACATTCCTAATTTCTCTCATCATCAGTCTGACAGGTGAAAACTCCATTGTCTACAAAGTCTTCTTAGGTATAGCCCCCTAACGTCAATCCATACGCTAGTTCGCTATGCGCGTCGGTGGATACTGGGAGACCATGGAACTCCACGCAAGGTGATATCACCTCTCCTCGGACTCGATTGATAATCCTCTGGCCTTCCACTTCCGCTCGGAGCCGGGGTATGTCATATGACACCCACAGCCCTAACGCGCAGATTCCATTTTAGGCCACCCACGCGATGCAGGATCCCCTGTCAGCGAATGATTCGTATTAAGTCAACTGTTGACGCTGCACGGAGATAACAAAGGCGATCCCGCCCCTAACTTCCATCCCTTGTCCTATATTTGGGTACTTCCGGGGGGGCTGTATGGCTATGTTAATAACATTTTCGTCACATTAACGACATTTCTATATGCTGCAATCATTTTGTGATCAATGAGTTCCGGGATTATAATTAAATGGCTGTAGATCCACGTTGCCTCGTTACCCTAGCCATAAATGATGTGGCGATTGTCCCATTCGGGGCAATGGCATCCCATTGGCTATCTCTCAATGGATCGAGGTTCAACTTGTTCAGAGGTGGTTGGTTGCTTCAAGGTTGGTCTGTGCGAGGGATACAAGCCAGTCTTCATCCTTGATATATTTCATACGCGATTGTGGATGAACTATGATTCACCTGGATTAGTAAATGATTTATCAGTATACTGAATACAAATTCAAGAATACAACACGTTCAACTCAAGATGATAAATAAAGATCCCCAGTTTTCACGATATAATCATCTATTTAAGCTATACAGGGAGTACATTGAATACTAAAATAATCATAATACCGAACTATATCGCATCTACCAGTATAAAGTTGATAGTCAATTGGTCCTTTGTAATTTCAAAGATATCATGAAACAGGTATGTGACCCCCGTCTTATCGTCGACCTATCCCGCTGTCAGTTCTTTTCGGAGTGGCCAGCCACTGTCGATTCGGCCTTCACAGATCTAATCCAAAGGCTCATAAACCTGGGCTCCGCGAAACGGCTCACTACCAACGAGGTATTGGACCACCTATCGCTCACGGATACCCAAGATCGTTTGGAATATATACAAATCCAGAGACTTAGACTGCTAGGTTAGGTGCTATAATACCAAGGATGCCGGGAAGGGGTGAGATCACACATATGGCGACAGAGTGTTTGTGCCCTATATACCGTGTCTCTTCATCCTTATCGTTCTAGTTTATGGTACCCCCTCCGTTAGTGGACACTATCCAATGGATGTCCACTACTCTTATTCTTGAAATAAGGATACATAATGGATCATGATGAAATACCTGTCAATATGCTGGTTCCCAATTTGTGGGCATGTTCCCCCATGATGTGCCGAAACAAGGACGATTAAAGCAGCGATCAACTTCTGAGGAGCTGAGATTCAATAGCTGACTAAAGCTGACTCTCGAAACGTGGTCGCCATTCGACAGATCTTCAAAATCCCCCAAAACTGTTCCCCTCCTTCGGGCATCTAGCATGGCATCGGCTTAGATATGTAAGTCAATACAGTTATGAGTGTTAAACTCATCGGTGACACTCCGGTCTTTTTACTCTATACTAACCATTATCCTCTATCGCCCATTAGTAGCCCTTTATCGCAGACGATCCACTATCGACCGCACTAGCCCACTAATCGCAGTTGTCGATCTTTGAGTGCCACAAGGTATCGTTGGTTGTATCATTGCAATTTTCGATAAGTCGTTAAATATGAATGCGGAAAAGATGAATCCCGACGGCGACGTAAGATAATACGATGGCACCTGGGTCACCATGTTCTTCTTCCTAACGAGGATCAGACGGTCTACGATGTCTGGAAGCCCGCGGACGGTTTGTTTAGGGGGGAAAGTACTGCAAAATGGATTTCGTCTCCAGCAGCGAAAACTCCGTCGGCTTTGTGAGGGTAGTTGGTGGCGAAGCAGGATTTACTAGTGACGCTCCAAAAAAGTATTATGTTCCTCCGAATCACAGCTGTGAAGTTTTAGGGTGCAAGATTATGTTCACTCGAGCTTGAATTTTGTCGTGTCGAACCTGTGAATTCGCCGCATCAACACTTTATTGTCCACCCTGATATTACACGATCCATCTTCTTCGTCGCTAGTGGGACTGAAAATATATGATATCAAAGATCCATAAATGAGATGATAAGTCTTCAATTTAGGTAACATTGACCGGGGGGAATAGGCTCCATTCATCTGTATCCTGGTCGTTGAATTTCCTTCCATTTCCCTCTGACCTTACGAAAGGGGTCACAAATATCAAGCAGCTGAGCACATGCCTTGTTTTGCTATCCGAATCCGTTATTATCTTAAAGTGAGAGAATACTCTTTCCGCCATCGGATGTCAATCGTGCTCAAATTTTCATGGGGAAGAATTCGGACCCAAGAGGATGGAACTCGAGTCGTCCATCTTGTCCGATGCTGGCCTTCACAATAGCACTGGGAGCAAATAGGAGCGCCTCGCCAATACCAAGCTGAACAACATTGTCTAACAGTGAACTCAAGTTCTGGTCTGCGCTCGACTCTCCAGTGTCGTGGGTGGTATTCCCGGGTTTTGCTGGTGACGTGAAAGGATTAGCTGCTGCCGCGGCAAGGTGCTTCTGCAGTGTCCGCAGCCATTCGGGGGACGTAAAGCGATGAACAAAGGTGACGGAACAGAGGTTTAGAAGATCCGTTGAAACAGTAAGTTCCTGGGTTGAGATGACAACACGTGCTGCAAGATGTCTCGAGGGCCTAAAACGGAAAGAAGAGTTTCTGTGAATGCATGAGCCTCAGGGAACGTATTCATGTACTTGCCCATTAGCTATGGAATATAGATCATAAGAACAGATAGAAACATAATACCTTATGAGCCTCATCAAGGGCAATAACTCGGCCAATATCCTGTTTCTGCTCAAGAAAGGTTCCCAGGCAAATATTGATTAACGAGCATGCTGTTTCCTGGTATACCCACGGACATGAAAGATCAACGATTGTTAGGCGCCCGGCCTGGAAGCCTTAGCTTGAGAATAGAAGGTTTTCGGGCTTCTGATTACCACTGGTTCCCAGGTTGAGCCTCGTACAGGCGACTTCCTCCTCCACGGGTCGCCTTGTTTGTCAACCATGAAGCTTTCCAAGGTTTCGAGCCGTTGCTTGAGTGGTCCCAGCTGGCGTCGAGCCAAACCACCGTATATTATCTTGCTCTTGAATGCTTGATAATCAAATGGCCCCTTGGTGCCTTGCTGTTCTATGCGCATTTCTCGTAGGATACGTTTAACAGTGTGCATATACAGTGGCATTTCTCTATTTTCTTGTTTGACCGCCATCAAATCCATTATCTGCTTGGTATTCAAGTGTGCCTGGTCAAGCTTCAACATATCTACCGGGATACTAAATCGTGAATAGCAGTTCTAGGCCTGTCTAGTTAGGACATCTCGCGTATTATGATTACAATATATCACATACCCTGATAGAGATCACATTTGTTGGCGAGCACAAAACTCTCACTTGCACATCAGGATGTGAGGACAAAAAGGCCGCCTCACTTGGGGACTCCACCGCATCACCAATGAAAGTATCGTAGTGAAAGAAAAGTCCAGTCAGAGGACTCGGGAGTCTCCCAGCTTCGGATCACCTTCGTTGAACGGCTTGAAGCATTTCATCATCACTCGGGAATATCGTTACGCCAATAGCTATACGAACAGCTCTGATAACCACTTCCAACTCTTGCTTACCTCTGAACCACATCTTCAAGAATTGTTTGCGTTATGAAAAAGTCATGATATCGGCTGTCTGGATGCCACTAAGGCCGATAACACTGGGCCAAGAAGCAAGACTTCTGAGATCGGAACCAGGCCAGGTGCAATTCAACTCGATATTATATCAATTAAACATCACGACTTCAGGAACAGGAATCCAAACAAATAGAAATACGCAATGAGATGATCAGCCAAAACGGCATTCACAGTCCGGTCAAAGGTAATGCTGGTCAAAGCAATTCCAAAAGTAGAAGTTTCGATCCAATGAGATTTTAATCACCGAAACAGGAATAGCGGCAGACTCACCAGCACATAGAGCGTAAGAGAGAATCTCTAAAGACTGTGAAATATATCTTTTCTTCTTGACGGGTATGACGGAGTCAAGAAGGGTGTTAGAACCTAGGCTGGTGTATCACTCTCATATGGTAAAACGAGGTTGCGCGCATATTCTAAACTATTAGTTTGATCTTGGCGTTGCATGAGCAATTAGAACTAGGAACATAGTGTCCGATGCTATAATATTATTAATGTTTTGCGTATTCATTGTAGAAACTCCAGAAGTGTTGGCGATCCTTTGCTTTGTTTCATGATCTCCTGAGACGTGGTCGTCTCCAAATGAAATGGCTCCATTCCTGACAGTGTACAATTTAATACCGGCTCCAGCAGCTTCCATGTAGCTTCACCTAGATTGAAAAGATCGCACCCTTGGGATGTCTGAAGGAGACTAATAAAAATATGGCTCGTTCCTTTGAGATATCGATCCAACTAGGCAAGGGTGCCTGCCGGCTAGCTGTCAGCTGTTCATCCTGCCTTCTCCAGACTTCAGTTACTAGATCACTTGCAATCTTATAAGGAGCAAGCCCGCTCATTAGATTTGCCTTTGCCAGTAGGTATAGGATAGATTCACGCTGTCTGTGGGTTATGACTTCGCAACCCGCGATAAATAAGGGCCAGAGAGTGCCTAGGCCCAGGGGATCCCTCACTTTCAGTCTTCTATAGAATGCAAGCAAAGATGTAATAGCCTTCTCAACTTCACCTTCTAGGAGTGCTGGATATGTTTGTCGAACACGTCTGTGGAAAAATATAATCAAGGCTGAATTGAGTGCGCGGAAGATTAGCGTATCATGCGTCGTTTGCTCGCTGCGATGATTTGGCTCGATTTCGCGCGCGGTATAATCATTTATCACACGCTCAAGGCGCGAAGCGCGGTCCTGTAATGCTTGATATATAATGCAACTCATCGTGATCTCTGTATTCTGTGAATTTCTCAGGATGTCCATGATGTTTGCGAGGCGGGTAGTTTGTGATAACAAGCTAAGCCAAATCTCGGGTATTCCGTAAACCTGTTTACTGAGAGTCTCAGATGATTTTCTTGAGTCCTGCAGGTGGATATCTGTAATGTTCCGCTCTTCGGCATTTTGGTTCGTCGATATTAAGGTCGTTGTCAGGACTTTCTATATGTAGACAATCATCTAGACAAACGCCCTGCACATGGCTTAGTATGGGCCGCTCTCCACTTGCTATGGGCCTCTTTGATTGACAGTGAAGATTGAAAGTACTTAATGCCGACGGTAATAGAGTGTAGTCATGGAGAACATAGGTACTTTCACCTGAAATCCGAAGCCAGGTGTAGATATTGAGCAGAAGACGCATTCTTCGTGAGATCTTGCGCTTTGGTAGTCCCCGTACGCGCAGGAGTCGCTCCGCATCGACAAGATAACACCTTGCATCTCGATGTTGGCCGGAAAATACCTTCACGTCGTCAGTACCGATAGCAGGAAAGGGAGTAATTTCGGAGTGTGGTGCTCCTACTGTAAATTTTATCATTCCATAAAGGGCCATCAACTGGTCTTTAAGCTTGGCCTTCCTGGGTCCTCCAGTCTCCTCGCTCAAGGATATCCGTATGTGACTTTTGGCTTCTGCATAACATTGCTCTGCAAGCTTTTCCCAATACTCCCGCGAAAAACGCGTCGTCTCCTTTGATGGATTCGTAGCGAGGTCGATTGCAGAGCATGCAAGGAGGGAGTATAAATGTGCTTGTCGCGCATGAGTAACGGTTTCGCAGTTCATTATCGTCAATGATCCCAGTGTAAGCAACGCAGCCGGTATATTCACGATATCCCAGGGTGACTTTTTGCTTAGAGGAATAACAGTCATCTGGGGTATAACATTTGTTTGGAAATGCTTCAGTAATTCAGGGGCATTCTTCAATATATCATCATTTATGTACGACTGATGCGTCAACGTCTGCTGATACGCAGTGTTTTCGGAAGAAATATCACAGCCTTCATCGTCATCAAAAGTTGGATATGCTATCAGTGGCTGGTCAGTCAAGGGGCCATTCAAATGCAACGAGGTCATGCAATCAAAGGTAGATTGAAATTCTAAGTCATGGTAAGCCGAAAGCGCAGGAAACTCGCTACCAAGATCCCATTGCAGGAAGGGATCTACAGGAGCCGGGGAAACATCTAGAACTGTTTGAATGCTCGCATTGGAGGTCTGGATGCTGGGGATCTCATCTGCAGGTGGTTCTGTCGTAAGACAGGGAACTTGTGTGTCTTGCAATTTGTTGGAGAGAGCAGAAATATGAAGAACAGCGAAAGGGCCAATTCTTGCCTCCTGTTCGGAACGAAAGCACGGAGTTCTCGATCTTGTGTCAATCTCCTCTAAAGAAGCATCGACAGAACCCAACAACAGATCCTTGCTGAGGGCAGCAGTCATTGAGCGTCTATCCTCTTCTAAACCCCATGTCAATCATTGGCTTTGCATGGACTATTATAATATCCACTGCGGGAAGGTATAAGTACCCGTTAACACATAATGCCTGACCCCAAATCTGGCGATAGGGCCAGATTCCATGTAGACGGATGTACGTTTTCGGGAGGACGCCCATCGAATTTCATTCGAAAACCCTTCGCAAGTTAGGCCTACTGCCAAGCATGTCTGGCAGGTAGGCCGTTGCGTATCGCACCTAACATGCCGGCGTCTACAAGTTCTGCAACTGCCCATATATGGTTTCGACGAGCTCTAGATCTGGCTGACATAGCTCCAAGGCGGAGATAAAGCCACTAGAGGTTGACTTCAGGCTGATCGATACATGTACCGGAATCTCTAACCCAGCAAGAGGGCATAGAGAGTGAATGATAATAGATAATCAGGAGACCGGATCCGCTTGCCCTAATTGATGTAGTTAGTGTTAAGTGCAAGTCGTTCCGCGGGTAATGCTGATAACGACAATGAGATAATATCATCGGTTAAACAACTACTTGTAACGAGTATGCTAGTCGTCCGGTGTTTCCAACGCCGACCCTCCTTATTCTTTCGTCTTCCTTCTGTAAAGTACCGGATGAAGCTTTATATCTATGGTTTGAAGCGTTATCCTAAAGCCTATAGAGAAGTGTGCAAGATGCGACTCGGGACCTTAACGCCATATCGTGTTTTGGTCGAGTGGGATTGACTGGTTTCGTCAAATAGGGAGATCCTCAATTCCTGACCCAACTGTTTCTTTATACGATCTTGATGTAGCATTATAAAAAGACCATATACATTGTAACATTTCTCTTACTTCGTCTATATTTATTTATTTCTTCAGTTTTTTTTTTCTCCTCATCTCGTAGTATCAGAGAGATCTATTTTAGACCAGCAATTGAACTGGCACGTGACCACAATCTTATCTCGATTGCCGATGCGATTTTCCGCTTTTCCACCGCGCAATATGGCGAACGGAAGGACACATACCAAAATCGCTGGAACTGCGGACTACGATGACCCTGCTTTCTGGGATACGAAGTTTGCGACCGGGCAAGATGTGGGCGAATGGTTGAATCCTGGAGAAAATATCGTCCAGGCTGCTCTATCCGATCTAGAAAACCGATCGTTTGGCCCAGAACGTTCCCCTCGCGTGTTACATCTGGGACCCGGTATTTCGAAACTAGGGACAAAGCTCCGCGAGGCATTCGTGGACCGCGACTGGAAGGGCTCTGGGATTGTGGTGCGTTTGCTCACTACTGTTCGAAATAAATCTCTGCTAACGCTCAACTCGCAAAGAATGTTGACTTTTCCTCCGAAGCCATCCGCCTTGGCCAGGAAATCGAGAGCGAACAAGACCCGTCACATGCAATGCACTGGCTACGTGCTGACCTTCGTGCCTGGAACGATATGTCGAGCTTGGCCCCATTTGCCCCTTTTGATATAATTCTCGATAAAAGCACGAGCGACGCCATCGCAACCTCCCCATCCGCACCGTTCTCGCCGACCTCTATCTCACACGATACCTGCCCGGTGCTGCGCGACATTGTGGATACCCAGGGAGAAATTACTGTATCCCCGGTCGAGCTGTTGGCGCTACATCTTGTTCCATTGACTACCGAAGGGACGATGTGGATTGCCCTTTCGTACTCAACTATGCGATTCGATAACCTTCCACGGCTGGCAAAATATTGGGATATCGTTTCCCGTACATCGCTCAAGGCACCTCAAGGTCAGGTTTCCTCATTTGCGCATACCCCTGAGGTTTTCCACTGGCTATATACACTACGCCGAAAATGACAGGTTCTTCGTCGCGCCGAGATAACTACATAACAGACAGGACTAGCGTGAATTACACGAGATTCAATGAAAGGTAATTTCGACACTATACACTTGTTGCGCATTGCGACAATTGTGGGGAACGCCACACTAGCAATGATCACATATCGCTTGAATGTGTCGGCAATCCCATCTCTCCCAGCCGAAAACTCTTGCTGCGGTATGGACAACACAAACATATGGCTGCCAGCTCAACCTTTCACTTGGACATCTCAAATCAACTTCTTGTCCACTAGCGTTATTCTCAGTAGCTGCCGACTGGTCTGGTGAAATACTGGTGAAAGTCACTATGGTGTATTCACGAAAGGCAGGGTTTGTTTAGGAGCCAAAGCCTTCGGGATTCCTTAGTGAGACATTTGAACCTCCGTGGCCCATCATAGCTGCCCTGTATTCCATTGCGCCAGATTGACTGGACTCTGGAGTCTTTGTAGATTTTATAACTCCATAACGAAATATTATAGTAATAGACGAATAGCTTAAAAATGGAGAGCAGAAAGGTTATCATTCAAAGCCGCGTTACGCTAGGTCTAGCTCCCGAAGTTACCCGCAACCTTCAAGCATCTGGTGGATAGACACTTCGACGTCGCGTCCGAGAGTAGTATAGATTTCTACGACGGTGATTGATCAGAAAATTTGATGCTCTATAGGAGAGGGTGCAGCAGAATACTCCGCATTCAATCTTCGTGGTTCGTAGGTCCGAATTGATGGTCATGGCTATTCCAGGGTATTTTACACAGTTTCGAGTCCCGAATATATATTTTGCCCAATGGCTCGATCACCCTTCTACTTGCGCAATCCTTCACTAATTTTACATTGTTTTTACTACTGTTACTTCGAAATAATTATATACACATAACATACTAAATAGTACATACTATTGCTCTTTGATTTAATATTCCCATTAATAATTTTGTATTTGCCATGTTTGGCGAACAATCCTCCCGTAGCGCGGGGGACCTCCAAGTTTCACGCCGCCTTGAGGCTGCGACTGAGCCTCGCTTAGGGGCTTTTGCCCCTGTAGCAGGAATAACTTCTATTATGCACTCTTGAATCAACCTATATCAAGAGTTATCAGAATCCATGTCGAGATTTCCGACCGATGAAAGAGGAGCAGAGGTGGTACAGTGTTGGCGCGGTAGATGTGGATGTTGTTGACGTGATACGAGATCTTGCGTGTCGTTGAACGACTGGGTAGTCCCAGTTACACAGCGTAGCCTTCAATCCTCATAGTCCAGATGTCATCTTGAGAGATGCGAGTGGTCTATGTTTCGTCCGGCGTGGAATTCGGTGGCCGGGGAATCTGCCATGACCCTTGACCCAGACTCGGCGCTCCTTATCAATGTCGCCAGCATAGATAGTCTGGCATTGGTCCCAAGATGTTCGGTTAGTGACTTTCACCAGGGATAACCTTCCCAATTAGCGACTGTTGGGGACGTGCGTAAGAAGTGGGTTGAGATGATGAAGGCGGGGAGGAGCGATCTCGACCGTGGTTCAAACGGCATCGTTGGTGTCCGACCGCGACGAATGGGTCTACGACATTCAAGGGAGGCAGTGTTCGGCCATGACCGAATGGTGGATTGTTGGTTCAGAGCTCGAAGGCCGAAGGTGGTGGTAGTTCCTATGTATATTAATAGTTTTGGCAGTGCATCTTCGTATCGTTGCGGTTACCCCTGGATGCAACCCTGACCCTTCGTTTAAAATCAACTTAATTGACAAGGCTGAATGAGTGTGGCGCCACCAATTGAATTGACGTAAAATACGAGGTGATTTGATTCGCCCAGTCCGGACTGGATCAGTGCGCACGGAGATGGCCCGCGCCCGCCGGAATGTTGACTAGTCGTCAGGTATGGATTGATCGACACAGGACGACTACGTAAGTATAGGATTTGTACGTAGTGGGATGGTTCAGTGTACCTTTGGCTCAACAAATATCTTTTGTCTCCGATGTATTGGTCTGATGTTGGTAGTAGTCTCCTCACCTCATCTCCTGGGATCGTACTAGTAGTACTCCGTACTCGCAGCACTGGTAAGCACGGTATGTATGTACATTCTCTGCACTTGGTGGACAGGCTCCACTGGCCGGAGATATTTTCCTGCAATTTGGCAGGAAACAAACTGTCCTTCTCACTCAGGGTCATTTCTCTCTAGGTGCTAGTCTTGTGCGGATCATTTTCAAACTTGAAGAATAGTCCGATCGGAACATACAGACGCCTCGCATCGTATTCCTGCCGGTGGGTCAGGGTTTCATCAACAAAAAAAAAAAAA